GGCGGGGAGGAGGGGGGGAGGGGGGGGGGGGGGGGCGCACTTCGCCAGGGCGTACGGAGCAACAACAAGAATAATAATAATAATAAAATAAAAAAACCAGCACGATTCAATCAAGAAAAATGTTCCCATATCCAACTCACCTTCCCAAAGTCTCCCGCCGCATCCAACACCTCTCGTAGATACCGATCCGACTTTGCATGCGTCTCAACCGTAGTTAACGCCAGCACCAAGTCCGCCGGAACCCGCATCAGCACTTCCGGCCCATCGTCCCCAGCTGGGCGTGCCTGCGCAGGCTGCCTGTCGCGCGTGGCAAACAACCCGGCGCCCTTCTCGTGCGCGCCGCCGCCGCCGCCGCCATCTGTCTTCGTCGTCGTCGTCGTCGTCGTCGTTGGGGGCAGGCTCCTGACCTCGATGCCATCGAGGCAAACGTCGTTCAGCTTGGCCCACGCGGCCAGCGCGGTGATCGGAAGCGAGGGGCCACGCTTCATTGCGCGCCAAACAGAAAAAGGTATATCGAGCGTCTGGAAAAAAAAAGACTCTTCAGCGCGACGGGCCAATTGAATCGCTCCGTGTTGCTATTCTCTCGTTTTCATCCCTGATCGCTTCGTGAGTTTTCCTGGTTGTCGTCGCGACTTGGTTCTTGAGTCGCCGGCGGCGCGTCGTCGTGGTGGTGGTGGTCGACTCGCGACCTGTTCGATTGGTTCGGGAAAGCACAGACGAAAATGCGATGATGTCATCGCCCGTCGCTGGCCCGCCAGGAACAAATCCGATCTCTACAGAGGATAGAATATCTAGTAAGTACGCCGCAGCACAAGGATGCCAGACGCTGGCAATGACTTGATTGTCTACTGAGTAAATTGCATATTGTGTTACTGGTGGAAGATTTTCGAGCCCACTTTTCTCCCTCCCCCCCCCTTCCCGTACATCGCCGGAAGCTAATCCGTAAAGTGTACTCTACTTCATAACCACCACTGTTGAACCTTGCCACGATCGCCAGAGCGAGAGGGAGTTTCCCAGAGAGCCTGCGCTAGCTATAGGGCTGACGCGTGGAAGAGGCGACGAAGCTATTTCGAGCAGCTGACCCACGACGGGTTTTCCTACCAGAAAGGGCGATAGTGGAAGATCGCTTAAGTTTTGGTTTCTGTATCTACTATACTACCTGCCGACTTTGAAGGATAAAATCTAAATACCCACTAGTTAGCATCGCGTTTTACTCAAGGGCAATTGGAGTCTTCCATACATCGTGCTTTCCCACCGACACTATCTCCTCCTCCGAAACTCTTGTGCCCCCAATGCCTTCTACATAGGCTATTGGCGCGTCACCCATGACCTTCCGCGCTACGTCCCCAACCGTACTATTTCTGCATTATGGGTTAGCATCAATTTTTCAACAGGAGAAGATCACGACATTGAGCAGATAAAAAAAAAAAGAAAACAAACTTTTTCACGAGCACGCAGTCTCGAAAGACTGCTCCCCCGCTCCCCGATCCAGAGCTGAAGTTGTGAATGTTGCGAACTGGAAACACGGGCACCAATCCTAGAAGATCTGCTGCCCGAGAGAGAACTTGGACCACACCCGTAGACCCGAATCGATAGAGTACAAGGTCTTTCAGATTCTCAACACGACTAGTCATTGGATGGTGAGCAGCATGGTCATTTTTGAGCCATCGAAGCAGAAGGGTCAGAGAGGCAAATTACTTTTTGAGCTTTTCATCCATTTCCTTGAGGCCCCCGCCGTCTGGATCGCCCATCTCGATTAAATCTTCTCTCGTGTCGACGAATTCACTGCCCTCTACGTATTTTACGTAGCCCTGCTTTGCGAGTTTACGCAGGAAAACTTCGGTTATTGCGGAGCACAGCACGATCGATTGGGGGTCTTGTGCCTTTGCGATTTTATTGATATTCTAATAGAAATGTCAGCGTACCGCAACAGTGACTGGTCATAGTTCGAGGGAAGGGCAAAGACTACCTTATCGGCGTCGGGATGGTCTATCTTATTCAATGCTAGAACTGTAGGGAACTTCTCGTCTATAAAAGCAACCACCACTTGTGCAATTGTCTCGTCTGACCATTCTTGTAGGGGTGTTTTGAGATCTAACTTGTCGAGGCATCGCGAGACAATCTTCGACGTGGCGCCGTAGCCAGAGAATTGTATTTGCAAGGTCTCAACGGCCGTTGCTTCTGTGCATATGATAAGTAGAGGCATAAGAGGCTTAAAACTGAGAGTCAATACGTACTCACTGCAACATGACGGCGTTTTATCGAACCCCTAGAGAAGTTAGCATTTCATTAAGAATCAGTGTTGGAGTAAATGTCACCATTTGTCCATCAAATTCCCCTGTATCCATCTTACAATCTCGGATTTTAACCAAACAATATCTTGTGATGGATCGTACCCCCTAGTTGCCTTCCCTAGGACAAAGAACAGTAAGCATCCCGACCCAGGATCCAGCGCCCAATGTCTTCAGAAGAAAGCCATAATGCAACCCACCCTCAGCATCCGTAGTGCCACTCACGTCGACCACATGAATCAACGCATCCGCATGGCGCAAGTCGTCCAAGAACTTATTCCCCAGCCCTTTGCCTTCGTGGGCTCCTGGAACCAGCCCCGCAACGTCAAGTAGCTCAATGGGCACCGATCTTCGCCCTTCATGGCAGCTACCGTAGTTCGGTTTGCACTTCTCTGATAGCTGGTGCCGCTGGCATGCGCAGTCTATTTGGAGGTATCCAATCGCGCGCTGGGGGTCGATGGTCGTGAAGCTGCGTAAAGACCGCTGTTAGTTATACTGGGGGGTTCTAATATCTTCAGTGTTGACTGTGGAGCCGTTGCGGGCTTGGGAGCGCGGTCTGACGTACGGAAAATTGCCTGGGCCAGGTCTTCCGAGTTAGCTATTAGCCGAAATCGGGTACGGAGGGGTTATCAGGGAAAATGAGAAACTCACCGACTTTAGAGGAAGCATCTGTTAGACTGTAATCGAGTCAGAAGGCGAAGCATCAAAGTATTGTCGGCGCAAATGGGGGTACCTGTTTAACGTCGTCGATTTTCCTGAGGAGGGTTTACCGACTAGTCCGATAAGCGGATCGCGAGGCATTGGACACCTAACAATGAGGTAAAAGGTGCGAAGAGCAAGAAATGATTATTAACGGGGGCTGGTAGACGCGTCGCGGAGCTTGAGGTGTTTTGGGGTAACTATGCAGGTGCCCCTCGGAAAGGCTTCCTGTCGAAGCGGGAGCATGCGGCTCAAAACTCAAAATGACTAACTCTATGACGCCAGTCACGTTTTTAAGTGCCTTGCACTACTGTAAAGAGAGCATAGAAAGCAATGGTAGAGGGCATTTCAATTATTTTATACCGAATTAAAGAGTATGTACAGTATCTGTGGCACATATGGAGAAAAAAGTGAAGTGTATAGAATTATTAACTGCTATTGTTTCTATATCCACAAAGACCACTCATCGTTAATTAGCCAGGCAATAGGGCCGGCGATTCATAATAGTAAGAATTATTATTCGGGGGATATGTAGTTTTAGGATCGTCCGGCTTTTGGTTGGTGCTGCTCGCGTCAGTTTCTCCGCCAATACTTGAACCGCCGTGCGAGAAAACACCAGTCGAAGTTGCCATCATTACCCTTCCATCCTTTCTCATAAGATCAATATCCGGCATTTTCCGTATATACTGAGGATCGGCGCTTGTGTTTGTATCGCCAACGTTGGTGGTTGCGTAGAGATTGGCAAGAAGAGAATTGGAGTAGTGCGATGCTGCAAAGAACCACAATAACAGCCAAACCACCACAGCCAGGAGGACCGGAAGAACCACAAGCGTGACTTGAAGGTATGACATAGCTGGTTGCACTTTGCTGATTTCTAGCTTAACAAGATCAGGGTTGATAGCCATCATGTATCCACGGGATAACAATAGATTATCTAGCCAGTTCTCGTTGTTCACCAGCCATTCAAAAGAGTTTTGGTTGAATGCCTTTGAACTAATATTGGAGGTGCCATCGCCCAGAGTACCGCTACCGACGAGGAAAGCAGATGTGTCCAACTCGCCAAAAAAGCGAGGTGCAGTTTTGTTCGAAGTTGATTGTTGATAGCAGTTAGTTCCGTATACCTTTCCACCCGTTGCTTCATTATGATAATACTTGTTGCATTGCTCGAAAGGTTTCACAGGCTCGGGGAGGGTTTCTGATCTAATTAGTGTAATATTGACCACGGAGACGCGGAAAAGTGAAAACACAACGTTGCCCGGAGTTCCCTCGGGGTTCAAATATTCGAAATTCACTTGGGTAACAGAATTACCAACTTTGCTTGCTGCGCCCAGTTGGAAACTGCTATTTTTCGCTCGAGCATTCTCAATCTTTTCTGCGATTTGTACGATAAATGGATCATTCAACTGCGCGGGGTCTGTAGACCAAGATCGCTTCACAATATCTTGCACATCAGCCCTCGCAAATGGGGCATTGTAGTCGTATACTGATGAAATTTTCATTGCTCCACCGAGAAATGTATGCTTTCTCCGGCCCTTTGTAACTGTGAACATTTGCTTCATGAAAGCAGTATCGCCTCCAACACCCAACACAGCCCAAGGATTGTCTTCGCGGTGGGGTCGAAGATATTCAGACAAGAACATTCGGTCCGAGATGTCGTCCCAATGAATTTCCGGTCGGCCGATGAGCGAGTCCTGCATGAAAGTGAAAGCAAAGGTATTGGGAAATGAGCATTCCCACACTGCAGTCTCGTTTTCACCTTTTTTCCAAGGGCAATCTTGGGATTTCGAAGTTCCTCCTTCATTTACCACCGCAAAAGTCGCATAGGTATCTGGAGATACAGAGAATCCTTCCTCATCAAGCCATATCCGTGGTCCGACGCCGTTTGCAGGATCGAACTTTCGAGTGGCGGGGACAGGTTCCGGCGTTCCAAGGTCAACCTGGCCCGTGAGGGTAAAATTCAAGTTCGAGTTAAAGAGATTCCCATTCATGAGCTCTAAAAAGTGCTGGTTGAGTCCATCCACCTCGCCAGGCTTGGTGGACGAAAACACCATATACCCTGGTCGCTTGAGCATTTGTCTCTGGACTGACGTAGCGGTCACATTCTTTTTTTGAGAAATGTAGCCGGGCGAATCGAGGCCCCATAGCAAAGTATCATACAAGCCAGCACCAAGGAGGAAGATTGTCAGGAAAAGCACAAGTGCTGCTTGGTGACTAAATCCGCGGGAAAACATGAATATAAGCCTCTGAATGTAGTCCTCGGTGAACATTAGGTACGCGGTGAATGCGCTTCGCATAGAGGCCAGGAGAGAGAAGAGTTTGAAAACGCCAATTTGAACGGCCATGCCGGCAACTCGGAAGAGTATCGATTTAACCGCATTGTGGCCAACAGCGAAGGACGAGTTCACGAAAGAAGAGGCGGGGGAAATCATGAGTGAAAGAACTGCGGAGGGTGGAAGAACAGATCCCCCAAACCCTCACAAATGGCCTCGCTTGTCTTCCGAACAATGAGGAAACGGTACAGAGCCGCTTAGGGATTGATATAATGGGAGATTCCACACCAGCACAGGCCTCTCTTTTTAGAAAGAAAGAGGAAAGAAGAGAGCGGAAACGGGGCGTTTGATGCGAACGCATTCTGAAAAACACGCGCCACCCATTCGGCCGTTCAGATAATATGCGCTCACTGTCCCGCATCTCGTATTGCAGGGGAAGGCGGCTCTCCCCGTGCGGCAGCCTCATCGCGACAGAAGCAATAATTCTGATCACCCTTGCGTCCTTTTACCGCGACTTTTATTGATATTTCTCACAGCTAGGAGGTAAGCTTTTGGCGTTGATTGGGGGAAGCTTCGCTACCGGGCTTGGCGGGCGTGATCTGGCCGGAGAATACGCCTTTGGGCGTCGAGGCTTTATGCTCATTAGCTGCATTCCATCGCGAAGGCGGACACCTTCGGGGTGGCGGGTGGGAGTGCCAGAGTCGTTCAAGAGGGGGCGACTGTGCTGCGCTGGCTTGGATCATTTGGCTCCCGGCTCCCGGCTTGACCTTGCAAAACGGCCATCACCATGTGGGATTGCAGGCAAGCATGGCTATTTTTAATCAAGATCGATCACCCTATGTCGCACGGTCCAGCCACACTTCTTCCCTGGGGAAGATCAGGCTGAGACCGCCAGCGACTAGAAATTTATGCTGGCGCACGTGATAGACCGCACACCCTAGCTTCCCAGTATTTTCTCGTGTTTGCTGGGCCCAGAGTGAAGTCGAGGAAAAGCTTGTGAACTGAGGGTATCCAGAGCATGTTAAATCATCGTCGGCGCCAGGAGACATGCTGTGCTATGATTGTTGGTGAGGGACACTGCTGTTGGCGCTCAAGACGTTGGAATAGGAGCCTGGCTTCAACAGCATGCTGCTGTCTGCATTTTCGCATTGCTTGTTAAAAAATATGGGGGGAGAATCAATTTCCCGCTAGGCGTTGCAGAAACCTGCCCCAATCCTGGGAAGCTAGTGACGTCCTCCAGTGTCCACAAGGTTACGTTTCTTCGGTCATCGGGACGTTATGTATCAAAATGCCAAGTCTATCCAAAACGCCTCGGGCCCTGAAAGTAATAGGAACTGAATCAGGGTATCGGGACACGTCAATGGCGCTACTAAGGCCCCGCATTGACTAGATGAACGGATTCCGGCGAGAAACTGCTGGATACAGCTATAGTTGGGCCATCTATCACAGCAGAGTCTTACCAGTGCATGAACTATTTCGCGAATAAGGCGATTCTTGCAAGTTGGCCTCTCTTAAAACCAAGTGTACTGCAAGTCTAGGCCTACGCTTCAAACAGGCCAATTAGGAGTTAGTTTCAAACCCAGACTTCTAGCCCCCGAGCTTTGCTCTTCAATTGTCTTGTCCAAAGTAGGACAAAGCCCTCTCTAATCCTTAGTAAAACTGGATGCTTTGTATTGAACGGTACTCCGTACGCAAAGCTTTTGACTGAAAAAATGATGCCCGTAAACATTTTTGTTTGCTCATACTACCAGCTAGGACATAGGTGACTTGGTAATACGGCACAGCTGGTAATGCAGTAGACGAAATGAGTGGACATGTATAATAATTCCTGAGGGCGATGAGGCGTCTCTTGAATATAGGAGGCCCGCGCATATTTGATCTCAAAGAGCAAAAGAGCGAGACTTTATAGACTTGCGTATAGATCAATATTTTTTTATCGGCGTTCCTTTCAGACCGCAATTTGTGGTAGCAGTGTATGGACTGTTTATAGAGAGACACGTTTTGTTTGGGACTTCTATATCGGAATGCAGCCCGCTGCATAGGTCATCATTTATTTCTGGGCATTTTCTGAATAGGGCAGGCAATAGTTTTCAGAATAAGATAGGAAGCTGGGAAGATTTCCTTCTGTGTGCGGATACACCTCCTGACCTGCATGATTTCGGATGCTTGCTTCACCTCTTGTTTTTCTGTTTCAGAATCGTTTGTATCAGCGGATATAACCACATTATGGCCTAGTTTGGATGAATCGATGGATACTTGGCACTTTTCCTACATACTCCAAAATACGGTTGCTCGACAGATAGCTGCACATCCATGTCAAAATCTGCTGGTTCGTTTGATCGAACGTAACTTATTCGGTGCCAGTATTTCCACCGAGTTTAGTTCATGTTCACGCCCCATAGGCTTTCAAATAGTCACTCAGGGGCAGCAGTAGAAAGATGGCTTTCATTGCTTTCCTTCCGGATATAAACCCGCCAGTGGGCCACAAAGGGTTGCAATTGGTTAAATGGCAATAATATTTTTTTTAAAAAAAAAAGGCTAGGCGAATCAGGGTTACAGCGCCATTTCTTGCTATACAGAAAAGTGCCAGATCTTCACGATTGAATAAAGTATTTTCTCTTTTGGCCTATTATTCCCTGCATTTGTGTTAAAAAGAAGGAGCTTAGGCTCCGTTTCAGGCCTTGCAGCGATGCACTGGTCAGCAGGGGCAAAAGTAAACGAGGAAAGAGGGATCTTAATTCTCTAAGCCCTATGGACTGCGCGCTTTATTCGTAATAATAGCATCAGCGTCGCAAGGCAAAAGCTGTAAATTGTATATCTTTCGAAAGAAATTTCTCAAAGCAATGGATGGGTGTACCCCGTGGTAAAAGATTAGTTGTAGGGGCTGCTAATAATGTCTGTCAACGACAATCGAAACCTTCGAAATGTAAGTATGCATGCATTCTCCTCGCGTAGATCGACAAACAAAATTGTCGGTAAATGTCATCTTTAAAGCCATGAGATGGGAGTCCGTGCTGATTAGTACAGGTAGAAATACCATATCTGACACCATATTCCCAACAAGCATTCGGCTCAGTGGGGAATGTCCGGCAGTTTGATGTGGCCAGGACGTACCGGAATATTCTGGAAAATAATAATAATGGTTGAGGGAGGATTCGCAAGCCCGAGATTCGGGTTTTGGCGGCGAGTGAATCGTCGTAAGACATAGACATGGATGGCGAGCCGTTAGACAGGCATCGACTTGATTCCTCGGTATAAACCGGGATGTGCTACTCTCGTGTCAAAGGTCCCATCCCTTTTGAGGCCCAGCTAGCTCTCTTTCGATCAAACACGGCGCAAGGTCGATCAATTCCTTGGCGGACGGTATTTGAGTGCACGTGATTTATTCGTCATGCCATGGGTATTCGCCGCACAGGCGCTGCGCAAGGGGCGAAGCATTTTTGGGTTGAACGAGAAGGGCTATGTGGACCAGAGTACAGTATTTTTCCGTGCAGCTATGGCTGGAGGCCGCCGATGGGTGCATTATTTCTATCGGTACGTAGGTTGGCAAGGAGCCTCCAGCCGACCGGCGCCACATGCGGCTGGGCTGAGTCAGCCCCAGATGACGTAACGGCAGCGCCATTTCTTGAGTTGGCTGGGGAGTGCAGAATGACGCAGCTCCGGAGCGCGGCAGGCCGACAGCCAGTAGCAGGAACCAGCGTGGTACCGGGATGCGCGCTGGGGCGGCGCTGTACCAACAGGTCGCACGGGAGTACCCAGCGAGTGGCTGGTCCGGCTTTCACAGCCAGGCCCAACCGGGCGCCAAGCCAATCAATCCTGCTGACAGAAACAACAGCTGCGGTGGGTCCGTGGGATTAAGATATTATGCTGCGCTCCCCCCAGCCGCCGTCTTTGACTCTTCCACTCCAGACTTTTCAACCACCACACCTTGCCTCACTGTGACCTCTTTCGTCAACTTTTTCTCTCAACACCTAACAACAGTACATCATACAACCCTCATTCCATCGTCAAATCGCTCACTATGGCCTTCACCGCATCGTAAGCGCCCACTTTGCACAGTGCCCGGCGTCGCGTTGGCGCCAGCTTTGCTCTCCTAAACCACCAAGCGGCGTCGACTTTCCTGTTCCTAGCATCCGCTAACACTCCTTCTCTAATCTAGCGACGTTTGCAAGATTATCTTTGCCGTCATCCTCCCGCCTCTCGGTGTCTTCCTTGAGCGTGGCTGTGGCGCTGACCTGCTCATCAACATCTGTTTGACCATTTTGGGTTACATCCCTGGTATCATTCATGCCCTGTCAGTATTTCTCCTCGCCCGTCGTGTTTCCGACTAGTACTGCCATACGTGAGCTGCTGCTAACCTTTGCTCTAGTTACATTATCCTCAAATACTAGTGGAGGCGGCATCGCTGCAGAACTGGGTGCTTTGGAACCTGTTCCATCTTGCCCACCCTTACTTCGGTTTATGTACAAATGAAAATCCTAATTTCTACATCTCTCCGCGGTGGAAGAGAAACGATTCCATTACGAAACAACGCGTCTCGCTTTGGGACACAGTGACGTTCTAATATACGCAACGGCGACTGATAATTGTGGTCTAAGACTGGTGTTGATTTCTTCCTCTGTTCCAGACCGTTGGGAAATATCGACTTATGAGGATACATTTTTCTCGATTTCATTGCTCTTTGTTATGCCTGCGTCTTTGACTTGTGATACCATCTTTTCCCATCGTGTTTCATTTCTTGTCTTTTTACTCTTCAGATGGCTATATCAATCGGGTGGGCGAAGGAGCGCTAGGTTACTAGTGCCGTCTATAGGTTGACGATAAATAGAAAAGCCCAAGTCTTTATTACAATCAATTTTTTAATACCAACCCAAAACATGGCCACTATTAGTACCTTTCTGACTATTGTTCCTTATACTCCGTACCGCGTAATTACTCCACCCAGGATCCATCAGATAATTCCAGGCACGGGCGCCCATAAAACTTAAAACTAGCATACAACGTCCTGAAGGTTGCTGTCCTTTTGAAATGAGCGCCTGGCCCTCTGGCCGCGGGCTTGTTTAACGCGTAATTCACGCGTTGCTGGTCGCTGGGAACGAGGGCCACTGGGTGACCGAGTAGTATTTCTAATCGCTCGCCTATGTCACCCACCCTGAAAGTGATAGTGTCCAAATCTCCGGCACCAATATTCACCGCAAAAAACTTGACTCCCGTCTTCCTAGTTGCCTTCAAGAAGCGCTGCGCTGTCCTGTCCGCCTTAAGTTGTTTCGTTGAGTATGAAACCGAGGGTTGGAGGAGTGTTTGCGCCCAGCCGGGCCTCTGGACGCTGATTGGCAGCCTGGTTGTTCGCCAACCTCTCCTTCGGCGCTTACATCTCACCTCGCACTCGCCAGCCCAACAGATGCCCTGTCCCCCAGCCCAACAAGCGTTTCATCACGGCGTCTACGGAGTACACTCCAGAGGATTCGACAGCCATTGCCCCCCACTGTTACCGCTGCATGAACTTCCACCCCCGGGCGGCCCGCTGTGTTCAGCCGCCAATTGAATGTTGGCACGGCCTCAGGCCAAATGCCTTGATCGACTTGGATCCGTTCTGATTCGCCGGCTCCTGCATTCTTCAGGGCCAGCGAGAATCGCTGCTTGTTGGTTGGCTGTGTCCCTGACACCACATTTGCTTGCCTCCGGCGTTTCAATGAAGCAATGACTTCATTGGAGCGTTTGCGGGCTTTGATCTATGGCGGATGTAGTAAATCTACATCATACCCTATCTTTTCCTTTTATCTCTCTTCCTTGCACTTCTGTCTGGCTCTCTGTAGCACTGCATTTTGTTATCGTTGACCTGACATAGGCGTCCGATCGAATAGCCGGCCTTCTCTTACCTATGTGCACCCATGTCGTGATACCAAGTCCACGGCTCCTCTCGTCGGCCTCGAGACCCTGCCAGTCTACCCCTCGTCCAGCGCGATTCACGGCGAACGGACCCTCCATTTGCGACAGGTGGTGTAAGTGTCGGGCGGGATGTGTCTCATTATTCGGTTGCTACAATGGAGTGTCATATTGGCATTCCCCATCAGCACAGCTGCATTGGCGATTGCTCAGCGGGTAACGGTGCAGTTTGTCCATGAGATCACTCCGCCTTGCTCGTTAACGTGCATGAGAGAGTTTATATCAAAAAACTACCCGACATCGATCTGTGCCGACACGACGCGCTTGGGCTGTCTCTGCACTCAAAGATCACTTTCGGGAGCTACACTTGGAGACGCTGGCATACGATGTGTGCTGTCCTCCTGTCCATTTCCTACGAATGAGGACCTACGAGTATATGAGATATGTCAAGGTATAGAGGGCGCTATTCCCAATACACACCCTACTTCTACCCTCCCCGGTAGTTCGACCCTGGCTCCTTCAGCTACTCCTCAGCCAACGAGAACTTCCAGGCTTGATCCGCCCATTAAGTCCTCTATGAGTGTTACCGGCCAAGACAAAATTGGTGTGAATACAACAGCGTTTGGTACTATAATTGGGACAGCAACGCAAACGGCGGCCACAAGTCGTGATGAAGAAGTGTTACCAGGCACTTCAGCATCCCCTCCGGCACATCGTCCATCCCAGGAAACACAACCAGAAGCTATACCGCTTTCACAGCCTCTCTCGCAGGGCAAGATTATTGGTGCTTCTGTCGGGGGAAGTGCCGCGTGCATATTTGGAATCGCATTACTTATACTACTCCTTTTACGACGCCGAAAACACAGAGGTACCAACCGTCAGGAAAACGATAATTTTGAAATTGGTGGGACTATGGCGGAGCCCTCACCACGGCTATTACGCCGGAATCTCTCTCATAGCAATCGAATCCCTAGTACCCCCATTGGCGCGTATAATCGGTCCACCTTCGAACCACTTACTGCCATTCCTGGCCTTAGGCTCCATTCCAGCTTTGGAAAAACAGCCCCCGGCGCTACCAATTTATCTCAAGCCCCTTATGAGCAGGGGGATATAGACGATATCGAGCTGGGAAGTCCATCTTCAATGAGAACTTTATCACGTCTCCTCCCCGATAAACCCGACCTTGAAGATTACGGACGGCAGCATCCGATAACTGAGAAATTAACCTCTGCACGGCCATCAAGTTCGATAACAATATTTGAAGAAGATAGCGATGGTCGAAGACCGCAATCACTTGAAGGGCACTCGACTATATTCAAAATGCGAAAGGATCGAGCTAACGAAGGACCCTTACTCCACGAAAACTCGCTAGATGACCGATACCTTACACCATATGTCCCCACGACGACCCACAATACCCAATCTAAGTACAACTTGCAATCGGATGCTGCACTACAAAAAAATGACATCATGTTTACGGATCCTTTTTCGGGGAAGGACCCAGTCCAGCCATCTCAGCAGAATTCTGTCAATTCATCCTCGCCCATTTCTTTTCGCTATTCGCCAAGTATTTACTCTAGTTCACGTTCGCGAGATGGAGAGGACACAGAAGCCGGAAAATCTGGCCGGTGTCCCCGAAAAGCAATTTTACGTCATTCAGCTGCGTCTTCAACTACTAGTTTTGAGACAGTAGCCTCAGACGATGAGGGGACAAATGCGAAAACAAAACTGCCAGTGAAAAAGCTGAGTCCGGTCAAAGAATCCACCTCTCACCAGCTTGCTTCATCCCGTTACTTACAAGTTCCGCGCCCAATAAATTATTCGCGCTCGTTACGCAGAACGGAGAACCTAAACCATACCTTTGTTAAACACGACAACCCTAATCATCCACCCTGGCGACCTACTCATCATGAGCGGCAGGTTGGAAGAACAAAGAATCTTCATAGATTTCCTGTAAAGCCATCGCCTGTTGCAAATCCTAGCCGTATATCAACAACGAGCGAAGCAAGTGCCGGACGCTTCCTGCATCCAGACGACCCCCATGCAGACCATACTCCTAGAAGCCCCTGGGAGCGGAATGTTGATTTTCGCAGAAGAGGGCCAAAGTTGGTTTTGAGAACCAGCTGATATTCATTGTTCTTTAGGAAAACTGACGAAATCATGCCTACTTTATCTTTCTTGGAAAATGATTTATTAATACTCCTTGAGGCCATATGGGCCATCTACTTCTTCAACGACATATCTTTTGGAGACATACCTTTTATATACCAGCTACATTTCTGCGTATCATTATACTCTGGTTGACTGACTGCTTAGTATTCGTATGACGGATCTACGTTGTCGCCCGGCGGTGTTTTATCTAGGGTATTTTCACCCTCAAATACCCTTGTTTTGTCCTGAGTTTTTTTAGTCTCCTTTGGCACTGTACATATATGGATTGTTTGTTATACCCCCGCTATTGCCTTTTGGAAATTCTTGCTGTACGTTTGTTGCTTCACCTTACACTATTGTCAATTATTTTCGAACTGCCGACCGATCTACCGCATGTAAAATGCTTGATCTACTTCACAGCATGCCGTCATCTCATTACAACCCAAAACCCGAAAGGCTTGGTAACGTCTTTTTGGCGGCATCATATAGTCTCCCCCTTTTAACCAGTTGGTACTTAGAAACGGGCGTACTCCCCATGATGACGAAATATATTTCGCTATATAGCTATAATCCGTGCTCATGTACTCCGTATAATAGCCGATTTATTGATAAGCCGCCCCCTTTAATTTCTCTCTTCACCTGAGCAAAACCTCAATCTTATGGGGCACGTTACTTACATACAGGCCAAAGACCTGGTACCTTGACAAAAATTACCAGGAGCCGAAAGCATTGAGACGTGTCCCAAAAAATATTATAAAACCAGTTCAAAATATCACAAAAAATGTTCAAATTATCTACTAGGTCTAGGACAAATTGTTTGTAACTGATGTTACTACGAGAATAAAAGCTACGATCCTCGAAATATGATAATTCCTAGGAATCTCTGGTGGATTGCGGAGTCTCCACTTGTAACTACGGAGGACTCCGTACGTACTCCGTACAGGGCATACGGAGCACCGTCAACTCTTTCTCCATGCCGAAGTACCGTCGATGATCGAATTCGATGGACTTCAATCCTTCCCGCTCCTAAAAAACTGAATTCCTTAGTAGAAGCGCCTGTGGATACCTCTTCACGAGATTTTCATGTTTCTCGCGATGTTCAAAAGCTATTGATACGAAGGGCACTTGTCCGACTCAGTTCTCTGGCACGAAAAATCAAGAGCTGACTAGTGAGTAACTAACTAGAGTGTAAGTTAACAAAGTTTTGGGCCAATGGTAGAACTCCCAACATGACATTTATCAACAACACAACAGTCGCTTTCTTCCATTGTTGCAGTGTGCCAGCATAAGAAGAAATCTTACAAAGACCTGAAAACAAAAATGGATGATATAACGAGGCATTACATTGATAAAAAGGTCGAACAGTTTATTGCATTGATAGACTGTGATGCAGTGTGCGAACTTGCCTCTTCACACCACCCAAGCAAGAAACCCTGCCGTATATTTGATGCCGAGAAGAAAGGTGCTTTTAATATTTGCTTTCCAGTTGAATTTCTTGAAGATTCATTGGGAGTGCATACCACTGGTGAGCGATGGATGGTGCGTATACCGGTTCTTCCACGGCTGGCTTTTCCAGAAGGGAAGCTTCGAGGCGAAATTGCTACAATGAAGTAAGACTGGCTATATATTTGTAAGTTGTTGGAGGTTACCAACATCTCTGCAGATTCATTTCCGAGAAGACTACCATTCCTATCCCGTGTCTACACGGGTATTCCATAGGGAATGACAACATCCTTGGCCTGCCATTTTTGTTACTTGATTTCATCGACGGCAAGATGCTTGTAACCGTGAATATTCCCACCCTTCCGTACAATGACCAATGTCGGATTGTTTGCAAATCTCAGCGACATATATCTCCAACTCTTCCAGCATCAATTCAACCACATTGGTGCCCTCACCTTAGACTCCACAGATGAGAATTGGGTTTTCGAACAAAATTGACCTCTTTCTATACTTATGAATGACCAGACCCTTGGAGGTTATAATCCATGTTTATTGATCCCTCCAAACCAAGTTTTCCATTCAACCATTGACTACATTTTGATGATTCATCATGCACTTCTGGACGACTTTCATCTGAGAAGGGGCAGTGTGTTCAGTGAATCAGATGCTTGCTCATATTTATATGATCTATATAACTCTCGCCAATTTCTAATGGAGTGGGTTCAACCTAAATACAATCATGGGCCATTTGTTTTGATGCATGGTGATCTACGGTCATCAAATATTCTTGTTGATGATGACCTTAATATTGTCTCAATACTGGACTGGGAATGGAGTCACACTATTCCTTTGCAGATGTTTGTTCCCCCATCTTGGCTCAGTGGGCATGAAGTAATTGGGATTTTGAAAGAGTACAATTGATTGTACTATGAGATGCTGACATCTGCCTTTCTGTCTGAGGCCAGGGATGTTGAATTCCAAAACTATAGGACAGCCACAAATGGTTTCAATATTCAACTCTCAAAGCTTTGGAGAAGAAAAGTGGGTTCCTGGGATATTTTTATTGCCCATGGATTAAGGCAGCCATTATACTTTGCCAATGTCTATGATGATGTGATCGAACATGATTATTATAAGGCTGGAAATCTCGACTATCGGAGAAGACGGGACGATTTCTTCAATTTGGAGATCCGTAAACCAGAACTAGAAGCACTGCAAAGAAAACTTGACGACTTAAAAATGTTTGAAAAGCAATGTGAGGAGCTTGGGATACAGCGAACAATACCCAATCCGATATCAGACACCAATGAGTGCCCGACTTCCAGTCCAGAAACCAAACTCAACCAACCACAGGCGCCCTATCCAATATCCTGCCTCAAAAACTTCGGAGTACAGCTTTATGAAGAATTTCATACACGTTCTGTAATCACTGGGGCCATACTTGGGTTCGCCTGTGGTATCTTTCTGCTAAAGAACCTGAACAGCAGGCTTCTGAGGTGATGAGGTAAAACCAGACCTTCAACGGATGTTGAAGAGTCTCAATTCAGCCTAGTGTCTCGTAGCATAGACCCATCCTAGTAGGTAGTTGCCTGGTAGTTAGGTAGGTAGGTAGGACTTCTCTTCAACACACAAAGAAGGTCTGAGGTTAGGAGGCGGCAAGAATAGAATCAGTATTATCTCTTCCGTTCTCGAAGCATTATTAGACCCCCTACAAGCCGGTGGTAACTCTGACGTCACATGAATCCACTCCAAGCGTGACTTGGCGCAAAGGACGCTTACCCGATCGAGGCTAGCCGGCGTCTCGAAGAATTGAAGCCGGCCCGGCCGCACCAGATGGCCGTCTCGGACTGCACGTCGAGATCCCGGGTGCGATTCGTGCGAGGGGTGGAGCGGCCTGGCGATCGGACGAAAACGCTCGGGATAGGGAACTGTACAAAGCGGGCAGGATGTGCCGGACTCAACAATAAGATATGCCACCGCCGTTTGGTGGGATGGCTAAAAAACCATACGGAGTGGGTGCATAGCCAATTACGTCTTCGGCCCGGCTCACAATGGTCCAACATGTCGCATACTGAAGCCCATGGGTTGTTAGGCGTTCCTTGGGCTGGCCTTGGAGATCCAGGGAGACATTAACACGGAGCCCTGTAGCCGCAATTTCCGAGCCGTCACGGATTTCCAGGCTCCTTCTGGCGATTAAGCATCCCATAATAATGATACAGAAGCACTCACCAAATCGCGCCTCAGGGTCTGATCCGTGCTTGACTCCCAATAATGAACACTGGCAAAGTGCCTCGCACATGACGTCATGCACTCTTGCTGGTCTGCGTACCGCTGCCGATTGCGTCCGAACAGGTGGAAAGACTATCCTAGATATCTGCAACACGTCTATGTGCTTGCTCGATGCGTCGATGAGCTTTTGACCGATAAGAGAGAGCCTTGCTTTTTGTTTCCCGGCTGCGATGGGCATTGTCAAATAAGACGACAGCGGTTGTTATTATCCAGAGCGGTGGAACGCGGCGAATTCCGCCACAAACCCAAGCCCAGAGAGACTCCGGTTGCTCGATCGGGTGGATCGTTTCACGAAGCTCCATGGTTCAGTTCTGTCTATCACGGAGCCGGTGGATACCGAAGTAATAATAATAATAATAATAATAATGGAGGCATATCGACCTGCAGAAACCCATAGAAACAACATAGCAACTGTTTATCATCATTCTCGCCTCTCAGGTTTATAGTTGGTCCGACCCAAACCTCTCTCTCGCATCCCTGCCCGTTACTTCAAACCCACTTGTCTTGATCATATAAAAGGTCGACAGATACTTTTCTAGTCCGTTCGTTGTTCAAGACTTAGTACCTGAGAGATCCGAAGGTCGGCCGGCTCGACTAGTTAGCGGTTCATACATTTCCGTCGTCCCTGCCCTTCTGCTTGCTGCGTGATCTTACCCGGGGCCGGACCATCCCCGGTTTTTATTCGGCAGGAACGAATTTCAGATATCTAGCATCCTCATACTGCTCTGGTATCATGGCTGCGACGGGTTATCGGTCCCAGAGCGGGCATGTTCGTCGCCTCTCAAACGTCGAGGCTTCGCATACCGATATTATTAGTGGCCCCAATGTGGTCGTCCCCCCAAAGTACCTGATGGCAAGAAGTGATGCGTATGAGACTGCTAAAGCGATCGAACTCGCGAAGCATCATCTGGAAGAGGAAGTATCCTCCCCTGAAGCTACACCAAGGGCCGCATCGCCTATTCCAGAGCATCCCGCCACAACTACAGATCGATATGCATTCGCGTTTGATATTGACGGTGTTCTTGTTCGAGGAGGAAAGGCAATCCCTGCTGCCATCGAAGCGTTGAAGATCCTAAATGGGCAGAATGAGTATGGGATAAAAGTGTACGTTGCTCTTATCCTTTTAATTTTCCTGACACTCACATTAACGGTTCCGTTTTTTTCCAGTCCCTATATTTTTGTTACAAATGGGGGTGGTAAAACAGAGGAGGAGCGTTGCCTTGACCTAAGTCGGCAACTCGAATATGAGGTGTCTCCTGGCCAGTTCATCTGTGGCCACACACCTATGCGGGAAATGGCTGAAAAATACAACACTGTTCTCGTTGTTGGAGGAGAGGGTGAGAAATGCCGCCAGGTGGCCGAGGGTTATGGTTTCAAAGATGTGGTCACGCCGGGAGATATAATAAAGTACAATCGACACACCACTCCGTTTCGACAACTTACCGACGAAGAATTGCAGAACTCTCGCTCAAGGGACTTTTCTGATGTGGTTATTGACGCAATTTTTGTCTTTGCTGACAGCAGAGACTGGGCTGGCGACCAACAAATCATCCTCGATCTGTGCATGTCTAAAGGTGGGCGGATAGGAACTAGGTCAGACACCTTTGATGAAGGCCCTCCAGTGTATTTTTCCCACAACGACATTGTCTGGTCCACTTCACATGAGCACACGCGGATTGGAATGGGCGCCTTAAGAGCCTCTGTTGAAGCTCTATTTAAGGCTGTCGCTGGAAAAGAATTGCGAACAATTGCCTTTGGTAAACCCCAGCTTGGTACCTTCCAATTTGCCACACGGCTCCTACAACAATGGCGAAAGGAAACACACGGCATCGACTCGCCACCAGCCACTGTGTACTTTGTTGGAGACACGCCAGAATCTGACATTCGGGGAACAAACGAGTACAATGAATCCGATCTTTCCGAAAACCTGTGGTATTCTATTCTTGTCAAAACCGGTGTCTTTCAGGAGGGGACTGTTCCACGATTCCCTCCCAAGAAAATTTGCGAAGATGTTCTGGCTGCTGTAAAATTTGGCATGAAAAGGGAACACCTTAACACCTTGAAGCAGTCCGGTACTAATGAAGAAGTACAAGGCGCTAATGCTATCTCATAGAAATATTTGCCCTTTGTTCCGGTGGCATACTTTTCAATTCATCAACCCTTACTTGAAGTTAGGGATAATATGTCATAGACATATTGTTTTGAAAACTGTCTTGGGATTACAATTCCCTCCCATTGTACTCTTTTGGCTTTCGTCTGTCTTATGGTGCTCTGAACTGGTGTGAATAACCACACCTAGAATCTAAACATTACATTGGAAATGTAGACATATTTCCCCTGCAAAATGTATGTATGTATTTAAAAGTCCATACATTTCCACTGCATGTGGTAACTACGAGCGTGCGTGCATTCATTGGCTGATTGGTACAGTTCTAAATATATCGCCATGTTTAATGGTCGAGTCTAGCAATAAAAAAAAGGCGTTGTATGAACTGTAGCATTTCATTTACCGCTTCCATTATAGAGAAGACGATTTGTAGTGTTTGCTCCTGGATTTGTCACAGAGGGGCGAGAAAGTTCTTTGAGTCGATCACAAACTTTTTGAGGCTCGACGCCTTCAAGTGCCATGAGCAATGCTCCCACGCCACAAACATGGGGGGCCGCCATGGACGTGCCGGAGATTGTCCCACTGCGACCATTGGGCATGGCTGCTGTGATATCTTGGCCAGGAGCAAAGATAGCAACTGTGATTTTGTGTTTTCTTAGCAGATGAAAGAGGCTAGCTTTCGGAGTTTTTGAGTTGCAAGTAGGCTTACCAATACGTCCGTAGTTAGAGAAGCTAGCTCTCCTGTCACCGAGTGCTGTAGCACCAACTGTGCAGACCTTCTCTGCGGAGGCCGGGGATTCAGTGGTCACGGCTTTCTGTACCAATGCTTAGTATGATAGATCACATAAAAAGCCCCAAACGTCGACTTACATTGTCGTTCCCTGCAGAAACAGAAACGAAGATACCTGCTTCAACCGCTTTCGTGCAAATTGCGTTCGCTGCCTTAGGGCTGTCGGTGACCAAACTCAAGTTCATGGCTGCTTTACCAGTGTGATTGTTTTTTTGGGCGTGATTAACAGCCCACTCGATGGCTTTGAGCGTTGCACTGTCAGGGCCAACTCCCCGAGAGTCGTAGACCTTTGCAGCGTAAAGCTTCGCCTTTTTGGCGACACCATAGGTCTTTCCAATAATGGTGCTAGAGGTATGGGTTCCATGGCCATGGCCATCAGTGTTATCATTATCGACGGTATTGATGCCCCAATAAGCGCGGCCTTCAAAATCTCGGTGTTTGATGTCAACACCCGTGTCAATACTGTATACCACAACACCTTCGCCAGCGGATTCGTCATAAACATAATCACGGCTGCCGCTATTCATATGGGAAATTCGCCCAAGACCCCAAGAAGGAGCGCTTTTTTGAGTCACTAAAGCCTTCTGCGAGCTAACACTTGCAATACGTGACCATCGATCCGGTTCAATGTAGTCCACCTACTGGAAGTCAATTATTTACAAACCAATCCTACAGTATTGGTTTGATCTCACATTTTCATTTGTCATCAATTCATGAAGCGTGTTTTCGTCAAATGTCCCACTGTAGCCCTTCCATCCGTTTATCTTGAAAGTGAATTTCACACCAGTCGTTGAGCTGCCCTCCGCCCTAGCGACATTTGCAGAGTGGACGTTGGATACCCAAGCCATATGAGACTCAAAGTCTCGCATAGGCATGTCCTGTTTCATGGCAACGATGTAAGAATTTGGGATCATGTTCCTTTTGTTGTCGAACCCAAGCAGCTTACTAGCATCGATGCAGGATGCTAGAGCTGCAAGGGCGATTGTGGAAATTCTAAGAATAGAGGCCATGGCTAGGTATAGGCACACCAGTATATTCCTGAATGGGCTAGGAGCTGATGTGTAATCAGTGAACAGCCGGAGAAAAAGGGAATATCATCAATTTATAGCGGGCATGCGGGGAAGTTGGCATAAGTATCATTATTTTCCTTATTGCAGCCTTCGTCATTATGGAGTTGCATTTCCACAACGAAAAATATATTTCGAGGCAACATTGAGGAAAGTGACATGGGTTAAGAAAATTATCGCATGGATTTGGCATGGATGTCCGGATGAACGATTCTCGGCGATCCAACCTCGGGCTGATCTGGACCTGTGCGCTGGAACGTTTCAGAGAAACAAGTGGCGTGTCTAGCCGGGGGCGCTATCGGCATCTCAGGCGGGTTGTTGTAACGGTGTGTTTATACTAATCATCTGATGGCATTCAAGGCCAGTAGTTTCACCCCGCCAAAAGTCTCACGCAAGGAGTCACCAGCGCTCCCACCATAACTGGAAATGATGTTCTTCGTACATAGGTCAATAGCATTATTATCACCATTTTTGATATATATTTGGGGGGTTTGCCCGACCCTAAACCGAGGAATCGAGCTTTTTTTGATGAAACAGTGTTTTGAATAGCCTCGCCCTTCGGGATAGCGGTACATAGTTACTAGTTAGTTAACTAACTAACTAATCTCTTGAGATTTCGGCGGGAGTCCCTCGTTGCGGGGAACAATTCCAGGGACCCTTGCTTCAACACAAGCTGCTTAAACCCTTGAAGGTTGTCTGCCTCGATATTTGAGCCCGACCATTTTAGAGTAAAAAATAATATAAAATAGGTCATAGCATTTTTTAAATGGGATACTTCGTACGGAGTGTAGTAGGTAGGGGTAGATGAAGGGTTTCGGATTGATAAATGGAGGGTGTATCAATATTGAACAAACTCCCATTTATTATGGAGCAACCAACTTTATCAAGGTATAATTAACTACCTAGCTAGTTAATTAATTAATTAGCGCTTATATTCGGAAAAGTAACAACCAATGGCCACCTACTCTATTAAATAATGCTGTGAGCCCATGTTCATGTCACCTGTTTTGATAGATATACACAAGGCTCAAGCTTGTTTCAATGACTTGTGATAAAGGAGATAATGAGGTATAAATGTTCCATGCCTAAAACTATTTTTAGAGAAACAATTCTGCGCACAATCAACACCGATCCTGCAAGCACCCGAAGATTTCCGCTCAGCAGTGTCATCGGAGCATAGTGGCAAGTATACACTTGTAGCGACGCAGGCATATTGTAACCTTAAAAAGAGAAGACCGTTTCAATCATCAGCACCTAATGTAAAGCCCTTCAACAACCTTCACTGTGGATGTTACGCGGTTGGCTCTTGGCTTCCAAGCAATTTGAGTTTGCACTGTTTGCTTCTGATAACTAACTTAGGTATGGAGTAGTCTAGTTCCTCTCCATATCCAAAAGCCAGCCGGCCTTCATGCAACATAGTTGCTACCTAAGTTACATGCACAGGCACTGCAGAGCATATATATAATTTTGGTATCGCGGACCTATTCCTAAAGCTTCGAAGAGTTAAGTCTTCCACTTTAGTGAGCCCAGCCATTTCTCCTATTGTGAAGCAACTGACACCTAGCTCAACTTTTCCTTGCCCAACTAATAGCTAACGTAGTGTGACAACAGATGGCCTACTTGTTTTCTATATCTCTGACCATCGCATGAATGAACTAGCATCTATATACTCGATTATTTAGATCCTCTCCATTTTGCAGGATCGTATCCTACATAAAACCCCTGTCGCAATATACGCTTAAGACCCCTTCCTCCCATTCTCAATTCTTGAAGTCCACATTACGTATATCCAAAGGGTATCAGGACATACTGGGGAAATTTGAGCGATTTTTGATTCACTATATTTGAGGTTGGTCCTCATCTTGGGATACTGTGAAACCTCTGCTCTCCTTGGACTCTGGCTATGCCGAGTAGCAAGCTTACGAGCAGACATTTGTAATTTCCCTATTCTGCTCCTCCCAAGACCCCCCACTACTGCGTATGAGCCGCCATGTTCAACCCCGTCGGGCTCTTTAAAGAAATCCCTTGTCCTGAAGCGTCGCGATGCAACCTTCTAAATTGCATGTTCTCCCACAGCTACAAAGAAAGTACCTGTGTAAAAGGCCCCGAGGTGACAAAAGGGACGCGTTCTATCGTTGACACGAATAGTACAGTCGTGAATGAAGAGCCATTGCGCAAAAAGCGGCGCATTAATGCCCACCACAATGCAAAATCGCCTTCTACCGAAGCTGGGAGCCATGAAGAGCAGCCAAACAACAATGCATCACATAACCTTGTGCAAAATGACCATAAGAGAAGCCACCTAGCTGAAACGAAAGCTTCTCACTCATTAAAACCCGTTCCCCAGGAAAATTGCCAAAACGCCTCGAAGCGCAAAGTCGGTCTTCCAGCCGGTCCAGAGCATCAGAAAAAGCCAACACTTGCTCCGGCTGTCACCCCGCCTCATACATTGCAAATTAAGAGGGAGACATTAAACCCTAGACATTTATCTAAACCACCTGCAGCGCATTCGGTGCGTGTCTCCATTCTTTCGAAATTACATGAGGCCATGGTGCTCTTAAATAATCAGCTTCGTGCGCTGAAGGACCAATCTAAAATGGCTCTTGTTCTATCTGACGATGAGCTTGTGTCCCGGGCCTTAGACGAAGAGGAAAAGGCCGCCAAAGAGTCATCTTCAATATACTCCAATATTATCAAGCTTCGAATTGTGAAGCTTAGAAAAATGACCTTGGCCGAATGGGAAGAAGATATTCTACTTTATCTTCGGGCCAAAGTCTCACGACCGACAATTGTGTCACCCAAAGACCTGCCTATATTAACAGGTTTAGATACTCAGGGAGAAATAGCAATACTTTCCAGATTCATCGCATCTTTGGAAACCCAGGCCAAGGCCGGTTATGTGATCGAGCCTCCTTCAAATGAAGATATTAAGAAAGCAGCAAGTGGAAGTTTGACTTCTCAAGGCTGGGAACAATGTGATCGCTGCAATGGACGATTCCAAGTTTTCCCAGGTCGGCGAGAGGACGGCCTACTAGCATCGGGCGGCCAATGCACATACCATCATGCGAGGCTTATCCGTCCACCCAAAAAAAAAACAGACCACATAGTCGGTCAGACAGAAGCATATTTTCCATGCTGTAATGAAACGGTTGGAACCTCTCCTGGATGCACCAAGGCTGAGTCCCATGTCTTCAAGGTAACGGAAGTTAAAAGACTGGCTGCAGTTTTGCAATTCGAGAAAACACCCAGACAGCCTGGCAAGTCTTCTCTGCCGCCTGTATGTTTTGACTGTGAAATGGGATATACAACTTTAGGGCTGGAGCTCATTCGGTTGACGGCCGTCACATGGCCAGAGGGGAAAAGGGTACTTGACATTCTCGTCAGGCCAATGGGTGAAATCTTAGATCTTAACTCCCGCTATTCCGGTGTACGCCCGGAGCATTATGCCAATGCTCTGCCTTATCGGGCTGGCCAGAGCTTTGTGCAAACTAACGATGGGCTTGATGGCCTTGTGCTGCCAATTGTCGAATCGCCAGCTGCTGCTCGTAGTCTATTATTTAGCCACCTACAGCCCGAGACACCGGTAATAGGCCACGCCATCGATAATGATCTAAATGCTTGTCGAATCATACACCCAACCATTGTCGACACGGTACTACTCTATCCACACCCAGGGGGTCTGCCGTTTCGTCATGGACTACGTGCATTGGCGAAAAAATATTTGGATAGGCATATCCAAACGGGTGGAGGGAACCTTGGCCACGACTCGATGGAAGATGCTAAAGCTACAGGTGACCTGGTGAGAGTGAAAGTGCGAGAGACCTGGGTGAGACTCAAGTCACTCGGCTGGAAAATTAGAGATGGAGCATTAGTCAAGCCTGAACAAGGCAAACCCTCTAGTAAACCTGCTACAGTGGGGGTGGCAGCACCAGAAATTGGTGCAGGAGCGAAAAGAACGGCCCCAGATGACGCGACAGAGCGTTGAAGTGGCTCATATCCAACGGATGAAAAAAAAAGTTAGATAAGGTATCTAAACCTTAGAACAGGCTTTTTATCGGCTTCGATTAATTCAATAGAAGTATTTTTCACAGGTATTTTTTACGGTGCAAAGCCCAAAGATCTAGCGCTGGTAGCAGATCGGCCGTAGTACTCCGTACATGATCTCACATTGACATTGCACATAAATTGCCAGGCTTCAAGGCCAGCCGAAATCATCTGAATTCAACACCATTTTACCCTATCTTAGGCCCTTCTGAAATATCGACTGTCTAGGCACTTAATCTTCATCCTCCTCGGCTTCGTCGTTAACGATGTTGTAGAAGCGAAGCTCATAAACTCCTTTGGCAGCAGAGACAACACGAAGCCAGTCACGGAGCTGCTGTTTCTTCAGAAACTTCTTGGTCCTGTAAACGAGTAGTTCAATCAGTTTCCGATAGTTGATACTCTAATTAGTAAGTGGACGTACAAGTACTTCAAGTAGCGGCCCGAGAAGGGGATGTGAGTAACGACTTCAACCTTTCCATCACCAGTGCGGGAGATCTGGATGGAGTCGCCCAAATTGCCTACGCGGCCCTCGACCTTGATCCTGTCGTGAAGGAACTTTTCGAATGCGGCGACATCGAAAATCTTGTCGTTGGCTGGCTGGGAGCAGTTGATCACGTACTACATTGGAATGTCAGCGGTGTCCAGGAATATTCAAATAGATGATGGAACCAAGGCACCAGACGTACCTTCTTCGTGACCTTTTGCTGCTTGCGGGCCTAGAAATTGCAGATAAGAATCCCAGTGGTTAGCCTACTGCTCCTCGATGTCAAGACAAAGTGCCCCGAAGGTCCATTTCTCCCCACGAATATATCGCAGATAGAATGAGGAGTTCAGGGCGGAACAGCAAAGCGGTTTTCGGTGAAGAGACATACAGATGCAGGAGCCATTGTGACAGGGAGTAATTGATGGTCTGTGAGACTTGATAATCCGCAAAGAAGTGAATATCCTGCGGTGATTTCAGAGGCAGATGGATGATCGAAATGGTCTTGCGCGCACAATTTTCGGTGGTTAGGGCTTGGCACAGAAGCTTTTAGGGCTTAGGGCTCCCGGAAATATATTCATCCGATACGGATTAATTACTCCGCACGCCGTACAACTCTTCCAATCAACCAATTGAAGGCGATCTCCTAATCGGGCCTGGAATGTTCATCCTACTCTCATATTATCACGCAGTTGCAGAAAAAGACATTTGGCATCAAGTGATATAGGAGTTGCCCAGGTGCCGGGCTAAGCTAACTCTTGATTGTGCCTGCACGTTCACCTTTAGCACACAAGAGTTTCAAGCAGGATTTTCGCAAGCAGCGAGGTGCGAAACGATATAGAGGGAAGCTATCTCTCTTCGGCCCTGACTTAGTTATGTGAGAGCAAGTCGGGGGCCATAGTATGTATGGGCTTACATCCTAGGTCAATTCCCTATCCCCTCTGATCTGGGCAAGTAAGATATTCAGTACCCAACTGTATGAGCCATAAGGTGATCCCTCATGCCCCGGCCGCCAACATACTTTCAAAAAAGGATGTCGGCTGTGGACTCAGCCGTATCCCCGCCGCTTATTTTTACATCTGCCTCGGATGGAAGCCGAGTGATTGTCCCACTTGCGCTAACATTGCAACCCTTGCACAGGTGGGTATGGAGCACTTCGTATACGGATTCGTTCATACCGAACTAATATGCATACGCAGTACTCCGTACTTAGATAACTACTCAAGGGCTATTTCCACTTCTAAATTCTGCACCCATGCCCCTTTTCTGCATAGCCTTAATAATGGCAATGCAACGCCAGAGCCCCTCACTTTCCACGCTTTCTCATTATTCTTGGATATGGCCCCAAAGTACGTAGTAGAAGTTGAAGCTACTACTCTGTATTTCGTATGGGTTATAAGTAGTGGTTTGATAGGCCTGTTGGATACTCCATACGCGTCTACTGGACATTTGTATTATGTATATGGCTTTATAGGTAGCTACTTCATCAGAGTAGACCTCAATAATCCGTAGCTACTCCGTACTTTGCATACACACTCTGTACAAAACTAGCGAACTAGCTAGGGGCGTGGGGGGGATGACTAGGCTGCGTCATCGCAGCAATCCCGAGGCATCATCCAGCGCGATCCAGGGACATCTCCGTAATCACATTTTTATCTCGATCGTTGAGCACTGAATTAAACCTTATTAGCTCTTTTAAAACTCGCCAGATTTTATGCTGTACGTCGTTCTTCTCACATCTACCTCTCCAAACCTACGCTTGGTGATCTGGAATAGATATTGCCTTGCAGTTCGTTACACTCACTAACCACCGATTACAAGAAATCTGGCTCTTCGAACAGTCACTTGTACCACTGCTATATTCCCAAGTGCCCTTCGCAGGTTTAGTATTGTCAATATGTCGTCCGCTACCTCATTTTTCGAGTTCGAAACCATTGATAGTGCGGTTTACCCCTCCCCTTTTGCGACATTATGGAAGTACGCATTTGCTAACCCATACACCCAACAACAGAGAAAGGAGAGCCTTTTCCCCTGTCGTCTCTGAAGGGTAAGGTGGTTCTTGTTGTCAATACTGCCTCCAAGTGCGGTTTCACGCCGCAATTCCAAAATTTAGAGACCCTCTACAAGAAAATCTCCTCCTCGCACCCGGACGCATTCACTATCCTTGGTTTCCCCTGCAATCAATTTGGGTCTCAAGACCCGGGTACCAATGACGAGATCCAATCCTTTTGCCTTACCAACTATGGCGTGTCATTTCCTGTCCTGGGCAAAATTGATGTCAATGGTGACAAGGCTGCCCCCGTATATGACTGGATGAAGAAAGAAATGCCAGGACTTCTGGGCTTGAAGCGAGTGAAATGGAACTTTGAGAAATTTTTGATCAGCGCGGATGGAAAGGTCGTTGGGAGATGGGCTAGTACGACAAAGCCTGAGACATTGGAAGCCGCCATTTTACAGGAAATCGAGAAAGCGGGGAAGACAGCAAAGACATCGCTGTAGCCAGGAGGAATGTATTTCATTGTCAGAGGTGATGGGAGACACCACAACCTAACCATCTTTCGTTAAGTCTTTAATAATATACCCTACTTTTTCGCGTCTTTTATGATCATAAGATACTACAAGTATTATCCCTCGATGCCGTGAGCAGAAATTCCAGCTTCATTTAAGAAGAGCAACCCTACCACACTCCAAAATAGGACCCGGGGCAAGGCAACAATGTAGGAGGTGTGGTCAACTTATAAAAGACTAGACTGCATCCACATTTTTTGGTATCAAGTTTCGAAGGGATAAATCGTAAACAACGTCTTCTACTTTCTTGACCTGGAGGTCGGAAGTAAAGCGTAAGCTGTAATGTAGATGCAACGAAGGAGGGTAAAACTAGACAAATCAAAGCTCTTTGAAAACATACACTGTATTTAATTCCGTCACTTCTCTTGCGAAGGATGTCGTTCTTGAGGTTTAGGAGCTGAAATCCCGAGTGGATTTCCGATATAAAAGAGCTGATTCGTAAAGGACGAGCATAGTCACCTAGTGTGACTGAATTCACGGCTAGACGAGTCTGTAATATATTAAATAAGCTAGGCATCGGCAGATAACAACACCAACTTACTAGTTCCTCGACAAGGCTGATTAAAGCGAGCAAATACTCCTCGATAGTGAGATGAAACGCGTCTTCATCCTTTAAATTCACAGGTACTGGATAAAAAACTCAGCAAGAGTTTCCTTTGATGCACAAGTGGGGAACAGACTGTTTAGGTATTTACCAACTTCCTCGATTGTCAAAAACCCAGGCTTGTCGCTAATACCCTCCAGGCCACCTAACCAAGAGCATAGCTCGATGGAGAAGACCTAATATCACCATCATTTATTGAGTGAGAAGCGACGTGTGCCCCAACATGGTGGAACTAACCAAATTTTGCAATTCACGGCTCCAGATATGATTGAATTTATAGAACGGGTGAGTTGTTGCAACAGAGACTAATCTCGCCACATCTTCTTTCTGCGCTTCGATTTCTTTTCGAGCATCATCCAAGATAGGAGTCACTATTGTAGATAAGTACAGATTCGGGTCAATCTATATATAGTTTTGGAGAAAAGTAGCACACACATTTGCCCTCTGGGGTATAATGCGCTCGCGACAAGACAGCTTGAGTATTCCGGCCTGAGGAGAAAAGATTAGAACATATTGCAATGCTACTTAGTAGACTATAAACGTACCACGTCGGGCAAGACTTTGGACAATGTCATGAAGTTGCTATGTTCCACACATGAGTATGGCACAGAAGGCGATGTGGTAAGATGAATGTTTTTCCCTCACATCGCGAATTTCGCTCTCTTCATCAATCTTCGATTGAAGATTTTGAAAAATAGATTGGTCAATCATATTGCAACTTGAAACCGAGGATAGAGGGTTGACGGGCGTTGAGCAGTTGAGGTTGGCGCTCAAAGATAACTAAGCAGGCAGAAATAGCCTCGCAAACAACATTTGAAAGCTGCTTAACTACAGTAGTTACCCATATAAAACGATCAGAATAATTATCACTACGGACTACAACATGCAGTAATAGGATTGATGGATACTCTTTGGTAGCTAACCATTAATCAACCAATGCATATACTCCGTACATAAATTACAAGATTGTAAATGCCATGCTTCCATTGGTGCTATGCTCCATAGTCTGTATTCCCTTCCCCAAACAGCTGTGCAAGCCAGCAGATTGATGAAAAAGACGATGATCGCGTCTATTGGCGGCAGTGGAAGGCCAATGACACAGCGCAGGACAACATGCGCAAGCACAGCGGTTGTCCCGCGGGATCCAAAAATAAGATTAATCAATGGTGCATTCCTTAGAATACTTTCAGAGATTAAACTGAAAAGAACAGATACTACACTTGATCTAAGCCATGATGGCAAAGAGAGCTGGAGAAGAGAAGGAGAAAAAGGGCCGTAGTGTGCGAGGACAGCGAGATATTTATACGGTTGGCAACCAGCGCTAGCGGCTGGCGAGCGAGGAGCCGGGGCACGTTATTGGCCCAGGCCCCAAGCCACTCACGGCAGCCGTAAGTTTGCGCTAGCGGCACAAAACCGGGCGGCGAGCTAGCTGACAACGTTTAGCCGACGCTAAGCCGGGTTACATAAGCCCAACCCAGACCGTTCGATCATGCAACTTCCCTGCTGCCCACCACACGGCCAGCCTTCGAAACGCAAGACATCACGCGGGGGTACGTGGGCTCTTCGCGGGGAGCTGGCTTGAAATATGGAGACGGGGCGACGACGGCTCTTGTTCGACATCGGCGTGCCGGCGTGACTGGGTTGTCTGGGCTGCGGGAGGCTGGACCCTGGAAGCTGGCGCCTTAGCCCTGTAACTAATCATGTGGACCTGGCTACTCTCCACTTGTCTGATTGTGATCTCAGGGCAGCTTGGCGCGTCTTGCTGATCGCTGACGATGAAAACCGTTGGATGATTACGTGCCTCGCCGGGACATCCATATGCAGCTAGCCGGGGAGGGGGGAGTGGGGTCCAGGGTGACAAGTCATGACTTTTGTGATGAATTTCGCGCCGTGAATCTTGCGGACTGAACAGACATCTACGGACTCGAAATTCAGCCGTCAACCGAGCCACCATTCCACCCAAGAAATGGGCAGCAATAAACGCGAAAGTGGCCATGTCCCTCAACAGAGAAGTCCGCCAACAAAACGGGCCTTTGAAATTGCAGGTAGCCCGGTGTGTGTCTCGCAGGTCTCCGATGAGATCGGGATATGGATGAACAGTATCATGAAGGATGCAACTGCAATGTGCCATTCTGATGGACTGTCGCCGCAGCATCGTGAGACCCTTGGCGTGATATGCAGCAATATGAGCAGGATACAGCGAGCGAAGAACGATCTGATGGACTGTCTGCTCGTGGAAGCAAACGAGCTGACCTTGCAGCCGGCATCTTATGCGTTCCGAGGCTATATGATTCCTATGTTTAATGAACTTGCGTCCGTCGCCGCTGCCAAAGGTATTACAATTGCCTTCGAGATCGACAGTTGTGTTCCAGAATATCTGATCTACGAAGCCCCGCGGCTCCATCAAGTCTTATTTAATGTGACCGCTAATGCTATCGCCCGCACAGCTAAGGGAGAGGCCAAGGTTACAGTGAAGAAGCCGTCTCAGGAAAGCTCCCATGGACCTATCGAACTCGAATTTTCTATCTCAAATTCAAATTTACTGGAAGAAAAACAATCTGGCCCAACGCCGTTTCAATCGTACCGAAAAATCAACAATTCGTCTTTGGAGAGATGGACTGATGCAACTGGAACCACACAAGCGATAACAAGACAGTTGATCCGATTGATGGGGGGAAGAACGTGGACTTCTTGTGAGGCGGCGCATTCGTCTATGATTCACTTTACTATCACGGCTGCTACGCCGTCTCTGACACCTATGATCTCAAATATCTCGAAATTCAAAGAAAGCCGGATTTTGATCGTGGATGATGAAGATGATAGTGATGATGAAACCCTTAAGGATATGCTCGGCGATTTCCCTCTCGATACTCTTGTCCTAAAACTAGAAGACCTCCTCTCTACCCAGGCCAATCCCTACCCACATAAACTTCAGCCCAATGCTCCCTTTGAGGCAATCATTGTCAATTCCGTCAAGTTGCTACGCAAATTAGGAACGATAACCTTGCCCAATTCGGCTCCGTTAATTCTCCTGGACTCGAGAGAAACTCTTGATTTGACGTCCGTGTTTGGCCTGGAGGAATCCTCATATTACATCTCGTCTCGTACCAAGACCGACCTCGCATATTCTATCCATAAGGCCTTCGATTCAGTGCCGTTGCCAGTCAACTGTCGCGTCCTTGCCGCCGAACCAGACCGGATGAATAGACTACTTCTTTCCAGGATGCTGGATAGCTTTTACACTGGAGACTGCACCGTCTGCGAAGACGGCAGGCAAGCTTTTGAGTACGTTACTAGGCAAAAGTATGACATTATTTTAATGAAATTCGCGGGCCCTGGTACGCATGGCGAAGAGGCTGCTGTTAATATACGTGCATACGAAAGGAAAAAGAGAATGCCTCATACTCCACTTATTGCTTTGGCGCCCCGTTCCTTCATTGCTAGTGGTTTGGCAATACCGGAAATTTTCGATGGCTATGTTGAAACCCCGATTTGGAAAAGAGATCTAAGTCGAACAATGATTAGTTGGATACGAAAGTCTAGATTATGTGAAAACTATGAAAACGAATAAGAAAAATTTTGCTTCCTGTATCATTATTCATTTGCTAATGAGCAAGATGTATGGCTTTATGGAGAGTAATGCCAGCCCGCGTATTTTTTGTTGATAGCTGGCTAGTCTCTAGGTGCCACCATATGGACCCGAAGAGAAGTAAACATGCCAAAACCTTGCCGCCTTATCGTGAAATGCCATGACCAAATGATTTAAACTCCAAAATACTCCTAGTAAAAACGTTGTATGGGTATTTATTTTCCTAATTTTGTTGTCAAAACATCAACATCTAGTCTCTCCATCACCTCTATCACAACCCCTAAGCTATCCATAAAAGCATTAACGGCGACTCTTAGCATTCGATTCGTCGTAGCTTTGTAGTCTATTTGTAGCACGGTGAGGGCCTCGTCTCTAGCGGTCATATCGGCATCGGCGGCTAGGCTGTCTATAGAATCATGGGCTATCGATGAAGAAGCTGTTTCGACACCAGGGGGTGGCGATGAAGACGGTGTTGTGAGGCGAAGGGTTCGACGTACGAGCGCGGACAGCTCGGCATCTACCTGAAGAGCCTGGAGAGCGGAAGAAGCGAGGCGGTGTGTAGGGAAAGGGATTGATAAGGTTCTAGCCAGTTTCTTGTCAGCTAGAAAAGCCTATGCGCCTTCGGTTAGAAAATAGACTTACAAGGAGTATGGAAACTCGGGGTCTATCGTAGACATCACTGGGAGTGTTTTCCAGAGGGGATCGGAGTTGTTAGTAAGTTTGAAAGAGGCGATGAAATATTAAAAAGGTCTAGAGCAAAGCAGGCACTCAAGATAGCTATCTCCTTGTTATGAGTATATGCTGCCAACCCCTACTAATGAGCTGCGGTGCTCCGCGGGCATATTATTCCAGCATTGCGTGCCGTTCCGGCCCAATTAACTTCAAGTCACGCGTGGCGGGGCGGGAAGTCTAAACGGAGCGGGCTTTCGTAGCGCCGAAAGTTACCGTTGTCGGCTCTGGTGGACCAAGCTCTGGTCCTCGTCTGATATGGCATAAACGGAGTAGTATGGGAATGGAGCTTGCGCCGGAGTCACAGCAACCTAGTGAGAGGGGGCAAGGATTGATTTTCGAAATACGGTGCAATTCAAAACACGGGCTCAGAGGATCATGGGTACCCTAAGTTAAATGAGACTACGGATGAATGCGGATGTGGCATCAGTTGCCATTGTTAAACGGCTCTTTATAGGCTGCTAGCAGCTGAATGTGACGCCTGGTTTCCTCGTTGGCGATGTTTGTTTTGTGTTTTGTTGTGTTGATATCAGCTCAATAGTGTTGCTGTTTTGGTCCAAACAAAACCGGCGTTGCGTACGGCAGCCTGGTAATTTACGGTGCGACGACCGTTGTCTCGCCAAGCTCGAGGGAAGTTATACCTAACGGGGCGTAGCGTACCGTAATTCGAATTACGGGCGGCTCCTGGCCAATCACACAACAAACACCTTTCTTGTTTGGGGCAGCAGTTGTCCCGTCAACTAGTCGTGCTAACCCGATGTGGCTGCCTCACAACATAACAACCGACAGGGATACCAGACCAAATGTTATGATTCTTCAAGTCCGCAGTTCCATCCTTCACCTCATCTTTCTTCTCAGCAACGCATTCATATATTACTGCTAGCCGTGTTGCCTTCTCTTTTACCGGTCATATTGTTTCTTAGACTGTTATACTTCTCGCTTACCTTTGCTTTCAAAAGGCCATGCGCTCGTGACGACCAAGACTACTATCCTTCATCAAGGCCACTGTTCTCCTGATAACCATTTAATATCAAGAGAGTACCCGGTCCTATTGAGCTTGCAATATTTTTTTATTATCAATCCGTATTGACCTGCCCCGACAAAATGCCACCGCAAGCGATTCCTTTTGGCCAAGTGATCGAGTATATTGAGGGTGCGCCGTTGCGATTCCCTATGCCATATTTGGTGATGCTAAGTTTTTGCCTGCTTAGATCGGCTATACCTAGCATCTTATCATACGCCGCCAAACGAGAATTCTCCATTGCCATTCCAATCTGCGCAACGCAAATCTCAAAGTAAAAAGCGCGGGGCAGCTGCTCCAAAGCCCGTTCAGCCTGTTTATTTCACAGTGGATGACGTGGTTCTCTACAACGCGTTTCATGCAGACTTTGGGCCATTGCATATCGGCCATCTCTATAGATTTGCAGTTCATTTTCATGAGGTGCTCGGAAACCCCGAGAACAAAGACCGACCAGTGGTTCTTTGGACCAAAACAGACTCGAAAAGCCGCGCAAATGTTGCTTGTTTGGTGGCTTGTTACATGGTGTTAATTCAATCTTGGCCACCCCATCTCGCTCTTGCTCCAATCGCGCAAGCTGATCCTCCGTACATGCCTTTTCGTGATGCAGGGTATAGTCAGGCGGACTTCGTCTTGACAATCCAGGATATTGTGTACGGTGTTTGGAAAGCTAAAGAAGAGGCACTATGCGGACTGAAAGAATTCAGTCTCGAAGAGTAAGCGCTGTATTACAACGTTTTTAATGCCTTGTCTAACGCTGCTACCATAGGTATGAGAAGTTCGAGCGAGTGGACATGGGCGACTTTAACTGGATAACCCCTCAATTCCTCGCTTTTGCGTCGCCTCAATATAAGCCTCTAGCTTCGATCCCTCAAGATTCCCCGGAATTCGCTACCCTTCCGTCCAGTATTTCAGAAGTTTACGCCTCACGACTCCCTGTTCCGTTTAGGAATGTCTTGACCCATTTTGCATCTCGGAATATCGGCTTGGTGGTGCGCCTGAACTCAGAACTCTACAGCTCATCATATTTCACAGCCCTGGGTATCCATCATATTGATATGATTTTCGAAGACGGAACTTGTCCTCCTCTTCCACTTGTGCGACGGTTCATTAAGCTTGCGCATGACATGATAGCAAAAAATAAAGGTATAGCAGTGCACTGCAAAGCGGGCCTGGGTCGTACAGGCTGTCTCATTGGGGCATACCTTATCTACCGTTATGGTTTCACCGCCAACGAAATCATTGCTTTCATGCGCTTCATGCGCCCAGGAATGGTTGTCGGGCCTCAACAACATTGGCTTCACTTGAATCAAGGCACATTTCGCGAATGGTGGTTTGAAGATACAATCAAGGAGAAGTTAATGATGTCCGCGCCAACAACGCCAGGAAAAGCTACTTCGAAACATCGCTTGAATACCACCAGCCAAACCGCCACACCTCCCAATCCTAATCAGTCGAAGAGACTTGCGTTGGGTGAGATTGATAACAATGAGGCTTCGCCATGCTATGCAGACGAAAATCTTCCCGCTCCTACGCCAGGACAGCCACGTAAATCCCACCGCAAAGATTCCAGGCATCATCCATATGCTCGCGCCGTGTCGGGAAATCTTGGTGTTGAGGGTGACATGGGTACTCAGTCCATGCGTACAAAGCTAAAGAATGCTTCACGTCGATCACAGACTAACGGCGAAAATGGGGATGACCGGCGGCCCATGGCCAGTGCTGCATCCCCGAAAACGCCAGGCCGCTCCCCAAGTCATCAGTCCGTCTCCTCCTCAGCAGCCGGCACGTCAAATATTCATGAAGATGTGGAGAACTGGGTTGAAGGCATCGCGAATGGCAAAACCCCAGTGAACACTAAAAGTGGAAGCGGGGTGCTGGGGGTTAGTAAAGTGCGCAGCAGTCCACGCAGATTAGGTGAAAGAACTGATGCCAAAATCCGAAAGGCAAGCGGAAGAATTGGAAGCGCAGGAACCACAACGAGAGTCAAGACGACTTAGCTCTCCCACCTGACATGACAGGTGTACGAAGATTCCGTTGACGGCTGCTGATGACGTCTGTATCGATGCATTATTGGGGTTTATGGCGTTGAGGATAGGAAATGGACTTTACGAGTGGGTCTTGGAGTTGTTCTCGGAGGCTAGTTGTCGAAGAGTGCTAGGTTCTTAGGCCAGGGGTTGAATCATACCAGCATTTTCATGTTCAGATTACATATGTATGAGCGTTCCGTACCGAGCCTCATTTCCGAATTTTTACCAACTCTACGGAAAATAGCTTGATCTAATTGAATCGTGTATGTATGAGAAATGCATTTAAAATGAGGTTCTGCTTCTTGGTGTGATTTGAGCCAGTTCTCTGTGGTCCATTATCAAACTATGAAAAGAATTACAGGCTGCCTGGCAATTACTACAGTATCAAAGTTTCCCAATTTCTCTCATCGCAATCTGCCAGTACCGGAGCCGTTCTTCACTAATAGTAGTCTGCACACAGCTCGTGATATACTTTTCCCATCCCGCTTGTGTGCCCTCCTTTAATCCCCTACGCACATCGGCGTTGCATTGTGTCGAGGCATACCATGCTGCGGAGCCAAAGTCATATTCATCCTTGCTGAGCAGTAGGTCGAGGATTTTCTCTTTATTGCATTTTAATTTTTGGGCTGAATCTTTGAGCTCTTCGATACTACTTGCATAGCGTTCGTTCCATTCCGGCATCTGCATGTTTCGTGCTAAGAGAAAAATATTAGAATAACATATTAATTAACTAGGGTATATAGGGGATTTATATTCAACATACTGCCTTGTCCGGGTCGGCCTGGGTAGACATTCTTTTGATACTTGAATTCGCCGCTCTCTAAAGCCATCAGGCTGATTAGGGCGGCAGTCTCGTTCTTCTCGGTGATTGCGTAGCGTTCAAGTGAGCGTAGAATAGGACCAGCGGCCTGCTTGGCGGTACGACATTGGCCCTTGGCTTTATCATCATCGACACAGGGCTCTTTTGCGGAGTTAGGGCAGATGACTTTCAACGCCTCAATGAATTTGGCTTCGTCAATCTTGCCAGATTTCAGGCTGATAGATTTCTGACCTTGGAGAGCATCACACCCATTATGAGGTTCAGATATTGTCAATGTGGTAAGAAGTAATATGAGGAGTGATGGGTAGAGGCCTTTCATTGCGAAGGTACGTACGAAATCTAATTTTTCTTGCTTGCGGGTATATAATCTGAGAGCCTGAGTCGGTGTCAAGGAGGAAGAGCTTGCTCATAGAATCTCAGAAAGATATAATTATATAGGGCTTTGCGGTATGTGTAGTGTGTGAAGCCGCAGGAAATGCATGCTCCAATACACAATATATGGGTATCCCCTTCTATACAAACATAAAGAGAGCAAAATGAATAAAGCATTGACATTACACACAGTGATAGCATATAGAGAGGTTCAACGCACAGTGTAAAAGTCTATCACTCCCAAAAATTAGACGGTTTGTGATCTATGTATGTTGTCCGGGAGGTACCTACGGAGTAGGTTTCTTGCTATTCTTAGGAGTTAATTAACTATCTTCAAGTTAATTAACTAACTAGGCAATAAGAGGATTTGTACCAAGTTAGCTAACCAGTTTTTAAGCCCTTCAAAACCCTAGGCCTTCTATGCTCGCTACCACTAGTTAACTGCTCTATGGATTCACACCTTTTTTTTAAATTGTTTTGTTCAAGTGGTAACTAACTGCATTATAGTGTCTAGTTTATGAAGTACAGCTGGATACATCCTCTTGGTCTTTATGTGCCAACCAACATATCACAGACAAACAAATGGAGCCAGATCCGGAGAATTGATTTTCACGCATGGAAATGGATTATTTTCAGTGCTTGTTTTTCACTTTAAAATGTTCAAACTTTCTACGGTGACCGTATTGTTTGTTCCCGAGGCATACTCTGCGAACCTTTTGTGACAGTTGCACCATCACCTTGGGGTTGATAAATATGTTTGAGTGACTCCCTGATAGTGCTCTAGGAGCGGAGATATCCAGCGTCTCCATGCTGTAATGTCTATATATTCCACTAGCGCTTTGACTTCGCAAAAAAAAAGCCCAGCACTTCTAGGATATCATACCAAAGATACTGATTTCTTTTCAGCATATTTAGATTGCACTTTGTGCTTTCCTGTTTGCAGGAAACGTGCTGTTAAACAAGGAACATGGTTGCCGCTTTTGATATCCTTCCCCCAGAATTGGTCTTGATGATCATCGAAGAATTCGAAGAGAGTCAGGAGATACTCTCTTTCATGATGTGCTGCCGTCGCTTGCATGCCATCGCTGAGCGGTTTCTTTACAAAACTATCAAGCTCCAAGAAATTGTCTCAAGGGCTGGTATGCTGTCCCTGCTACAGACGATCCTGCAGCGGCCCATTCTAGCTACCTACACAAAGACGTTAGAGCTGACACTTTGGGAATATCCAAATGCATTATCAAACATGCTGCACTCACCAAGGCGGGTTACATCCCGCCCAATCCTCAATTCTCAATATAAATTGGTGGAGCAGAAGGTCAAATTCGTTAGCAAATCTAGGGAAGATGAATGGAAGTGGCTTGATGATATAAGCCTCGGCCAAGTTGATGCCTTTTTGGGTTTGATTCTTATTTCAATGCCTAATCTAGAGAGGTTATATATAACTCACTATCCGCAAAAGTCAAGTTATTTCTTTGAAATGATTCGTCGGGTAGCTGATCGCGAACCCCCCTTCGATGTCTCCCCTACCTTAACACGACTATCCTACGTTCATTTCTCGCCATTTTCTATGGGTCGTGTCAGAATTGGATTCTTGTCACGTTTTCTCCAGCTTCCGGCTATAGAGGCGCTCACCACTTTGGGTATAGATGAAGAGGTCTCTGATATATCTGTACGTGTGAGTTCTCATATTAAGAATTTTGAAATTATAAATAGCAGCTGTACTCAAAGCATTGGCCCATTGCTTGAAGGCTGCAAGAAGCTGAAATCCTTTAAATATACGCACGGGAACTATTTTCATTCACGACCTGTCCATATCAACCTCTGGGAATCACTTCGAGCCACAAGACATACCTTAGAAAGTTTGTGGTTGGACTGGGACGCATTGTCAGATACACCGGAGCATCTTTGGCCTCTATTTCCAATGTCATTTGACCACTTTCCTATGCTCAAGATACTTACTCTGCCAGCACCCCAGATTTTTGGCCGGCGACAAACTTACTTGCACCCGCTCACTGCTATCCTGCCGAAAACACTGGAAACTTTGTGTATCATGAAAATTCGTATTGACGCTATAGAAAGCATTATACCAGAGCTATTGCACATTGTGACATCGTCTGCCACCATAGTACCATGCTTGAAAAGAATCAAATTGAGCGGCATAGTTGGTCCAGCGTACGAGTCCCGTGCCTATTGGGCTGAAATGAGGGTCAAAGATATCTTCTTTCCGAAAATGATACGTCAATTAGAGGTCATGAAGGGCCCTTGTCAAGAAGCAGGAGTAATACTCGAATTTTCGATGCCGGAGTGGAAAAGTGCAGCTCGGTTGGTATAAATGGATTTCTATTGTATAAGTGTTTTTGTTTTGTATGTTCAATCACGCAAATTTTAGTCCCATTAAATATTTGTTGGTTAGTTAACTGGTTAGTTAGTTTACTATTGATTGCCTGGAAATATTGGTGATGCGAAGTCTGGAACTTTGACCAAATGACTAGTGGGCTGGGCTCTAAATAGGGGTCGGAGTACGGAATAACTAACTAACCGTAATCCGAACCTCCGATTGGCCTCGGCACCGGCCCAACGGCTCGGGGCAAGCACAATGTTGATGTGATCCTTTGCTATTCTGCGTGATCGATGCTGTCTGACATGGCATATAGGGATGATTTTCACACGTGGAAGGCGTTTGTGTGCACCGTGGGCTGTTCTCCGTACTACTATAACTGATGTGATGGGCCAATAAATAGAGACACAAAACATTGCACAAATGTGCCCAATATATCAACCGAAACGGCGTGTGGGGAAGGATAAAATGCCTATCGGCAAACATTATATAACCCTCAAGAAATCCCCAATTATAATTCCATGCGATATCCAATATACATGCTAACAACCATGACTGAGATACCCCGGGCAATGAAAGCTGTTCGATTCCATGATAGAGGTGATCTCCGCCTACAGTCCATTACGCCTCTTCCTTGCGGGCCGGACGAAGTTCGCATCAAGGTAGCATATTGTGGTATTTGTGGTTCTGATCTTCACGAGTACATCGCCGGTCCCTTGTTTGTACCAAAGCACGGCCAAAAACACCCTTACAATGGTAGCAAGTTACCTGTGACCTTAGGCCACGAGATTTCTGGCGTTATCACAGAAGTCGGAGACGGGGTTGCTCCCAATCATCTCAAAGCTGGCCAAAGGGTTTTCGTTAACCCGTGCATTAGAGACAGGCAGCTTGGAGTACCACCCTGCTTGATGTGCCAGGAAGGGAAAGAGAACTTATGTCCCCGCTTGGGGTTTTACGGATTATCTGGCCCTGGAGGCGGCTTGGCTGAATTTTTGGTTGTCAAGGCAATAAATGTATTCCCTCTTCCGAACTCAGTTTCCTTGAAAGTCGCCGCTCTGGTGGAACCGCTGGCCGTAGCCTGGCATTGTGTGAGGGTATCCGGCATTCAAAGTGGACAAGATGCAGTCGTGCTGGGCGCTGGTCCTATTGGCCTTGCGATACTCATGATTCTGAAAGTGTGGGGTGCGAGGAAGGTCGTCGTTAGCGAGGTGCTGCCGGCCAGAGCTGCACTGGCCCGCAAGTTCGGCGCTGACTGTGTCGTCAATCCTCTCGAGAAGGGTGGGGATGAAGATCCGGTTGTAGCCAAAGCGAGAGAATTTTCAGGCGGTCACTTAGGTGGCGGAGCTCATGTCTCTTTCGACGCCAGCGGAATCCAAGAAACGTTAGAAACATCCATTGCCTGCGTTAGACAGGGCGGTACCGTCCTCAACCTAGCCATTCACGAAAAGCCGCTGAAGCTCAATTTTAACGTGTTGACTTTAAGCGAGAAAAAACTTATGGGAGGCTTGTGCTATACGAACGAAGACATTGAAGGTGTCATCAATGCGCTCGCAAACGGATCTTTAGTTGCTGATGAGTTGATCACATCAGTGGTGACGTTGGAGGACGCTATCCAAGGGGCGTTCGAAGAGTTGATTCACCGAAGGGAAAATCATGTTAAAATTTTGGTCCAACCAAATTCAGTGGAAGACATTGCATAGTTTGATTCTGTCTCTTCCAGACTAAGAAGAGCTTAGGATACTTCTGATGTTTTGCGTGGGCGAGAGTTACCCCTGATGTATATTTTACTATATGAAACTCTTATGACTTTACCGAAAAACTCCAACTCAAAACGTCGAAACACCCAAAGACCCGCTAAGAAGAATTCTTGCGTAAACCGTCTATTCCCAACACTCGAGAAACCTCTTGCAAGGCGCTGTTCTAATGAAACGAAAGACGACGTAGTCAATTCAAGCCCAAACCATGCTAAGCCAATTTTGGAACCTCTGTGGTCTCGTATTGATAAGTGTATTTAAGTTGCATGTACCAAAGTCATAACATCCATTTAAAGTGGCCATAAGGTGGCAAAGGCGCCATTGCTCCCGGACATCATTCGAAGCTTTTGCTCGCACTAGTTGTTCGTCAAGCATATCGTCAGAGAGGAAAGACATTTGAACTGGGCGACCTGTAAGAATCAAACATGTCAGGAACTGAGACCAAGAGAGATGACATGAGATAGAGAATATTGTAGGTTCGCCTTACTAAATACAGTTTCAACAATACCCACCAAGTTCGTTAAATATGTTCTTTCGCCATACATAGTGAACTCCGTAGGCCACCGCGGCAAGTCGAGGGCAGCAACCACAGCTCGAGCAACATCCTGAGCAGATGTCATGCAAACTACAGAATTCCTACCGTCACTTAGATATGGAATATCTGCCTTCATTGAACGAACATTTATAAGGTATTCACCTTCTTGGTCGATATATGATCCCCGACCAAGCTGAAAAGCAGCCATGCCACCAGGGGCAAAACGCTCATAAAATATACCACAGGTAAAGACAGTATACTCCATTCCGGACTGTTGGAGAAGGGAAAGACTGGTGGCGTTTCCACGATCTGGAAGTTTGGATTCTGGGCGCCTCGAGGGGGAACCTTCAAACTCGGATGGAATAAAACGTCGAACTTTAACTTGAGCAGCAGCGGCAATGAGAGCATGCTCAGCCTGTCCAGATACAGTGGAAATGACCACATCAACTCCCTTGAGTGCATAGCAAATTTTGGAATATTCGCGATAATCCACCTGAAGCACCTGCCATCCCTTGGAAGCTAGAGCAGGTTTGGGCTATCCTAGATCAGTATTAAACCGAGTTTCAAGTTGGAAAGAGTCATACAGCTCTGGATAATACAATAAACTGGTGGCAAGTCTTTGTAGAGATGCAGTGTGCAATGAACTGGGCAAGGCCGCTAGATCCAGCGATTGCTATATTCACCATGGTGATGTTGCAAATATTGACAGATTTAGAGAAAAGAGGGTATAAGGAAAGTTTGTTGAAGAAATAAAGGTTTTATTCGAGCTAGGTGCCCAATTTCTACAATGCTCGCGAGAAACCACCTGTTTATATAGTTACATATATAGCTCAACAGGAAATTCGCTCCGGGATGGCAGCCGGCCTGTAGACAACACTATGACGTGTAACGGCCGTATTTCCCAACAGATGGCGATGAGGGCATAGCAACACCTGCAAACGTCCTGGAAGGAGGCCGGCATTATGAGGTGGTGGCTGCCTAGGACAGAATAGATAATGTCCGACATTTGTGTTGGCTTAGCAATGGCATGTATATACGTATGTATGTACATACACACGTTCCTCACACCAAAAAAGTGCGATTGTCCGAGAATGTTCATGAAAGGCAGTGTTTAGAAGAAAAAAAGACCCAAAAAAAGCTATTCAACCAGCACGAAAAGCTCCAGACAGATACTGGGGCTCCACCGTCAGATATCCCTGATGTTGGTTCAGGGCAGAAGACACGACTCTGGAGACAGGTCCAACGATATCGCCTTAAGATGCCTGCACTGTAGTGGCAAGAAACAGTTTTGACAACTGCTGGTATACTCCGTCGTTCGGCACCCACGTTTCACCAATGCAAAACCGTTGAATAAGCTTCCTGGTGATATGGTGGAAGGATATTTTTATCTTTAGGATTCCGCTGTGGAACGGAGAAAGGGCTCCCCGAAACCAGCGAACACGGGAGACAAACTCTAGGCTATGTCGAGACGTCAAGGCATGACAGGACGCGGGCTGGAACCCTATCCGCAGTGCCAACATTCAACAATCCGGCATGGCTGTAAGGCTTGTGGCTACGCCACTGCCGTTGGCCCCTCGCCAACAGGTAAATAAAAAACCGCGCCGCTGAGTCATTGTGAAGCTATACTCACGTGATGGCGCGTGTGACGTGTTGATGACTAAGCGATCGGCGCGTCCGCGAAACGCGTCCGCGAAATCGACGGCGGATCTGTTTGGCGTCGACGGCATGCTCGCATCGCGCCTGGGGTGAGATGCGCGGCTATAAGACTCAAGAACCGCTGTTGCATCTACAGTTCTCCTCCGCGAAGTGCCCTCTAGTCGTCTGTTGTCGCGAAGAAATATTGACCGGGATCGCGAAGCCAAGCCCAGCGGGTCCGCGTTCACACGACCAGCCAACAGACGCCTTGAAATCTATTACTTAGATTACATCTAACTAGTTCACTAGTGAGTTATTATCACCACGACCGTGCACCGTGCACCTGTGATCCTCCGCGTACACGCCTAGACGCGATACTAACGCCCACGTATCGCCAACACGCTCGAGTTTCCTCCAACTGAGAGCTGGCCGACAATCACTACTAGCTATGTGATTGTTGGGTTATCCTGCTGTCTTTCTTTCACGCGATGAGTGATCCCGACCCGACATGCACACGTAGCGAGCCCGCTTCAAACGCCACAGACCGGAGTTCTCCCCCAAAGGGCACGTTTCTCATTCATTCTAATAAAACATTCAGCCTGGGCCGACCGCCGAAAATCGACAACAGAATCCTAGGCAGGCAAAGGCGCCGGAGGACCAGGTAATCCCAAGCCCTTCACCCCTCCAAACGAATGCTCTCGTGCCCACTGGTTGAGTCCGACGCGTATATTGACTTTATTTGATAGCCCTGAAGACCACGCGATTCTTGAAGCGGAGTACCAAAGAAATCCGAAGCCGGATAAGGCCACGAGATCAAGCATCGTTAGTAGGGTCACTCTGGGTGAAAAAGAGGTGCAGGTATGCCTTGAGTGGAGTTGATTACAGTGTCAAAGCTTCATCTAACAAGAACGATTTCTAGATCTGGTTTCAGAACCGCCGGCAAAACGACCGACGAAGGTCTAAGCCTCTTCCACTCCATGAGCCAACATCGTCAAGCACAGCTGGTGGTGGCTGCCAAAAGAACTCGTCAGATGGAAGAAACGCCGCCTTACTGCTCTCCGAAACCAGCAATGGTACGCATAGCGACGACGTAATACAGACAAGAACTGTGACCAGCTCCTTCTCTGACATCTCGTTGGCGGGCGAAGAAGAGAACCCATCGTTTCAGGCTACTAGCTCGCAATCATCAGATGGTTCTTCGCACACCGATAAGTTTGGAAGTATCGATGTCAAAGACGAAAGTCCGGCTTTATCTGGATCACCAGCACGAAATACAGATTCCGTGCCAGCTCATTTTTCTGGAGGAAAACGAAAATGGGACGAATTTGATATCCGTGAAGTAGTAGAAGACAAATATGCAAGGAGGTCATTGCCATCCAAATTGGCAACACCACCTTCTCTTCGAATATCATTATCCTTTGACGGTGAGGCACTGGTTAGAAAAGATGGCGAGAAGACACCGTCACCACCGAAGCCCCGGGATTCCGTTCGGATTTCTTTCTCAGCCGATGGTGAAGCCGTTGTCAGAACCGCAAACGAACCATCTCCGGCAAAACATTTGTCTGTACAGTCACAACAGACTCGATTCGGAAGTCTCCGGCGCTGCGCTAGTGCAGTATCCTTTCCCGCAATGCGAAGCAAAGCTGGTACCAAGGACACGAAGAGATTCGGGAGGTCTCGTGATGCCCGTATGTGGGAGTCATATTGCGATAATGATGCACGAACTGCGATGCCCACTGCAAGGAATCCAAAATTGGAATCGAGCGCACGTTTGATTGAAAGACTTGAGAATTCGAAACAAACTGGGGCCAGACAACTGCTGCAGGGCAACGGCTCACAACAAGCTCCGAAGCGAAAGAAATTGGCCCGAGCAATGTCGTCTTTGGCTCGACTAGAGACAGGTGGTGTACAGGACCCAGCAGTGAAGAAAGAGGAATTTGGTGCGTTCTGCCTGAAAAACCAACATGGTGATTCAGACAAGGAAAACTGGATCCCAGGCACACAAATTTCCAGTGTGCGAAATAGATCTTCACAGAATCAGCCATCTCGGACTCGCAACTGTCGGGTCCTAGGCCAGTCGAGTAGACAGCTTGAAGCCGGTGGAACTCCCAGCTCTCGTTTCAAGCGAACCAGAACCACCAAGTCGGGCTTGGAGGACTGGACAGAACAGAATCCAACTACACTTGCTGAAGATGGGGAGGACGTGTCCAGCTTTGTGGAAGCCGCCGGGTCAAACCCGGAAGAAGACTTCGACTGCGTTCAAGGTCTGTTGTCTCTAAGTCAGGGCGCTTGGCGTTGATGTTTGTCTAATATTGGATCTTGAATTTATTCGTATTGACTGCTGCAAAGCGTTTTTCAGAATTTTTCCTTTGTACCCTTTTCTTGGATGTCCATGAAGATTTCCCTAGTGTTATACGAGTGATGCAATGATAGCCCGTTGCTTAATAGGCGTATTATCTAGTTGGGACGGTTTTTTTTTAGCAACGATCCGTGGGAGGTCCAATGTGTGCACGGAGGACCATTCGAAGCCCAAGCATTCTGGCATGCTTTGCCTCCCCACGTTTGGTTTTCATCCACTTAACAGAGCCTGATTGCGAGATGCAATATTGGCTTTTCTCAACTCGCCAGCCTTAGGCCATGATGCTGCCCGTTCAGCGCTCGCTCATCCGCTACTATTTCACCCCTGACTGCTTCAGCCGGACGGTTCGGCCGTAAGCGTAGCCCGACATCGTGAAGGATGAGTCTTTGCCCCGAAGATAGATATAGAATCCCTGCCTAGTCCCGCCCGAAAACTGGGAGGAGGATTGACGACGCAGAGGATGATGACTGGGCAGACAGGGCCGCGCACGCACTAAAGCGGCATTGGGAGGCCCCCATGCTGCTCCAAGCGGCCCGGCGGGAAACACCACCAACAGCGGTTCGTTTCATCGACGTTGCAGAACGCGAACTGCAGCCTGGCGGATTGCACGGAGCACGCACGCAGGGTCTGTGGCGCGGCGGGCACTGCCATCTCTTCGCACGATCGACCTCTGAGTCTGATCCCAAGGTACGGAGTACGTCGTCTCCCACCCTGGGCTCGCGCGCGACGAAGGTACCGGCGGCTCGTGGACAATCCATTGGCCGCCAGCCAGGCAGGCACCTGACCCCCGCAGTACTATTTTTGCAAATATCAGCCCCTTCCATGACCGCACCCCGTGAGCGATGCCCCCAATTCCTCTACCTCCGCGTCTCTTGCGCAAGGTTCGACTGTTCCTTCATCCTCTTCTGCCTGGCCGTCTTGTCTGATCTAAGCTCGTTACTCGTGCCCCCTCGGTCGACTGGATTTTGGATTCATCCCGTCAATCTACTCATGGAGTGTAAAACTAATCGTTTGATTCAGACAGCAAATTGGCTGCGGGGAAGCTCAAACGCTGTGAGCTTAGACCCAGTCTCTCAAGTCTCTCATCTGCCATCAAAGCCGTACGCCAGCACCGTCGCACGTCCTCCCACTGTCAGTATGGACAAGCTGCACGTAGGCGTGATTGGTGCTGGCCTAGCCGGCCTGAGATGTGCAGATGTTTTGCTCCAGAAAGGCCTTCGAGTGACCATTCTTGAGGCCCGCGACAGGATTGGTGGCCGCGTATGTATATACCAAAGCGCCCTGCTGCTCCCAGTCCTTGTTTATTTGATTGCCTTTCCCTCCTGACTGCCTGTCAGGTCTGCCAAACCGATATTGGCGGCGTTCCCGTGGACCTGTAAGCTCTGATTGTGAGCTTTCAAAGCTTGCTGCTGACATAGACATGCAGAGGCCCGAACTGGATTCATGGAACGGAAGACAACCCCATAGTTGGCCTGAGCAAACGCTCCAGTACGGTCACGCATTCATGGGATGGCATGCAGGCAATCATTGGTTCTTCAGGGCAACCGGTAGATCCAATAACTGCTGCCAAATTATCCGAATTCATGTGGACTACTGTAGATAAAGCTCTCGCATACAGTCAGCACCACGGCGCTACAATACCTGTCGATCTCAGTCTTTTCGATTACTTTCGAGAAGAGCTGGAGAAGACTTCATTTACGAAATCAGAACAGGAAACATGTCTTGAACTATCAAAACTATGGGGATCATATATTGGTTCACCTGTTGATAGACAGAGCCTGAAATTCTTTTTTCTTGAAGAGTGTCTTGAAGGGAGTATGGCTTTGCAAAGCCGGCAAATTGCGATCATGGGCTGACCATTTTTCAGCTAATCTATTTGTGGCTTCGACGTATAAAAACATCCTGCAATCCGTTGCCCAACCCGTATTGAACAACGCTGACATTCACTTGAATGAGCCAGTGGTATCAATAGAAGCAGAGCCTCATAAACCTGATTCTCGACATCGTGTCATAGTTTCTGTTGCCTCTGGGAAGAAATACGATTTTGATGAAGTTGTTGCGACTTTCCCTCTAGGTTGGCTAAAGCGGAATATGTCTGCTTTCACACCCGCTCTTCCAAAGCGGCTGTCGACGGCTATTGACAATATATCGTATGGCCAATTGGAGAAAGTATATGTTCGTTTCCCAAAAGCTTTCTGGCATATAAATGCAGACAGCACAGGCAAAATAATTGAGGGCGAGAGCTCTGAGACGGAATCCATCCCTGCCTTTACGCAGTTTCTACATCCTTCATATGTTAACCACCCCCCTACCCCATTTTGGAACCAAGAATGTCTTTCTCTTGCCTCTCTCCCAGAGTCATGCGCTCACCCAACGCTATTATTCTATCTTTATGGGCCCTGTGCAGCCCATATTGTCAATCAACTATCCGCCGTCCCTCGGGTATCAAAAGAATATAATACCGTTCTTGAAGAATTTCTTAAACCTTATTATTCTCGCCTTCCAGGATATGATATCGCATCGCCCTCTTGTAAACCCCTTGAATTTCTTGCAACAGACTGGCAGCTAGATCCGTGGGCCGGAAATGGAAGTTACTCGAATTTTCAAGTGGGATTGCAGGAGGGTGACAAAGACATTGAAACTATGAGAGAAGGTGTTGGCAATGAGAGAGGATTGTGGTTTGCTGGTGAACACACGGCACCTTTTGTGGCCTTAGGCACTACAGCTGGAGCTTACTGGAGCGGAGAGCTGGTCGCAGAAAAGGTATATGGGGCTTTGAGGCGAGATGCACGCCAAGAGAACAAGAGCTAAAGTGTTCAAGGCAAATCTAATATTGTTCATGAGTTGATAATATTTGTTTTAAAGGTTGTCATGATCAAGTTGCTATCACTCTTCCAGTCTTGTTTTGATCTCAGTAGATTCTTAGAAAAGAGACTAGAGAAAGGAATAGGATATATGAGTCGTAAGTCCCATGCCATGGCTATATGATAACTCCAAATATTGTAGTTTCCATTGATAAAGATATGCTCCAAAGCTTGATAACCACATCGCCATCACTCCCAATAACAAATTCTGGATGCTTAGGTAGTCAAGTGTCAAGAGGTGCAATAATAGGAAAGACAGTACAGATGCAAGGCATGCCGCTAAATATTGATAAAAACGAGTTCCTCTGGCATGTTCACCAAGAGTTCTGTTGATATGAGAGTCAAGGAAGAGTGAAGATACAAACGATATCCTCCATAACAAAGAACTGGACAATTTCGCTAAGTAGTGGCAAGAATGGGACGCCTACCAACAAAGTATAAGGCAAAGGAAAAGGGCTTTCAAGCTTCGAAATTTAAAGAAAACGGAGAGATTATCGTGGTGAGAAGGAAGGGGGTCAGAATTCGGATATTGCACTTACGAGCAAGGGCGCTTCGATCAATCAGCGCATACATGAAGCGGGTCGAGAGAAAGCAAAGTAATGATACAATGAATAGGCGCGAACGGCGAATAGGCTGTTTATCCTAATATGCTGGGTTCAGAAGAGGCCAGATTTGTTTCGCGTTTAATCCTCCCAGATAGTCTCGAGATCTAGGTCCTGCCGCCCTTCAGCTCCACAAACGCTCCACCGTTTCCGGCTTAAGCCAAATCGTGAACCTGGAGAAGTATGGATATCCATCGTGCCACGTCTCCGTACCGTATCACTGCCAGCGTTAAGTTCTTCCGCATTATCAGCAGCAGCCTTCAATTTTGCAATCTGATCGGCTTCTATTGCAGCGGCTTCGGCATCGGGGATATCCGGGATTGTTTCTAACGATGAGATACTGGGGCTGCGAGAGCGTAGACTTGTGGGAGTGGAGGGCATGGAAGAAGACGAGAAAGAATACGCTGGGTAGGGCTCGTTGAATCGGGTGGTCATTGTCAAGTTTTGTTGCGAGGGAGAAGAGGTAGGGTTGCTGTACCATCCACCAGTTGGTGCTGAAGGGTTAAGTGGAGAGGAAGGTGGACGGCGAAGTAGTCGTGGAAAAGTATGATGTATGCTAGGTGAGAGAGAAACGGGTATCGGATCAACCTTAGAGGAAGTAGAGATGTTCTGAAGCTCCGGTTGCTCCGCTATGGGCTCAGAAACGTTGAGACTATTCATGTTTGAGGTTGATTCCTCAGACGAAGCCCGAGGGGGACAGGGTCTTCTGAGGGGCAGGTCAATTTTTCCACTGCCGCTTGCAAGAACATATCGGCCTCGCGAGTCCAAGCCTGGTGATGAATGAGCTCGTGCCATGCACGGGGCTGCCGAGGGTCCTGCAAAGGATCGAGACCGAAGATGTGTTTTCGCTAGTGGACTACGTGTCCGCGGTGGAGGAATATGCAATGGAGGAGGTATGAAGCTCGCAGTTTTCGTAGTTGCGGTGCCCGTTCCAAAGTGTCGCGAAGGGGATTCTTGAAGCCTTTCGTAAGAGCTGACTGGCCCAGGAGGGCTTGGAGGAAGCATGATATCTTCCGGAGGTATCAAAGGGTTAGCCATGCTGTTATGTCGGTGGGAGTTGACGCCTCTTTTAATTTGGTCGGCACTAGTTACATGTTGGACGATATCGGGGAGGGCCAAGTTCGTGCACTTTGGCTGGGTCGTTACGTATGTTGCTACAACTGGATACAGGCTTAGAATAATCTTCACTAGAATCCAGTCGACTGGGAGCGGTTGATGAGGGACACTGGGTGAAGTCGATGGTCAGGGAACTAGAAGAAGGGCTACACACCCTTTCCGAGCGTGTGGGTGGCACATACAAAATGTCATAAAGAAGTAAAGGCCATTGATGGAAGGCCGCGCAGGTAACTAACGTGAAGGCGCAACGAGGCAGCAGTCAGAAGCCTCGAAACTCAGCGAGCGCTGGCGTTTTCGTTGGAGGACGCCAAGCCCGCGGCTGCTTACCTTATCAGCTGGTTTGTTAACTAATCTGCTGAGTCATGTAACTTTGCTGAGTCAGCTTCGTGCGCTCAAATGTTGCTCGAGTTGATGGAGAGGAAAAATGTGAAAAATAATTAACTACTCCGTACATAGTATTTACGCCGTATGCTCCCTAAATGCTACCAAAATCAACCCGATCCGCCTAATAATCCAACGCACCATCTCGCCCCCACTTCTCTAGGTGGTCTTTTAATATATTCACAATATCCTCTTCGCCTTCGTCAAATGGATGATTTTGCCATTCGTTCACTGGCCGAGCGCCCCCTTGGTCCACAGGATGGCCCGGGTTGCCGTTTATAGGACGACCTCCTTGGTCCACTGGACGACCCGGGTTGCCGTTTATAGGACGACCTCCTTGGTCCACTGGACGACCCGGGTTGCCGTTTATAGGACGGTCTCCTTGGTCCACCGGACGACCCGGGTTGCCGTTTATAGGACGACCTCCTTGGTCCACCGGACGACCCGGGTGGCCATTCACAGGACCAAGCCCTTGGTCTTGGTCTTCATTTTGGGGCTGTCCTTCGTCCACAGTGTCGGTCCCTCCTTGCCCGCCAGCACCATTAGCCTTGATCCAGTCAATGTACTGTGCAACTCTGGTATATACTCCTGGAAAATGGCGTGCACCACAGCTTTCACCAAATGACACGATACCAACAATCACACTCCTGGCAGTTGCCTCCTCATACAAAGGGCCTCCACTATCTCCGAAACATGAATCTCCACCATTTCCACCCGCACAGATCATGTTTTCAGTAATAGACGACTGACCAGTCATCGGTTGTACCCCATAGAGTTTCTGGCAATCGTTACGCGCTTGGACAGGAATCGTTACCTCCATCAAGGTACGAGAGCTACTGTCCTGCTTAGGGTTGGGATATGTATTTCCCCTGGTTCAAATGTGAGCATTTTCTGGCACTCTTATGAAAGTGGCATGATAAGTTTGTACATACCAGCCTACAGCCGTCACCTGTGAGTTGGCTGCCATGTCTGACCCTTGTTTTGGCAATTTGGCATATCGAACGTTTTGTCCTTCTCTGATAGGTTCTTCCAATATCAAAAGGGCAATGTCGTTGTCAAAGCTTCTGCCCTCCCTATATCGCTCGTGGATTTTGATTCGGGACACACGGGATACTTGTCCATCACGAAAACGAGCCTGCAGAAACGTAAGAATAATATTTATATGTCGGAAATGAGTACTTACAAGAGAACCTACGCGGACAGAGTAATCTGCAACCCGATTTGTTATGCAGTGAGCAGCCGTAATGGCATGCTTAGGGCCAATAAGTGTTGCTCCACAGCCGCTCCCACCATTTTGATGAAGTACAGCCATCGAGGGGTTTGCGCCTAGTTTTGAAGGGGTTCCCATAATGATAGGAGCAGGAAGTGCGACCGCCAGAGAGACGGCCGGCAGCACTGCCAGAGTGCCCAAGATTGCCAGCAATTTTGTCATGATGCAGGATTTCAATGCCGATGTCATTGATTTGATATGAGATGTGCTGGGGTATATTTCCAGTCGTCGATGAATGCGGCAGCAGACTTTTTTATATTGGCCTCTCAAGAGCTACGCCCCCTCCCCAACTGCTATCGAATGCTCTGCATCGGAAATAAGTGTAACGCAAGTGCTCCTATGGGATTATTGTTAGCACTCGATAAAAATACCAAGAGAGCATCGTGTGTGTCAGACTATGAGCAGCCTTCCCGGTGCCTCCATTCGGTACGCCATCCTTCCAGCTAAGATGTGCGTGGGTGAGGGAGTAAAAGCTCCGCAATGGCTTTACATGCAGGGCGAAGATGCCAAAACGCGACTGTGGGAGATTGGGAGTTGCAGTCTCTTCGACGACTTAAGGTCCAAAATCCTCCGCTCCTTTCCGGTGACAAAAAAGCCGTACTTGCCCTGCTAGAGTAGTTCATTGGTTCGCTGATGTTTCTGAAACAAAGCAATCCCCTCGGTTGCCTTGTGTTTGCTGATCGTTAATTTGTTTCCGCAGGATTCGAGTTCCGAGGATGCGAGTTTCAGAAACAGCGTTTATACCGCCGCAGTCCTTGGCATTGTTCGCATATAGCTCATAGCTCATAGCTCTTCTCTTCAACCTTCGCCAGTCACAAGACACCAAATGGCCAAAACTGTCATCCAAGCATTGACATATCAAAATTTCTAATCTTAATATCCCTGCACCTTCAAGAACTGGACATTTTTGTGTCCACTCAAAGAAGAAAGAAATGTCAAGCATTATGTGAGTATCAAGCAGAACATACGGAGTACAGACCTTCAAAATTTTATTTTCTATTCTGGTCTGACTGAACAGCAAGCCAACCTTTGTACTCCGTAGCCCTCTGGGTATCGGCTGCATCACGTGGAGTTTTCCAACAAGTCAACTAGGTAGTTACTAACTAACATGCCATAGCGGAATCGCGGATCTCTGCACTACCATCGGGTTACCGATTTTCCGAGCTGTTACGTAACCATTACCACCACCTCATAGTTTCAACGTTGGCTACAGTAACTACTACATATTTTGACTACTACGTAGTAAGAGCTCCCTACGTTGAATCTACTATATAGTAATGTCAACCTTTATATGGTAATAACAATGTTTTTAAATCTAATAAGGAAATGATCAGCAGGTGAAAAATTTTCATTCATCTTTTTCAAATCTCTAAGTCACTCACTAACTCTCTTCTACAGTAGAAGCCTACGCGATTTTCTACTATCCTACTAGCTAGGCTAGTAGGTGATTCTCTACAATTCTACTAGCTAGGCTAGTAGGCGATTTCTACTATCCTACTAGCTAGGCTAGCAGGCGATTTCTACTACTGTTTTCATAGTTTTTGTGGACTTAGAAATTTTCTGGAAGGTTCTTTGTATGTAGGTGTAATTGTACTTGTGGTAGAAATAGCTAGCTGTACTCCAATACAAAACATCACTAAAGTTAAATACACTTAACCAAGTTAACTCCAATTAACTCTATGCAAGACAACGTTGCGAATACCGACTCAAGTTGTGGCAACCAACAAAGGTAATATTACGCAATTGTTGTTTCAATGTTGTGCTGAGTTACTACGTAGTGGTTACGTTGCCACTACCGTAACATTACGGTATTCCACAGATCTGGAATTCCGGTATGGTGGACTAACTAACTCACATGACACTTGACTTAGTTAACTAACTAGTTAATTATGAAGTTAATTAACTAACTAGTTAACTAACCACCGGAACAATTCTGGCTGCGAGCCGAGCCGCTGACGTCACATGCTGTCAAAATAATCATGTAGCGACAGGCTCCAAGAGTGTTGTGTAGGAGCACTAAGCAGCTGCTAGCCAGAGCAGAGCAGCAAGTGAGCTCAGCTCATTAGTGTTCATGATCAATGTGGTGTATGTATCTCTTAAGCACCCTTTCTACGACACCCACGATTGTCTAACCTGGGTTTGAGTCGCCAGCTCGCGCCACCGCTGTCTGGGCCAACGTTCATCTCCTACTACATGTTGCAACAATTGGGTCGAAGCATCCGCTTTAGAGCTAGAGAAACAACTCCGAGTGTAGTATTTAGCTGCCTTGGTGCAAATATGGCGAGAATGACTAGGCGACGCGCGACAGTGAAAGCCTATAAAATGTCGGATTCGGATGCATCTAGCATGCCGTCTTGTCGTCCGGAGTCAGACTTAATACCGGACTCCGAGTTAGACGTAAATGAACCGGCGGAGGAAGAGGAGTCGAGGGAATCAGCCACTCGGAAACCCCCAGTGAATAGCAGTTATTTACCCCTCCCGTGGAAAGGGCGTCTAGGATATGTATGGCTCTGTTGGTACCATGACGAATTAATTTACGTTTTGTTAACTCTCATCAAATTCAGGCTTGTCTTTGTACTTATTTACGGAACTGCAACCCCCCGGTGTTTAGCTCGCGAACTTGTCGAATCGCATCCATTCTAGAAAATCGACACCCTTTACGAGACCCATCTCTGCCTGCTCACCCTACAAAAAATCGCCCAGATCGTGATCAGCCGCCCGATAATGCGCGAGGTCAAGCCTATGTACAGGCCCTGGGATTAGCAAATGCCCGAGATATTGGAACAATGCTTCGATGGAATGAGAAATTCGGAATTCGATTTCTGAGGTTAAGCAGTGAAATGTTTCCATTTGCTAGCCACCTTGAGCATGGGTACAAACTGGCGCCATTTGCGTCGGATGTATTGAAGGAAGTGGGTCAAGTTGCCGCAAGGCTCGGTCATAGGCTGACCGTTCACCCCGGCCAAGTATGTTTCGGCATTCCTCAGAATCCCCCTGGCTAATAAGGTGCAGTTCACTCAACTTGGTTCACCGCGGCGCGAAGTTATTGAGAATTCTATTCGAGACCTCGAATACCACGCAGAAATGCTAAAACTTCTGAAACTTCCCCCTCAGCAAGACCGTGATGCTGTCATGATTTTGCACATGGGTGGAAGCTTCGGAGATAAGCCCGCAACTTTAAGGAGATTTAAAAACACTTACAACACATTATCACAAGACATAAAACAAAGACTTGTTTTAGAAAACGACGATGTTAATTGGACGGTCCATGATTTGCTACCCATCTGCGAAGAACTCAACATACCTTTAGTTCTTGATTATCATCATCATAATATCAATTTTGATACTGGAAAAATTCGCGAAGGTACTTTGGATATTATGGATTTATATGATCGAATAAAAGCAACTTGGGTTAGGAAAGGGATAACACAAAAAATGCATTACTCCGAACCCACGCCATCGGCGCTTACGAAAATGCAGCGTCGCAAGCATAGCTCAAGAGTTCAAATGCTACCACCCTGTGATCCTACCATGGATTTAATGATTGAAGCCAAGGATAAGGAACAGGCCGTCTTTGACCTCATGAAAACATACAAAATCCCAGGCCATGAAAGGCTCAACGATATTACTCCGCACATCCGGCCGACTGAACTTCAAGATGGTATTGATATGGGAGGTCCCGAAGGCAGAGTTTATTGGCCACCAGGCATGGAGGAATGGCTGCGACCACTTAAAAGGGGTGTCAAGAGAAAAATGGAAAATGGAACGAGAGCCAAGAAAGATACTCGCACCAAAAGCAAGGCCACTTTGGTGGAGACAGAGGAAGAGGCAGCCGCAGTGGCAACGAAGCCTGCAAAGAAACAAAGTAGGGGAGGGAAGAAAGCCTGAAATAAGGACAAGTCGAGTATTTGCCTACAATAGTGAATCCATCATATACTGAGATCAAAATTAAATATCTTGGGCTCATCCCTCCTCCGTATAGCTCGGCTTTTTATCCCTGGCTTTATTTCATCCGTAATGGTCATTGACTTGAGGCGATTCTTTTACCTTGAGCTCAAAGATAAAGCTCAAATTCGCGGTTGTAGCTTTTGTATATTCACTGTGTACTCCGTACGGAGTATTCCGTAGTTGACATGGGGTACGGGGACCATAGACCCACTTGATGACAAAGCAAGTCTTAGTTAAACTACAATACCTTCCACTACCATGATGCTTGAAACAAAGAACTTCTCTCCTTTTGCAACTGGGGCTCCTCTCATAAACCTATTATTTACGAAGTAATACCCTGTGTTTTCGCCTAACCGCTCGCGGAGGCCCCGATTCCTCTCCCTCTTCCGATGGGTTTTTCCGCGCACTCGACAAAAGGTACGGGCAAGGTATCTTGATTTTCAGCTCGATATACTATAGTATTCACTCGCGTATATATCGAGCGCTCCGCGAACTGCCACCTCAGAGGCGTCTTAAATTCACCCCCAGGCACCAGGCAAGTCATCGACGAGCAACTGAACAACTGTGTGACTGGCCTCTATATGCTCGAAGAAAAAAGAGCGTTGGGAATAATGCCGCCGCGCTACGGGCGAGTGATTTGGATTTTTTCTCGAAAATGGAACCCAGAGGAGATGTTTCTGGCTGGGGCGTGAATGCTAATGAGGATGACCGTGAGAAAGGTTCCCGACGACGGAAGGTCTATGGCTACCTCAAAGCCGCAAATGAACTTCGTCAATCTTATTCTGCTCAGTGGGCTCAGAAGACGCAGATTGGACAAATCAATCGTGACATGCAAAACAACCTATCAGATTACGAGGTTTCAAGTTCTGGACATGAGGAGATGATATTATTTCCGAGTTATGGGAGGAGACATCTGAAAATTCAAAGTACAAAGCACAAACAATATGACTATGATTTGGAAGACTCTGTTGATGACGAGAAGATGGACAGGCCTCCGCCCCAAGGAATGGAGTATTGGGAAAGCATCTGGCACAGATACGAAAATGATAATGCAATTGTTGATATCGATGTTCGAGGCTGGATATATTTCCCCCAGAGAGGTCAAATGACGCGCAAGAATAGACTTCTTATAACACTTGCAAGAAAAATTAGCGGTATACCAGCTCCTATCCAACCATCTTCGGTCGATGATAATTCAACCGGCCAAGAAAATGGTTCACTGGAGAAACAAGCAGATTTAATTACCAGAAAACAAGCCGAATTTGAGGAGCCCAAGATGATGACACAGTTGAGTCAAGAAGAAATAGCTACTGCCAACGCGCAGTTAATGGACCGCCTTCGGCCGTTCCTTACCAGTCCAGCAGTTGGTGTACCTGCCACAATTTTCTTTTTCAATGATATAAAAAGTCAATCGAGGACTGTTATAACTAATGAAGGCGGCCATTTTGCCATTCGGGCTTCCCTAGACTTCATTCCCACCCAAATCCGAGTGCTCGCGTCCGAACATTTGTCCGCCACGGAGGAGGTAAAAGTTATTGAACCTAATGGAGTAAGCTTGATCAGTGACATTGATGACACAATAAAACATTCTGCAATTGTTAGCGGTGCCAAAGAGATGTTTCGGAATACCTTCGTAAGGAATTTAGCGGACCTATCTATCCTTGGTGTTAAAGAGTGGTATTCGCAGATGGCGGATCTGGGTGTTGGGATACATTATGTGTCAAATTCTCCGTGGCAACTATACTCGCTTCTCAAAAACTATTTCACGCTGACTGGTCTACCCCCTGGCTCAATGCACTTAAAGCAATATTCTGGAATGCTTCAAGGCATATTCGAACCTACGGCGGATCGAAAGCGGCCCACCCTAGAACGAATTATCCAAGACTTCCCCGACCGGCAGTTCATTCTCGTAGGAGATAGTGGAGAAGTTGATCTAGAAATCTACACCGAGCTTGTCATTGCCAACCCCGGCAGAATCCTTGGTATATTTATCCGTGACGTGACAACTCTTACTACGAGTAACTTCTTCGATAAATCTATATCACGTCTTGAAAAAGCGTCATCCCGAAATATGAGCTCCAATATTCCCGAAAATCTTTTAGACGTCGCGGAGCGACGGCCTCCGCTTCCACCAAGAAAACCACTCCAACAAGATGACGTTGCCGAGGGGATTTTAATTGGCGATTTAATTGATTTAGAAGAACAAGAAACGAGAAAATCTGTCTTTCACGATTCTACCAAAGCACCGCCTATTAATAAGTCTGAGCCTCCACCCCCACCATCTAAACCAACGAAACTTCGTGGCGAATTCATTGCTACCAGTTCAAAAAGTAACAACCCCGTACCTATTATCAGAAAAAAGCCTGTTCCGCCCCCACCAGCGAAGCCGCGGGCTTTGTCATTGGGTAAAACAACACCTTCCACCGAAACAACAACCGTACCATTTTTCGCCCATTCTCATCCAACCAGTCCATGTCCGTCCACCACCAGGTTGCTTCCGCCGGTCCCTCCACCACGAAGGGGTGCAGCAAGTAGTTTACCTAAAGCGCTGCCTGTGTCTACCTACCCATCATCGTCAGTACTAAGCTACTCTGAGATGTTACGTCCCTCGCCAAATCATCACGAAAATCCCCCCTCCTTGCCGGCACTAATTAGTGAGCCCCAGATTCAGACTCGATCTGAGTCTTCACTGGCAAATTCCCCGATACAACTACCTAGTAAACGTGAAGAGGCGTGGCAGCGTCGATGGGCTCGAGCAAGAGAAATTCTTGTCCCTCGCGGGGTTGCATTACATAGCTGGAGAGTTGGTGAAGATGTTAGAGAGATCTGTATTCGTCTCGTGAAACAAGCCCACCATGACCTAAAACAACAAGGCACAGGACGGTAAAGAGTGCCGCAAACCAAGGACCTTTCCCTACTCCATGAGTCTTGGCTTCGCCTATTAAACGGCCACATTGAGGTGCATATATATATATATATATTCTATGTCCCCTCTATCAGTATCATCTGTTCATGCCGCTCTTATTTGAAGACGAGTATCCGCACAGATAGATATATTCTATAATATGTGTTTCGATATGTACTACAGCTAAATACACGCATATAGAAAATAGGATACCCATAACTAGTTCCGCAAATAGTTTCGTAAATCCAATCACGGTATCTTACAAAAATGCAGCCTCTACAGATAGAAACCTACGAAAGCACCTCCGACAGCATTTTAAAACTGTCAGGATGTTGATAGTACGGAGCACTCCGTACCTACTATGTATTTAGATGTGTGGCGCGCATTCAGCGATCGGCTTTTAGATATTCCGCGGCCGTGAACCCAACGTCATCGTCGCTGCCTAAACGAATCATTGAGGATTGAATATAAAGAAGATGTGACAATACCGTTGGAGCTAGTAGCAACATGGCTTCTACTGGCGCTTCTTCCGGAACTTCCAGGCCTGGTTTGGCATTGGATCATGTTCTCTCACTTGCTGCTTCATGTCTCAACAAAGATGCACCTAACTTGAAAACGGCGCCAGAGGTAATCGCGTTGGTGGGCCATGCATGTATGACTGCGGTAGGCTTCAGATTGATCGGGTTGGGTGAGGAGCAAAAAATTGGTACTAGCTCCATCTTTACACCAGACATGTCTTTTATATATCGCTAATTTGGTATACTGTGTCTTAGAACCGGCCTCCAAGTTACCCAAGGAGTGGAATGCAACGACAACATATTCGTTTAAGTACGCTCACGAGCAATCATCAATGCACTATCTTCTCAAGATTATTCAACTTGGCAATAACGCCGTAATATCTGCCCTTGCGCTCGGTGACGACAAGGCCTCGTCTTTTGATGTTCCCGCTCGCGATTATATTTCACTTTCTGCTCTGCCACTGTCTCCAAGCCCAGATCTCGCGGCTGCCTTGCAGTTTATTTTCATATCCAGCAACCGCCTGAATGATCTTATTTCATTATTCCGAATAAACGTTATCCAAAGGCTCGCTCCAGGCCTCCAAAAAGAAGGCTATGAAGATAGCTTTCAGAGCGCCAGCGAATCGCGAGATCGAGAGGCAGCCCGGCCACGAACCCCACCACGTGACCGGGATGACCCCCGCCACCCCGCCGAGGTTTATCCGCTGCGAGACCCACTTGCCGCTCCGCCCCGCCGTCCTGTTCCCGCCGGAGACTTTCCTCCCCCAGGCTTTGAAGATGAGTACGAAATCAATGCACCACCTCGTTGGTTGCACGCTGGTCCTCCTTACAGTGGAGAGCGACCACTAAATATCGGCGAGAGAGATTTATACCCCCCAGGACTTAGCCCACATGATCCACTGCGGCCACATTTTGGGCCGCCTAGGGGCGGCGGCGGTATGCATCCTACCTTTGACGATCCAATGTTTGGTGGGAATGGAGGCCAAGCCGGCTCGTTTGATCCACAAGTCCCTCCTGGAGCACGATACGATCCCGTAGGACCCAGCGATGGACGTCCGTTTGGGCGCGGACTTAGAAGACCTATGCCTGGTCGGGGCAACCCCCCAACGGGAAATGGTTTTGGGGGCTTTGGAGGGGGTTTTGGTGGAGGTATAATTTAACCATTATTTGAGTCTAGGATTGATCGCGGCATTGGAACAATCGCCTTTGTTCTCTTGGTTTGCATAATAGGTGAATTTGTATATGGTAACCCAGCATCGTAGGAGTTGTGATACTTAAATTTTATCTTGTGTAGTATTTACCTTATGATTTGATATGTCAAGGTTCCACGCAATACATAGCTTCCCTTGGACTGGTATAATGCAATAAAATGTACGGAGTAATGCAGATAACATCTATATGACCCTTTGGTTAATCTCCCTCGCGAGTACCTAGTCCTAAATTGACAGGGGATCAATGTTATTAGAAACAACATCAACAGTAAAATATGGCTAACCTGATGTATTAAAATTAGGGAATTTAGGCCAGGCATCCTCAAACCATTGGGGTTGGCATCGATGGATGTGCTACTTAACATATGCCTGTTTCGCATCTAGTTACTCAGCAGAATCATGTAATGTATGATAATGAACCATGTTCAAAAGTTCGTTCTCGAAGGGCTCTTTCTTTATCACAATAGTATGTATTTAGGGACCTAACATGTTGTTCAAGCAAGTCAGGTTTATCATATCTGACATTTCGGGCATCTCTAATATTTTAAATTTTCTGCGCTATGGGGGTTTAGTTCCGCTACCTTCCCTATCCTTCGCAAAGCCCATATGAGAGTTTACCTCCAATGAAAGTGGGCCGATGTGGTGCGAACGAAAGGAATGAGAATCGTGAGAACTTGTAATTTCTCGACGGCATCATAAAAGGAATTAGGATAGGAATAGAAACAAAATTGCTTTCTGTTACTGAATCAGAGGAAGTAATCAGGAGTACGTCGAGACACCATAGGTTCCCCAGCTCGCGGACAAGGGTCGAATTGGAGGCTGGATCAAGACACAATTAGCACAAAGGTCGGCGTTGGCAGAGGGAGACATAAGAGGATTTCACATACAAAGTATATTTTAGGTGTTCGTCAATTTCCATAATCGCTGCCTGGTTGCCACACCTATAGCAGTAGTTGGGAGCTGAGAAAAAATATTAGCAAGGCTCAATGTGATAAAGGGAAAATCGTGAAATTACCAGAGAAAATGGTCACCACATTCCTATCTTGAGACCAGTTATAGCCCTCCATAACTAACTGATGTGCCCTCGCAACAAGGGTCAGTCCATTATTATGGTTAAAAGCCTCTGAAATATCCTGGCCGAAGGTATAACCAGCACCCCGAGGCGAGATACCCCAGCCACATCTATCGTCAGGGTCGCTCCATAGCAAATCGCACATCGGCCCTTCATGTGGGACCTCCTGTATACGGTCTAATGAACGTATGTTGTCAAGTGTGTCAATGGACGGACTGAGCCCACCATGCAGACAGAAAATCTGATTGTCGATCAGGGCAGTAAGAGGGAGGAAATCGAAGAGATCTGTGAAGTACTTCCAAACATTCGCATTGCCGTACTTCCGCAAACACTCATCATAAAATCCGTATACCTGAGTTATCTGACGAGACTCGTGGTTTCCACGGAGGATCGTGATTCGTTGAGGGTAGCGAATTTTAAGAGCAACAAGAAGGGTAACTGTTTCAACAGAATAGTATCCGCGATCGACGTAGTCGCCTTCGCCGAATTAGCGAATGGTTCAGCGCCTAAAGCATTGAAGCCGGCTTACCCATAAAGAGATAATTCGTGTCAGGGTTGGGGCCACCAATTCGAAAGAGCTCCATGAGGTCGTGAAATTGACCGTGAATGTCTCCGCATACTGTAACAGGGCATTTCTAAAGAAAGAAAGAAAAGGAAATCAACATGGCCTGCTGTAGTACTCAGCATACAAAATACGTACCACGGGCTGAACATTTGACTCGGCTTGTAAAACCTCCCGAGCCTAAAGAAAAGTAAATGAGCTCGATATGCATGTAATACATAGGGAATAACGCGCATTCGTAGCGCGTAAAAAATCATACCCTTTCACAAAGCCTTTGTACGTCGCTTTCCGCCAGCTGCTTACAACCCATTAGGTTCGTAATCCATCCGTCGAGGGTCGGTATAGACTCGGGATCGCTGGTTAAAGAAAGGTGATGGGGTTCAGGTGTGCGGCCGGAGTCGATATCCATTTTGCCCTCCATTTGAGGATAGAATGAAGGGTCCGACATGAATGAAAGGGAGATGAGGGGGGGGAACGCAAGCGCACGTGGATTAAGCAGGTGTTCAGCAGGTCGCCAGGGAAACAGATAAAACTAGTAATAACAGAGAAATGGGTATCACAAGGGCAAAGAACTTCAAGGTGATAGAGAGAACAGGCAATTATAGATTGTGGCGTGGAGGTGAAAGGGGTTGTTGTTCACGGCTGCTGAAGCTGGTGGGAGGGGAGTTGGCGTCGAACTATTTCCTCCCAGTGCACTGCCAAGCCGCGATGAGGTCCGCGCCACACTGCCCACCAGCCACGGCTGTGATTAGGTCAGCTGCCAAGGCCGCTGTGCGTTACAACCAGCACTCAGGAGTACAGCTGCTACGGAGTAGATCGCCAATGACAGAGTTTTCTCTATTTGCTCTCGACTGCTGCTTCTACTACCTGGCCTTCCCCTTTCTCGCCCTGGACTGCCTTCGAACTCGAACTCGAACCTTCTTCCTTGCTCCGCCCGTCCTCTACCGAGTATGACCTCACCTTTGAACTCCCGTCCGGGACGAAAAATCTCTGGTCCACCCGTCCCAATAAATACAAGTACACGACAATCGCCTCGAGACTAAAATTGAAAATATAAAAGCAAACTTTGTGGTGGTACCAAGCTGGGTGCGAGAGAGGTCGAGGCGGCATAGCTGCTATGCCTAGTCGAAATCCAGCTCCCAGCGTAAGGAGAACTGACGCTGCACCTACAATGACACCTTTCGCACCCCAGCTACCCGCTCCAAACGACTCACCTGGCTGTGGCTGACCAGGTCGAGGCGTTAGGAAAAGGAAGACCAGTATTGGGAGCGGTAAGAACGAAATGAATGTCGTGTAGCTCCCGCCATAGAGCTGCAGGTTGCGGTCTATGCGGCGAGTGTTGGCGTTGAGGGTATAAAAACTCTGGACGGTTGCGACAATGACCATAATAAGCGTGATTCCAATAAGAATGTATAGCGCTTTGAAAAGATAGGAACCTCCCCGGGACCAGCCAAGCCGTGGCCAGCTCGCGCGGAGCATACGTTGAGCATAGAGTAAGTTGAGAATAAACAAGAGTATAACACCTGCCGCAACAAGTACCTGTGCAGCAATCGCAAGGCGGAAATTTGTTGTATGTGTGGCCCATGCGATTCGTAAAACATTCGCAACTGTGCGCGCCACGCAGAAACCAAAGGTAACGGCAGATGGGATAAATTTATGGCCCCGAGAGAGATTTAATCTGAAAAGCCGCATATGACTGACAGCAGCCACGAGGAATATTGCCACAAAAACAGAGCATATTGGAACGTCGACGGAAACGGTCGGTATGCCCCCCAAACCGGCTGATTGCGGCAAATACGGTGGACCACCCGCCGTAACTAAGGCCTATATTTGCAAAATAGACGTCAGATACATAAACTAAGGGCATGAATGTACATCGTACCTGAGATGCCGGTGGGGGCCCCTGCATTGGTATCACAAATAGACCACGACAAGGGACGCAACACAATTTGATTCGTAGGTTCGAGGAAATATAAGGGAATGCGCTTTTAGTACGGAGCACAAGGTGTGATTGTCGCCGATACTGTACTAGGGAATAGGGGTGGTAATTACTGGTACCTAATAAAGAGTAGATGGATCGGGTAAATAGGATGGGAAGTGCGCACGCTGGGTATTGAACAAAATAAATAGCTTCGCTGAAATAGTAGTATAGGTAGGTTTAGGTGTAAACCGCGTGATTACAAAGTACTCTTATTGCAGCTAGGCCATGTATGTGGAAGTTCCGAAAACCATGTTATGCTTCTCGCATAATCTTAATACGGGCGAAAACAAAATGCATATGACGTTGCAGTCTTGCAGATGCCTTGCAGAACACTGAGCACTGGCCGTTCTTCCATATTATTGCCCCTGACCCGTGAATCAAGCCCCCGAAGTGGGACAAAGCTTAACAGATGCCGACTTCCGGCCGCTATGGGTGATGACATAATCACCAACTCTGAAGCCCAGATATCAAATCACTAAGTGCTTGATGGGCGGTAAGCTCATCAGCTGGAAACTAATCCAAGGCTGAAACATCTTTTTCCATGCATATCGGAATCACGGGGTGATCTGTCTGTCTGTAGACCGGTCTTCCCTTGGTTCAATAAAATAAGTAATATTGAGCAGCCGAAAAGCATCCAAGTTAAAGAAGTTGAGCCTTTCACAAAATCTACTTTTCAAACGCAACATTATATCCACCAGTTTTCTCATCTTGCACAAATTTAAAGTTATCTGTCGATAGACCAAATGGCTTCAGAATGCCATTACCCAGCTAAAGCACATGTTAGCCCCTGGACAAGCATGAATTGAAAAAAGAGCACAGTGGATCATTGGCATTGTCCTTACTTCTTTCAACTTCCCCATCATGTCTCCAATTTCTTTTTCTCTCGCGGCATTGATCTTCGAGGGTAATTCTGCGAGCGACTTGAGAACAGCCAGTTCATCTTTTCGAGGTAATGTCTTCAGCTGAATTAACTTGTTGTAGTCCTCCTGGGCCCCTTGTAAATTTACCCATCCGCCAACTTCCAACCTTCCCCGAGCTCTTCTCATCAGCGCCTTTGCTCGAATTCGCTTCACATCTTCTTTCTTTTTATCATGTTCTTTCAACTGTTTTAGCTGCTCTGCTTCCCCTTCATCACCATTTTCATCAAGTTCTATGACGCCATCTGCGAGACCTACCCTTTGAGCCGCGCGAGAACCGTTTCCCTGTTCCAACGCAGAGGCAACAGGAGAAAGGGAAGGAAGGACTCGATCCAAACATTCAATGCTGGCAGTTGCAGCATCTATAGCAAGCTTCCAATCTTCAAGTTTCAAGTGGCATGCGGCAATGTTGCTCCGCAGTACTGCGATTTCGTAGTCGAGATAGCTGGGGCAAAACGCTAAGGCACGATCGTAGGTTGATATAGCCTCCGAGTAAGACGCGGATAAGAAAAGTTTATTTGCTTCAGATTTATGAGTATTGGATTGTGTGAGGAGAGCCTGTGTGAAAATAAAAGTCCATCATATTAGTGGCAGACCCCGCAAGAATGAAGACAGTAGTCAGAAACATACAGCTTCTTCATTGGGAGGAAAATGCGCATCATGAAAAACATCACTTTCATCATCACTGCTCTCATGGTTTTGACTGTACTCGGCTGTGCTCGACATATTTCTATGGAACACAGATGAGCTGGTATGGTTGCAATAGGACTTGCTGTGACGGATTTGCTTGATAAGTTAGTCTGGCCAGTTCCTAATCTTCAAAGTTTCCGACTAACTAGTTAACTACCTGTGGTTAATTAGTTAACTTAGTAACTAGGTAACTTTAGTGGGGCAAGTTATCATACTAAGCCCAATATAGTCTAGTGCATCTGAAAAGTCTTGGCGTTACGCGCGCCGGAGCTTAGTAACCAGCCTGCGCGCTGTGTAATCAGCTGTGTAATTACTAAGCTCTCTAATTACTAAGCTACCAGCCTGCCTGCGCGTGTACTGTTTTGGCATAGTAATTCTACAGCCTGCCAATCACCGTACGGGGGCCCCATATAACACGAACTCTAACTCATGCCGCCAAGCTGGCTGATAACCGAGTTATACTGAATGGGTTTGTTAGGGGAGGCGCCGTGATAACCGGGTTATCAGGGCTTGGCAAGTTATAACTTCGTAACGCGGGTCGGTGATAACTAGTTACCTCATCCCCTCAGACGCGTGCTGCTAAGGTTCTTTAGCGCGAATTTAGTGTTTTGAACTAACCCATTCTGGTAATTCTGCCAGTTCAACGGATGTTGAAGAGAAGTCTCAATTCAGCCTAGTGTATCTTGGCATAGCCCCACCCTAGTTAGTAGGTAGGAGACGACTCTTCAACATACGGTGAAGGTCTGAGGTTATGAGGCAAGATAACTAGCTGCCTAGCTATAGTTAATACGGAGTACACGTTAGCTTAACCCCCGATTAATATACCCCTAGTAGGGAGTACTCCGCTCGTAGTGAGAAGGTTGTGCTGTCGTCTTTCACTTCTAAACCGTTTTTGCCTTCTGCCGACGAAATGGATGCTCAGAAGTGAGAATCCCTTAAACTACTATGTCCAAATTTAGCTACTCTCCCACTAAATGCTGCTCACTCAAGCTTTCCCCCTGTCCGGGCATGCTTATTCGATATGGATGGCCTGTTGATCGACTCTGAAGACCTATATACACGATGTGTAAATGAGGTCCTACGCGAATATGAAAAACCATTGCTTCCTTGGTCGATAAAGGCCCAACTTCAGGGAAGGCCAGCACCAGAGGTATGCACAAATGACTATTGCTAGCACGCCGCTATGACAACAACCCCACTGCAACAACTAACTTCCCTTGTCTTTTCCACAGGCCAGCGAAATTTTTTTCTCCTGGGCTCAACTCCCCATTTCTAATGCTGAATATCTCACGAAGCTCTCTGCTTTCCAAGCCCAATACTTCCCTACCACCCAACCCCTTCCTGGCGCACTCAGCCTCGTCAGATCCCTTGCCACGACTGCAACTACAACGTCTCCCGTTCACATTGCCCTCGCAACATCTTCCCAAGCCAAAAATTATACCCTCAAAACGTCTCACCTTAATGAGCTCTTCTCTCTCTTCCCTTCATCAAGGATTGTTATTGGAGATGATCCCAGAATTGGTGCTGGAAGGGGGAAACCAAGGCCAGACATCTATCTTCTAGCGCTAGAAATTATTAACCAGGAGATCAGGGCTAGTGGGAATCAGGAGCCGGAAATCAAGCCAGAGGAATGCCTTGTTTTCGAGGATAGCGTCCCTGGAGTTGAAGCGGGGAGAAGAGCGGGAATGAGGGTCGTTTGGTGCCCCCATGAAGGTTTACTAAATGAGTACAGAGGAAGAGAACAAGAGGTGCTAGCAGGTGTGACAGGCGAACATAAAGAACTTGATTCTCAAAACGATGGCGCCTCTCACCTAGTCGAATCATGGAGGGTTGGCGCTGGCAAGCCTGGTACAATTGGTGATGGATGGGGCCAATTACTACAGAGCTTGGAAGCCTTTCCATATGAAACTTATGACATCAATCTTCAAGCTACGTAAGTATCCTTCACTTTCTAAGTCAGGAACCGGGGTCAGGTAATATAGTATCATTTCTTGATGATTATCCAATGCCCAAATAAGCATGTTAGATAGCTGTTTATCAAAATAGAAAAAGCATCTAGAAGAATTAAATGAAATGTTGAATCGTCATCATTATGTCGTAAATATTCATCAGTCATAATTCGTAACAGCATGCCGCATAAAAGTACAAGGAAGAACAATAACGCCCGCTAACAGCATATTGTGAGAAATATCTAGCAAATTTGAATCAATTTCAAGCTTGTAGTGGATAAAAATAAATAAATAAAAAGATAGAAGTTCATATCCAAGACTTCACTGCGGGATGTGGAAGCCATATCTTCATCACGGAGCCCAGTTGCTGGAGCTGAAAACGTCTTATTAGGTAGAAGGTTCCGGTGTGTTTTCATGGGAGCGCTTATCCATAGGGCCATGCCGGAATGACTCATTAGAGGGCTGCTGAGCGCCGGAGTTTGCCTCAATAGGGTTGATACTGAAGTTGTGCAAGGTATTCACGTCTGAAAAGTTTTGAAGTGGATAGCATGGTGTTTGAAAGGCTGGGTGTTGCTGAAATGCAGAATTGATGGAGGGTCCAGGGGTGAAGTTGTCAAGTAATTTACCCTCCAGATGCTGGGGGTATTGAAAATAAGGCTGATTGACTGGTTGCGCAATATTTAGAATGTGGTTACCTGCGGTCGGAAATTGTGAAGATTTAAACTGAGATGAAGGCGAAGATATATCCGCTATTTGATCCGTTATCGGATACCATGGAGTTTGAATTCCATGAGATTGAGGCCCCCTCATATAGCCATTCAATGCGCTGTTCATTGGTGCGAAAAATTGATTGGCAGTGGGGCTTGATGTCTGTGATGGTCCTGAAATGGGTGTTCCAAGGCCATGAAAATTATGGGACGTCATGGTTTTAGCCAAGTCAATCACAGAGCTATCTTCCCGAGAAAAATTGATAGGGTGCCTCGCGTATTCCAGGGCTGGAAAATAGTGAGAGGAAGTATTTGAGTGCAAAAGTTCAGTGCCAAGAGTTTGCACGTATCCAACAGTATTGCTATTCAGAGTTGGTGTGGCCTGTAAAGCAAAAAGATTTGAGTGATGGGCACTGTTAAGGGAATTAAATGGCATCGAGCATGGAGTCTCGCACGACGGACGTATTTTAACAGCTTCTCGAGTCTGGGTTTTTAACCCCGATTTTCGCTTGCGTTTACCCGTCGATGGTGCTGCTGGGTCGGACTTTATCGTTGGCGAATCTGATTTTTTTTGCCTTTTTTTCTCTTCCAGGGGAACTCTACCGCTCTCCTTTTCTTCCTTCTCCAATGCATCCTTTCCTGCCTTAATCACTACCCCCTTCTTAGCATTGAGACCTTTATTCTGTTCAACGCGCTGCATAAAATTAGCTTCTTCCTCAAGTGGGCATAGATAAATACCTTACATTTTCTTGATAATTCGGATCATCAATGAAATTCAAAAAGAACGGGACATCCAACAGTCTCTTGCAAATTGTCTTGCGTTCCTAGATAAGATATCAGGTTTCAATGCTCAAAGTTACTGGCATGGTTCCTCTTACCCTCAAAATCTGAAGAATTATTGATATTCTTTCAGCAAAAGTTCCGATATTATCTGGTTTGCTATCTTTCAATTCCCACGACTGGCGCAGGGGGCCATTCTGGTGTCGTTCGATACACGCGGCCTAATTATCGTTAGAATTTGTCTAGAACAACGTACTGTCAATTCTCCTTACTAGGATATTCCAGCACGCAATCTCAACACGTTGAAAACAATATCGCCGTTCTCTCCAGGGCCTAAGCATGCCGTCGTTATCTTTAGAATTTGAGAGATCGTACATAGACATCATTAGATCTCTAACAATAGCCTCTCGTTCAATCTGGGTCTGTGGAATGGTGGCATCAATAAGGGCATTGGGCCACTTTTGCGGCGCGAATGAATTTGCTTCAGCAGCAGATGTAAAGGTTAACACAATTTTTTCATCGGCATCTAGAGCACCAACACCCGCCGGTAGCCCCTGTATCACGGCATTGTGCCCCGCTCTTGTGGGTGTGATTTGTAGTTTCAATTCTTCATCATCGGTATTTGCCACTGTAAACGGCGGTACGGAGGCACGAGATACCATTAGCTTTCTCCCAAACCACACTGTTGAGAGAAGTGATGGCCCAAACAGGCTTACCTTGAAAGCATTCCTTGAATCCTTGAAACGGCGGTTCTAGAAAGATATTCGAGCTTATACCGCGTTGGTTACTGCCACAGTAGTTTGCGTGGTGACCAGCTGATACGGAAAATATGTCAGTATACCAAAGAAGCGGAAGCGGGAAGTCCAATATATACTTTGAAAAAAGTCATAGCTTTCTCGGGAATCGACTAGGGTATCACACGCAGTTTCAAAGTACGAGCTAGGTTCTGGCTCTGAAAGATCGTTCGGAGAGAGTTCAGAATGGTTGCTAGAACATAAAATTAGAACCTATTCACGCCAATAAGAGTACAAGGTACGAGCCACCTTATGATCCCCTGTTGACTAATGTCATTTAAGGAACAAAGATTCTTATCTAACAAGATAGGCAGTGCTCCTGAAGATGGGCCTGCAACCATATGAATTGAATTTTGGGCCATTTCAGCACAGCAGAAATGTAGGAGTGCCCAGAGTTAGTCTGCACAATATTGGAGGGAGAATGTGACAGTAACGGGTAGTGCTAGGGGTGGTAATATGAAATATTGCAGAAAATATGCAGTGATTTGGCCGTTGCTGAGGTATTCTGGTGAGTGTCGTTGATAGAATAGAGACAAGGTGGAAGAGTATTCTACTGCTGTTGAGCAGATGCCAAAAAGACGCAACAGTGACGTGAATTCTAGTTGACGCGCTTGAATCACTATACCAAAAAGTAAAGCCAACGGTAACCACAGGGCATAGAGATATTCACAAAGTAAACAGTGGGATAGTAGGAAAAGAAGGAAGGTGTTCTATAGATGATATTGCAGAAGTGATATTAGTTGAGGGCCATGGGGAATAGGGGGTTAAAGCTGTTGCGTCACCTTAAATGCACAATCAGAACATTCACAAAGAGCGCATCCTTGTGATGTGCATAGAATTGACGGCAGTATATGGGTGGTAATGTCTTGGTTGTAGAAATTGTTGTAAGCAGTAAATGTCGGTGATGTTGGCCAGATCGGTGATTGAAGAGAAGAGGAGAGTGTTGTAAAAAGGCGGGAGAACCTGGTCAAGTTATATACAACTTTCCGTGATTGAAGTTCGCTTATCAATTAACTTGAAATCCAATTCACTTGCAGTTGACAAGCAAAGTGACGCTGTTCATGCAGTACTGTGGGATAACAATACTGAAATCATTCGCTTTGCGCTAGTATCAACGACATAAACACCGATATGCTACTAACTGCCTCGAAGAGGAGGTTTCTAAAGCCTCGCGAAGAATGCCACCGGCACGCTAGCGATGACAACAATAGCTAGTCAATGGCAATGAATAATAACTTTGCGAAAGATGAATAAGCCTCTTTCTCTATAGCCAGGAAATTATATATGAGAGAATTGAGAGAACGGTACTCTCAAGTACTTCGTATTTGCGACGGGCGGAAGGTAACGCGGTAGTATGCGGGTGTGCACCTATAAAATCAGCTGTATCAATATTGGCTCTATGGTTTTAGTTGTCTTGAAGGGTTTATCGATAACAGGAAGCAAAAAGAGTTATTAGAGGATCAATGTGTACCTAATGTCTATTGAAGTATAGTAGGAAGGAGTTCTCAGAAGTCGAACACACTTTTGTTGCAAGTTCCCGGCACAACCCGACGAGTGACAGTTTGCGCACCGCTACAGTCACAAAAAACGTCAACTCAGCAATCTTCGACGCTATCTCCACAGAGATATATATGGAAGAGTGATCCTTTAAACAATTTCACTGAGCAGCAATAGCCCAGGGAGCACCTAAGTCAGCCTAGACTTAGGTCACCGAACGGTAAGATAAAAAAGTTCACTTATCATAGATATGTAGCTGTAATTGTTGGGGGCCTTGAGGTTCTAGCCATGTATGCAAAGGTGAAAAACAAGATAAGCGGAAAAAGAAAGTTGACCAGCTACTGCTGCTCTAAGGTGCTTGAATTGATAATAACAATTATGGTATAGAATGTATGTTGACTAGAACATTGTTCAGTAATCCGTACGGAGACTCCGTACATACTACCTTTATAATTAGCTCACATATCAGTCGATATCAAGACGGCCACTGGCAAGCCAGGTAAACGGAAAAAATCAACAACAAACCCTTTTAAACAAAAGTTTTGTTGAAAGGTATGGGTTGATGGAATTACTGCGGTGTTTGTATCCACATCGGATTGTGGCTTCGATACCTGTGAGACTTCACAATTGCCATAGTCTCATTGAATTATCGATTTGCTGAGAATGATATTCCCAGTCTGCCACATCATCGGAGATGTCTTCTTCATTACCATATTGCGTATAGTGTTTTTGTCCTGAGCAAGATACCATCACAGATCCTGTCGGGTGGAAAGTGGTGCTGGTGATGGGATCTGAAGCCATGTATCAGCTTCATCAAATCTAGTCAATTAGCGCGGGATACTACCATCATGTATTTTCCTTTCCCAGGTCGGTCGAGTCTCTCCTTCAAATTGAGCAGCATGTTTCCACATGCGAACACAGCCATCTGTGCCTCCCGCCCAAATTTCGTGCATTTCGCTACCATGACCTGGAACCATGTCGGCGTATAGCCGCTGATTTGTCATTGCCTTACGTCCCTTGAGCCAACCAACAAGCCGACCAGTAACTCGAATATCATAAACCAACATACCGTCACTTTTCCTTTCTGCGACGTACAAATACCTGCCACAGGGACTCCATAAGAGTTGCGTGATGCCTTTTCCACCAATATGGTGTTCCGCCTCTGTAGCACCAACACCAAAAATCGCAATAGTATCGCCACTGCCATTACCGGCGTACAGACCGACTTGCCTTGTAAAGGTACCTGCTGCGACAATTCCATCGCCACTTGGATTGTCTGCTAATGTTGATATAATCCCTTTCATTCCAATACCACCTCCAACCATCTTTCTCCGCTTGCTGGGAATAGTTGGTAACCTAGAAATTGGGCCGTCTTTTCCAGGACGTGAGACATCAAAAACACAAATTAGACTATCGGAGCCGGTAAGAAACTTAGTGCCACCTAGAGTTTCCGGGTAGAGTATACTGTGAGGAGTTATGACTGCCTCTGTTGTAGGGGATATTAAGCTGTAGGAGGAGATGAGACCAGGATATAGGGCGGACGTCAGTCGGATTGGGTGTTCACGGATTGATGAAAGAAGTATCGTTGTAGACGTATCCTGAAGTGAAAAGAAGGGGTAAAGGGCGACTGAGTATATAGGCTCTCTGGAGAGTGTTGCATGATACGGCGTGAGAAAATGAGCGCCTGCTTTCCCATCAAGTAGATCCGGGGGCCTGGAACTTCACTTATTAACGTTTTTTGATATCAAGCTTGGGCCAGGGCTACATACAATACAAACGTTCGAAGGCAATTATCAGCAGAATTAGAAACAATGGTGGTTCCATCAGCGGTCCTTTACTCATATTTTAGCAGTTCATATGGAATATACAGAAGTCAATTAAGCTTCTACTGTACCAATGTGCACTCTTGAAGTAAGTTGAATCTGTTTGCCGCGTCTTTTCGCGCTGTACAGCCGGTGGGAGGCTACTGGAAGCAGTAGGTGCTCGTGCTTCTATTTTATCTGTCGATGCAACACATTTTAGACCCCACAGCTTATCGGCGCATTCGTCCATAATCGCTATGATTGCGGGGTACAAAACACCCGGGCAAATACCAACATAAAAGTCAGCGGCTCAAGGCCGCTTAGTGATGTATTCGCTCCTAAGCTGCTTGTGAGGAATCTGGGCTCAATCCTGGGTAGTTATAAGAGCACATCGTGGCGACTTTGTACAGCGAAAACTAATTAAATTTGGGCTGTCCAATTGTCAAGAGTAGGTAGGTTAGTAGGTAGGTACGGAGTACTCCATTAGGTAGTTAGTATGTACTCCGTATCCTATCTCCATCCTTTAGAAATGTAACTACGAACTATTCTACTTTAGGCTTGGCGTATGAGGCTTGGCATTTGAGCTCAACTTCAGAACAAAATAATAGTGATCAGACAACCTTCACTGCTCTGTCTCTTTTTCCTCACTGCTAACTTTGATTGTGACGGGGGAATCTAGTCACTGGGATTTGCCGTCACCCTTAGCTTCTGCTACTCGTTTCTTCGTAGCTGGTTTGCCCAGCATGTTTGGTCAGCGAAGCGTCGCGCCAGCCTCTGGAGGTTTATTGGTCAACACCACGTCCGCAAATGCATTGTTGTGAGTCTTCGTGACTGGGCATCCGCAATAATTCACTAATGAAACGGGCTCATAAATAGCGGTAATAAGCAAAACCAACCCTCTACCACTTCAACAGCGGCTACACAAAGCGGCGGAAATTTGTTCGGCGATATAACATCAACCGCCGCCCCAGCAAATACTGGAAATGCTTTGGGGAGTTCAAACCCAGCGCCTTCGTCTGCTTTAAGTGGAAGCTTATTTGGTGGTGTATCCAATACAACAACTGCCGGTGCTGGCGGAATATTTAGCGGCCTAGGCTCGTCTACAGCAGCTCAACCACAAACAGGGACCATGTTTTCTACTCTAGGAGCGTCTGTCAGCAACCCGGGAACAACCCAAACTCCACAGTCAGGCGGAATTTTTGGGGGACTGAGTAGTACAACGCAACCGAAGGCTACAATGGGCGGATCCCTTTTTGGACAGACACCAAATACATCACAACCCCAAAACAAATCGGCTTTCGGGGGGTTTAATGCAACTTCAAATTCTGGTGGTGGATTATTGTAAGTTTTCTAGACGGACTTCCCGCGGCATAATCATAAGGACTGACTTTAGTTCTATGATAGTGGTGCGTCCACTCTCCAGCCAAAGCAGCCGCAAGGCCCCACATTATCACTCTTTGCGAACCAGAATTCTTCCGCAAAACAGGACCAGAAGGTTACGGGGTCCAGTATCGTGCAGGGTGTTAAGATAGATATATCGAATCTTCTTCCCACTACCAAATTTGAAAGCTGTGCCGATGAGCTGAAGAAAGAAATCGAAACCATTGACACATTCATCCTCAACCAGATCCACATGTGTAATGAAGTTTCCGACCTTTTACCAACAATTTCTGCATCAATCGAATTAATACCAAATGACGTCGAATTTGTGCAAGGCAAGCTCGACGCGCTTCAGGAGTCTCTTGAAAACGATGCAAGCGGCATCGAATATGCCCGCAATCTTGTAAAAGAAGATGCTATCAATGCTAAGCTTGCCTTTCGCGCCATTGACACTTTGCTTCTTCCTGTACAATATCAACCATCACCAGGCGAAAGATGGTGGTCATCAACGCAACAAACACCGTCGATATCAAAACATTCATTACGAACTGCATTCGGATCGCGGCGAGCAACTCTCGCTCTACCAGAGGATACAGAAGCAGACTCTAGCCACGATGGGCCTAATAGTCTTGTGGATTACTTTTCACGGCGATCGGATGAAATGGGTGCTGTTTTAGAAGAATACCGAAAAAATATGAAAGAAATTGAGGAGCATCTTCATGGAGTTGAACTTTCGGTACAGAGACAGATTAATGAGCTTGCCTCTTCTAGAGGTAGGAACGGCACACAACACAAGCCTGCCTCTCGTGTCAACCAGCTTGCCTCTACTCTAGGTGATGTTGAAACGGCGATTCTTGGTGTTGCAGGAAGGCTAGGCGGTGTTAAAGAAGATGTTCAGGAGATTACCTTAGCACCTCTAGGCATTCACAACAACAAGGTTTCTGGCGGGTGGTAATGGGTCTCTCATAGTATGGTTCTTGGAAAAATACTCTATGGGCGAGTGGAGTTCAGGTGCATATACATGGAGACAGGGGATGGCTTCTCTGTTGTCTTATTCTTCCAATACTCACCTTCCAGTCGAGAAATCCTCAAAAACGTCGATTTTGTGAATGATTATTCCAACCTAGCCTCGATCACCATGGCCTATACATCCCGATAGTCAGCAAGAGAAGGCCAATGCATTTCATTTTTCGGTCCGCTTCTCCAGGAACTCGATTCCGTCAATATGTATTCATGATCTAACACTATCCATGTGGGAGCTAAGACTTGATATTCAATTCAAGTATATATATCATCATCACCAAATACCTTAGGTAGAATTCCCCGCATCACGTGTTGTTTCCCATTCCCCAATATGGAAACAATTCAATTCGATCTTTTCCTTTACTCTGTATTTCATGACGACTTCACGAATCTGGTGTCGGCTATAGGCCATATCAGGTACGATGGAAACGTCCTCATTTCAGGAACCCTGCACTCTTGATTACGCTCGGTTTCACGGTATCACCCACAATCATCTAGCATCAGACCCTCTTACTCTTATCCCACCTGCCACAAATCGTGATTCAGTGGCGTGCACACCATTGACTCTAGATACGCTGCAAGCGCGGCGTTTATTCAATCAAAAAGAAAAACTTAGCGTTGACAAAAGAGGAGCGGCCTTTTTAACATCCATCACGAGATTCGGGGTACCGCATTCTCTGGGTGTGGATGCCTGTGACCCCGAATCTTCAGATCGTCTTAGAATCTCGAATATTGCTATAGACTTACCACTACTTCTCACGGATCACGAACACGATATGTATATGTTTCGTGATATATCGTCTCTGGACAGCACCGAAATTTCTCTTTCATTAGAACAGATTGACGATGAAAATGATGAAGGTTTCACGTTTCCTCGTTACGTTTGGGATCTACCGAGTCAAATTCATGACCAAGTTGCAATGGAGAAGCTTAACTGTACAAAAGAGGCTATCCTTTTTATGCAGCAGATCTGGACAACTCACGATCCTACCCCTGGGCACATTAAAGCGAATATGTGCGAGCCTATCACACCCCCCCTTCCTCCGAGAACTCCACCATCAATTCCTTTCATACCTTCGTCGCCAAATATGGAAATGAGGTTGCTGTCCGAGCCCCCCACTCCGGATATCCCCGAGCACGGATTAATTGAGAATGCTCTCATTGAAGATTCAAGGATGCTCTCAGAAATGATGCCAAGCAATACCGCAACGAGCGGTTTTTTTCAAGACGCCTTCAGGCAATTGGTCGAACCTGTGGAAGAGCAATTTATATCAAATAGAAATTTTGCTCTCCCTATCAAACGATCGTTGGTTCTTTCCATTAAAGTAGATGGTCCATTAACACCTCCGGTTTCAGCCAAAAAGCGCCGTGTAACCGAAGAACAAAAATCGCTAGAGGAAACCTTAGCGGCCGCTTCACTCAAAATTGAGCCGTCATCGGACCCAGATATTCCTCCAAAATTCAAGGTTCTATTAGAAGTCTCATCTCTTGCTCAGTCACAGGTTGAGTCTAAACTTATCAGCGAACGTATCCGTGGAATTCCGGCCGAGACTCGTGTTCAGGTACCAGTTCTTGCCGATCCGTTTCCAGATTCACTCTGGCCTTCGACTACATCAATTTTGCGACTGGAATGTTCTAGGCGTGCTGAAAGCATCGAGAATGACGATACTATTAATATCACTCGCTCGAGCCTTACAATAGAAAAGGAGGAATGGGATCTTCGGTGGAACCCCTTTCCAGCCGGTATTTCCCCATTACAAGTAATGGAAATCATTGATGAAGAAGACGGAACAAATATGCCCTTTATTCTTGCTCGGTCGCCTAGCAAATTATGCATTCAAAAGCCGAAAGTTGCCGACGATTTTAGAGAGAGTCTTCATGAGCCAAATGTCCTTTTGAAGGAAACAACACCATTCTCGGGTGCTATCGGCCCCGTAACAGATGGACCAAACTCTAACGAAAGTGATAACACCTCAAACGTTCATTCTTCATGGAGTAGGAAAGCCCAAATCTTGAATGATCAGTCTTATCCTAGTTTACCAATGCCAAAAAGCGATCTTCTTGCATCTCAATTTTCAGCAAGAATACACTTATCGAATTTCATGAATGTTCGTCAGAAAGCTATTCCAAAGGGCGTTGTCCAAACCAATTTTCCAGGAAACAATAAAACCGCTGATGTTCTTTGCTCCTCCCGTGAAAATAGTTTGGGGAAAACTTGTGCAGCATTTGATTGTCCGAGCTTAAAGCCGCCTAATCTTATTGAACCTTCGTTCCCCCTCACACTCATGATTTCAAACTCGGTGTTGCGAGCATATCAATCCATGATACGCGCCCTCGAATCCCATCCCATACCCAAAACACTCCTCTTTCGCGACTTTGATTTATTAGCTATAGCTAGTGAAAGAGCAATTTTGGAGATTGAATTTGGAAGCAATTTACCTTCTATTGGCCATAAACCATTTAGGCAACCAACGAAAGCGGGAAACAGCAAGTGCGGAGATGCAGATATCATTGTATCCCCTACCGTCGCTATAATCCTGACGAGCTCTCAAGAGGTTACTCAGCGTTATCTTCCTGGCCATTCCTCCGCAGGTGTTGGAGTTGGTAGTAGGCTCCGCTCCCCTCTCCAAGAGAGGATTTATTTTACCTGTTCGAGGTACGAATATCTCTATGTGTTAATATGTCATCCATTCTCCTCAAATGGGATAGACACATCAATCTGCGACAATACTCTAACTGCCGTCCGTACTTTGACGTCTTTTTGCTCTAGCATCTCGAAGACTTGTGCAGTAGTTCCTCTCATCGTATCCGCTGCCGCCGACCACGCAGCTGTATGGATTCTGAATTTAGCAAAAAAGCATGCTGTGCTTATGCCATGGGATGAACCGCTTCTTGGCGGTAAAGGAGTTGTTAATACTCAATGGGCACCGACACCTCCAGAGGACCCAAGTTTATGGGAGCTCTTTTTGTATCATGCAGGTCTTAACTGCTTTGCTGCCCAGATGGTGCTGTACAGCCGTGTCTTGCCTTCCTGCGCTCATTCTGAAGAAAACGACACTAATAGAGCGCCAGCAGCCCTTTCAGCCTTTGTTGAATTGACTTCTAGTGAAAGAAGGCGCATGTACAAACATATACTTGGAGACCGGCTGATAGAAAGGGTAAATTCTTGCCTGAATTCAGTGTGGTGATATCTTTATTTATCTCCAAGAGTATTTCTGTGTGGATAGCGTGTTCCCGGACCTACGAGCAGAACAACAGTAGTATGAACAAGCAGAAAGATGTGTATATGTTGAAACAATAGAGTTTGAGTATCACAAGATCTAAGTAACACCAGCTAGCTTTCAACATTCTTCAAGACCCGCCCCCTTGATTTCATATATCTATGTATGTAACTTCCCAACTGGACACTCTGGATATATCTCAACCAGACACAATGATAATTGTCGCACCCTCCCGCATCTCCATAGATAACTCTGCCCCATTGATACTAGTGTCGGAAAAACACAATACAATCTTAAAATTTAGGATCTAAACTCGATTCCTCGCTTCGTAGGGGGACGGGGGCAACCCTGAGGGCCGCATGACCCAAGGCCGGTCTGTGGCTCCGGCTCCGGCTGTCGCTTCTCCATCATCATCTCCGGTGCTCCATTATCAGACCTTTTAACGACCGGGGGCGGTTCGCGAGGGTTTCCCCAGACTTTTGGAACTGTCTGTCGCGGTGCCAACTGTGATGTGTTATGCTTCACTCTAGCAAGGGGGTTTCCTGTGCATACCTCTTCACGTGCCACCTTGGTCGGAGGGCCAGGGCTCATTGGAGGGGGAAGAGGGTAGAAAGCTTCACTATCCTTCGCGTTTGCAGCCAAATTATGACCTGTAACTGAGCCAACAATAGCCATGGCGATGCTCAAGAAAAGCACTGTCCGGGGAATCATGGTGCCGGAGGTAGGATGTATGCTCTGTAGCTCTGTGAATTCAGTTAGGATAAGATGGGGGGCGTCGTACTGAAAACCCAGGAGCAGCAGGAGAGATTTATAAAAAACAGCCCCCCCCCCCCCTCCATCTACTCAACAGGAGCTAATCTAGCCTGCTATCACAGGTAGACAATAATTTCATGCCATTATTGTTGGTGGTACAGCTGTTTATTCACACAAAGACAGTTCTATGCCATCTAGACGTCATGCAGGCTGCTTCGCAATACCCCAAACCCATTGTCGCGAATTTACTGCAGGTGACTCTTAAAGGGTAAGTCAAACAAACTTATTGGTTTTTGCACCAGCATGAAGGTGGGAGTCGTACACATTTGAGTTGCGATCGCGATTGCGATTGTGCTGCAAAGGCCAAAAACATCCAATACACGGAAGAAAGCAAGCCTTAAACTGTGCACGGAGTACATTGTATACAAGCTGCAGTGAAGGCAGATGTTGAGACCATACTTCACTCAGGACTGCCGTAGTCTGAAATACGAAAATGAATATCATCAAGCATGTTCACCTTTATCCTCCGTACTCTATATTTATCTTATGGATCGGATCGGCACACTTAGAATTAGGATGCTATGTTAGATGTAGTGATATGCATACAGGAGCTGCATGTTATGGCATAAAATAAAAGCCAAAGGAAACAACATTTCTCATGTTAATTAATTGGCAGACACTGCATTTACCTACTCACTAACAAGCTTTATACCCATATTAAAGCGAGTATGGGACTTTCGATTAGCTGAAATATCCTGCATTGTGTTGGAGCTGCTTTCACACTTTGACAAAGAAGTTCATTAACCTTCAGTAAATTGCTATATCAAGACAATGGAGCTTTGTACAGCATTGGTTCCAGGATAAGAATATTTCCCTCCCAGATCCATACTGCCCAAATCTACCAGTACCATATCCATTCCCTGCTCAATTTCCACCCCTTCCGGTTCATTCAGTACTGAAAATTACGCACTGGAATCGGTTGGGGTGTTTGGGCGTGAAGCTGCAAGCTATTCTAACCGTCAGCTAGTTATACCTTAATTTAGGGTAACAACAAAAACGTCTTGCCTTTTGAGCAAACTTGCTTGTCTTAGTACGCAGTATCTTCTTTCTCTTCTCGTCCCACAAGCTTTCCCACGGGGTTGAATCAAGTGCCGGCAAATCGATGTCGTTCAATGAAAGAAGAATGCCTTGGCACCGTGGTCCAAGCCTTTGAAGCCCCAATCTGATCGCGGTACGTAAATTCTCCGACGTTGGATACTCTTTGGACGATTGGACAGAAGTCCAATCTTTCATAAAGGCATGAGCAATGAATCCAAGCCCAACTGCATTAGTAGAGAAGAGTGATAGCCTGGGAGCAATTCGCCACCGATCAATGAGTTCGTCGCCTTTAATAGTAAACGCCTGCCTGCCGCTCGATAATCTCCCCAACGCACTTCAGATACCTGCCAGCTCTTTCCAGCTTCAAACTAATTACAAGGGTATACCAACATCCACACGAGTTAAGGTCGCTTGAAGGCTGACGTTATTCAACAACAACTGGTTGGTTTCTCCCCCAGAACGCCTAGGTCTGTTTGATGGACTAACAGATTGATTATTACACAGGAGTTGAATATGGCCAAGATTCGTTCTTCCCCGCCATGGCCTGCTGAAGCGTGGGCAAAAGCAAAGGAGGCATACAGCAGGAACGGACATTTCGGGCCAAAAATTTCCTATATCATCATAATTTCCAGATCGGGGCCTTACACCTCCGCAGAAAAACTTCAACTCGCTATTGAATCGTCTACCGCTTTAGAACCACAATGGGTACACATAGGTTATCTGGGCCAAAAAGAAGAAGACACCAGCTCCGAGAAGGTCCTAGTTTGTGAAATCGAACCAGCAGAATGGCGCCGAATTTCGAAGACTGCGAAGACTCAGGGTGAGTTTGTTTGGTATGGTGGGAAGATAAGGCTTTCATACGTCGTTGGTCCACTTGGCTCTCGTTCTGAAGTCCCAGCCGAATCCCAATGATTCTTACGTAACGCAGAGCAGAGCTTTGCTAGAACAGAGCTAGTTAATGAGTACCTAAACAGTTCTCAGGAAGAAATTTGTCCATCGGAGAGTTTGTAGGACTCTAGGCTTACGAGGTATGCCGTTCATTTAATAATAGGAAGGGGTCATAGTGGTAGAGTGTTGTAACCCGTATACTCAAACAATATTGTCTTTTATATTTGCGTGCGTAGTGCTCCGTACTCCGTACGTAGCGTCGAGTCTAGTAGATACACAATAAACCAAAACGTCCAGAATTCCAACTGCTGGCAAAAAATAACTAAAGCTAAGGGAAAGGAAAAGAACTCTGCACCCAGCTAATCTCATGAAACGCCATAGTTTCATTGATCTTTCAAAGCTCCTAATTTCAAAAAGGGATCCATACTACATCAAAATGCCCCTCTCCGCCTTACATATGATGCTTTATGAAATTTTCTGTAACATGAAGCTATAGATCATTAGGATAAAAGAACCTGGACAAGCTGAATGACGAGAGGAGATATATCATTTGAACTATTTTTTCTAGTTTCTAATCACACCGCAATCCAATATAGTTGTTATAAATGGTTCTGTTCTCACAACCACAGTGTAGGCGGACTCATTTTTCCTCTTGTGGTATTGAATCATTCTGCTTGGGAGCTCATAATAGTATTACATGATGTACAGGTTGAATCGCTAGATAACAAAGGAATCAACGGAAATCAGGTGGTAAATTCGTTTGTCTGCGAGGGTCGTTCATTCCTTGATCTTTGCCAAGAGTCTTAAGGCAAAATAAGTATGCAGCAGGAGAAAATAGTAAGCAGGACTTACTCATGGTCACGGAACAAAGTAAATTCTTCCTCGCCAATCTTCACGGGACTTCCGCCGTACTATAAACGGTCAGATCAACTGAAATTCTCGCACATAATCAGAAAGAAGCTGCATTTGACAGCTCCATCAAGACCTACTTGGGGAATCAAGACTTTGTCACCGGTGGCTACACTCATGGCAATTCTGTTTCCTTTCTTATCCATGGCACCGGGCCCAACAGCCAGTACGCGTCCTTCGTTAAGCTCCTTGACAGAGCTCTCGGGGAGGAAAATACCAGAGGCAGTCTTAGTTTCGGCCTTGATTCTCTGAACAAGGACACGGTCCAAGAGAGGAAGGAGATTCTTGACGCTTCGCAGGGCCTAAAAACAGTTTGTTAATTTGAATGGAAGAGCTTTGAGAGAAATTGAGTCACTGGTCCTCACCATTTTTCAAAGATTTGTCGGTGGAAAAAAAAATTTAATAAGGAATCCAAAACAGAACTTATGGCAAGCTTCAATTACACAAGAGAAATCTGTGATGTGCTGATGCTGAAGAAGAACTTCTTCACCTTTTTTTGCTGAGAAATTTCGAGAACGGATGCCAAGAACTGGAGTATGAGCTTAGCCTACTATGGTTAGTTCCCGTGCTGGCATTACGCATTGAAACTATCATTATTTACTTATAGCGGCAAAGTCTGCCATCAACTCTCTCCGCACTCCGTACTCCATACGACACAGTCTATGCTCACTCCTCCTGGGAGTTAAATAATGCTAGAAGTAGGCTCTAACCACAAATTATCCTAGCTTTTTCCATTGCTGCTCCTGGAACAGATTCGCTGGCCATCCCTGGTAAACCTCCCCTTGCATAACGACATCTCCAGACATTATCAACGTATGCTCCAACAAACATCCATCCTCCTCCATCTCTGCCCCTGCCAGCAATCGCGAGCCTGTTCTCAACACACTTCGGCTGCCCACAGTCATTGCATGAAGCGAGAACTTTCCGCGTGTGTTTAGGTGGCATACCAAACTTGCATCATCCACCGCAACGCGATCGCCTAGCGTTAAAAGGTCAGGTTCCGTAAAGAGCACACTGGGTTCGCCTCCGGCAAATAGTGCACAGTCTTTGCCAATTTTAGCACCTAGGAACCGGAAATAGAGCACAAGGAAATGTGTGCCAGCGAACAGTTTCACAATCCCGATATTGGCGTAGCAGCTTGCTCGCAGTTTCTCGATGGTGAGGAAGAGTTGCCAGCGCTGGCAGTAGCTGCTCTTGTCCCAGTCATATTGTCCAGGGGTTCGACGGCCTATCACAATCCATTTTGCTGCGATGACGATAGCGAGAGCTAGAACGACCTGGATAGCCATTGTTACTGCAATATTTCCAACCATAATAGCATATATAAGGAATGGCCGGTACCAACTAGGCTGAAACACGGGTAACGAGATTTTTAGTAGCTCTGAAATGATTTTCACGTTAACAATGCTTGCACTGTTCCAGTATACACTAGTGAATACGGTGATAAACGTAGAGTATATGAAGATGCTGAACATCCCGAAAACATAATATGAAGCACCTTTCTGATAAAGAGCTTTTCCGTATGGTGTTATTGTTGATGCGGGAATGTCAGACTTCGAATCCTCTGTGTTGCCTTCTATTCTTGTATCCAAACTACTACCGTCTTGAAGGGTAAGTGAGTTTGAGCTCAACGAGCTCTGAGAGTCCGTGGGCTGTTTTCGCAGTTCTGAAGGGCTTTCCTGGGCTCCGGTTGTCAAGCAAACAGCTTCTCCAGTCTTGCTACCAACCCATACGCTATCTGGTGGGTAGACGCCATTCCGTCGGGTTAACGCTCCAGTTCCGAGGATTGCACTCCTACCAACTTTTGTCCCAGGTAAAATAACCGTACGATCTGCGACCATGACACCGTCACCGATCACAACAGGCTCGCTCCCTATACCGTCTGATGTCATGATGTGAGACCGCGAACCAAACACGACATCGTCGCCGATGCTAACAAGGCTATAGTCTTGAATCGTTGGGCCAACTCCAGGCCAATATATTCGGGATCCAGCACGGCCACCTAGTAATCTAACGACAACAGATGTGATCTCGTAGTGAGATCCAAAGAGGTCAGATAGTGGTTTTGGACTTGGAGCGAGTTTCTCCATCAAGGAAAACTGGACTTTTTTTAGTTGGCTTCGCTTCGTAGTAGTTTCCTGGGTGCCACAGAAAGCATCTAACATCCTTTTAACGAGAACAACCAAAAAAAGAAACACTACTGGGCCCAAGGAAACACCCACAGCGCGAGCTAAGTAATGATATCCGATCCGTACGGGTGTAGTGAACCAAATTGTAATTTCCCGAAAGAGGTCTCCAGTCACCCTAGGCTTTTGTAGAACCATGCCTGTGAGGCCTGCCATCCATGGAAGCGCCGATGCTGCGTGGATTAGAAGCACGGTAGGCTCTACTAACAAAATTTTTAGTAGCCAATGCGGTGGGGGTATTTTGCTGGAGGAAAGATCACGGTTTGCCTCATTTGCATCCTCTATTTCCCAGCTGGATGAATTAGGCCCAATGCAGGTGTCTGGAGCCAACACAGTTCCCGGAGCAATAACCGCCTTGAGACCAATACTTGAGTTCCGGCCAAGTTTGATCGGTTGCAGCATCATGGAAGTATTCCAACCGACTGCAAATGGTCTGCAAGTGCATTCATCAATTGTCACATTGTCCCCAATATCTAGCAGATCGTATTCACCAAGTGTCGCCTTTTTGTTTATGGTCACCCCCTTACCGATCTTTGCGCCCAATAGGCGATAATAGAGCTTAATGCTCCAATTGAAATGGCTAAAGATACCCTGATGAAATGTTAGCATGTCCTTCTATAAGTTGTGAGCTTGTTTATGTTCTTCACCATTCTACCAATCAAGAGTGTCTTATGCACAAACCACCACCGTGTGTGATAGCACCCCCACATGGGATATAAACCCCGCTTGAAACGCCCAATAACAACCCATTTGATTGCTATAGCAACAATTGGAGCAATAATGTACGTAGCCCAGCGAGCAGCCAAGATGGCTACTATTAAATGAAGAAGTCGCATAACAATAAGTTCCGGCCAAGGCCATCGTTGAACTGTGACGCTCAGGAACCAAATGAACATTAGATTTTGGAAAGCGAGGCGTAATGGGAAAATCAGTCCAATAGGAATTAACTGGATTATCAGTAGAAGAGGGTTCGTTGAGCTGCAAGTTGTGGCGCATCCTGGAAAGATGGGATTTTCCGAATGTTCTATCTCACTTTTTTCACCTTTTTCAGAGAGAATTTCTTCGATGTGCCGAGACACTGCGCGTACAGTGCTACAGGTAAAGATGACGCTGCTAGGAAATTGAATCTGCAATTCTTTCCGAAGAACCGAGAATAGTCTGCCTGCCTTTAGGCTATCACCGCCGAGTTCGAAAAAATCGGAGTCTTTCCCGATTTCCTCCAGAGGGCAGCCAAGAATAGAAGAAAATGCTGCTTGAACTTTCCGCTCGACAAACGAGACGCTGTCAGTCTTAAGGACGGGTTTCAGAGCAGCAAATAATGCGATTTCATCTACTAGGCCCTCTGAAGTTCGTGGTGCTGGTCCCTCCAAGAATTCAATTCGACGAGGGATCAAGTATCCATCTAGCATGTTTGGAAGGCGGGCTTCCAAGTTCTGCAAAATAAGTTGTGCGTTGGGTGGTGGATTTTCAACGTATGTGGATAAAATTGCCCTTGGAAGGCCAGTACTTTGCTGCCGACAAACAAACGCAGCAAGTCGCCCACTCAACTCCATATCAAGCCTGTTTTGAACGACATTGAGGTCGATACTGCACGATCGACTGGGTATGCTTTTGGTGATCGGAGTATCCAAAGGCGGGCAGTCAGCCTCATAATACACCTCAGACGCCAACATTCCATCAGCGAACTGGGGAATGCCCAATCTTTCAGCCATTCGAATTCGCAGAATCTTTCCCCGGTTCTTGGGCAATGCATCCATATATACTATACCAACCGGTAGCTTCGCATGGTGAAGACGTTGCTTGAGAGCTTGGTGAAGCTGTCGAAGATCAGGTCGAGGCTTTCCCGGCCGTACCACTAGTGCGACGCCTACAACTTCTTGTAAAACGTCATGGCCGATCGAAAATGCTAAAACATCTGAAATTCTGCCAAAAATAGGGGATTCGGGGGACTGCGATGCTTTTAAGATGGCTTCCTCAATTTCGAAGGGAGAAATTATCTCCCCACCACGGTTTATCACTTCCTTGCCTCTACCAGTGACATAGAGGTAGCCGTCTTCGTCGAGGTAGCCCAAGTCGCCTGTATCGAACCAACCATCTTCAGTGAGGCTGGATTTATCAATCCCATCCGAGAGAAGATATCCTGGAAAAACCGGGAAACCTCTCACACAAATACGCCCTGTTTCTCTAGGAGGTAAGCAGCTAGAGTCTGACAGGTTCATGATGGCGATATCGGGGCCCACGCTTTTGCCAGAAGTACCAGGGCGATCTAAATTATATGATAGAGGTGGTGAAGCAATGGGCATGCATTCTGTCATGCCATAGCTTGGAAGAATAGTGCACTTGAAGGTATTTTGTAATCGTATTGCTAAAGACGGCAGCAGGCCGCCGGCGGCGTTGCAAATCAGTTTTATTTTGCATTGGGGTGATGGAACAGGACGGTCTTCAGCTTCGGTGAGAATCACTGCATGCATTGTGGGTGACGCATAATACCATGTCGGGCTCTGACTCTCCACTACATCCCAGAAAATATTGGCATCAAATCCGCTGCAACAGATGGTCGAGCCACCAGCCATTATCGGAGCAAACAAATTTCTAATCAAACCACCACTGTTTAATCTTAGCACAGAGTTCAACAAGGACTTACTCCAGGTTATTTGAGAAGTAGGATTTAACTTACACATGATTAAGAGGCATCATGTTTAGACAACGGTGATCACTATTCAAACCCCATGATTCAATAACAAATGCAACTCCAGTCACAATTGTATGAAGCGTAAGGGGGACGATCTTCTTCTGTCCACTGGTTCCGCTTGTAAATAGCACTAAGGCAATGTCGTCCGCAGAATTTGGTGTCATCTCAAAGGTAGGGTCGGGCTCTGTCGCACGAGCAACGGAAACCTTGAAAGTGAGGTCTTCATTCTCCTCAACGGCGAAAACTGAAATTCCAGCCTCCGAAATCCAGGGCGCATTTATATCTAGCTTTTCAAGGTCTTCTTTTCTAGCCAAGATTGCAGACGCTTCTAACTGGAGGACTTCTTGCATGAATTGCTCGGATCCGACTGTTGAAGAAACGGGAGCTGCAGTATAATATGCTGTAACGGCAAGGCAAGCGAGAGCCAAAATCGGACCTGTTGGCAATGCGATAACAACAACCCGTCTGCGGTGTTTGCTTGAAAGCAGCGGTAGTTGAAATTCGTGAACAAACTTATACACGCTGTGATGTGAAATATTCCGGGAGCTCAAAGGCGCGATGATAGCTGGCGTATGGACCCCGTTGTGTAACAAGCGATCAACGCTTGAGTATGCCTTCTTAATAGCAGTAAGGACGTCACCAAGCTCTGTCGGAGAGTTAATACAACTTTTTACATCTTTTGGGTACTCCCGCCAGGCTTGTTGATACCAGAAGACGAGCTTTAAAATAGATGCTGGGCATAAATCGCTTCGAAATATAGGTGGGAGCTCGCTAACAAGGAAACCATGTATTTCTGATCCAAAATAGCGCCTGAGAAGCGGTGACAAATGGCCAAGGTTTCCCTGAAGGGCGATATCCTTAGGGTGCGACAGTTTTGGTGGGATGTCCTGCAGAATACTGAAAAAACTCAAGGTTAGTAACACTCTCCAATAGCTAAGGCGCTATTAGAACTGCTTACTTTGATGCTTGAGTACCCATCATTTCAAAATTATCTATATCAGCCATATCTGCATCTCCTGCCAAAAAAAAAGACGACGGATATCCATACAAATGTTATAGGGGCTGGTTTACCTCCCTTTTTATACCCACATCGTTTCCGTAGACATACGTCCACATCATCAGTGCATTCAGAAACCCACCAACCTGCTATTACGCGGCATGATCCGAGCAAAACAGAGAGTTGGCAGGACAAGAAAAGAAAGAAGGATGCAGCTGTCACGGATGTATCAAACGGACCCTCTTGTGCGGGAACGGTTGCAGGGGCTCGGTTCAACCGTCGAGACATTACCAGTTCTTAGAACCAGACCGCGCGGACTTCCAGGCCTGAGTCGCGAAGAGCTGCTCCAGGATGGATGCAATCTCCATGTCACCGTTTCGCGGGATTGAACCAGGGCAACTGTGGTGGTATTCAATCCTTGCCCGGGCCGTACCTTAGCAAAGGCGGGAGATCGTCAGGAAATGTGAGTTCAAGTCCCCCGCCATGGCCGGTATTGCCTCAAACACCAGCCGTCCAGGTATCAGGTTGCCCTGTCAGGCTGCTTGAGGTTTGGATGTAGGAACTGGTGCTTCACGCGGATGACGCAATCTGCAACAGGAGACTGGTGTACTCCGTAGGGGCAGTATATACTCCGTACTGTATAACATTCATATGAGAAAGCTTTTTTCACTTTCATCCCGGACGCTCCTTGAAATCATGTTTCATTGCCGAGATGAATTTCGGGGATCAGGCTTCATTTGTTATTTTCCGGCCTTTGGAGACGTTATTATTATTGCAGGGAGCCGTTTAGCTCAAAAAATGAGCTCACAATCCGAACCGACATATGCACTGTTTTGCGCAACTTACTGGCCAATTGACCCAGTATCTTAGTGAGTATCATATTGCTCCAAATTTTGTAGTCTTGATAGCCAACACGTGCAGGATATTGCACGTCTGCTGCGTAGGAAAATAATTTTTTGTTAGTCGGCCTTTACACATGGGAGATCGTCCTCAGGGATAGAACTTATAGGACGCTATCCAGTGGAGCTTCACAAGTACTCTAATTTCTTACATGTTGTTGATCGAGCCATGGCAGCGGACAAACATTCTTCCCATCCGGAGTGACCGCCAGTGGACGAACCTATTTTTATGACCACCTCATGACCAACACTAGGTTTTCAGAGAGGAACGCATTGCATGCAGGGTCTCAGGGTCCCATACCCCCTGATAGGCGATCACTGAGAGAGTTTCTCTTTCTTGTATTCAGGTTACGACTTGCTGGTTAAACTACTCCGTACTTACACATATAATCTCCCTAGCGGGTACGTTCCAAGATGCTGTTACCCTGATGAAGGCAGATCGGTCCCTGAAAGCCCGGGCGCACGGCAAATCTGTATATTCTTTGCTATTATTCGTTTGTCGCAATGATGTCTTAGACTATCATTGTGGACGCGCATATCAATTCGTAGGGCGCAAAAAATGCATGGGAAGACCTTTGTCCGAGGCGTGAGCCTCTATTCTCCACTCATATATCAGCAATGGCCAATTCACCATCTCCGTATTCCTTTCCCGCGGACCGCATTGCTGAATGCGGCTCCACGTTGATCATATCCTCCGTATGTCATCTGCTGTTGTCCACCGGGTTGTCCAACGAATCCTTGGCCAGGTGGTTGGCCTCCATAGCCGGACTGCGGTACCTGAGGAGCTCCCGCACCTGGCTGACCACCACCCATCATCGCCTGCGCATGTTGCATGAAAGTCATTGGATCCATTGTCGAAGGGTCTAACCCTTGAGCCATCATGCTCGCCAGCATGCCTTGCATCATGTCTGCCGATAATTCTGGCATACCTGGTTGCATACCTGCCATTACATTCGGAGGTCCTGTATTCTGCGAAGGAGGAGCCCCTTGACTCGGCACGGCACCGGGAGTGGGTTGAGGCGGCCCGGACATAGCGGGCATGCCGCCCGGCGCTATGCCAAGAAACGCCTGCATGTCCTGAACCTGCTTCTTCTGATCTCCTACTTCCTTTCGCAGATCTTGCTGTTTTATACAATAACTTGCCCATGTGAACTCGTCGAAACCGTAGTTAAAATAATCGCTCACATCCGAGCCTGGCCGTCGCCATGGCTTATCATCCTCGGAAGGAAAGTCAGTGTCCAAGTCAGTAGACAAAATTGTTTTAGAGGTAGCAGGGTGTACGGGATTTGCGCTAACGTCAATGGTGGAGGTGTGTTGAGCGGGAAAAGAGGATCCGGGCTTTTGAGCGACAACTGGCTTCGCCGCAGGGGGATGGGAGATAGATGCTTCAACTCGAGAAGTGGATTGGGTTACGGTTTTCGGTATATTTGGAGTATCGTTGGGTCGTGGGGCGTCGGCTCTAAATGCGCCATGCTGTGCAGGTTGTCTGGTCTCCAGCTTCAGCAAGGGTTCAACGAACGTGCTACTGTCAACTTACGTTTGCGGTATAGTGGCAGGTTCTGGGGCTTCTGTTATGATGTTGAAGTCATCCTATAAAGAATAAGCGCATGATTTGGTCTCTTCAGAATCATTGAATACCTCATCGTCTTCTTCCTCTTCCTCCTCGTCATCATTCCCATCGATGTCCTCATGCTTGACGGGCTTAACTGTCGCGGCTAAAGGGGCAGAAGGCTTCTGTATTCCAGGTAGCATGTCTGTGGTACTGTAGAGATCATCGTCTTCATCCTCCATTGTAGCCATGGGACCGTTGATGTGGTTAGGTAAAAACGAAGATCGTCAAAGGTAATAGAAATCAATTATTTCAATTTATTTGCTTGACTTTTAAAGAGATTCTCAAAAATGCGACAAAGGTAATAGAAGCAGGGTTGACTAGTTACTCCGTACCGGGTCCCAGTTATAAAAGTGCAAGAACCATAACTACGGAGTAGTGAAGAAGCAATACAAACCCAGAATCATCTCCGAAAGTTCGCGCCGGCCGAACTGTTTGATCACGTGCGAGCTCCCCTAACTAGCTCAAGTCTGCGATGTGCTTCAGATGATATATACCCGCACGAAGTACGCTGTCCAAACATTACTCTGTACGGAGTACGCCGATACTGAAGCTACGAACCTACGGTAATCAAAGTTCACAGGTTTCACCTGATATTACATATTGTGCCAATATCAAGAGCGTTTCTATTCCTACAAAATGACAACCCCTTCAGAGTCCCAAAGTCGGACTTCGACGCCACGAACTTTCACAAATCAAACAGTATCGGCGGAAGATCTCCTAAAGTCTCAAACCGTTGGCTTGGTCCACCTCTCAGAATTTCGCAAACGGCGAGCGGATATCCTAGAGCAAAAAGAGCGGGAGGCGCATGACAAGTCTCTGGGACGGCTGGGTATAGGAAATTCAAGGAGTGTTACGCCGTCACCCGGAGACTTGACAGACAGGTGCGCATACAAAGCCATACAAAGTTTAGTGTTTAAAGTTAACTGAATAAGTGTAGTGCGACAGGTGATAGCGATGCCCAGCGTCCACGGAAGAAGAAGAGGAGAGATAATCGATTAGGCAAAAGCAAACTTTCATTCGGTGACGACCATGAGGATAACGAAGACTTGGCCAGCGCCCCGATAAGCAAGAGAGAATCTAGATCCCCGTCGAAGGATAATAGTGATGAAATACACCCTATTCGTGCTCGAAAGCTCGCGCCAAATCCCCACCTGAACGCTCCCGCGCCTAAAGTCATGACAAAAGCCTCTCTTGGGGCCGAAGCGCGTATGCGGGATGCTCTACGGCGAGAGTTCCTATTAATTCAAGAAAAGGTGAAAGGGACAGAAATACTCATACCGTTTGTATTTTATGACGGAACAAACATACCAGCGGGCAAGGTCAAAGTTAAGAAAGGCGATCCCGTATGGCTTTTTCTGGACCGTTGTCGCAAGGTTGGGGCAGAACTTGGTGTTGCGGGTGCCGGAGGTGGAGGGCGTGGTCGAAAAGACAACCGTAGAGAATGGGCGAGAGTGGGCGTGGACGACTTGATGCTAGTACGAGGTGATGTTATCGTACCTCATGTAGGCCAAATCATCCCTCATCGCGGTAAAGCCAAGCTAACAAAATACTACAGCACTACGAATTTTATTATTTTATAGCTAATAGAGTGCCTTCCTTCCAGGGTGGAGGTGGGCTGCTTTTCGATTATTCGAATACAGCACCCCCTGATGGTTCCTTAGACCAAACCACCGAGCCTGAAGGGGGGGACGCTGAACCTACATTGACAAAAGTCGTTGATAGAAGATGGTTTGAGCGGAATAAACATATTTTCCCAGCTAGTCTTTGGCGTGAATTTGAACCTGGGAAGGAGTTTGAGGAGAAAATGCGAGCCGTTAGACGTGATAACCAAGGCAATACGTTCTTTTTCTAATGGCATTCTATCTATTCGGTTCTCAACACTCGAACATTCTCAAGACCCTACCAGGAAATAGAAACCTGCCGTCCCCACCACATCTAAATATTTGCTTTGAGGTTGAAATTCAGACCTTCCCAAACGGGAAATCTGCCAACGCTTCCTGGACGCCCACCGCTTTTTGTTACCACCTCGCGCCGATCCTTAAACCAACACCGCATTGCCTTCACATGATGGCTCAAGTTCTAGATATCTGTCTCCGCTGCAACTCCCTGCAATGTCGTGCTAGTCTTACCGAACGAGCAATTGTTACAACATGTTCGTATGTAGTGCTTTTCCCCATTTATCTTGCACAGGGCATGCTGACCGCGTCATCAGCCATATATTTTGTCTCAAATGCGCCGAAAATCTAGGACTAGCCCGGTCAACTGGAAGAGATCGACAATGCCCAGCATGCCAGACAAGCCTTCTCAACCCTGACGATGTCGTTTCCACCGTCCTCAATCCAACTGAAGACTACAAAACTAGTGTCCTCAGTGGGTTAGATCCAAATACTGTCATGGAATGTGCCGGAAGAGCATTAGCCTTCTGGACATACCAAACTGCCCAAGAGATGTATGATGTGAGGATCACATGCCCCTTACCGTAAATCCCCTAATGTGGAAAATAGCTTCTACCAAGAGTACCTTGGCAAAAATTTAACAGACAAGTACTCTGCACTGAACAAGCAAATGGATAAGGTGATTCACGATGCCAACTCTGAGATGTCGAGTCTCCACCAGCGGATTGCCGGTATGTAGTTAGCTATATTACAGCAATTGTCGTTTGAGACGGCTTGTTGGCTAATTCCGATGATAGATTTGAAACTAGGCCAAGAACAACTTCAAAAGAAGAACCAGGAGCTAGTGGAGCTGTATCGCGATAAGAGCAAGAAGCACGCCCAGGTTACGAATCTATATAGCTTATTGAAGAGCCGGGCTATGAGGTCACAGCTCCAAACGGCAGTCTCTGACACGGTCGCAAATACGTTGCAGTCGCTTAATACCACAGAACACCATACTACCCATGGATTTGCAGCGAACACGCATTCGCTCCCTGCCTCCTCAAATTCTAGACATGAACTTTCCGTTTCCAATAATGATCTTGGTATCGAACGCCTACATCACCGTCAGAGAAGTGTCGGCTCCAATAACCCTCTAACCTCTAACACCATGCCGCCACCCAGTGGACTTCCTCCATCTTATCGCAATTGTAAGTTCATAAAATGTACACACAGAACAGTAGAACCTTCGCATAAGCAACTAAATGATCTTGGTACTTTCTTTAGCGGGTCTTCCTCAGACAAACCAACATTCTCATCGAACACAAATACCACCCCCTTCCCGGATAAATAGTACTGCGGAGCTCAGGATGAACCGTAGCCCTCGAAGCTTAGTTTCTCCCAGCCGGCTATTCAACTTGCCCCATCGTTCGCCGAAAAACACTGACCCCAGTAGAGCCCACACTAGCTCTAATAGCTATGGATTCAGTGCAGGGATAAAAATAGGAAGACCAAATGATTCCATGTTCGCGAGCACGGATAGTCGCGGAGGGGTGTTCAGCAGGCCAATCCTGTGATGGTCTGATCCCACAGTACATCCATACAAGTCTAGGTATATTGCCCTTGTGTCTCCAACCAAAAATGGCTATCCGTGGGTCGAGTTATCCCTAATAGGCGTGCTCGGACATCGGACTGTTAAGGTGCCACTAGAATTGTGGGAGGGATGTCTTTGCCGTCATTACCAAGCTCACAAATTGGACCGATCTCGGCCACCACCGTTCCTTTTGTGAGGCCATTCTTTTTCTGGTCTATAATATATATATATAGCCTACTTGCTATAGGGAGAATACTATGGTTCCATCGCCAAAAAAAAATGTAGATATCCCTAAGCGAGGGAGTCTAGGTTAGTTACCCAAGAAAAACCAGTCGTGAAATTTTGTAGTATTGTAAAGAGTGACGAAAAGATGTAACCAAGCCATGAAGAGAGAGAATACATACACAGAAGAGAATACGTATATATATCTTGGAAAGAAACGCTAATATACCACGCCCTAAATGCAATGATTATTTGTATATGTAAGGAAAGCAGGCACGCAACATTTAAGGAACCCATAATCTCATGAACCCTGCAACCTCCCGCCGACAAGTAACACAACTTCCAAAATTGTTCATTGCCAGGCTTATCCTGCACTCCTCGCAAATGCAAAGGCAACGACAAGGCCAGGTGATGATAGATCTTGGAGCACCTTGGCACACCACGCACTGTGGGCCAGAAGGGCCCAACCCAGAGGCACCTTGCTCCCAAGACGGCGATGGAGCTCGGCCGGTAGTCGTAGTGCTACTGCCAGGGCGGTGGGCATGGTTCCCTAAGCGCTTGGACAAAATAAGCTTCTCCAAGATCTCAGCTTCGTCATCCGGCGAAGGCCGCCTTGTTTTACTGGAGGCGCCTGCCAGACCGCGGCGATACGGGTAATTAGATCCACCAACGGTGAGAACTCGGGCCCTTTCAATCTCAACTTGCTTCTTGAACCGGCTTCGTGTCATAATCCTGCCCTCTTGGCCGGCGACTAAATGTGACGAGAGGATGCGCGCCTCCAATCTGCTCTCGCTGTCTTTTGGATCCAGCAAGCGGGCTAGGGCGTCTGTGTCAATCAGTGCTTCAGGCACTGCAGATCTAGATGACGTTGGATATGGATTTTCTTGTGTGGGTGTTGTTCGACCCTCAGACACGTCTGATTCCCACTCACTGCCCACGTTTGAAGACATGGAGATGACACTGGTTGTATCATCCCAGTCATCGGAGTCCAAGCTGTAATCACCGCTTTCATCTCTTTCGCCCCATGCTCCTCCAAGTTTCCACCAATTGTATAGCTTCCTATCAAATCGCAGCTCTTGGGTCTCTCCCCAAGAAGTGCTGTGCATCTCCTCCCTCTTGCGCATTTCTTTCTCCACATCAAAGTCATTATTTTCAGGGAGTTCAAGCACACCCTCATCGGTAAGAATCCAGAAATCTAGCGATGTCTGTCTTGGGCTCGTTTTTCTACTAGTAGTTTTGCGTGGTGTGCCGGCCAATTTGACCAGCCATTGTGGGTGATTTGTTATTCCGAGGCGGTCTAGTAATTTCAAGAGTCCAAAGGCAGCCCAGCCAACAACCAGGAAATAAATCCCCTTAGAAAAGGAAAAGATATAGTAGAACTTAGTTGTGGCTTGGAGAATGCCAACGCTTCCGAGATTGGGCCCACTGCTCGCTGGTCGTACAGCACGACTCTTTTTGTCTGTTTTTTTCTCTCGGTCATAGCCTGATCGCCACTCGGACGCATCCGACGTCCTCCCCAAAGTAGTGCCATTATGAGTATCTAGGTCGCTCAATGATAGCCATGGTTGTTGTCCGGCATTAGAGCTAGATGCTAAAATCTCATCAAGTCTTTCTTCTTCCAGCCACGTCATTCTTCTCGCGACAACGCCTTTGCCCTCATTTAGGAAAACTGCTTCGCTCGCAGCTGTCAATGAAGAGTATCCAATCCTCACGAGGGTGGTATAGAAGTCATCATGGAGGCTTATTCTGATATTTTGGAGATGCGAGGCCCCTTGCATGTTGGCGTGTGCAAGACGCAGCCGCTCTCGAAAAGATGTTGGAGCAGGGGTATCGGAAGGTAAAGAAAATGCTGTTAAAAGAAGGGCAAGGAGGTATATGCCGCCGCAAGTCAAAATGCCTATAAGGATAAGCAAATGGGGTATAAAGCCCACGATGCAAACGGTGGGAAACCGCAACATCATGGCATCTTTGTTAAGGGGTGAAAGATTAACAATGCCCCAGATCATACATGCCATGAAGCAGAGACCCCAGATTGTGGTGTTGATAAGTCGATATCGGCTTTGTTTTCCAAAAATATCAAGGAGGTTCGATGTGAGGCTATTGCAGCTGGAGATGAGCGTGATCAACAGGAGTTCCGGGGTAACATTCAGCCTTTCTAGAACTTGACTTCTAGTCAGTAACTGTCCCGTTCCAGAGGATATAGCTTTGTTTGCTTCAGCAGAGCCAGCGGGTTTGATATTCCCAAAGACCCCAAGGCCGATGGAATGCGTGAGCATAGTTTCAGCTTCCGCAAAAGCAAGACTATGCTCAAAAATGGACATCCCAGCTTCCGTAGCCACAGCTTTGCCTTGGAGCGCGCACGAAAGCGTTTCCACAAAATGGCTTAAACAAAGGCGCAAAAATGCCGGCCAGAGGAAGGAGAATGAGCCGTAAGGAATATCTCCGGAACTCGTAGGCTGTACCATCGAAACTGCGCTGCACGACGTATGCTCGTCCTCCCACTGTAGAAGAAAAGACGTTAAATTATATAAAACACCCCCATCGGCAGCAAAATCGAGAGTGGACAGCTTCTTAGGTTTTCCATATCGGAGCATCGCATAATTTGGAGATGTTTGGCAGCGAGTTGCTCGCAACAACGAGAGGATCTGTGTAATAAAGAGCGCCACAGGAATAATCCGTAAAAGCAGCCTCCGGTTCCATGTAAAAGTGAGATTCCGTCGAGTGGATGCGTAAATCGTAACACGGTTCAAAACCATAGCCTAGAAACAGAAAATTGATCAGTATGCAACGTTCCACCTGGCCAAAACCACGTATGTAGGTACATACCACGATAAAACAACCCATCCACCACTTGCTCGTCATGTATGTAAAAAACCCAGCAAACTTCTTCAGGCTCTGGAACATAGGCCCAGCAAAAAACCCCGATGCACCAGCCGCTCCCGCCGCCGCTGTTGCAGTCCCAGCATCACCCATTCCGCCCGCAGCCGTCGCCGCAGGATCACCCGCAATCCCGACAGTTAGATTAGCCCCAGCTTCAGCCAAAAATGAAATGAACCTCTCAAGCCCGAGGAGCCGAACTATTGCGTTGGGCAGTGTAGTAAAAAGAAAGACCTCGGCGCGGTAGATCAGGCGAAGTGGCAGGAGGAAAAGGGTGCGCGGGGTGAGCGCAGAGAACGCGGATCCGAGAAGCTGAGAGCCCGCAGAGATGCTCTCATTATGAGCAACAGAAGAGAAGGCGGGCGCGGCCGCAGAGGAGAGCGAGGGGGCGGCTGTCAACGCCGCCATGGCAGTTGAAGTGTCCGGTTCGAAAGTTCCGGGGGGTGTAGTTAAACGAGGGGACGTTATCTCAGACCCTCCGAAATATTAGGGCGGGAATGGGCCATAGAACCGCCCGGATACGCGAGAATAGAATACGCAAGCAACGCAAGTAAAGAGATGGTGTCAACGGGCCAGCGCTGCTGAGTTTGGGCACTGGCTACGTCGTCGTCGCGGGAGGGAGGGAGAGGGACATAGCATGCGGGTGCTCTGCTCGCTGGGGCCTTCCGGAGAGTGGCCGTCGAACGCTGGCACAACGAAAGTAAAAGACGTGAAGTCAGGTAGTTAAATGGTGAGAACAATGAAAAAAAAAGAGAGAAATTGAGCTTTGAAGATAGTTAGTCGAGACGATGCGAACCAGAATCCCGGTGCCAAGCCTCCTTTATATCTGGCCAAACCAAGCCAGGATGAGCGAGAGAGCGACGCAGCTGCAATGCTGTCTACGATGGAGAATGATTATGCCGTACAGGTCTGTCCTTTCCAAGCGGATCGGCCAATAGTCAAAACCAGCCGGCAGCTGGTGCCTTTTGAGTGAGTTACATACTATCAACATCAGGGCCAAAAAAACAATTCCTCGCTCATGAAATGCAACAAATATCCAACGCCATCCAGATCCGAGGTCCGGTAAAAATACATACATGAATAATACAGGGTTTTTGTCGTGCGGTGCGGGCATCATAGAAAAAATACAAAAAAAAGCATCGTCATTCTTCCCAGCTGAACTTTCTCCTCAAGACACGCGGCGGCGTTCGCGGCCGTGGCATAGGCTCACCTGGGCCCTGGGCATCTTCAGGCTGCGAGCCATTGGCTGTAGTGCCTGGCGAAGTTGAGGACAGTTGTTCTTCTGTAGGCGACACTGATGGTGGCGGCATGGCGTGGGGGAAGAAGCCCCTGAAAGACCGACTCCCAGAAGGGGTCAGCGGAGAAGGCGCCTCGCCGCTATTGCTGTCGTTGAACGTCGATAGCGTCGGCGCGAGGGGGCTGACCAGCTCTGAATCGGCATCACTGGTGTCGAGAGCAGCATAGGGGAAAATATACACCGGTGGCCCGGTGGTGAGGGTAGCAGCGGGTACAGCAATCTCCCCACTGCTAGTAGGCACGTTTCTGGTCTCGTAGGCAGGCAGGATAATGGCGATATCTCGCCTCTTTCCACTGGCACTGTAGAGAGGGTTGGTAATCTCAGAGGCCTCCAATTCGACGGGTGCCATTGGAGCCTGGAGCTCAAACCGGGTGACCGATGGGTCTGATGGCGCTTCAGTAGCGAAATGCTCATCGCCGAGTAACTCGGATGGCGGAGATGGGTTCGAGGAGCGCCAAAACTTCCAACGGCTTCTTTTCTCGTTTTTCTGATCTCCCTTTTCGGGAATTTGCTTGTTTGATTCTTTTGTCTTCTTTCTTTTTTTATACATCACAACAATGCCCCAGGTTGCAATGATAGCTATAGCCGCCACCCCAACGCCGATGCCGCTGGCAGCCGCAGGTGATAAAGGGCTCCGAGGGTTTTGCTCGTATATAGCGCTTAATGGATGAGGTATTGCCACGAGGTTCTTACTAGTCTCAGCATCGGATGGAAACTGGGCTTGGGAGACTGAAAAATTGCGACGTTCATAGTCAACGGTTAGGTAGGCCTCTTGCAAAAACGCCCTGCCCAGAGTAAATTGCTTTGGATCAAACGCTTTGCGCAAGGGGAAATAGCGAAGACTTTGGGAAGTAACATTTGCATCATATTTAGGAAACGGGTATGATAGTTTGTGATCAAAGGCGGAGAAAGGAAGGGTGATGTCAACAGTTTTGCGAGACCCTGGAAGATCACAGATAGTAAAAGTAACAGACACATTCGAATTCATGGCGCTGTCATATCGCGATGAGTTCGAACCATATGTGTATAGCTGCAGTGTGTCATTGTAGGTGAGGCCCAGCTGCTTTGCAAAGGCGTCACAAAGGTACTCTGGCAGCCAGAAAAAGGGCGTGGATGAATCAATCTTGTAAAGATCTAGACGCTGTAACGGGGAGAGCTCTAAGAGACTTGACCCTAGAGGGTCTCGGCTGGTTGAGACTTTGATTGAATTGAAGGCTACGACAGGAAGGTTGTCCGAAGACAGAGCGAAGGTCACATCATTAGAGAGGAATCGACTAGTATCAAATCCTCCCAAGGTGAGCGACGATGGCATGCCCTTCGACTCTTTTCAATATCAACAAATGCAAGGCATTAGAGGGCGGGTAGATGGACTAACGATAATATGCGCCAGCGGTATAACCGTAACTATGGCTCGGAATTCGCTTGCGATCAGCAGCCAAAGTGCCGACGAACGACAGCTTGTCATCGCTGGTGAAACTCGTCTGCTTGATTCCTAGGCCGAGCGAGCCAATCCACCAGTCGGTGATGTTGAGGATGCTGACGATCTGGCCGGCGAGCATGAGCTCGCTATCCATGGAGATGTTATCAAAGCCATAGTAGCCCACGCCGCGGCGGCCCAGCTGAACGGTATCGCCGAGCTCGTAGAAACCGACGTCCTGCCAGGTGCTGGACTGGTTGGGGAGAAACAGGCCGCCGCGCTCTGTTCGGCATTCCATGGCTAGTGAAGCACGACGGTCAGCGGTAGTCCAGTATATCACGCGGCCGTGCAACGTCGCACACAACCAGGCTCGCGTTACGTCGAGAATGGAGAAGAAGACAGGGCGACACGTACTGCCATCACATCCTGCACGGCCGATCACCCAGGTCTCGGAGCTGCCAGTGTTGGGGAAGACATTGATCCACTGCGGCGGAGAGCCGACGCGGATGGCGACGCTGGGCAGGCGGGTCAGCAGGCGCGCCGGCGCATCGACGGGCTCGAGGAGCGAGACTTACGGGTTCCAGCTTCCGTCATATCCAATCCTGCGGGTGGTCAGCACGTCTGTGAATGTTTCGCGCGATTCCACGGGTGTGCGACGGGAAGCTTACCAGTCGGCGGCGGCGGGAACGGCCAGCGGCAGCGGCTCGCCAGGCAGGGCGCGGACCGACGAGCACAGCACAAGGCCGGCGAGCGCCAGACGAAGCGCAACGGCGAGGGAGTCGAATGCAATGGGGATGGGGATGGGGACGGGGACGACGGCGGTGGGCGGCGAAAGGCGCATGGTTGGCGCGATAGACGAGCGGCGCGCCTGGAAGCGACATCGCCCGCGGTGACTCGACAGGTCTCGACGGACAAGCGAACAGACAGGCTGGCCGGTCAGTCGCGCTCGCTCACTGCTAGCTAGCTAACTACTAGTTGACGGACTGGCTGACTGGATAATCATCTAGCTAGTTAACTACCCCAGACACCCGCATGACGGGCAGCGACGCCTGCTGGGTATTTCTGCAGGCCGCTGCGGCGCCGGCACGACGCTCTCGACGCTCCCCAGACGGCGTTTTCGGCGCGCAACCGGGGGCATCCCGGCGACGCCCCCTCAAACGGGCTGCAGTCAGGCGGCCGTTTGGCTTTCGAAACGCGATCATCATCGCGATGCTGGTTGGCACGGAAGAGCGGCGTCGCAGGCAGGCGGCGGTGCGCTCGAGCGGCTTCATCTGCGCCTGCGGAGTGTTCATGGAGTACGAGTATAGCTGTATACATCTCGCTGCGACGGACGGGCGAGGTCAACGGCTTACGACTTAACGAGTGAACTGCCAGCTCACTGAATGACTGACGACTCGCCTTCATCTCAATCTCGTCGGCGGTGGCCGCCGGGCCGCGTTTTCCCTCTGTCCCCAGGCTTGGTCGGTGGCATCGCCAGGACCAGCCTGCACACGACGCCTGAAGGAGCCGGCGCTGCTGGCGATCGCCGTCCGGCCCATGCTCTGAGATGAAGCATCCGCCATGCGCATGCCCGGCTCTTCGCTCCCTGTCAAACCGACACGGCGTTTCTTCCCCTGGGCCGCCCGGTGCGCGATCATCATATGCGCCACACATGCACCGCGCCGTTACATAGTTATCCACATCTTGATCCCAATCCAACTCGCGGCCGCCAGAGGGCACCGCATGGCTACTCATACCTCCTCTCTCTCTCTCTCTCTCTCGCGCGCGCGCGCTCGTCGTGCTCGGCTTGCTCGCCGGCGGCGTGATGGCGGCCGTCCTGGGCGACAAGACTTTTTGGCTTCGCGGATCCCTGCGACTTCATACATGGAGGCCTGTCGTCGCATGGGTTTTCTTTGATTGATCCGACGAGCATCGCCCCTTTGCAGACCTTTATTAATTTGATTCACGTTGCCTGAGTTCGAGGTTGTCGCCCGAGATCCGCCAATACGCTGCCCTTTCTTTTGTTCGTTCTCGCTTGCTCAAACGATGTGCGAACACACCCCCAAGAGTTGCATGCCGCCATTATATTCGCGCTCCCGGCGTCACTTCCAGTTGCTTTGTCTTTGGCCGGCGATGTTCTGATGCCTGTTCGCCCCAACTGTTGACAGCTGCATATGTCGGTGATCTGTTCCCAATCAGCTGAGCTCTTCTATGCTGTGATCTTCTGCCCGAATCCACCTGTTTCAGTCGCATCTACTCCGTACATCTTGCAGAAACCAAGATTCTCAACATGCGCTCCGTTGCGCGGGCCCTTGTTGCGTCTTTTTTTGCCTTGCGTTCCGTAAATGGTTTTTGGGACCATGACGGTCGGTCTTCTTCATATTCATAGCCACATACATCCGGTACTGGTCTGAGAGACGAGTACTGATCCAATTTTTTGCGTCAATAGGAGAATCTACTTCTCAAGCCACCCCAACCGGCGCCGGCAATTCGCCCCGTGTATTGCAGTCCGACACCAGTACCACCTCCTCAGATGTATCGCCTTCTGCCGCCTGCTCGGGAACGCTTTTCTACTCCGGGTATCTCCCACAGCTCATATACACGACCGTAACGAGCACCTCAACCATCACTGGCTTCCAGCCCATGCGTATGCTGGAGCCAATATACATTACGCCACTTCCGCCCTGCGCTTCGTACGACTGTAGTTTAGGGTTTCGCCATGAAGACTCGTGTCGCCAGCTGTCGCTGCCCGTCTTTGCTCCCCTAAATTCGCTGATCTCGGTGACCAAAAAGACTACAATCTACCAAGCACCTGTCTCAGTCACTCCTCCAGTCTTCTCTGGCCTAGGACAAGTCAAAAACACTAGGCTACCTACGGAAACGATCACAGTCCCCAGTGCGCCAGAGTTTGCACACTGGATTGAAAGTGCTATTTTTGGCCAGATTAATCTATCCAGTTCGCATAGCGACTCAAACGGCCCTGCCCCTGAGCCCACGCGACGTCCCGATCAAAACGACGAAACCAGACTACAGGGCCATCCCACCGATTCCGGAGGAGAAGGCCCGCAACTTGAGCCCGCCTCCACCACAGTACTTACACTGGCAGGCATTCCAGTCACTATTCGTGGGGGCCAGGTTACAAGCATCGTTTATGGCGACCCTCCCATGACACAGGCAATCAGTGGCCAAGCAACTCTTACCCTCACCGCGGCGAATTCAGGTCGCACGGTTGAGTTTATAGTCAGCCCGTCAGCAATCATTCATGGCGGAGACAGCTTTCCTTTGAACCTGCCCGTACCGGCGACAATAGCCACGGCAACGCGCGCAATTAGCGATGGCTCACAGACACATCGAGTGTCATCGCCGGAAGCCACCTCCGTCGAGCGCGATCAAACCAGTACAGGCAGTATTCGCGGCAGTGGAATCGCAGAAACTGGCGGTGCATCTCGCACTTCCTCCGTTCCTGGCATGAAAAACTCCGCCACGAGTTCCAACATTCCGGTCTTATTATGTGTTTTGGTCTTCGCGCCCTTGGCCAGTGTTCTTACACTGACATGAGATCTCAAAAAGGATAAACCACAAACATCATCTCCTATGCCTGTCTGACATAGGAGCTACTTTAGGGCTAGCAATTGCAGGCTCATCTTTGCCAACCCGCTCTGGGGGATACCCCAACGGCAGTTCGGCCTGAGACCGCTGAATCAGGGGTAGGAACGTTGAGATGAAGGTGCCTTTCTAGGTCTACCAAGGAGACTTGATAGGATCAGACTCTCAGCCAGACAGCTGGTCCTCTGGCAATGGTACATTTCTAGCTTACCGCTCACATCAGATATGTGCAAAAATCTCCCTCAAGCTGTTAAAAGCCGGCTTGCCTCAATACCAGGAGAGGCTTCGAAACTAGATTATCGTATTACTATAGAAAGTAGAAATTATCAACTAAAATGCCTGCTATACATCAACGCTGAAGTTTCTTAAACGCCGCTCTCCACGTAAGAGCGACCACTGTAAGAATACCGATACAGAGCGCCGCCTGGAATATCGGGGCCTGACGCCTGAGTTCTGTTGCTAGATTAGAGCCATCACGCCTCTTGATGGGGCATAGCATACCCAATTCTCTCAGGGCATCGCTAGCCTGGTATCCTGGCAGGGTCCAACATTTCTCAATTACACTGCGCAATGGCAGAGAAATCATAGACAAATCAGGAAACTGTCTCTTGCGAAGTCGTGCATCAATCTCGCCATCGCTTAGTCCATCAAAAAGTAATCGCCCCTGATCAAGTTCATAAAGAAGAGTTCCAAGCGCAAAAACGTCATTCTGCTCATCAGGATACTCTTTAAGACATAACGGATCTGAGTAACGTGTTGCGTGGGCTACATAAGACCCTTTCCCGTCCAGCCCGGAGCCGGCGAAGTCGCAAAGTACGATCTCACCATCGTCGCGAAGGAGGAGATTATGAAGGCCAAGGTCACCGTGAACAATATGGCAAGAGTGAACATAAGCAAGGGCACTGACAGCCTGGTAGGGCCAACTATATGCCAGGCAAAAACCTCAGTGCTCAAATTTAAAATCAAGTTATTCCTTGAGTAACGGACCGATTTCGACCCGGGTATTTATTGAGCTGCCCAAGGTGCTCCTTCAAAGTGCCATTTGGGTGATATTCAAAAAGTAGGGCGCCTTGCAAGAGAGTACACTCTGGAGGGCTTTGGCCAAAGCAGCGCAAAATATTCGGATGGCCCTGCAGTCGCTCGTACGCTCGTTTTTCAATATCATGGAACTCAGAGCCCATGTACGGAGAGAGCGAGGGAATTTTGGCAACAATATTCGAGTCGGCGATGCGCACAACCTGCGAGGTCACTCCAATGCCCACGCCGTATAGGTCTTTTCTTGTTAGGCTAGAAAATTCGACGGTGAAAGACATTCTTCAGGAGCAGGAATGCAGGGACTCGATCAGAAAGCCCATACTTCGTACATACTTGGTACCGACTACTATGAAGTAACTACGGAGCCCCTGCCAAGTAACCGGCAACCAATTTGCTAGCCCGAATGTGGTTTGTCTTATGTAAGGCAATTCCTCGGTCTTTAGTAATGCCGAACCGGCTTATATAAGAATCCATATTATATACATAACCAGAACGCACTAGGAGAGGTAGGGGGTGGCTATGCGCTCATGCTATTTAAGCCTAGTGACTCTAGGAAGTAGTTCCGGAGAAGTAACAAACATAGGTCTCCAGCCCCGATGCCCAAGGTGCGCAGCCCATATCATTATTGTATGAGCGGTGGGACGCCGCTCACCTCTATGCTTTCTAGGCCGACCAAGCAGCGAAATCTACACGTATCCGCGATAATCAGCGGCGCTCCCGCGCGCGGCGGAAGGAATACCTGGAGGATCTGGAGCGACGCCTTCGCAGATTTGAGAAACTCGGCGTCGAAGCCACACAGGAAGTCCAAGCCGCGGGCAGAAAAGCCGCTGAAGAAAACGCGCTGCTGCGATCCCTGCTGAAAATACGGAGTGTTACAGACGGCGAAATTGACGCATATCTGCAAGAGCATAGAGGGGCGACAAGCTCGATCGCGGCACTGGCTTCGTCTAAGAGTGTTCCTTCGAAGTCTGAACTACTGGAGACAGCGGGTCATCCAGCTTGTGGGGTGGGCTCAGGGAGCGGTCAGCGGCGCTCCCCTTTGCTCATGCCCCGTAGCGGGATAGGCCGCGCACAGTCAACAACTGCAACAACAATGCTGATAAAGCGAGTTGAAGGCCTGCCGTCTAGGCCGTTACCTCTTCCCCACCCCGGCCTCTCATTGGCGCCATTAGTGGCTGATGTGCAGCCCACTAATCCGAAGGATTGGTCTTCAACCCCAAGCATGCACGAGATACGCTTGGGCAGCCCGACTGGACCAGGTGCAGGCCAACTCACGCCGTGCGAGACTGCAGCTGGAATCATTACGAGGATGCGAGGAGATCCAGACCTCCAGAATGCACGCGCAGAACTTGGCTGTTCCTCAGAATCCACTTGCATGGTGAAGAACTTGGCCATATTTGATTTACTTGATAGGTGAAATTTCAAAACTTATATAAATAATCAAAATTAAATACCTTTTGGAAGGATGTTTCGTCTTCTGTTTTCTATGAATAAAAACCTGTTACGAAACGGGATTTCTTTTCTGTTTCCTAAACGTAAATCTGGCAACCGACTTAAAGGGTATGATTTCTAGGCTGTCGATGTTATGTCATGTTTCTTTTGCTCCTAAATATACTGAATGATCGCTAAGGTGCTCCTGAACTCGAAATGCGACCCTTCTCTGTCGTTAATTTGTGTGGATCTAATATCTCACAGTCATTGATTAACCATATAGATCCTAAGGACTACTACGTCTATGCTGAAATCAGATGCATTTTTCCTGCCATGGAAAAATCTGTGCCCGAAATACAACAGTATCTTCTACGTTTGTATTTCGCAAGCGAATTCAAAGTCTGATTAAAGATGTTGTGTATGTATGTACACATACTCTTCCGAAGAGCACTTAGGCATTCCCCCGACCTGCTGGATTTCCAGCTCTATGCCTAAGTCGTGGCTGGATCGGACAACTTCTTGCACGTAACAAGTAACAAGCGCTGGTTTCCGCAAGAATCCCAGCACCGTCTCTAGTGTACAGAGTAGTGAGATGACTCTTTGTCGTATTTTAGGTATGTAGTTACTACGTGCGCCCGTACTCTTCCTTTCCGCCTTTGAAATCTCTCTTGAGAAATAACTATTCTTTTGATATTGTGCCGCCGCCTAATGGAAATGACGATTGAATTTCAATGGCTAAAATCACTATCCCAAAAAACGCCGTATTGGCGCCCGCGCTTAAAAAAATAAATACCAGAAGTACCTTTTGAAATATCTCCAGGTTATACAGTGTTTAAAGGTGAGCTAGAAATGGATTCTCGTATTATACGAACAAATGTTCAAACTTGCCGGTATGCCTGAGCAGCATACTTTGTTCTTCGCTTATGGGAAATCAATATTATCAAGTTGTCGATTGCAACAACTAAACGCCAGTTAGCTCAAATCATAACAATGCTGCCACGTTCTGAGAAGAGATGGAAGAGCAACTTACCAAGCCCAAACGCAATCACAACAGTGGGGACGATGAATCCGCTCGTTGAGTAAGTATTGAAGGGGTTTCTTAAATCGTTGGGATCATCGGTCAAAACAAGAAGAGAGATTAGGGACAAGATAACACCCATCACGGTAGTGATGATGATGGAGATGGATTCCCCTCTGCTCTTGTGCGATTTAGAGAACCAGTGTAGCAGGCCCAGGGAGACGAGGACAAGTCCTGAGCAGATAAAATAGAAACGAAAGGTCACCAAGAATTTGTCACTGATTCGGTCAATTTGCACTTCCGTATTGGTGGTTGCTGATTTGCCTGGCTCAATTTCAATTCCAAAGGTAGAAGTGAGCCAAATGACGAGTTGGGAGATGAACTTATCCACAAGAAATTCAGCCTCACCCTCAGATGCTGATGATGATTTCGAAAGAGCTGTAATATTCCTCAAGATTGGTTCGAAATCTGGAGGCGGTTTGTTGCCACGAAGTCGGGCCGCCAAAGTGGCAGCCATGGCCCTGAGAGATGCAGCTAGCTCGCCTCCTGTAGTAGCCGCCCGCATGGCACCCTTAGCCGTGTCAAGTGCTTCAGCGAGAAAATCAGTAGCAACAGCAAAAAGCACAAAAGCGCGACTCCCTTCGTTTGTTATAAGGATAGCGATATGAAAAGGGTAATGTAAAAGAGCCCAGATCTGCTGACGAATGAATCCAAAGCGTTTTTCGTCGACTTGGTCGAAGTAGATCATGAAAATAAAGTACTACGGAATACTGATCAGCGCATATCACAAGGGGCGAGGTCTGGAAACAGCTTTCAGATAGACATACGTTAATTATAAGGTAGCCAGTGATTAAAACAACTGAGACGGCCGTTGGATACTGTGTTCCCTTTGTGATGCTTGAGACCTAAAAATGTCAGGCAACCTTGACCCAAAGCAAACGTCCTCAAGCATACCGTTTTAGTCATTCCAACAATACCTTCTCCCAGAACCATGAGCGTCATGCCACCAAACCGTTCTACAATTGGGGTGTCTTTGAAGCTCAGTGATTCCCATCTGCTTGAGATCACGACCATGAACAAGGCCTCAAAAAATGGAATGATATACCAAGCGAGGTAAGCATATCTACCATGCTCTTTTGTGGCGGCAAAGGCCAAAATCAAATAAATCATAGCCGAAGTAAAGAGTACTCCCACTGTGGTGAGTTTGGCGGCGAGAGTCTTCTTATAGCCCCTCACATACCACGCCACGAACCCATATTGCACCGCAAGAAGAATGCGGGAACCCATAATAATCAAAGTCGTATTTCGGAAACGACGGGGGTGATTAAGAGGTTCATTAGTGTCGAAATTGGGGGCCAAGACTGCCAGGCCAGTCATGATCCCTAGGTGCATCGCTTTCGATATTCGCGAGGAGATAGAATCTCGATAAAACCGAATATCATAGAATGCAGTCTGGAGCCAATAAAACCACAAAATTGTAATGTAGCCGATGTATGACCTAAGACCTGAGAAAATAAATCAAAATCGGAGAATCAACATCTTCGGAATAGCAAGGCGCATACTGTCGTTAGTGTTTATCTCGTGGGCAGAAGCAAAGCTAGAAAGATTGGCTACAAAAAAAAGATCAAAAAACAGTTCCATGTTTGTCGCAGCCTGGCGCTTCTTGAGAATAACGAATTCTTTGGCCTGGCCATCTTTAGGCTCCCCATCCGCCTCCACCGGCAGCTGTGATCTCTCTATGTTTTGAAGCGGCACATTTTCTCGATCAACCGGATTTGAAGAATAGGCTAAAGGCTTCCGCCAATTTTGGTCAGTGTAATTGGGTTTGAGGATGTTTTTGAACTGCATGGCGGCGCAGTTAAGAGGACGACAACAGTGGAAAGAATAGGGGAAGAAAAGGCGGGGAAGAGTATATGTTTTTTATATGATTAAACATCAAAATGATAGCATGCCGGTATGCATAATGGATGATCAAAATTGAGAGAAAACCGCCGACTTGTTGGTGAGGGACGCTGAAGGATATAGGGGCCCTTTATATTATTGCTTACGCCCAACACAACATAACTAGACTAGGTTTTTCCCCTCTAAAAAAGCTAAGAAAAAACGGAGTACAGACTATGGATTGTGATAGGCGGTACCTAATTATGGCACAAAGACTGCATGCTAGCCCTACCAGCGTAGGGAACATAGTACCACGTCCCGCCGGGGATTCAGCTCGAATGAACAGCGCGAATGGGGCGAAAAGCTTGTGCGCCATCGAAATCCCAGACGTGTCGAAGGATTTTGTGATGGAGCCGTTTGGCCTCGGCGTGGCACGGTCGGTCACCGGTGCAGCGGCGGAGCGGCTGCCCAAAATTGGAATCATCATCGCGGTGAGCAATTTTCGATGAGTCGTTTGGGCGCGACACCGCCCACAGGCAGGCCGGGGAAAGGGATAGTGCAGGACCGGAGGCAATAATAAATAGAAGTAACAGAGATGCGTCGCAGGAGTCGTCGGGATCGGCCTTGTTTGATTTCCGCGCTAAGCCGGTTTGGTACAAGCGCGGCGCCACGTTTCTGGACGTGGCGGGCGTGGCTAGGTAGTGCCGGCCCGCTGGGCCTGAAACTCGCAGCGCAACATGTTCGCGATACGAGCCGCCGTTGCTGTGGCTGTTTCTGATGTGGCAGCGGGCCATTGATATTGATGTATTTGGGCAATCTCGGTGCAAGCAGCGTGGGATTCAGCAGCGTCGATGTTGAGTGGGGGGTAGGATCGGTCGCCTGGATGCGGCGGCTTGGTAGTACTCCGTAGTGCTCGAGTCAATTATTATTTGGGAACAAGAGAGAAGCTACTCCAGCTGGCGGCTAAATCTAAGAAATTAAAGTCTTGTTCGATGATCCATAGCTGGAGTTAGTTGAACTCCGGTAAAACCTGCTCAGAGTTTAAACATCTGCCCGTGACTTCTCACTCCATCAAACACGAACGTGTTATCGAGTGGTACATATTGTCTCGTAAGCACCTTCAGTGCTTCCTGGGCTACAACCCCCCCTGCTATTGACGAAATATTATGTAGCTCTCCCGTCCCCGCTCGCCGCGCTTCTTCCATTGCATTTTGGATGCCCACCTGCGCGGCTTCGTCAATAATTTCCACCTCATGAGTTTCAAGAGCCCGCAGGAGGACCGAGGCGGCGCGTTGCCACGAAGCGGAATCGGCGACTCCGGACTTTGCTGGCCCCGGCTTGGCCTCTTGGTATTCAGAGACGAGTATATCTAGTGCCCGTAGCGCGATGAATATGGACATCAAAGACTCGGGGTCCCGAAGTGAGTCCTGAATCATCTTTGCTGTTTCTTTTGTTGGAGTATGTGGATCTAAGAACGGGAGTAGGCGCCCCTGGATGACTTTGATGTGTGCAGCATTCTTGCAAAAAATCTCAATTTCTCTCTCAGAAATAGGGGAGTCAATTCGATCGCCTCCTAAAAGAGACTCGAGAGCACGAACACTAGCAACAACCTCAGCCAGATCTTTTCGAGCCTTAGACTTGTAGATATTTTGAAGTGATATGTAATCTGCCGATTGAGCCTTCATATCAGGCAAGGAGCCGGGAAGAGGTAATACGTCATGCTTGTTGTAGAACGTCTTGACAGCATTGGCGATTACCCAGAAATTATGGGACTGTGCATTCAGCAACGTACATTGCTCCATCTGAAATATACTGCGCAGTTCGCTACTTAATGACCAGGAATTGATACTCTTCAACACTGCCCCTGCTGCTTCATCAAAATTTTCCTCGCCTCCTTCGGCAGTATTTGTTCTAGCGCCACTGCGAACCATGCTTCGAAACTCAGTTTTCTCTTGGTATGTTTTTGGATATATGCCATTGTGACCTTCTTTCCATCTTTCAAGATAGTGCAGCAAAAGTAGGAGATAAGGTATATGCCCATGCTGGTGATCATCAAGCGACTCTAGGTTCCCAAGTTTCTTCGTGGCAGCTAGAAGTTCTGGCCACGGGTTCGTGAGACGAAGATCTTGCGTCGACTCTGGGTCTGGATGCGTTTCAACTATAGGAAATAGTGAGGGGAGCTGTACAGAGACTGAGCAATAGAAGCCCACCGAGTGGGCGTATATTAATGGTATGGAAAGTGCATTTGTCTGTTCGGATATGATTTGAAGGGTAGATCTTCTCATTGGACCCGTAACAATCACCAGTCTATACGACATTAAGAACTGTTTTTCCGATGACAAAATCTGCGATATAGGCTGGATAGGTAGTCAGCCACTTGCTCCACTAGGACAGACATAAAGTATGCTTCTTCTACCTGCGAAAACCACAAGCCCTCCACATCTGGATTCAGTTCCCGCAGATAGTTGCATGTCTCCTCTGCCCTGGATTTCCCCAGGCTGCTTTCCTCCAAGAAGAAATTAACGCCCAGATCAGCTTCGGTCACTGTCGCGGGATCCACGATAGCATAGCCACCAATCCCAGGCAACACCAGATTCTTAAGAGTCTCAGTGCCAATTACCCCTGTGAGGGGCAAACCGTCGTTATCTACCGCGCCATCCGAGTTGACTAGCAGGACCCGAGAATCCTCAAGAGCTTGCTGGCCGCTGGCTGCCCATAGCCGGAGCTGGCGGTCATATTTCCTCTCCTTCGATGTCGGGCCCACAAAAGCGGAGGGGCTGGATTGCGGGGTCATTGCAATAGTGCTTGACGCCTGCGTTGAAGCTCAACAAGTCCTGAACTGCATGCTCGACTGAGAAGGCTCGTCTGCAAAATACAGCGATATGTTTAGGTCACTTGTCCCCAGACCTCCCTTGCCCAGTTACCCCACAGGAGGCCGCTGAGTCAGCATATGGGGCTAGGGTGGGTAAATGGGGTGCTATCTTGGGTCGCAGGCTCCCAAGAGACTCTAGCCCTCATGAAGCAAGTTCGAATATCTTCGACGGCTCAGCCACGAAGGCAACCGTTTGTTTTATAATTATTTTCTTATTAATACTTTTTGATCGCCCCGGCCAAGTGACCCCCGCATGTGCTATCTATTGCGACGTGCCTTTTTTGAGTAGATATACTCCGTATGCAGCAGCTTAACCCCATTTCGTTTCGCCTCTTGTGGGTATCTTGAAAAAAATTCCCCCTTCTGTTCATCCTACTCCAAATTAGCTCGGGAACCAGTGTTTACAGTTTCGGCGCTGGCTCGGGGTTTGACGAAAGGCTTCATACTGACTTTGGAAGATTCCGGATACCCTATCGGCCAATACCCTCACTCCGGGTCATTCGGCGTGCTACGTTATCTGCCCTCAACTCCAGTCGTTACGCAATCGCCCGACACGCCTCTTTCTCTTCTAGCCCCATAATGACCTCCGTTATCGAGGACGCAAAACGCGCTGCGGCGCGCGAAGCGGTCGCAAACCATTACCCCAAAAACCCCAGATTCGTGGGCATTGGCAGTGGCACCACGATCGTGTATGTCGTTGAAGCTATCAAGAGCCTTGGCTTTGATACTTCCTCTACGTCGTTCGTTCCCACGGGGTCACAATCGCAACAGGTCATCGTCAATGCTGGCTTAAAGCCCGTCCCATTGACTGAACTACCAGAGGACCCAGTTCTTGACATAGCCTTTGATGGCGCCGATGAAGTCGATGATGACTTGAATTGCATCAAGGGCGGCGGTGCCTGCCTCTTTCAAGAAAAAGTGGTGGCAATGCGGGCGAAGGAATTTATTGTCGTTGCTGGTACCCGCTATCAACCTCCTTTGAAAACCCGCGGTACTTATTAGGCAATTAGACTACCGAAAACTTCAACCCCGTCTTTTAACTAAATGGCCATCTATCCCCATTGAGATTGCTCCGGTTGCCTTCCGCCCCGTAATCTCGACGCTGAAAGCTATGGGTAGTATGTCGCCAGTGCTCCGCAAGTCGACGATAGAGGAAGGCTTCTTACGGACAGACCAATCTTTCTTCATTGTTGACGCCCCTTTTCCACGCCTTCTGTTGCCATCCGATACTCAGGGCAATAACAACGGTAATGGAAAGGATGGCATCTGGGAAGTTGAGGCGCTAGCCAAAACAATCAAGCAAATACCAGGCGTCTTGGAAGTAGGCATTTTCTGCGGTCCCACTGGGCCGCAGGCCCAAGCGACCGGCGGTGTTGGTGGCCAAAGGCCCATTGCTGCATATTTCGGAATGGCTGACGGTACCGTCGTTGTGAAGAAAGCAACCTGATATTCGATTTGATATGGCATACTTACTTGATTTACAATAGAAAGATTGTTTTATTTAGATGATATCCACCATGCTAGAAGCAACGATTAATAAATGCGTTCTGCCACCTTTTTAAGTAATGCCTCGTCGTAAAGTATCAAACTATGACGGCAACTTATTTGTTTCCACCCTTTCCTTTGGCTTCCGTCTCACCCAGTTCCCTGATAAATACTTTTATTGTGCCCTCTGGTGTATCATCAGTGCCATCTTCAAAGCCCGGGCTGACCCCAATTGCCAAATAATTCCCATTTGAGCTAAAAGCTAGAGCGGCCACGCTGCTGGGATACTTCTGGTACTGCCTAATTCTCCTCTTTGCAATCCCATCCCACAAGGCAACAACCCCATCGCCTCCACCAGAAGCAAAAGTACCAAAAATTGGGTGAAAAGCCAGTGCATTAACTGGATACACCACATCCACACCATCGACATTCTGGCGATGGCACTTGAAAGCGTACTTCCGGTCCTGTGATTCCGGGGATGGATCAAACCATTCTACCGCGACCCGACCTTCTATGCTGGAAGATGCGTATCCGGCATCGTTGGGCATACAAGCCACTGCTCGCGTCATAAACTTTAGACTGCTTTCGCGACGTTGCCAGGGCTCGATGTCGAGTTTGTTGGGAGGAGGAGCGGCGCCGGATTGGTCAACAAGGGTAGCGAGAGATTGGAGGTCATAGATGTGTAGTGCGCGAGACGCCATTGCAACGACTAGCTTGGTTGGAGTGATGGACAGCGAGAAGGGTTTCGAGGGGAGTGTAATGACGGCGGGCGCGGTCGGCATGTCTGCGCCAACTCGGTGGATGTGAAGCGTACAGCTCCATGATGCAGACGCTACGAGTTTATGTTCTTTGCTATAGACAACAGACTTTACGCCTGCATCGTGCGAGCTGAGGACCGTTTGCGACGAGGAAGTGACATCGATTCTAAGATCCATAGGGTGAGTCTGGAGCGTAGCAAAGCTTGTTCGAAGGGAATACCTTCTGACATCCCAATCTAAGCCGCCTGTGTAGAGTTCATTCTCGTTCTCTCCAAAGCACACATCCAGAACAGGAGCACGATGTTCGAATTTCCCGACCAGCGTTCCTTCACCAAGTTCGCCGGTTTGAGGGTCCCGAAGGTCATATAAATACACGTTCTTGTCCCATGACGATACCACAAATCGCGTCGAATCTGGCTTTGTCGAAAACTTGACGGCAGAGATAGCGTCCGTCGGAGAATCGGGGACGGCAAATTGGTCTCATAGAACTGTCAGCATCTGGGAGTAAACGCAGAGGCGCAAAAAGTACTCTCGCGCAAATAGGAACCTTACTTGAAGCCATATAAAAAGTAGATTGCGTGTATAAAGTGTATGTAAGTGAAAGATTAAACAATAGAAAAGCTTACTGGTGTTGTGTCAAGTTGTAAAAGGAAAAAGCGTCAAGCAACAAACGGTATAAACTCGATTGAATTCAGTCTTATACCGAGATATTTCGGCAGAAAGCAAAAAAGAAACTGGTCCCAGAGAGGGTCGAACTCTCGACCTTGGCGTTATTAGCACCACGCTCTAACCAACTGAGCTATGGGACCCGCTTTCTGGTACAGGCCGGGGTCGGCCAGATTCAGTATTTCATGTGCACTATATCCGGTCTAGTACGAAGCGCGGCCTTACATCATCGCGTTAAACCCCTCTCACGCCATCAAACCCATTGAGTGTTCGTTTGATGTCGCCGTTGATGCCAGAATGCCCTTCGCCCAGCTGATAATTGGACCGCCGGGCTCCGGAAAGTCCACATACTGCAATGGCATGCAGCAATTCATGTCTGCGATCGGCAGAAAGTGCTCAGTGGTGAATCTGGATCCGGCAAATGACCGCACATCATATACTCCAGCATTGGATGTACGAGAGCTGGTGACACTCGAAGAGACCATGGCGGAGGATACGCTGGGCCCCAATGGTGGGATATTATACGCAATGGAGCAGATCGAGGCCAACTTCGATTGGTTTCAAGAAGGGTTGAAAGACTTAGAAAGTATGCGACATCTCCGGGATTTACGCTCCTTGAAAGTACCAGCTAATAACCCGCAGATGACTATATCCTATTTGACTGCCCTGGCCAAGTCGAAATATTTACACATCACTCATCGCTTCGAAATATTTTCTTCCGCTTGCAAAAGTTGGGGTATAGAGTCTGCATTGACCCATAATTCCACGTCAAATAACAAAGTAGTTGCGCTAATGTCAAGGGGTACAGTTAGTTGTGATACACCTTATTGACTCATATAACCTGACCCTCCCATCGATGTACATCTCGGCCTTGCTTCTCTGCCTTCGCGCGATGCTACAGATGGATCTCCCTCATTTGAACGTGCTCACAAAGATCGACAACCTTTCGAACTACCCGCCTCTCCCGTTTAACTTGGACTTTTATACTGAAGTTCAAGATCTGACATATCTGGTTCCGCACCTGAAAGAAGAGCCGCCGTTTGTGGCTAGCTCTAAATTCGACGCCCTTAACAAGGCGATTGTTGAGGTCGTGCAGGATTTTGGACTCGTTGCCTTTGAGACTCTCGCGGTCGAGGATAAAAAGAGCATGATAGATCTCTTGCAGGCTATCGATAGGGCGAGTGGGTATGCCTTCGGAGCATCTGAGGGGGCGAACGATACTATCTGGCAAGTAGCAGTTAGAGAAGGAATGGGCACCATGCACATTAAGGATGTACAGGAGAGATGGTTGGATGCTAAAGATGAGTGGGACAGTCATGAAAGAGATAAATTGGAAGAAGAAGCGAGTGTACGCGAGCACGTAGCTACAAAGACACCTGGCAACGGTGGCGGGGATGAGGACGTGGACATGGGCTTAGACACGTATGTGCCGAAAGACAGCGGAATAAAGGTCGTAAGGAAGTAAAAACAACTAAAATATATCCGGCTAAAAGGAAAATACGCAAAACTTACCTCAAATCATCCGATCAGAGGCCACTTAGCCATCATCCTCTTCCTCGTCAGCTTCATCGTCCCTTTCAATGCCGATGCCCATCGAAGTATCTTTTGCAGCACCACCCGGAAACATCTCTTGCAGAAGATCTTTTCCTTCCTTCTCCGACCTCCCCGAAAGCCTCACTAACTCCATTCTTGCTCTTCGGATTGCCTCCGTCTCTATACATTTCATTGAGCCAGATACCCGCACGACTCGGAAGACGCAATCGTGCTGCTGATTTTTATACGAAGAGCTTCGTGATACACCTTTCTGGTCTTGGGGGTTGGGCAAGCGGGACATATATGTCAGAGCGGCCCAGACGAGCCGATAGCCGTCACGGGGGCATCGTATTATCGCGGTCGACGTTGCTGGGGACAAATACTTGACTAGTAACATGAAATATTAGCTGAAAATGCACTGCAGACGACAGAGTGGGCGAATGAATCTCTTCAAAAACAGAAAAAATGCAAGGGCTGGACGCACCACTGATACCACCGGCCCCAGCGCCCCCGAGCCGGCCCATACCCCAATCACCAAACATCTCACTCACGGTCTCCCTTAGCATTTTTATCAAAGCGGCAGCCGTTAACGTATCCGGGGCGGGCCGGCATAGTTGCAGATGGAAGCGCGTTTCCGGGTCCAATGCTTTCTGGGAGGCCGCATCGGCCTTGGTAGTAGGACAAGCATCCGAAGGCGATGGCGGGTAAAGGATGTTGACGAGCAGGTATCTGTGCTTGAGTCGAACCATTGGTGGTGGTCTTGTGAGCCAACCTCAGCTCTTCAATCGTGATAAGGTCCAAGCGTTTTGCGTCCACTTTGAGGCGTTGATTGTTTAGTCAGACATAGACCCCAGTGCTGAGAGTGGGTGCTATCTGGGGGCATGCCGCAGGATGACCAGCACGTGATTGCCAAATAAACCTTGGCAGCTTCCAAATAGATGCCTGCTACCCGAGACATTAACACGCAGCAGATATACTCCGAAACCTGCACATATGCTGCAGATAGGGGGGATGTTCATCCACAGTCGTAGTGCTCGGCTGCTCTTCACCCCGGCCTGATGATGCGGCCTCTTTACGGTCTCACGACGGCCAGGGCGAATGAAATCGGCCAGCACGCCGCAAACGGCGCAAACACGCCACGGCAGCCAATGGCCTTGGAGCCGGTGCGCGAGGCTGGACCATGTATGGCACGTGACTGGGCCCCGTATCGGGCGGTGAGAAAAGCCCCCATTGGCCGGCTGGCGGATTAGGTTGGGCTAACTATAACTAGCCTTTAAGCTTAGTTGCGCGCCGGCGCAGAACCCCCCGCCGGCGGTGCGGGCGGCCGACCGCGAGGAGCGGGAGGGCGTGGGCGATGCGGCATAGTAGTTCACTACTATTTATTATTATTAGGTATGAGCAAAGAATCCTACCCTGAGTGCAGCGCGTGCTGTGCTGTTGCCCATGCACGGCTGCTCTTGTGACGATGGCGTGGAAGAGCGGTAAGTCCGCCCGTTGACAGGCCTGCAATACCACAGCCCAGGTAGCGGGAATGTCGGAGCTTCTCGGGGCAGGTTTTGCCTAGGATTGCTAGTGACGTGGTTAAACGTCCCTTGGATACGCCAAAGTTTGGACTCATCTATGTTCAGCAAGTAGCACTACTTCTCACTCTACAAGCAGTTCTCACATTAAGGAGCATGAGACAATAAGAAGGTCAGTTTGAATTCGAAGAACAGCCAGAGGATCTATTCCCAGTCCAGGCAAGCCCCTTATTCTAGGTTTTCTGTGGGAAAATGGAAGAACAAGAACGAGCAGAAAAAGACAAAACGGAGGACGATCTGGCGGGATGAACGGCCACTACTACTGGTGGTTGAGTCTGCCATTCCTGCGATCGCCGGAAGTTTAACGCGGACGGGCGGGCGGGCGACCACCAGCCCTTCAGCGACCCGTTCTTGTTTCGCTTGCGGGGGCCGGGTAGGGCTTGTGTGGGCAGCGTGGTCTTGGGCGATTGCGGTGTGTAAGTAACTGCGGTACGGAGGACGTGCGTGCAGACATCCATAACTACGTGCTGATGCTCAAAACTCCGGGTTCCGTGGCTGACAGGGGCATCGTCGACTCATAGATCCCTGCCCCGTGTAGTTAGTTAGCTAGTTACAATTAATATGCTTTCTGTTCGTGCCAACCAGGCCGGGCATCAGTCGCAGTCCTGACGCCAGCCAACGCCCATTCTTCTTCCAGGGCATGTTCCCTGACCCATCATCGACTAGCACCGCCCAACAGCCCGCCTTGACGTTGTGTCGCAGGGGTGCGCTTCGGGCGAGAGAACCGCCTGCCTGAGCTTCCTTCTCGGAGATTTCCTTCCCCCCCGGCCCTGTCTGCGCTGTGAGCAGCCCGTCGCGTGGAATACGAAGGACAGAATAATAATAGGCGAGCATCAGGTGAACGTCCAGCACGGCGAGCCGAGTTAGTTAGTTAGTGAACTAGTTGGTTATAAGAGCACACTGCGCGCGCAATAATGTTGCTCCTCTGCACAGCCCTCTGATCTCTCTCTCTCTCTCTCTCTCTCTCCTGCGTCTTTCCCGCCGTCTTCCTCTCGCTTGCCGTCGCCATGGAGCGCTCCTGGCTGCGGTATGTCCGCCTGCTCGCCATGTACCTCGTCGACCTGGTGGGCATCTCCCCAACCTCCTATCGCCTCTGTTCTCTCCACACCACGCGAACACTCTCCTCCTCCCGCCCCAAAGCTCCACGCCCTCCCTCGCCGCGCATGGCGCTGAACTGCTTGCCTGCCGAGATCCTTCTGTGCATCAGTGACCACCTCCAACCAAGAGATATAAATGCCCTGGTCCAGACCTCGACGCCCTTCGCCGCGCTGTTCTCTCGTGAACTATACGACTTCGTCGTCGGCATCCGCACGAGCGACGACGAACCCCAACGCGCGTCGCTCTTCAACCGAAATGCCCTGTCCTACGCTGGTCGATGGCAGTCGCCATATGTTCTTGATTATTTCAGGGTAAAACGCGCTGACGTGCTTCTGCGGGAGGATGCCCATGGATTTCTCCTGTTCAACGAGGTCGTACGCTGCGGCAACCTTGAACTGACCAAGATTCTGCTGGAACGAGGCGCGGATATCCACCGGTACCAGACCAATGACACAAACGGCCTGACCCTCGCTGCCTTGGGCGGCTATCCAGACATCGTTCGTTTCCTCTTAGACCAGGGCGCCGACATCCAAGGCACCGAACCGTCCAAAAAGACCCTATTGCACACTCTCTATCAGCACGGCCGCCGCAACCCTGAAGTGTCCCAGATAGTGGTCGATCAGCTCAAGCGTCGCAACGAGATATCGAAACAGAATATACGCCTAGACACACCACTCCACTATGCTGCGAGATACAACAGAGTGTATGCTGTGTCTCAGCTGCTTGAAGCCGGCGCCGACTTGACGAAACTTAATACAGATGGCCTGTCTGTTCTAGATGTTGCTTTTAGATCAAAAAACGATGAAATTATTGGCCTCCTTCTCCAGGCGTCCCCTGGCCCCTGGCCCTCCCGGTACATTGAGAAGGCCCTGTGGAAGGCTTGCGAACAACTTGACCTAGACATGGTGAATCGCATTGTTGCCATGTCGAAGTCTAAACATATAACGATAAACTTTTCTCACGTTGAAAACAACCGATCGGCATCCACTCCATTGCACGCCGCTGCTCGTGGCCCTCAGGATGGGACACGCTTCGCCAGACGAGTGTTCCACCGGAAAGAAGTGGATACACTCAGGAACTGGGAAGCGATTATGAACATTTTGCTAGACGTTGGTGTCAATATCTTCGCCAGAGACCGTATGGGGCGCACACCGCTCTTATATGCCATCGAGGGCGGACAGCCTGAGAAAATGCAGTTTCTCCTTACGAAGCTCGGCTCGACGTTGCCAATCCCCGATCGAATGGGACGCAGCTCACTTCACGCTGCCGTTCACGCCAGCGAAGGAGAACTAATAGCTCGGCATCTCATCCGTCATGGCGTCGACATCAACGCCCAAGACTCCCTGGGCCAAACAGCCCTCCACTATGCCGCGGCCTCTCCCACTGCAGTATCCGTTTTGGAATTCTTGCTCGCTGCCGGTGCAGATACTTCTATCGTCGACAAAGCAAGCTATCCCGCGATTCATTTCGCCGCAGTACAGAAACGAGACGGGTCGTTAAAGGCCTTTGTCGACGCCCGCGTTGACGTCCACCAGAACTGCGAACTCTGCCACCTAAAAACAATGCAGTGGAAGACCGACGATGGCAAGTGGAAGCAGGATCCGCCAGATCTCAATGACCTGTTCAATGGAAACTTGGTGTGCGTGAGAAACTAACTAGCAACAACATTAACGACTAATGAAAGAAGACAACTGGCATTTGAAGGTTTTTTTTTATTTTTTTTCGTGGCGATGCATTGTCTTATCTTAGATACCCCGGCTCTTCCATAACTAGGTACCTCTATTTCCGCTGTTACCCCTGCATCACCCTCTGAGAAAGGGCATCCATCGAGGTTTGCATTTGTATCTGCGTTCCTGTTCCTGTTCTATTATTATTATTATTCCCATATTGTTTGGTGGTTTCTAGCGAGCAGTCGGCGCTCTGTGGAGTTTTACAGCCAACCTGGCCCGCGCGGACGGAAGCATTTATGTACGTATGTAGTTAATCATGGCTGTTTAGCTCGAGCATGAAAGGAATCTCGCTTCTCTGGCTTTTGCATGCCGTGCGACGTGTGATGTGTCGCAGCGTCGTATCCCTATCCCATGTGCTTGTAAACCCGCCTGTAGAGCCCATAAGCCAACAAGCAGACACAAGTCGGCCGACGACACACTGCGGGGTGGATATTATGTCGATTCTGCGCCATTCTTCTTGCTTCAATTGATCGTCCATACGTACGGCTGTCAAAAGGAATAAGGGAAAAAAATATCCATAATTAAATGTCTATGCAAAGGCAAAAGAATAAGGGAGAAATCGGATTGATACTAAGCTCCCAAAGTCTATAAAGGCGAATTCAAGGATCATATTCATTACGTATCGGGAAGAACGGGGTCTATTAAGTGTTTTTGCAGAATTTACATGCTAACCTCCACACGGCCCTCAGCACCAGGAGCGCCCTTTTGGAAGGTTGGGAGCAAGTAGGTAATATCATCCCAAGGATGGCGGTAGAGTCCAGTGCGGAGTCTCTTCTGGTCAAGGAAATGCGCAATCAAACCGATACTGCGGCCAAGAACGAAGAGGCCGTTCAAAACACCCATGCTCAGGTAATCTTCAGCTTCCTCGGGGCTGAAGGCACCGCAATTACGCATGAGGTCGACGAAACAAACGGCGACGCAACCATCGACGTTGAGAATGAGGTTGTCTTTCTTGGAAGTCGTCACTGTTTCGACGGCGATGGCGTAGTCAAGAAGTTTGTGGTTGGGGAAGTGCTTGAGGACGAATTCTTTTACGAGTTCGACTCGAAGATCAGGGTTGTTACGGGATTTGACCTTGTGGCCGATACCGGGGACTGTTGTTACATGTGAGCAACGAGTGTACACTAGGAAGAATAATGATGGATGGGTTAACAAGCAGCTACTTACTGAGTTTGTTTTCTTTGCGCATGGTATCCACGAAATCACGAGGGCTAAGACCTTTATCGAAAGCTTTTGTGAATTCCTCGGCAGCACCATCCAGGGCTCCACCGAAGCGAGATCCGATCGTAAGGAGACCGGATACCAAGGCGCTGATTAAATCCTTGCCGGCTCTGGTGGTAATAATAGTGTTCATGGCTCCAGACACCGCGGGACCGTGATCAGCAGTCAACATGAGCACCATTTCCAAGAACTTGCTGGCATATGGAGGAAGTCGTCGCCGGAACCATAGGAGAGACATGACGCCACCAATACCAATATCCTCTCTGAAAACATCGGAAATCGGCATGCCAGCATACAAGAGTTCCTGGCCACGGTCGTCAGAAATTGTCGAGATGAAAGCGGCAGGTTTACGAATAAGACCCAATTCTTGAGCCCATGCATAGTCGATGGGAATCTTGGGAGGGACTGGCTCCTGTTGTGGCTTGACAATTCCCTGCTTGACAAGCTTTTGATAGACGGCACGGAGAGTTTCGGGGAGATCTTCAAAGGTATCCGGTACATGGATACCAGCTTCTCTCATGGCCTTGTTCTTCATTACTGCAGTTTCCAGCTGAGAGTTCGCAGAGGCACCAGCGTGGCCAAATTGAACTTCTGTCTTGAACATACTGGCGCAGGTACCGATGGCCCATGCAACCACGGGTTTTGTAATAGTACCATTTTGCACAGCTTCAATGACCCGGTATTCTTCAACACCACCAACTTCTCCGAGAAGAAGTAAAATCTTGCACTCCGGATCGGCCTGGAATCGAAGCATATGGTCCAAGAAGGTCGTTCCTGGGTAACGATCACCACCGATAGCGATGCCCTCGTAGACACCATCGGTGGTTTGTGACACAATATTGTTCAATTCGTTCGACATACCGCCAGACTTTGATACGTAACCAACAGAGCCCTTTCTGTAGAGTTTGGAAGCGACAATGTTATCCATCATACCGCCTGTGTTACCAATTTTGAACGCTCCTGGTTTGATACCGCCAACAGTAGCCGGGCCGATAATTGTAACACCCTTCTCCTTTGCGGTGACCATGATCTCACGGGCTCGCTGATTCTTGTTAGCTCAGAACTAGTTATCTAGAGGCTAAAACATACTCGTTCCGGCACACCCTCAGCGATGATGGCAATGGTTTTAATCTGAGGGTATTGCATTAATTCCATGGTTGAACTATAGACACTTCGCGACGATGCAAAGTTGACGACAACGTCTACGTCTGTGTGTTTTGCCATAGCCTTGTCGGCACTTTGGTAGACGGGCAGCAACGTCTCGCTGGTACCCCAGTACCTGTTGTTTAAATTTTTGTGTCAGCATAGTAAACGCGACGGTCAATTGTAATTGAATAACCCACATTTTGCTGACGAATTGACCACCAAAGGTATAAATGATACCAGCAACGGAGGGAGTGTTCCGCTTGCAAATGAAATCGAAGTCCAACATTCCCTGGACAGCTCGAGGTTGCATGCCACTGCGGGGGCAAGTTAGAACTGCAAAGCCATACCGCTGCGATAGCAGTGCGCACTTACTATACAAAGCATCTTGTCTTGGTGTGGAAGAGGGTGTGTGCCAGGGGAGTCAATGGCCTGCTGGCGGCTTCAAAACGGCGAATGTTGTCATTGGCTCGAAGGTTTCCGTCACCGGAGGAAGCAACAGGTGTAGCAGCCGGCATTGTGGGCAGACAAAAGGGTGAACTATGGGGTTCCATGATAGTCAGATGATGCTACGAAGAAGTTCTGTGATGTAGATTGAGGAAATTCATCGCGTGCTGTTCCTTACCTTCTATTTGACAGACTGTTTTGAGGGGGTCACACCACGAGTAAGACTGGAAGAATGGCACTCGAACGTTGGTAAAGGATTGTCTACTTGGTAGAGATGAGCCCGGAGCGCACGGCGAGGAGGAGATGGCAGATGGTGATGGTCCCCGTGGAAAAAAGTGATTCCTTTTTTTTGGTTGAGAGAGCGAGACGATGAGCAAGCTGAGAAGCTCCTTATCTCGGCGACGCTAAGATTAGATACTGCCGCAGGGAGGGAGGCCGCTCTAGTCCGTATGTGGCTAGCGTATCCCCAATGCCAGAAGTTTCGGTGAGCGTCAAAACTGCCTGTTACGAGTACGATGACGCTTGGCCTGCTGCCCAATGCTCTCGGAGCTCTGTCGGGGCCAGGCAGGGGTGGTGGTACGCCGGGCCGAGCAGTGCACCATGGCGCCCCTGAGGATGAGTGAGGCGGCGGACGCTGGCTCTCCCTGCTGGCATCGCCGTCGCCGTCGCCGGCCCCGAATGCTGCGCCTTGAATGGTGTGTCACTCCAGCGAGTTGCGTTATTTTACGGGGCTGGTACTAGCGGTACGGTCATCCCAACGAAACTCAATTGGGCCGATTCAGGAAGTCAGCCCAGTTAGGAAGGGCCCTGCCCCACCGGTGGCTCCTTCCCTCCCCTGCCAATCTGCAGCTTGGCTCCGGCGCTGACTCAGCAGATGGGGCGGCCAGGCCGGACTAACGTTATCGCCTGTGCCGATAAGCAGCTTCCCAACTCAACAACAAATCTCGCCGGCTCAGCTCTCCCTCTCAACGTCCGATCGGTTGCTCGCTGCTCTGCTCGTCTCTCCTGTCCACCACCGCTTACTGCGTTCTCTGCTGCCACACTTACACTTCCCGTCGCATCTTGCGTCGCCCTACCTGCCCCCATCGTACCGCCCTTCATACTCCAACCAACTCCTGAGAGTGCCAGCATTCGGGCAGCGATTGTAGGCTTTCCATACCCAGCTCGAACTTGACAATCATGTCGGCCAAGTCAATCTACGAAGCAGATGGTAAAGCCATCCTTAACTACCACCTCACTCGCGCCCCGGTAATCAAGCCCTCCCCCCTCCCTGCTCCCTCCAGCCACAACCCACCTCCAAAGCTCGCGTCTCTCCACTTCGACGAAGACAGCTCGGTTGAAGCTGTTCTTGCCCAAGCCGAGTCAACCTATCCCTGGTTGCTTGTCAAGGGCGCCAAATTTGTCGCCAAGCCAGATCAACTCATCAAGAGACGAGGAAAGAGCGGGCTTTTGGCCCTGAACAAGACCTGGGAGGAGGCGAGGCAATGGATTGCGGACCGTGCAGGAAAACCACAGCAAGTTGAGACCGTGGAGGGTGTTCTACGACATTTCCTTGTAGAGCCGTTCGTTCCTCACCCACAAGAAACTGAATATTACATCAACATCAACTCCGTTCGTGAGGTATGGTTGCCCTATTGAGATTCGTCATTGAAACCTTATCTGATTGCTATAGGGTGATTGGATCTTGTTTACACACGAGGGTGGTGTCGATGTTGGAGATGTGGATGCCAAAGCAGAAAAGCTTTTAGTCCCCGTCAACCTTAAGAATTATCCTTCAAACGAAGACATCGCCGCCAAATTACTGAGCAAGATTCCAAAGGGCCTACATAATGTTTTGGTTGATTTCATCACACGTCTCTATGCTGTCTATGTCGACTGCCAATTCACATACCTAGAGATCAACCCTCTTGTTGTGATACCCAACGCCGACAAAACTTCTGCTGATGTCCACTTCCTCGATCTAGCAGCCAAACTTGACCAGACAGCAGAATTCGAGTGTGGAACAAAGTGGGCCATTGCTCGAAGCCCTGCAGCTTTGGGAATTCGTGCAGCACCAAGTGCGGGCGACAAGGTCACTATTGATGCAGGCCCACCAATGGATTTCCCCGCTCCTTTCGGTCGCGAATTAAGCAAGGAAGAGAAATTCATTGCTGATATGGACGCCAAAACCGGAGCTTCTCTTAAACTCACTGTTCTTAACTCGACGGGCCGCATTTGGACTCTTGTCGCTGGTGGTGGTGCCTCCGTCGTTTACGCTGACGCCATCGCCTCTGCCGGTTTCGTCAGCGAACTCGCCAACTATGGTGAATACTCTGGTGCTCCTACCGAGACCCAGACCTACAACTACGCTCGTACCGTTCTCGACTTGATGCTTCGCGCTCCAATGCATCCAGACGGAAAGGTCCTCTTCATTGGTGGCGGTATCGCCAACTTCACCAATGTCGCCACTACTTTCAAAGGTGTTATTCGTGCCCTAAGGGAAGTCGCACCGGTCCTTAACGAACATAAGACCCAAATCTGGGTCCGCCGTGCAGGTCCCAACTACCAAGAGGGGTTGAAGAATATTAAGGCGGTTGGGGAGGAACTTCAACTTAACATGCATGTTTTCGGGCCCGAGATGCACGTCAGTGGCATTGTGCCTCTGGCCTTGAGTGGAAAGACCACTGATGTTAAGGAATTCGGCGAAGCGTAATTATAGATTTTTAAGAATATTGTTATATTAAAAAATTAATTGCTCCAAATAATGAAGTCCATAGACGACGATTTGCTTATTCACTGGATGGATATCCTTAGAATTTCTGAAAAGCGTTTTTAGTGGGGATATCAATAGAACGCCTGAAGGTCATGACACATATGCGGAGTACTGCTTCCATTGCCTTGATCTGCACTTTTGCTCCTAGCAGTCCAACTCTGGACTGTCCGTCAAACGAGCGCAAAACCCTGTGACAGTATACCAGAGCTAGCCAATAAATTCCGCATTTCCAAAGATGGGAAAAAACCCAGAGCATGAAGCCTCTTGTCAAGATCCTCGATCCAATAGCCATATCCCAGAAGTAGCGCGACGATTTGCAACGAGTCGTTTATAATGGAGACGATTAAGGGATCCATGCCTACTTGATATGTAACAAAAGAGTGAAGAGCGCCATATTTCAAGAGCAACCGCAGCATGCGGTAGTCAGATATGTGCGCGGCCCATTCGATAATGTGATACATGATACCACCTATCTCCTGGTATATGTTCGTCGATGCGCGATGTTTGAGGAGCTTATCCATGGTCGCGAAGTCGAACTTGGAAGCAGCTAGTCCCAGGGATGAATGCTCATCCTTCTCATCCGGCTCGGCCCCATATTCAAGTAGGATATCAATGATACCATGACGTTCCAGCGATACGGCAGTAAATAAAACGGATGTACCGTCCATGCGAGCTGCTGGGCTAGCTCCTGATTGGAGAAGGAGGAGCACTGCCCAATCAAAACCACGTAGTACGGCGATGCCCAGCAGTCTGTTAGCAGTGATCCTGAAGCTGGCCATGTACACGAGAGAACTTTTCACTTTCAGTCTCAACTGTCGCTCATGTGCGCGAAGGAACAATGATAAGGCAGCCATTGCGATGCTTAAAGGTGCGATAAATAAAAGCACAGCGATATTGTTCTTATAATACAAACGGTCGAACGCTAAATCGCGGAAGGCTCCTGGGAAATAAACACGAATGGTTAGCCAGCTAGAACGAAAGACAAGCTTTGGGCTCAAACTAAGAGATTGTCAGCAGGCCGAGTAAGGGAGTATAACACACTGGAGACTGCAAATAGAGCACTGATATTGCTCCAAGCTAATTCGGCTTGCCTGCGTGCTATCATAGAGCCCGAAATCTCAAGCTCCGGATCAACTCGTACAATATGATCCACAATCTTCTGTTGAGTCAAAAACGGAAGCTCAAGTAAGGATATTTTGGGCGGATTAGGCGCTGGGGCCGACCCACTCAGCGATAATTCGTTGGAATAAAGCATACTAAATAGCAAATATACTAAAAATATAGAGGAAATAAAAATTGACGGGGAGGAGGGTATCTTGGGTCGAAAGAGACGGGAGCAGATGCGGTTTTTCAGTATCTGCATTGTGGGTTTGCCTGCCTGTTTGCCTGCCTTCCTGCCTGCTGACTAGGAAAGAGGTGCTTTTGCCCTGGAAATCAGGCGAAATTTCCAAAAACGGTAGTAACGTGTGAAATAAAGTTCCATGTCGACATGCGACGCAATTGCCGTGGAACGGCAATCAAATAGCTGTGCCTTAAGCCGGGCCCCAATGGTGATCGGGCAATGAAGTAGAGCACTGGGCATTGCAGGCCTAATAGAGGGCGATTCACCTGCCATTGAATATTGGAGAGGGTTGTAGGGAGTTGAGGGTACGTATGAAGATATTGAAAAGCTTCCTGGTTCTGGGATATAGTTTGAATAAAACAAGCAGCAAGCTTGGATGGAACGACCATTGATATATTCATAGGGTATATTACTCATTAGAAAACAGCAAGGAAAATCATCAGTTATCAGTGTCTTCTTCTTTTTCTTCTTCGTCACCTTCCTCGAGGATGCCTTCCCTTTGGGCCTGTGGGCTCAGAAACCAGCGCGAAGAACCAGCTTCGTTCTTGCTGGCAAGTTTCTGCAGACGGGAGAATCCCTTCTCACGGTTCGTAAAGGAATGCTCGTCACTTGCACTTTCATCTGCAGGCTCCATCGCAGATGACTGGCGTTTGAGGTCGAGTTCATCGCAAGGAGAAATGCCTAGTAGCTGGTATGTTGCGCATAGTATGCGATAAAGGATGAAGCCAGTGATGGCACCGAAAAGGCCAGCAACGCCGAAATATGTGTACAGCGGCTGTATGGAACAGTAAGCCGTCGAACATGAGAACATAGATGTCTTTCCAAGTCTCTGGCTCGCCAGGGAGATGGGGCGGCGCAGCAAGCAATGCATACATACCTCGAATTTCAGCACACCTCGTACCAGCAAGGCGAAAATGCGGTATACTTGCGACGAGAGATGGACGATGGGGCTAGCCAAGAGCTCCAGAAGAAAATATGCAATCGAAACGATGACAGTCAGCGGGTAAACGATGCAGGCGGAGGCGAGCGATATGAGTGGCGGGAGGATTTCCATTTCTGGCGCACTGCCGACGACCGAAAGAACAAGACGTCGTCGGTTCGAGAAGGATGGCGGCACCGCACGGTCTTCCGTCGTCGACAACGAGAGCGGGGAAACGGCCACATTCACCTCAGCTGCTACTGACCGCAAAAATCAGCGATGAATTCATCTACGCTGAATGTATGCATGATGCATGATGCTCTTGCTTGGGTGCTTGGTTTGCTGTGAGAGAAGGTGCAACGCCCTAGCAACGACCTTAAACCAGTCAGCCCCCCGCGAGCCTCAACCTTCGGAGGTGGGGACGGCGCTGAACAACAGGCAACGTTCGAGTCTTACGACCCTCTTGTTCGATTTAGGATTGTTTGCTAACTTTGGGTCTAGGCAAGGGCCATGAAGATACACAAGCAGACCCTGGCAAGGGCTTGAAGCCCCTAGAACACAAACGGCGGAAAAAGCTACGACGGAAGAAGAAAAGGAAAGAAAAGAGAAGAAAAGAAGTGGCCCATGTTTAAGGGAAAAGACGAGAACAAATATTATTAATGGGAGTCCTTTCCCTGGGATAATTACATACATGATAATATAAAAAGAGCAAAAACGACTCAATATTTGTTCTCTCCCTGAAACCCACACGACATTGCAACCCTTAGCCTCGTCAGTCCAAACCAGTCATACAATATCCCATTTCCTAAAAGCATGGATCGTCGCCCCATTTTATTCCAAACAAAATGAATCAACTCCAGGCCAGGGGAAAACAAGGGACGATTAACAACATCCGTGGTTGGCATCGCCGTGGCATCGAGGTCATATTTCACATGGCCAATGCGTGTGCGAACGCTCCAGGGCAGTTGTTGCAGCGGCGGCTCAGCATTCCAGACGGAATAATTTACAAGTAGGCAGCGACGGCAAGGAGGACAGCAGCAACACCGCCAACATTGGCACGGACGTTGGAACCAGCACCGGGGAACTGGGCTGGGGTGGAGGCAGTTGGGCGGCCGGTGGTGGTGTAGGAGCCAGTGCCGGATGGAACGCCGGGAACACCGCTGGTTGGGTGAGCAGTGGTTGGGGCAGCGGTGGTTGGGACACCTGGGGCGCTGGAGCCGGGAACGCTGGGAGCAGGAGCGCTGGAGCCTGGGGCACTGGGAGCTGGAGCGCTGGAGCCAGGAGCGCTGGGAGCAGGAGCGCTGGAGCCAGGGGCGCTGCTCTGACCTGGGCCTCCGGGAACAGCAGGAACCTGGATGGGAACGCCGGCAGCACTGCAGACCGAGGAGACAGCGCTGGAGACAGCTACATTGTTGTGAGAAAGAGAAAACTTTTGTCATGGTATTAATGCTTACCAGACTGATCAGAAGCCGCAGGGCAGGAGCTCAAGACGCAAGGAGCAATCTTTCCGACAAGCTCAGGTTTGCCGCACTGGCATTTGAAGTCGGTGATGGGACTGCAGCCACTGGCGCCGAGGGCCGAGACGAAGCATTGAATCTACAAAGAATTTGATTAGAAAGGATTCGTTTTCCCGGCAAGTAGCGGTACATACCGAGCAAGATGGGACGTTGGGGAGCTGGGCGTTGGCAAGGCCGGCAGCGACGAGAGCGATGAGAGCGTGAGAGAACTGCATTTTGATTATATATGAAATCGGCGGTACGATGATCCTCCTAGTTGTACAGTGAAAAACGACGAATTAACGATAGTCTTGACTGACTTCGAAAACGAGTGTCAGGTTGATATTTGAGGGTATATAAGAAGAGCAAAACGGATCTGAAGGACAAAAGGAAGAAAAGGAGACGAGGGTTCACTGGGGACAAGCGGGCTTCTTATAAGCCGGGGCGGGCGTGGCACGCACAAGCCCAGCCGCCCCGGACTCTTGCATGCTTCTTCTCCTCTGATCCGCGGCGCGCTGGCACACGATCCAAGGAAACAGGGCCTGGGGCTAAGGAGAAAAGGAATGGCTGGTTCCACCGCCTCCACTTGGACGAGGGCGATTCTTGTGGGTTGCGCCATGCAGGGAACGACACGGGCATGGTTGGCACTAGCTGGTAGCATGAGCTGGTGGTGGTGGTGGTGGGTGCTACGACTCCTCTCTGGCTACGACGACGGCGGCGGCCGGGTTACGGTTCACATGCAACCGGGCTCGGGCCCATGTGGTGACAGGCCGTTCATGTGTTTCGCGACTATTTCATTCCTGCGCAGCGGGTTTAATTTTTATTAACATTATTGTTTTGGACTTGCTTGACTCGCGCGGCGGTTTGTGGGCGTGCGACCGTTCGCCCCCTTGGGCAGGCGCTGGTTGGTTGTTTGCAGGCCTACTCTTACTGCTACGGAGTATTGCGATCAGCCCTTCCCCCATGATTGCCCCTACGCCCAGCCTCCCAGCCTCTGGCCCCCTTTCCCTTGGGACCCGGCACATTGAGTGGTGGAAATCGCCCCTTCGTCATTAAACCCGGACGCCGCCAGGCGAGTCTGCGAGTGGCCCTTTTGCACATGGGACACCCCGCCGGCCGCCTTTCAGATGCGTGCAATCTCCCAGAATGCGAGCTGTCGGGCGCGAACCAGGACGGCAGACCAGCACGGCCGGTTCAATTTCCCAGGCTCACGCGGGCGGCGGGCAAGTGACTCCTGAGAGGGTCTCTCTGGAGTGGCAATTGGTGCTAGGCTACTACTATTGTTGTTCTTCGGGGGCTCGACAAAACCGGTTCCTGGTGGGTTTCCGACTAATAGTGAGTATCGTATTGATTGTAGTGGGGAGGGAAGCCGGGCGTGGGAGGTACCGAATACACGGCGTGCAGGTACCGACGCAGCAGTGGTCCGGCGCGGGGAGACCTGGCGGCAGGGTAGCTGTGACCTGGGAGGAGTGTCTGGCGACGCCGGCCCCTGCTCGACGTTACAGAGCAATGCTGGCGTGGACCAGGAGGGGTCAATCGCTAGCGTGGCAGTGGTCTCACAGCTAGGTACGCTAGCTCGCCCCGTGCATTGCATTGCATTGCGTCGGGCGCGGCCGACACAGACGGGAACAGCGTGGCCGCGCACTGCGGTGTTCAGGCAGGCTGCAGGGTGCACGGAGGATGCAGAGACTGACTGCGTGTTTGTGTTGCCTGGGTGGCTGTCTGGCTACGAGTGAGTGGTAAGTCGAGTCGAGTTGGGCTTGTCTCAGGCAGGGCCCACGGCAGCACGCTGATTGGCCGGCCGTGTACGGGGCTGTGACGCGGCCATACGTCGAGTCGCAGGCTACATGGCGGCGTGATTGGCTGGCGGCGTGGATCGGCGATACTAGTGGTATGGCCAGGCCGCGGCGCCGAGGTAACGAAACGCCCCCCGGGGGGCTCAAGCTTTGCGCGGGTGGCCAGCGCGCGCGGAAATTGAGAAGCGTCAGGCAATTATTCTTATTATTATTATTGGGAGCAGCCAACAGCAATACGAGAGAGTCATAATAAGGGACCTGCTTTAATTCGCACTGGCTCGCGGGATGCCGATCTGGGGAAGGAAAAAAAATGCCCGCCCCCTGGCTGGCCTGTTGGGCGGCGGCTGGGCGCTGGCTGCAAAACGCCGGCGCGCTGGCCAAGCCGTGCCGTGCGGGTGATCTGGACTGGGGGTGGCGTTCGCTAGCCCGGGCGTCCGCCAGCGCTGTGGTGCTGAGGTACGGAGTAGAGAGTAGATGAGATGAGGTGAGTGCATCGCCATTATTACCAGCGGTGGGTGGTGGGCGGCGTCGTGATCCTTAGGGAGCAGCAGTAGTACCTTAGGCACCTCCCTCTTACAATGCAGCGCGGCCCCATGTGAACACTGGATGCTTCCCCAGACTTTGCGATGGAGCGGGCGGGCCCAGGCCACGTCCTTGCCCCGGCTCCTCTGGCGCGCGGACGCCCTCCGCGATACAATCATAAAATAATAATAACAATAATACGCCGACTGCTGCACGGCGGCTACGCTCACATGCTGCCGCGCTCGGCTCGTCGCGCAGACCAGGGTGTGCCTGTCTTCCCACCCCCGTTTGTCGCAGCCAGACACTGACTGACTCGGCGCGGCTGTAATCATTAGCCTGTCGCAGAGTTACTTAACTACCTCTCTTTGGGCCGCCGAAACATCTTCCAATATGCCCATCCTGGCTGTCCTGCCTGCCAGTGACGTCGCCGCGCCGTCATGCACTCCCGACGTAGTTAGGTGAGGTACCTACGGAGTAGTAAGTTACTCCAGCTGCAAGAGAAGCGTCCGCGCCGTTCGCTCGTATGCACGCACTACTAGCCCGACTGGCTCAAGCGTCAAACACAGCGCCGCTGTTTATTATCCAGGACGCTGCATTTTGGCCGCCGGCCGTCCTTCGCCTCTGTGGCGAAGAGCACGTCCTTCCGCCCGCCGCATCGCTACTCTCAAGGTCTGCATTATTATCATCATCATCATCATCATCATTGTCAAGGCAGGCTAATTTCCCTTCGACTTCATCGCATTAGCAGTAACTAGTCGTAACTACTCTGTCCATGCCCAATGCCCGTCCCCTCCGCGCCCAGCCAGCACATCCCCGGCGGCTGCCATGACGCGCATGCAAACACATGAAGGCGATCCCGCATGGTCGGGCCAGCACAAGCAACCAGCAGCCTCACCAGCAGCACCAGAACACCGTCCTGATACTCCGAACGGAGGTCCTCCCCGGATTTGAGCCTTGGACCTTGCGCCGCGGGGCCCCGCACCGTCGCCAATCATCAAGTCCTTGCCCGGAAGCTTGCTGATACTGCTGGGGGTTTCCTGTAAATACTGTGCGCTCTCTCCTGCGCGAACTGGTTTGGGGGGAGCATCCAATGAACTCCTGCGCATCACACCGCCAGTGTTCAATCCCGACGTTTCCTCGGTCGGTATCGCGTAGCTACATGTGAGCCCATACATGCTATTCTTCTTCTTCCTGGTGCTTCTGAAACCAGTCACTCAAAGGAAGCTGCCCGGCTTTTCGAGACACCCTTGCTGCTCTGTTTATTGAACACCTCTGGCGTTTGACAGAGAGCCCAACAGCTATTTTCATCTCTCCGCTTGCCCGGTACGCTATTGAGACCTCAATCTCTGCCTTTATTGGCGATCGACACCGCTGCTCCTCCCATCGTTCGACCGCGAGCCTAGAACCAATTAACATCGAGCAGCCAGTTCGCCTCTCCAGAGCTCTGCTTTCCAAATCCGTCGCCCTTGTGATGCATCCGTAGTGAATTGCAAGCTTGGAGCGCGTCTATATTGGGCCTCGACGCTCTTGGTCATTTATGCACGCGATCTGATCTTCTCCCAGTCAACTACAAATAGTATGGAGTGCGATCTTGCGAACCGTGAATCTTGCAGTTTCGATTTCTAAATTTAGTCCAACTACCAGAGCAAACAATCTATGGAAAGTTGGGAGGCGATGGCGCTCCTTAGATCGTGCTCTCTTCCCACCCTTTTCTTTTTTCTATCTACTTCACGCCCACTGTGTCACAGCACAGCGTGCTTTGTCTTGGGTTAATCCGTTTTTTTTTTTGTTTCGGGTTCGCCTTTCTTGCTTGCAGCGGCTCGGCAGACGTCCTAAAAGATCCGTGACACCCAACGCCACCACCTGGTTTGCCTGCCAGTCCGACGGGTTTCGCTCTGACGCACGGCAACTTTTTCCCTGTTGATCTTGACGCTCAGCCACTTTGAGTAGGTACCTAGAACCTCAACCATTCGTTTCAGTGCTAGAAAGATCTACTGGATCTATGTCCCAACCCAACACCAAAAAAAAATAGAAAAAAAGAAAACTTGGACACCTTAAAACGCCAGGTCCACAACCCAATCCCACAATGGGAAAACAGAGGAAGGTTTCTGTAGTAGTGGGGGATTATATCTGACATCCTTTGACACTTCAACGGTCTTGCTTCAGCGTCACAATAGCGTCATCATGACATTAATTCATCAATATACGCCTTTTCCCTGGAAGTGCCCTGGTCTTCTTCCCTGCGAAGCACCGCCAGGACTTCCAGAGGAGGATTTAGCCCCAGCTTGTGTGCCCTGTGCCACCGCTTGATTCTCGCAATGCCAACGCACGGCTGTCAGAGCGATCTTGTCAGCGCACAAACCAGCAAGGAAGTAACTATGTAATCAGCCATGGCTACTTGCGAGACTTACTCCGTATTGGTTCGAGATGTCAAAGTGTCGCAGGATCTTCTCCTCGACGCTCAGGCCGTCTTGATGGACTAAACAGCTCCGTCAGCATTCCACTCTCACATAGTTCTCATCTAGATAGTTATGTGGCGGGTTCATACTCCGCGGTGCAATCCTATTCTCCTCCTCCGTCTGCCAATACCGCTGAATGTCCTTCTGCGTCAACCGCTCCGCCCGCCTGTCTTCCTCCGTCTTGGGCAACTGCGCATGCAGCTGCGCCTGCTCGCGGACCGCATTCTCGGACTTTGACGACCCCGCGACCGGCTGTTCGACAGCTGTGGCTTCTTCGTGCTTTGCTGCTGCTGCTGCTGTTGTTGTTGTTACGGGCTTGATGTGACTTGGGACCTCGACGGTGATCGGGGACGGCGAGAGAGACGGTGGCGAGGGCGTGGATGCCGACGACGACGACGAAGAGGAGACGTTATTCTTGGCCTGCTTGAGCGTCGACGGCGTCGATGTGGGTTTCGAGATCCGCGACTTCGAGCCGAAGGTGAGGGTCGATTGCTGGTGGGTTGTTGGGGCGGCGGAATTGCCCGAGCGGCGCCGGCGGGAGGACGCGGTCGGCATGGTGCGTTCAAAAGAGAGAGCGGCCGCGATGAATCCCAGGTAAGGTTGGCTGCTGGAGCAGTAGCGGCAGTGCTTGTCGTGCGTCCAGCGAAGTCCGGCGCTGCTGGTGCTGATGCTGTCGCTGATGCCTTGCTGCCTGCGCTTCGTATCCTGGTTGTCCATGGCAACCGTCGCCCCCCGGTGCCGGTTGGGCTTGGCGATCTCTTGTCCCGATTCGATCGAGATCTTGCGTTGCAGCGCACAACAAAACCACTCGTCGTCGCGAGTGTTGAAGAAGTCTTGACATTATCCACTCCGCGCTGGGTCTATCTTTCTATCTAACTACGGAGTACAGGCTAAGTTAGGGCTGAAACTTGAGCAGCTCTGAAACTATCTCGACCATCTCCACCACCTTCTCCTCCTCCAAACGCCTGCCAATAAGCTGCAGCGACACGGGTGCTCCGTGGTAGAATTCAGGGTCATAGTCAGCCTGTATCGCCTGGTCCTTGTCTGTCAGCGGCTTCCAGTCGGCCCCGCGTTTGACATCGAGCGCCTTGTCCGCGTAAGTGACTGGAAAGGTGCAAGCGGGCAGATCTGTTTGTTTCAAACGGAGTCAGTTTCAGTTCCGTGGATGGAGTGAGTGTCTCTGCTCGTCCGGCGACAACAAACGTACCAAGCAGGTTTGCAATGCCCGTGTAGCCCAGATAGTCGACTCGCTCACCCAGACCCAGACGCGCTGCGGCGGCTGGTGCGACAGGAGTGATGATGCAATCCATGGGTCCGTCCGTGGCTGTGGCTGTGGCGATCCAGCGATCTAAATAATCCTTTTGAAACTGATTTCGTTTCATAATCATCTCCCGCAGCTTGTCGGGCCCCAACTTGGGTCCCGCGGACTGGCTGCTGCTAAGGATCCTTTTCATCGAGTCGTACAGTGGCTCTTGGAAAGCTTCGAGGTTCGGGATCACTGCTGATGAGGCTAGCTCGCCGAAGGCCTCGAGGAGGAGAGCCATGATTTCTCGGTGACCTACTGGTGCCCTACAGTGCCCCGCGTGGATTAGCTGTGCAGGCTGTGCAACGAGGCGAGGGAATGGCTTACCATTCAAAGACGTCATGGCCGGCATCCTTCAATGCCTTCTTGACCATTTCAAGCGCTCTTTCAGGCGGTGGGTGGCACGTTACTATGCTGTCGTTGTTCGGTGATATACCGACCCGCAATTTCCTTCCTTTTGGTTGAATTACTTCCTTTCTCCAAGGCATAGGAATGATCTTCGGGTCATAATTCCACGGCGCCACCTCATTTGAAAGCACCGATTCACAGAACAGTTTCACGGATTGAAGTGAGGTGGCCATGGGCCCGCAGACAGCGTAGACAAAATCCTGGCCAGGAATACTGGGCCTACCTCCCCACACTGGGAAACGTCCAAAGGAGGGCTTCAGTCCATACAAATGGCAAAAGGCGCCTGGAATTCGAATACTCCCACCAATGTCAGTTCCAACCCCGAGTGGAGAAGCTTTCATGGCCAAAATGGCTCCTTCTCCTCCTGAAGAACCGCCTGGGGTGAGGCCCTTATGGATGGGGTTTCTTGTTTCTCCCCATACTCTGTTGGCGGTTACGGGCATCAACATGGCCGTTGGGACATTGGTCTTGACATAGAAGACGGCACCAAGGTCGCGAAGAATGTCGACCATAACCGATGCTTTTTCGGTGGGTTCGTTGCCGTACATCGACATGCCAATTGACGATGGGTGAGGAGGTGTCATGAAGTTATCTTTCAGGGATAATGGTAAGCCATGGAGCGGGCCAAGGGTTTTGTTGTTCTTCGCGAGGTATTCATCGAGGTATATAGCTCGTTCCAGCCCTTCACGGAACAGGACTTCGGTTACGCAGTTGGTCTATTGTTATGTCAGAAGGAAAGCAGCATCTAGGGGTCATCGATCTATTGGTATCACTATACCAGCTTTTGGGCAATGACTGCCGCTTTGCAGAAAGCGTTGGTTGCGGCGACTGATGTCAAGGTCCTGTCTTTGATTCTCCTGGTGAGCGTTTCGGCATCGGAGTTGATGATCTCTAACTCTTCAGCTGAGAGTAGACCAGAAGTCTTTGGATATGACCTCAGGTCCTGGGGCAAGTCCTCATCTTTGATATCAGGAACTTGAAAGAAGGCATTAAGGGCATCGTCACGTCGCTTCTGGGCAATCGCTGATATCTCCTTGTATGTCTGGCCCATAGCTACTGTCGCTTGTAGAACTAGATAGTGGATTTAATTTCGCTCCTTGGTCTTAACGAACTCCAAGTTAAACCTGCTTCGCGAATTCAGGGCAAAGGGCCATTTTATAACACCCATTGGTGCATCCGCATATCACGGCATCTGTGTTGAGGGGGTGGCCGTCGTCGCGTACGCTTGCCGGGGCGGGTTTGGTGTCAACCGTTAAGCGTGGTAGCTTTCTACACGGCTGTTCGGGAAGCGTAGTCGGGCCTCTAACTACGGGCAGGTTGGCTTCCAGCCTCGGCGTTTTCATCGGAGCTCTGGGCCGATAGGTGTGAAAAGGCGCCGGCCCATAAACGCCAAAGCCACTCTGTTGGATGGGCTGCCCTTGGGGCTGGCCTCTCCTGGTAGTTGGTTGTATCACCCGCTACGTGAGGTTATCTCCGTCTAACTCCACACTGGTCGCGGCCCCATCGCGGGGAAGTGGGCGAGGTCGGAGGACGGGGGCGCTATCTCGTGCATTCAGACGAAGCTGTTGGATGTCCTGTGCCGGACAGCTACAGCCTAAAAATATAAACTCGCATGAAGATGTTGGTAGTATATATATTGTAGTGTCTTTGAAGCCCTTTCAAGACGGATTGCCGAGGATAAAAGCATGGTTGGCTATGACCCAGCTCGGATGGATGTTCGTGTGCATATCCTGGGCTCTTGGACTGTCTTAGCTAGGAATCTCCTCGATCTTTATCATGAACATGAAAAACCGCGGTGGTAAATCTGGCTCCGAGTTTCCCGTGTTTGCAATGCGCCGTTTTATCTGACCACGCCAGCTGCGAAGAATCAGGGTGAGGTTGGACACGGATTAATGATGATTCCTAGAGAGCCCAAGCCCAGCCATGACAAAGTCTTGTTGGCGCGGGTAGTTGCTGAGCAAAGGCCAATGTCGAGCAGTCCTGACCGTGTCGCGTGAGCCAGCGCCGCAGCGGTCTGTGTTTCAGGCGACAGGGATGCGTTCAATCCCATTGGCTGTGCGGAGTCTGGAAGAACGTTGAAGCTCACGATCTGCATGACAACATGTGCTGGGGTTGAGCTGGCCAACGTGCAGCCTGGCTCTGTAGCGACTCTGCGGTTTTCACGTCGACTTCGGCTTTGGCTGTTCTTTCTCAAGGCTTCAGGTCCAGACCAGCCCAGCCGCACAAAACGCGTCACCTGGTCTTTTCGCTTCGAGGCCAAAATCGACACTCCCAGAGCCACGGCGAATAATGCCCGGAGGTAAAGAGCCCTGAAAACACCTGCCTTGGAGGACCTGGTCCATAAACATGAGCCTCAAGGCCACCGAGCAGGCGTTAGCAAACTTGCTGCCTGCCCTCGCCGAAGCGTTGCCCGATGAGCTGGTTAAGCTGGCCGCATACCTGCTGGTACAGTCAAGAAGCCATGGGGGAAGCTTGAAGCCCGAGGAGGAGATTGCGAGGCCTTATGCGTGCGCTGAAATTGCGTACAAAAGGTTTGCTATTGAAAATCGTTTCATCATTCCGTTTGGTGGTTTCTGGTGTCTAATCCAGTGATGCAGGCTGTGCAAATCGCTCGCTCTCCCCCCAGCAATCAGTCGCCCGCCATGCCCTCCCCGAATATACAGGAAGCTATACACATATCTAGACCAAGTCCTTTCAAAATCTGCTATTGGGCCAAAACGGCAGGAGAACACTGAATCTCCGGTCCGAACCACCCGTGCAGCAACACGGAATCAGAACCTGGGTGCGCCTATTACTCCTCAAAAAACAACCGCAAAGTCTTCACGATCTTTGCCTACGCCAACTAAACGGCCCCTAGAGAATACAAAGGCAACGAGGCTAAAGGCCTATAGAAAAATCCAAGATACTCCATCGTGGGCGATACCTCTCGTCCGACGTATATGCAAAGGCCTTGTACTGCCAATGTCCAAGTTGGCACCTACCATTCCTTCAGATGCGTTTTCAACCTTCACTCCACACATTTTTGCAGGAATACCAATAGTTTTGCGTTTCGCTGCAATCGAAGTAGATGACCCCGAGACAGATCTGGGGTCTGAAGAGCTGGGCTTATGCACCTTGGTTAGCAACCCAGAATCAAAGGATGCCAAATACCGCGAAGCGATTATAACTCTTGCAATTGCTCTGTATTTGATTGTGGCTAGGCGAAGGCTTGCCATATCAGATGATAGCAATAATACCGACTGTTTACAGTTTGGAGCCGACACCCTCAGCGACCTAATCAGAACAGCACTACTGACTGTGGATATGGACTCGCGGACATTACCGCCTTGGGTTGACCTGTGGATTAAGCTGATATTCATGCGAGGTTGGATTGACGGATGGTATGAAAATATCCAAACATATGGAGATGAAGCTGTACATGAAGAAATAGGCGAGGACAGCGAAGACGAAGACCATGATATCATAAGCCCTAAAAAGCGTAAATTGATGAATCGGTATACTGCAAAGCTTAGAAACAATGCTTCACAAAACACCGATGAGCAGAGGCTGAGGCTGCTGCCTGGATTGGGCACAATGATGCATGACCGGGTAGATTGGCTGAGTGAGGACAGAAGGGCGGAATCAGCGCGATGGCGGGAGGGAATCATGAAATGGATACGTGAAATAAAGACTGACACAGCCACTTAGTCGCATCGAGCGTGCTTAGAACGGCTACTTTCTACCGCCTCGATCGCAGGCAATTTTTAATATATAGACAAGCGTACATTCCTCGCCCGGTTCAATACCAGATGCTTCTTGTTCGATGATGCGGTATCTCTTCTTTCCCATCTTTCTCCATCTCCTTCATCCTATCATATAGTAAGAAATCAATTAAAATGGCATTGATACCCATGGGCTTCTCTTCTGGATCGTCGTCATCAGCTGGGCACTGACCATCACCTTTCTGTACCTCATTTGTTTCATTCTTCTCTTCCGGCTCCACATCTAACGGTTCAACCGACTGCGATCCAGATGTTGACGACGACGATCCTTCAGCATAAGCACCAGCTTTGGCTGCCGCATGGTTTTTCATGATGATTTGACGGATGAGTTCCACACACCAAATACTCGCACCCCGCATTTCTAATTCCCACTTGTGGCCGCTTGGGATCGGCTTAAGCTGACGGATGTGACTCTCCAGCGGCGGGGAATACAACAGGCAGCCCAGTTGGTGAAGCATTTGTGGAACACGATAGTCCGCAAACATCGTGATCTTGTCAATGTCATCAAATTTACCATATTTTCTACCTCTGAAACATGCCCAGATATCGGCGACGAGAATTTGAGCACGTTTGTAAAAGCGCACCGTCTTCCCTTCAAATGTTGCTTCGTCACGAAAGCAAGGGAAATCCCGAGCCAGAATGTTTACGAGGCCGGCAGCCGAGTTGTTTGCTTTTTTGATGCAATTGACAAAGCTGCCGTCGTATTCCTGTAGTTAACCGATTTTAGCGTAGCACGAACGGCTAAACGGTTTTACGAGGCATATACATACATCACAAAGAACCTGTCCGGCTTCTCGTAAACATTCTATTCTCTCTTTTAGGAGTGGAATTTCTTCAGCAGTCGCTGACCGAAACACATGCCTAATTACATCGTCGGTGCACGTTTCTTCGTTCTGCCAAAATTCAGGGTCCGTGATTGGGATCCCTGCGAGCCTCAGCAAACAATCTTTCTAGGTCTGCAACAACAAAGAGTTCCATTAGCCCGGGGGCTATACCTTCTTCTAGCGCTCGCTGTAAAGCAGCAACCAAGCTCCAATAGCCCGTCCAGCGAGTTTCACGATACTCAATTGCAAAGCGTTCAGTCTCATCAGACCAGAAGCAGAAATTTAGGAGGTCCATAGTGAAGATAAAATGAACGGTTTTCTCGCCCTTTTCTTTTGGATGAAGCTCGTGTGATGCCCACGTCTTGGTAGAGTAATGTCTCTCCTGCATCATCTGCCAGATTGTTTCTGCTGCCTCTTTGGTCTTTGACGGATCCAGCGCAATATCTATAGCGTTGTCAAAAATATATTGGGCGCTTTGAAGTACTTTAGTATCGGCAGGCGCATCTTTTGGCGGGCGCCCCAGGCCCAAAGATTGGCGCAGGAGCTCGAGAAGCTCTGGATCCGCCTCGTCATCAGACATATTGTTTATGGGGTATCTAAAGCGGTCGTATTCAAGTCCCAAAACCAAAAGAAAGGAAATATGTACGTTAATGACAGGCTAGGTCGTTTGATTGGAGTGGCTGATCCCGTGAAAAATGCCAGTTTTAGTATCTAAAACCTATTAAAAGTGGCAGTCAGCTGCAAAATTTTCAATGTAGAATTAACAATTGGGCCTAGCAGCCATTGAGAGGGCCGATTAATGGAAATTTGAAGCCATAACTTGATAGCAGCCTAGTTCGGACGACTTCATTGCTGCTTTAACTAAAGCTAGCTATGGCACTATGGCAGCCTATAAGACAATAATTGGTATTGAGTTTTTCATATCGTATTGCCACAGTTTTTTTCTTTTACACACACCAGAGTAGAATAAAAAAAAACATGCACCCAGTGTGAAGTAGTTTTGTACCAAATTTCTTGTGCGTGTTCAAAACCGTTTTTTCGTTTTCATTTTGTAAATTACGAATTATGGCCGCTTGGGTCTTATAGACTGCCGTAGCTAGTAGTCCGTTCCCTCTGTCCAGGTCCGCACGCGATATCACCTCTTTGTGTTGGTTCTACTAGCTGAGGATGTGGAACACATTCTGCTTTATTTCAACTGCGGATGCTTTTTGAAGGGTACCGTGGGTGATGAAGAAACTTGAGATTGACTTCTTATAATGAGATATTTTCCCTTCAACAGCTGCTGACCATTGACGCGTTTGTTATCTATACTTGCCATATCATCCTCTCGAGACGGTCTCTCCTGAGGATTGGGCTTCCACCAATTTCTTAGTGCGCGACTTGCAAGCACTAGAAGGATGTCGCGCCGAGATATTCATCTACGAAAATCCCTGGGTAGCCTCTCTGGCCATATTCAAAACGTAAGCTACGGCCTCCTGATTTTGACTGGGAGTTTAGTTCTGATATCGGCATCTTGATAGGCCCGTGTACTGCTAGTTGGAGCAGGAGGTATTGGGTGTGAACTCTTAAAAAACTTGCTTTTGACCGGCTTCGGTTCCATAGATATTATCGACCTGGATACCATCGACCTGTCTAACCTGAATAGACAGTTTCTTTTTAGACACGAGCATATCAAACAACCTAAAGCCCTAGTATGAGGCCCTTACAGCTTGATTGTGCGCTCTAGAAGCTCTGGCTAACCACTGTGACGCTATCTTTGCGAATATAGATTGCTAAACTTGTCGCACAAAAGTTTCGACCACAGGCAAAACTCAATGCCCATCATGCCAATATCAAAGATCGCCAGTTCAGTGTTGAATGGTTTTCGTCCTTTAATATTGTATTCAATGCGCTGGACAATTTAGATGCTCGCCGGCATGTCAACCATATGTGTTTAGCTGCGAACGTACCGCTCATTGAAAGTGGAACAACGGGGTTTAACGGCCAAGTTCAAGTGATAAAAAAAGGGCTTACCGAATGTTATGATTGTACAAGCAAACCAGTTCCAAAATCCTTTCCAGTTTGTACCATAAGGAGTACACCTAGCCAGCCAATCCACTGCATTGTATGGGCCAAGAGTTATTTGTTACCGGAGCTTTTTGGTACTTCTGAGGACGATGTTGAAATGGACCACTCGGAAGATCCTGAAAACCGAGGAGAGATCGAGAGTCTGCGAGAAGAAGCGCGGGCTTTGCAGGAAATCAGGAACTCAATGGACAATCCAGATTTTGCGAAAAACGTTTTTGAGAAAGTCTTTACAAAAGACATTACTCGACTGCAGAGCTGCGAGGATATGTGGAAAAGCCGAAAAGCGCCGGACCCGCTCTCTTATGAAAGCCTACAAGCCGAAGCAAATGAATGTGATCCTTCGTCTGACCAAAAAGTATGGACTTTAAGTGAGAACTTTTCTGTCTTTAAGGATAGTATCGAAAGGTTGAAAACCAGGTTCCGGGATCTTCAAACAGCAGCGCCTGATGGGCCTCCTCCTTCTTTGACTTTCGATAAAGATGACGTCGACACCCTCGACTTCGTAGCCGCAAGTGCAAACCTACGTTCAGCAATATTTTCGGTCGAGCTGAAATCAAAGTTTGATATCAAACAAATGGCTGGAAATATTATTCCTGCAATCGCTACAACAAATGCAATGACAGCGGCTCTTTGTGTTTTGCAAGCCTTCAAAGTAATGAAGAAGGATTATGACAATGCCAAAATGGTATGGACCTTTATTGAAATCCTGACATTTTACCCTAACCCTTCGAATAGATTTTCCTCGAGCGTTCTGGTGTCAGAGCGATCAATACAGATAGCCTTAAGCCGCCAAATCCGGAATGTCCTGTTTGCTCCGTTGCTCAGGTCAAGATATTTGTTACCGAAACAGCGACTCTCCATGATTTGGTCGAAGGTATTCTTCGGTTGAAACTTGGTTACAGAGAGGAATTTTCTATAAGCAGTCCACTGGGAATCATTTATGATCCCGACTTGGAAGAAAATTTACCTAAGAAACTGAGTCATCTTGGTGTTGAGAAGGATAGTTTTGTTACTGTCATTGACGAAGCAGATGATAGCCCAAAAGTGAACTTGGAGTTGTTGATTGCTGAAGGGTAAGTAAATACCACCTATTCCTATTACTATTTGCCCAATTATTTAATCGCCTTTCCAGGGTAATCCCTGAAACTGAGGTGCCATTATTGCTAGAGAGTATGATCGAAGTTCCCTCAAAGCCCAAAATAACGGTTCCAGAAGTACCATCAGCAACTGAACTAGCATCAACAAATGGCGCGACTGCTAAAAGGAAACGCGGTCCAGATGAAGCAGAGCTTGAGGATGACCAGAAGAGGAAACTGGTCAAAACTAACACTAGTGGCGACGGCGAAAAACCCATTATTCTTGACGACGACGAAGGCGGTGCTATATTAATCGACGACTAAACTACTCCGACGTCTATTCAATGTCCTTGATCCTATTTGAGCAACTATTAATTTTTGTAATACAATTGTCGTATGGTTAGGTTGGGGGGATAATTCAAGGGCCCAAGGTTCTTTCGGCGCAATAAAAATAGAAAGAGGAAACGCTTTGGCACACATCACGGCTGCTCTGGGTTGCATTTACGGCTAGGCCACAAACGACTTTTCTCAGATATCCCAGGCATTCTCCCGAGCGAGTATATCGAGGCGTTATCTTTATTTTATAATTGGCGTTTACCCTTTACAATTCTTGTGTTATTATTTTTTTACAGTGCGCTCAGGCCACCATCAAGATTCAGGATGCAGTTGTTGGCATATTGATTGGTAACTAGGAACATAGCCGCATCGGCGACTTCTTCGACTGTACCGAATCTCCTGAGAGGCACCTTTTGTTTTGATTCGTTCAGAATGGGTTCGCTTAGTTCTGGACAATGATACTTAGTCAACTTATTTTTTTGTCTTCGTCACTGTTTGAAGTGCCTTTTCAATTTTGCAAGCGGAAGAAGTGGAAGATTGGGGGATAAAGTACATGAGGTTGTCGACCTCGAGCAAAGGATGGACCACAAACATTGAAGAAGGGTAAGATTAACTGACATACCATTGAGAATTTTTGTTTCTATGTATCCAGGCACGATCACATTTGCACGAAGCTTCGCCCCTTGCTTTGAGGTAGACGCTTCTGCCACAATTACGCGAGTTAGGGCGATGACACCGGCCTTGGTAGAAGCGTATATCGCTGCTCCAACACCTCCTTTCACGCCATGTAGCGAGGAAATATTGACGATACATCTTAAATTGCCGCTGCTGGGTACTGGCCTACGAAGCGCACGACTCATCATTGCGCGGCAAGCAAATATTGTTCCCTGAAGGTTTGTGTTGAGCATTTCTGAAATTGCATCGTCCTTGGCAAACGGAAGTAATGAAGAATACGACACTCCTGCTGCATTAACAAGAATATCCACGTCACCCTGTGTGCTGACGTGAGCTTAACTGTTATGAGCATGGCTAGGATGAGCAAAGCTTACCATAGCTATATTTCCCTTCTCTGACCAAAAGGATGGGTTTCCAACATCTCCGATTAGCACAGAGAGCCGATCACTAGTAGGCATAGTATCAGATGCTGCGGGTGAATCTTTTTTTGATGGAAGCATTTCAGGTTTGGCCTTTTCCAAGGCTTCACCTGCTGATTTGGTATCAAGGCTACTCGGAGAGACCGTCTTGGTTTCCGACTTTGTATCTGGAGGTCCAAATCCAACTTTTGACTCATTTGTGGTATTCGTTTGAATGTCACTTTTTTGCAAGTGCCGCAGCGCATGATTCAAGCGCTCCTCGCTCCGCCCAACCAGAGTAACTTTTCGAGCACCCTCATGAAGCATACGCTGGGCAATCGCAAAGCCAATGCCGGAAGAGGCACCCGTAACCATGCATGTCGCACCGTCTAGACGGCCAGTCTCATAAAGGAATCGTGGAGATTCGCTGCTGGAAGAAAGATGGCGGACATTGCGGTTTGAATATACAGTAGTAGGCAGAATGCATAGTCGAGGGCTGGTTAGGACAGCAGCACGCAGCACTGTGCTGCCCTGGTATAAAACTGAGATGGTGGCCATTTAAAAAGCAGAATAACTAGCACTTGATATCAAAGGTCCGGCGCAATGACTGCTCAGGTTTGTGACGGCAGGGTTGCGGAAGGCAGATGGTGGTTTTCATTGCCGAAATGGGAAAAGGCCAGCTAGTTAAGTAGTTGCTGCAGCTCCTCTTGTAATAAGTTAGTTGTAACTATTCCACAATACTGGGAAGCAATTGAAAGGACCAGTGTTGGTAGGGCTCAAAACGAGCGATCTCGCGCGCTTACCCATAATGCAAAGCTCTCTTGGATGCGTCGTCTTAAATAAGAACCTGTGTGGTCTTACATAGTTATCTTATCAATCTTGGAAACACGCCAAACAGTATCGCGCGTCCCAGCTCAGGCAGCCGTGCTTCTTCTTCCCCCATATTTCTCTGATATTCGCGATACTATTCTAGTTTTAGATCACATCAAATCAAACAATACCTTATGTCCACTGACTCCTCTCCGTCAGAGTTTGTTACTCTCGCTTCCAATGATGGCTTCGAGTTCATCATTCCAAGGGAGGCTGCCAACATATCAGGAACATTACGGCGAATGCTAGGCGCTAATAGTCTGTTTTTATTGCCCTTGAATACCAATCATCGTTAAATAAGTCATTTCATTTTTTCTAATCGCGCTTTCTACCTCCAGGTAACTTCTCCGAAGCCGTCACTGGTCGATGTGTCCTTGAGAATATGAAGTCCGTCCCTCCAAAATCTCCTCCAAGGTGGAAAGTGTACATCTTTTCTTTCGGCTAATCCCGCTATTTTACTACTTAGTGGAGTTATCCTTGAGAAAGTTTGCGAGTATTTTCTCTACCACCTAAAGCATAAAGGCCAGGCAGACGTACCCGACATGGAAATCCCGCCGGAGCTATGTCTCGAGCTGTTAATGGCGGCCGATTATCTTGATAGTTGGTGTTCTTGATCTTATTGAGGTATATCCATGGTCCTTCTAACAATATGGTGTCTCATAGCGTGACCGCCCATCCCTTACCCAGCTTTTCCTTCGATGATGAAGATGAAGATGATTTTACGTCTTTCCTATTTAAAGTCGATGCTTCAGCGGAGGGTGATGCCGAGTAAAGGTCTTGATATTGGGTCCTTCATGGATCTTACTACATAGGAAATTTCGTGGCTATTCACTATAATCACTCCTAAAAGCATACCGAAGGCGTCTGTGGTTCCCATGATATCGCACAAAACATGATATCATGAGGGCAGGATGTTCTCCCGCCCATTCCTGGCATTACGTTCCTCCGTGTGTTTTTCACATTGTCCCAATAATCTCTGTGGAGAGTTACGTCTAAACGAAATGGGCAAATTGACGCTCGATGAGTACATCGGGACATGGAAATCATGTCATATCCTCACTCATTGGATACTTATTAACGAGCAACATGTACCTCGTCGTGGCAAGAGCATTTCTCTAATTCCGTTTATGCTTTATTTAGCTTTATGGTTAAAGAGTTATAGAACGTGATCCTCCTTCAGTTCCATGAATCGTTTCATCCTTTAATTGCTGTTCGGATGTTTGAAGATGCAAAAAATCACGGTGCAATTATTCGGAGTAGCCGGGTCATGCCATGAGAGTATATCTGCATTCTTAAGGTTGTCCAGAGAGTAGGATCGGAGTCTCGGGCATTCATTTCGGTGGCCCTGACCAACTCGGATTTCCGGGGAATCCCTTGTGGTCCCACGTTCCACAGACAATAAAGCACCAAAGGCGCTTCTTTATTGGAACGTTTAAACTCGAAACTGAAGCATCTGACCCGGCGAGGCGCCTCGCCAGGCAAACTTCTATAAGCTTTGTCGCACATCAATGGGAATCAACCACAAAGGTTGCCTCGCCATTCAGCCTTTTTTCTTCGGAGGCCCTCGGCCCCCCTTTCCACGGCCACCAGTAGAGCCTTTCTGCTCATACAGCGGCTCCTTGATAAACCCAGCATCCGAGATCCGTAAATAACTAACAACACCCTGATCTACGATTCCAAGGATAACGTTGCGCCATCCATGTCGCAATCGCATGTACATCATTCGATCCAGCTTCTCACCACGTGGAGGTGAGAGTGGTGTGGTGGCTAACAAGGAACTTAACTCCGCCAGTGTTGGTATGGCAGGGTTTAGCCTGGCATTGACTACTGCAATGCGAAAGTCAGGCGTTCCTGGAGAAGATTTGCGAAACGGTGTAGATGGTTTGTAGACATGGAAGGCGACGCGGTATGGTGGCACTGCCTGAGCAGCCGATTGGGTATTTCTTGGGTCGAAGTCAGGGACGTCCGGTTCAGCGACCGGAATGATAGACAGAGCACGATAAATATCGTTGTAGCTCCGATGAGCCCCGAGGCCTACCACGGGGCCACGGACAGAGGAGTAGGTAGATTGCGAGCTAACAATGAGGCTGAAGAGCCGGGATAATATGCCCAGGAACCCTGTGGCCACTTGCTGCTCACCAGGGCCCGTTCGCGCTGGCGTCTGGGTATCCATCTCGCCAGGTGTGCTAGGGGCCGTTGCATCCCATCCCTCTGCTCGGATAACAACATATCCGCCCCTTTTAAGCCCTGCATACACGGTATATCGTTCTATCGATACACCCCCTCGGCCGATGAAGCAAGCATAGGCGGCCTGCAAGCTCATTGGTATGCCTTGTGCTATTGCATCAACGGCATCAACCTCCCCGTTTTCGGAAGGCTCCGGGGGCCATCTGATATCCAGGCTTCCTCGTTCAAGACAATAGAGAGCTTCTTCCGGTAAAAGCCATATTCTGTTGAACCGGTCAGCTTGGCCCATTGTGCGAAAAAGTTGGCCCTTAGGGTTCGGAACGCAAACGCAAAGATCCTCACCGCGAGGACGGTATATTCGTCGCGTTGCGCATGCTTTGTTTTGAGCTACTCCTGTAGTATTTTCCTCGGTAAGCTTAGAATCAAGGTTGGCATTCGTTTCCCGCGATGCCTGTACCGCCTGTGTCGCTGCAGGCTCAAGAATCCCGTCAGGGCAAAATATTCCTATGACTCCATTGTTCGGGTTATGTAGGCGCGGAAATGTAAGGGCATTGTGCATCGCATCGCGGGATGCTGCAAGGATACCTGCCTGGTGAAGCGTAGGGTTCGGTTCGAAGTCCTTTTCTCCGCGGCGAGGAAGGCTCTGTTGGGTAGGATCGAAAGACCTGCAATGGCATATAGATTAGCTTATACTTCAGAGTATTGGGGGTCGGATTCGGGGCTGGGTTACGAGGAGATATTGCTGAGGAAACAGAAATCTTGTGTCTCATCGGAAATGTCATGATCGATACTGGCGGAGGGGTCAGGCAAAGACGAAGGCCGTAGCAAGCTGTCTTCATCCGCATCTGCCATGATGTATGGCGGTTTGCGTTTTGTTAAACCCGCGGCGTGCGGATTCGTGCGCGTTGCTCTCCTGGTGAAAACAGCTCATTTTACATAAGTTTGCTTTGCAGTCTACCACGCCCAAAGTGACACCCTAGAGAACGCCTACAGCTTAGGGGCCGTTGGGGCCTTGATGCCTGGGGTTTTAGGCGCCGTAAGGGCTATCGAGCCACGTGATCGATGCCAATTTTTCCCTCAGCACCCCACGAGAAAAGAAGATTCGCCAACTTAAGTTAAAACAAAAGAATATTCACGTTTAGGAAATTGAATCCAAACCTCACAGCTTAGCTGGCTTCCATACCCTGAATGCCAGTTTAACCCATATACCCGTCGGGATTTTCAGAAAGGAATTTTGATGGCTGACCCCTTTACCCCTCCTCCCACACTGGTTGAACAAGCAAGTTGTCCCTCCAAGTGTATCTAGCCATTTGTCTCTCTTGTTATTAACTCAAGACCATTTTACTTTGCAAGCTGAAGATCTCTAAGAACCTACTGAACACTCGGGTCTCCTTTGGCAGCAACTCGCCGCAGTACCATACTGTTCTGGATATGCTCCAGCAATGTATTGCCGACGCGCAGAATTCACAAGCTACACAAGGAGAGATGGCAACAACGGGAGCTTTGAAGACAACTAGCTTGGACTTAGAGCTTGAATGTCTTCGTTCATTGCTGGAGCGCGAGCTGAAGATTGTCGGTCACTAGAAAAGCTAGTTGCACGTTGAGAGCAGATCTGAAAAAATGACTTCACTATCGCAAACGAAACTGGGAATGTCTCGTGTTTTCCCTTTGATCATCCCCTAACTAGGGCGGGAGCAAACAACTGGTGATTCTTTTATTGCCCTGGGTGCTCTGGGGGTGATGGACAACAGTGATAGCCAAATTAGCTCGTACTGGGAGTATAGCGTCCGCTGATCTATACGGAGTAGATACTGATGAAATACTGGAAAACTATATTGATCTTGGAATCAAATCTTGAGGTCAAGGTAGAGAATTTGGCAGCTACTAAACGATTGGTGATTCTGGCGAACGTTTCGGAAGTTCCTCGGATTTGAGCAGTTCGGGCAGATGGGAGTGACTAAATTTACCATTTCACTTGGACAAACGAGTCTATATTCTGTATGCATGTGTGGTGTACTCTAATGCAAATAGATCTGGGATACACCAGGCCTAACCCGGTTATCAGAGGTGAGGTGGGCGGATCAAATAACCCACGTCAGATATCCATGGACGTTGCATCCGAACTCGTAAAGATTTTGTACAGCCGCCTGCTCATGGCGGGGCCGATGCGAGCTGCCGTCAAAGCACCCGATTTGTTTGCGCATTTCTAAAAAAGATAAAGCACGTCAGCGAAAACGGAAATGTAAACGCCCAACCGAGCTTGCTGTGGACGACGAGACTTCTTACCCTGACGTCTTGCAGCCCCAGTGGCCCGCACTGTCGCACTCCGTTTACCAATTCTCGTATATTGTGGTATTCCATAGCAATCCCATACGCCGTGGGCGCGGTCACCCGATTGATCTCTTCGAGCATTTTGATGTATGTATCATCTGCATCGGCCCCGCATTTTACTTGCCCAATATCCATACAAAACCCCGCATCGTGCGTATTCATCCGCTGCTGTCGGTACGGGATGGTGGATATATGCTCCGTAAAGTTCTTGATCCACTCCGCCGACTCTGCAGGTGCGGCAGTATGGTAGATTAGACAGCCTTCGTGCATTTGAAGCTGTAGCAACGCATCTTCAATGGTGTCGTCGTCAACTGGAGGAGGTGAGTCATTCGGCTTTCGAGTCCTTGCATTCGACCTGCTCGACTGTTCCTGCGTGCCCATCTGACGCAACACCGCCGCCTGATATGCTCTATTTCGGTTACTTTGGTTTTTGCGCATCCAGGCTGTAAGACCTTCGATTAGATAGATTGGCTTGCATTGGGGATAATGCTGCATTAGGTTTCGATAATGTGCTTCAAGCCCTTCATTCGGCTCAGAAGTCAGAGCTAAGCCCACAAATTCCTTTGCGGGTAAAAAACATAAAACATGATCTTCCTTGGTAATTTTTGGCGGGCATGGCTCCCAATGGCCTACCTCATCATTGTATGTTGCTACCACCTTCCGGCGCCAAGTTACCATATTTGGAATTTGAGTCGAGATAAAACTCAGTGGCACTTCAAGGCGGCGCATAAACTCGCCCACCTGGTTCCCAACACTGGATTCTTCAAACGATAAAGACATATCAACCAGCATCTCTGCGGTACTCTGCCTTTTGTTAACCTTGGACTTATTCGCCTGCGCAATATCCGCTGCAAGTTTCTTTGCTCTTTCTTTTTCCTCTTTCTCCAGGCGTTTTCGCTCTTTTGCTTCTTCTTTTTCTTTTTCACGCCGTAGTTTGGCGGCCTCGCGCTCAAGCGCCCTGGCATTCTTGTCAATTGTGACGGCCTTTTTGGGCCTTTTTTGTTTTGGTTGTGTAGTGTTTACAGGGGTAGAATCAACATCATCGTCATCATCGTTGTCATCGAATATAGTTACACTCGCTCGACGCTTTTGTTTCTGACAGCGGTCAGCTTGAGACTTTTCAAAAAACAAATACACTCTCACCTTTGGAGCAGTATTCTTCTCGCGCTGCGATAATGATTCCTCGCGGAGCTTTGCCAAAAGCCGCGACGTCTGGCCTGAGTGCTCCAACTGAGACGCCGTCGGCGGTGACGTTGCTAAACCAAAAGGATCTTGCAAGATCTCATCCTCGATCTCCTCACAGTCACTGTCCAAAACAATGACGTTGTTCGATGAGGTAGACTTTCTTTTATGATAGGTGATGCTGGTGCGGCGTCCCATGGGGTAACCATCGTCATCAAAGCTCTCCAAAAACGCCCATTCCGCTTTTTGAGACCCAAAAGAAGGGTCGATGTCCGACAGATCGTCTTCCAAAAGTGAATTTAAAATACTTTCCGTGGATATAGCGGTGCTTTTAGACCGTGAGTTTGGGATATCCAAAGAAGAGTTGACTTTTTGCCGTTTTGATGGCTTAGAAGCTTTACCAAAGATATCAAATATAAGCTTGTCAGTGGGGGGCACTTGTCGGGGTGCGCATGGTCGTGGCGCGGACTGCAGTGGCTCTGGTTCTGGAGAGGAGAGTAGGTCGATAACCTCGGCCATGGTGATGGTTTCTGGAGTTAGCTACGGAGTGCTCCGTACCCATGCAAGAAAGCCTGCAGTGATAGTCCAAAAAAAAAAAAAGGACAGAAAGAAAATGAAAAAAACCAGGATTTATGAGAGATTTATAACTCTCGCCAGAAACACATCCGCAACAGTCACCAAGAAGATCCTATTATCGCTGCCTCTCGACATCCAAAGCTCCAGAGACGTTCTTTGAACTTGGCGGGGGATTCCAGGGGGGTCACATGCGGCGTATTTTTGTTTATCCTATTCAAGGTTAGTGGCTAGGCAACGGCCTGCCAAAGAGAAGTATAAATAAAGTACGTAACCATAGTGACCCCAAAGCGAAGCTCCAAAGAGCTTGCACCAAAGTACTCGCATCAAAGAGCACTATACCAACAGTCTACTCGCTAGCTAATTTGGAACGCTATTTGAAAAGATAATGAAAAAGCTGACGAGCCAACGCCGCGCTATACCCCGAAAATGGCAAGTAAACTAACAAGCAGAAGCGATACAAAACGGTCACACTACGACGCCTCGCTTCCTCCATCCTCTCCAGGCAATCCCCCACAGAATGATTGCAAGCCAAACACTGGCCGCGCATCCTAGCGCCCAGTATCCATAGCAACTCCAACCACGACACTCGCGGCCCATGCCCGGTGTGATGGCAGCTTCATACCCAAACGAATACACCATGCCCCACACCGTGGCGCCCAGGGCGGGGACCATTGCGACAATCCCCCAGTTCGTGCCGAAGTTCTCGACGTCCCACACAACGGAAATGATGATGGGGACAAGGGAAAACGTGGCGCCGTACCCGAATCCGATGAGGGATGTGGTGAGGGGGAATGTGGAGGGGTGCTGGAGGGGGAGTGGGGTAGCCAGGTAGATGTAGCCAAAGGAGAGGAGGAATGCGGAGGGGAGGAGGAAGGATAGTCGAGAGAGGGTGAAGCGACGTTTAGGCACAGGGGAAAGGGAGTCGGAAATGTCGAGTGGGGATCGAAGATGGGAGGGCGAGGAGGGCGCGAAGATGTCGGATAGGGAGCCGGTGAGAAGACGCGCCATGGTGGACGTCAGAGCGATAATGGCCACATGCGTAGACGGGTGGCCGGCGGGAGCAGGTTTGTTTGGAGGATAGGACGGTGGGGTGAGAGTGTTGATGACGGTTCCGACCTGCGTGAATGGATGTTAGCAGAAAGGTTAATAGTGGTTCGTGCGCGGAATCTCGCTGGCCATACGTTGTTGATATACGCCTCGCCTGGGCCCGACGCCAAGAAGAAGCCCGCCGCAAGCCACCACATCGTCCGGTCCTGCAAGAACAGTCTCGTCTCATGGTTGAGCAGCCAGGCCTTTTTTTGCCTTTCTTCCTGCGACGATGTGATAGAACCGGTCTCGGCGACATCGCCTCTTGTTGCTCCCGTATTGAAAGTTCCGTAAGCAGCCTCGATTTCCTCCCGCGGGCGGAAAAACGAGCTCTCGTCCAACAGCCCACTGCGTTCGAGCTCTTCCACCGCCGCATCAATCAACTTGTCCTCATCGACGACGCGTAGTGCAAACAGGCCCCCAACGCCAACGCTAAAAAGCAAAATGGACAGAAACAGGAAGTACCTAAACACATCGACGTCACCCTTCTCGCCATTGAAGCCGCGCTCGTAGAGTAGATGTCTCCCGACCTGGCTCTGCCACATCCCACTCAGACCGAAGGCTGCAATGGGCATTGCCAGCATCAAGCCCTTATGCTTGCTGTGGCCAAAGTTCTTGGCGCACGTCGTCACGGCGGATAAATACATCGACGCGGTTCCGGCGCCAACGCCGACGAAGGCAAGTATCATCACCCAGTACGGCCAGCCAGAGCCGCCGGAGTCGACAGGAGGGCCAGACCTGTACGTCAGCGCGGCGAGCAAGTACCCGGGGCCGAAGAGGAAGGCGGAGATCAGGGCCACGGGCGCGGGCGAGTATCGGTCGCAGAGGTAGCCGAAAAACGGCACGGGGAGGTACATAGCCAGCTCAGCGGTCACGGACACGGCGTTGACGCGGAACTGCGAATAGTTGAGGCGAGAGAGGAAGAGCGGGCCGTAGATGGAAAACCCGGTGATGCTGCCAGCGCACGCCCTGCACGGTAGTACCTGTTAGGCTTCCATAAAGGTATGTTACCATCAAATTGTAACCTACGCAGTTAATACGCCCCATATAAAGCTCCCCATGCGCACCAGCTCCCTCCTCATCAACTGCCGGTCGCGCTCTACAATCTCACTGACGACATCGCACAGCAAGCCGTCAGATTCCGCAGAATGCCATCCGCGAGGGCCGGTGGGCGGAGTACGATTTGCGTCGAAGTCTCTCTTATCAATCGAGACTCCCGCGCGGTCCGGCTGACTGGGGCCACCCATACTGGGAGGGAGGGTGGGTGATATGCTGCGGAGTTATATTGTTGCTGTTGTCAGACCTTGCACGATATAGCTCCGTCGGTATCACAGGAGTATGGGTGTAGGGTGATTCAGATTCTAGTTTTCTCCTTCAGCACAGTCAATGGCTTCTATGGCGCAGCCTTCAGTCCGTCCACGGTCGTCAGGCAGGGTGGGCTCTGGTCACGACGTGAGGTCCATGCCAGAAACGCGGCCCAGCTGTGCAACGCGTCGACGTCAGCAGTCTCGAAGAGTAAAGTCGCCACGTGAGCTCACATTTAGTAACTATACGGCTACAGAGTCCGACGGGCAGCGATACGTGCGGTGTGTGCGTGTGTGCTGGCTGGTGTTGGGGAGCGTGTTCGCTGGACGGTGTGAGGTCATCCGCGCTAACCCGCCCCGGACCCGCCACGCAAGGTTCTTACATAAGCGGCCTCCAGCGGCGCCGAACCGCCGCGGCGGATGGCGGGAGAAGGCGAGAGCCGGTCTTGGGAGCGACTAAGAGCGCTAGGTGGGCTCTAGCAGACGTCAGGCAATAATGGGCTGGCGGGCTTTACGACGAGTGCTCGGCCCGTCAGCGTTGACTAGAGCCGGGACGGCGTGGCTACACGTCTATATAGAACTGGCTGCCGTGCCTACAGTGGAATTGGGCCCTAGAGTTTAAGAGCAATCGCCAACCTGGACTGCCACCACGCATCATTCAATATGACGTGCCTCCTCGACCAACGCCCAGCTGTTTATGCGGAGCAATGCAGTATAAAATGGCGTTCACGCCGGATATGAGCTGGCCCGCGACGGAGGTAAGTGCCTAGCTCGACGGAAAAGGGGCATGTCTTAAAAGCCAAAGCTAAAGGACCAGGCATGGGGCGTAGAATGGAACGTGCCAATGCACACGGTGTCGCAAGTCCACAGGCAGCCTGTCATCGGCTCACGTCAGCGGCGGTGTGTAGGATCTCCCAGCGCGACCTGTCCAGCTCCACGTGCGGGCAGCTCGCTGGCCCAGTGTAGTTCCCTGGGCGAGGCGATCGATGCGGTGCGGTGAGAAGGCCGGGCCAGGGCGTCTGGCAGGAGCGGAGGGACGGGTTGGGCACGCGGCGGTGGCAGACGCGGCGTCACGTCTGGGTCGACACAGCGATGCCAGGGGGGGGGTTCACGGATGGCATGGATGGGGCGCAATATGGCTGCAGACGGCGGCCAATAGCGAGCTGGGCAGTGCCGGGAGCCGTCTGGCTGGGCTGGCGGCGGACAAGGCATGGCGACGAGGGCGGGCGTTTGGTGGCCGGGAGGGTGCTGGGCGCTGGCCAACCGGTAGGGCCGGAGCTGCGGGCGACTGCAACGGGATGGGCGCTGGGAGCAGGAAGCAGGGAGCAGGGAGCAGAGGCTGTATATTGTTAGTTAGTTAGTCAGGTGTAGTGTACTCCGTACTCCGTACTCCGTACTCCGTAGCGGCTGCGGGCAGCACGAGGGCCGGGGATGCGACGGGTGCGGCCGGGGCCGTGGCTGGTTGAAACGCGAGCGAGATTGCAGCGGCTGTTTGGGAGAGAGCGGGCAAGGACGAGCGCGAGGCAGCGCAGGCGAAGCTGGTTGGTCTCCACGTTCCAGCATGATTGGGCAGCGGCGGGCGGATCGCGGGCGGCGGCCGGCCTGTAGGAGCGGGCGGGCGGGCAACGTGACGGCCGGGGCTGTGGTGGCGGTGAGCTGGTGGGAGTGGAGGGTCGCTGGCGAGGGCGAACGCTGCGAATCCCAGGCACAATCCGCCTCACCACTGACCGCACACTCCCAACCCACCCCAACAACACTCACTCCCTCACGTCGCCCTCGCCCTCGCCCTGCTGTCGCTCGCCCGCGCACCAGCCACAGATGTGCTCCCCATGTCCGGCCGCCGTTCCGCCGCCTCTGGCCTGCCACCTGCGCCGGCCGCTGCCTGTGATTCGAGTGCCGCGCGCCGCCCGCGCCTGCTGCCCATAAAACCCGCTGCTCCCGACCTGCCCGCCGCCGCCTGTCCGCCGCTCAGCGAGCGCGACTCCATCTTCGCCACGCATTACCAGCTCGACGCGGAGCCCGCCCACAGCCCTCAGCCGCCGCCGTCTGCCACGCCCGCGACGCCTGTGCTGCCCGCCCGTCGCCATGTCAGCGCTCTGTCCGCTTCGCTGCAGACGTCGTCGTCCCGCGACCACTCCCGCCCTCTCTCCCCCGTAGCTGCCCCGCCCGGGCCCGCGATGCTGCTCGCCGACCGTCTGTTTGCGCCCCCCAGTGGCCCGTTGGCGTCGTCGTCGTCGTTGTCGTCCGTGTCTGCGTCTGCGTCCGCGTCTTCTGCGTCTGCCGCCCTGCGCCCGCCGCTGCACGACACCAGTGCCCGCCCGTCGCGCGTCGAGAAGGCCTTCGAAGCCAGCCTGGCAAACGCAGAACCCGCGTCGAATGTGCGCAGCCGCAAGTCCAGCCACTACCTGGGCCTGTTTAAAGAGAACACGGCCGCCGCTGCTGCCGACCGGAGGAAGCAGGACCAGTATCAATCTGCCCGCCCGCAGCAACCGCCATACACTACGCACCACCAGCAGCAGCAGCAGCTGCAGCAGCAGCAGCTGCAGCAGCAGCAGGCACAGGCCTCCCGCTCCGCTCCGCTGCGCGCCTTCCCCCCAGAGCCCATGGCGCCCCCGCCGCCCGTCCGCGTCCGCCCCGCCGTCACGCCCCGCTCGCCGCCGCCGCCCGCCCTCGTCCCGCTCGCCCAATCGGGCGCTGTGCGACCCCCCAAGCCCCGGCTGTTCGACTCCCCGTCTCGCTGCCGTCTGCCCGCGCGGCGTGATGGCCCCGTCATGCTGCCCTACGCCGTCGACGGTGCTGCTGACTGGCAGGAGCCCCCGCGTCCGCGCCTACCCTCGCCTACCCACGAAGACGACGACGACGACGAAGACGAAGACGAAGACGGGACGGAGCGTATCGCCTCAGCTCTGTACTTTCCACACCAGCGCCCCCTCGACGACGAGCCCTCGCTCGCCCTGCTGGAGAACCACCTGGCAGACAACGACGACGACGACGACGAGCAGGGTGTCGACACGCCGCCAGACCACAATGACCGGGCCATGGTGGCCGCAAGAGCTACTCTCCACGCCAAATCCCCCGAGACCGATGTCTCCAACCATGTCGACATCGCCCTGCGCTCCAGAGACGACAAGAAGATCCTGCTGGGAGAGATCAGACCGCCCATCCATGACGACAACCACTCCCTCACCTCCGTCTCAGAGTTCGAGATGGACTCCATTTCTGAATCAGAGCCCTTCTCCGCCGACGAGAGCGCCTTGTCCAGCAAGGAGGACGATTCTAGCCTGACCGACGACACCAGCACCACCCCCAAGACCGCCCTCCTGGCCGACAAACGCACCGCTCACCTGCGAAAACACACCCAGCACACCCAGCCCGCGCCAGCTCCCCTGGGCGCCGTGGAGCTCAAGCCCTATCGACACCAGGTGGGCGGCCACACCACCGTATTCCGCTTCTCACGACGCGCCGTCTGTAAACAGCTCAACAACCGCGAAAACCAATTCTACGAGAGAATCGAACGTCGACATCCGGAGATGTTGATATTCCTTGCCAAGTGCGTACCCCCGGTTCTTGGTTTTTTGTGGATATTTCTGCATTGTAGCTCTGCGTTGCTGGCTTATCTCCGAACATCTTGACACTAACTACTCACCGCAATTCCAGGTACATTGGCGTCCTGAACGTCACATTCTCCAAAGCCCCGAAACGCCCGAAACACAATGCGGACGAGTCTCAAGGCAATGGCACAGAAGATGCCTCGAAAACGCCCTCCACTCCGCGAGAGAAAGGAGGAAAGGATACCACACCCGCAAAAGGCCCGGGTGGCTCGCCAAGAATCTTCAGTCAACAGCAAGTCACTGGCGTTGTGCCGAAAGTGATCTTAGAGAATAACCGTCATATCATTCCCATAGACTTGTTCATGACTCCCCCGTCCCCCGCGAACGGCAGAGTTGCGCAGCAACACTCCCCTGCCGACACACCCCAAGCGAACATTATCTGCTCTCCTCCCACACCACTCATCCCCGGCGGCAGAAGCAGCGAAGTCAGCTGGGGTGCCACCACCGTTAACACCAAACTACAAGAGCAAGTGCTGCGCGAAGTATTTGCTCCACCAACTATCCATCGTCACCGTCGGCATACTAAAGGTCACGGAACGCTTCCAAAACTACGACCTACCACAACTCACCCGCCAGATCGCCCACAAATCTGTCTTTTTCCACCCGAGCCGGAAGGTGAATGCGGCAAATCCCTCCCAGAGCCACCGTCGATCGCACGGCCCTCCAGTGAACGGGATGTCCCTAGTCTTTCCTCGTCCCTATCCACCGTTGTAGGTGCCGATGGCCATCGCCTGGAAGTTAGCAGATCCGAGAGCCCTCGCCCGCAGAGAACACCACATGCTCTGCTTCGACGCCGTCGCCGTCATTCAGGCAGCGGCCTCGAAAGACAACGCAGCATGAGTACCAGCAAAGCCGGCGATCTGCTATACTTTGAAGACGACGGCTATGGCGGAGATCGAGAAGATGGAATATTCCAAATGGAATCCGATGACATCCCTTCACTCACCTCGGGCATTGATGCCTTGGATATCAAACCAAGGGGTGCCCTGCAACAATCGCGGCAGGCCACTGTAGACACCAAGGAAAGCCCGACATTGCCCGTTACACTTGGCACCCATACTGGAGAACCCATTCGCCTGCCTGTCAATCCAAAGGAGGCCCAAACAATGCAAGATGAGCGTGTTCAATTCTTCTTGCTACTGGAAGACCTCACTGCAGGCATGAATAAGCCGTGTGTGCTGGACCTGAAAATGGGCACACGCCAGTATGGCATTGAGGCAGATGAAAAGAAAAAGAAGTCCCAAAGACGGAAATGCCAGACCACCACCTCGGCACAACTTGGCGTTCGGCTTTGTGGCATGCAAGTATGGAATGTCAAGAAGCAAGAGTATCTCTTCGAAGACAAGTACTTTGGTCGCGATTTGACAGCTGGTAGAGAGTTCCAGGACGCGTTGACCCGGTTTTTATCCGACGGTGTCAGTTCCTCCAGCGTATCGAAGAAAATCCCCGTTATTTTGAACCAACTGTCTAAGCTTGAGGCTATGATCCGCGGACTCCCTGGATATCGCTTCTACGCCAGTAGTCTGCTGATACTGTATGATGGAGAAAAAGCACCATCGAAAAACGGGGCGCAGAAAAACAAACCCAAGGATTTGGACTCCAACGGTGACAGCCACCACAAAGTTACTTTTGAGGATAAATATGACCACTCTGGTTTACAGCTGAAAATCGTTGATTTCGCCAACTGCGTAACTGGAGAAGATGGCATCCCTGCAGATACTATTTGTCCGCCGCATTATCCGGGCGACATCGACCGTGGCTATCTACGTGGCCTCCGCACGCTCCGAATCTATTTCCAGAGAATTCTCAAGGAGATTAACCAAGAAGATTACGTGGAGCGCGGCGAGGGCGAAGCCATGGCCGTTGGACCCCGGAGTGCTGTGCGCGAAAATTCCAGCAATAACTACTGGGAGGACGGCATTATCGAGAGCGACCCCGGACAAGTCAGTATGTGACTTGGCTCCAGTCTCTACGCCTTTATGATATCACCTATCATCCGCAGACACATTCCTCATTCTATTCTTCCCACTCATATCCTCTCCCTTGAGCCCTTGAGCTCAGTCCCAGTATCTTTCTCAACTACTTACTTTTTATCTATTTCTCCTCAACACGCAATTTCGTCCACAGCTGTCATTATTAGTTCGGTGTTGGTTGTCTGGCGCTTTGAGAGGTGTGATTTTCTCCTTTTTTTCTCTCTCTTTTTTTGAACTTTTCGGAATAAAAGACGGACACGGAGTTGGCATATAACTACGGGGGGTTTTCCAAAAAGGATGCAAAAAATTCTTCCCATTATAAGGTCCCCTGGCAACAACGTTTTTAGAGGTTTCTTTTTTCATTCTTCAGGAGCTTCCGTCTTTAATTAGTACTTCATTGCTTTTCGAAATTTTCTATCTCTCTTTTGCGTTTTTTACGAACATTCGAAGGAAGCAAAAAAAAAGGGCGTCAAAGAAGGAAATACACACGTTTTCTTCTTACACCTCTCCAACAGCTCGTGGGCTTTTCGGTCAACTGCATAATTTACTTTAGCAGATATTCTTTATTAGCCTCTTATTCCTCAATCTGCACCTTGTGTTTGCAAATTTTATCTGTTCTTTTCTCGGAACCCTTTCCGGCGTTTTCTCTTCATGGCGGCTAGTTGCGTTTCGGGGAGTTTTCTGTCCGTTCTAATATTCCCTACGAGCGTCTTTTAATTCATTTGACGTGCAAGCTCTGTTGCTCGTTCTTCTTCCGGGGTACTTTTTTTTTTCATCCTTTAGCTATAGTTAGTGTAAGAATACGTATTTTAATCACGATTTACTGCGTTCTAGTGTTTGTTATTTCCGTTCAATAGGCACGGATGCTTGCATTTAATTAGATACGGACAATCAAACGAGCAAGCTAATATGGATCCCCTTGGATATTGATTTTGTAACTCAACGTGCGACTGATACATTAAGGAGAGTCAAGCCACATCCCACCCCCTGTTCTCTGCCAGCCGTCGGGCGACTGCTGCTGCGCTGCCGCTGGCCGAAAACCGTCGTTCTTTATGCAGAGGCGACCTCGACGCGCCTGAACCCTCCCTCGCGCGCAACCTGCTTCTGGAGCACACACATGCGCTTCTGATCCCCGATGGGGTCAGCCGACTCAGCTTCGAGCTCCCAGCCCAGGAACTCATTGGTGTAGTTGGGCTGGAAGCCGGCGTCCAGGATGTCCAGCCTCTTGCCGTAGTTGGTAACCTTGGCCCAGTCGCGCGCGACGTTCTTCAGGTCTCTGCTGAAATACGCATACGAGCGCTCGAAGATCTTGCGGTTGACGGGCGTGGCCATGGCCGGCTTGACGTCGACGTACTCCTCGTACGCGGCCGCCGGCTGCGCCAGCACGTAGTCCGTGGCCCGCTTGACCGCCGCCAGGAACTTGCGCACCTGCTCCGGGTGCTGCGCGATGAAGCTCTCGTTGCCGATGTACAGGATCGAGCAGAAGCAGCAGCAGCCGAGCTCGGCCAGCTCGTCGATGCGCAGCATCTGCACGTCGTCGCGCGGGCGGCCCTGCGACGCGAGCCACTCCTCGAGTTCGACCATCTGCACGTTCTCGAGCCCGATGCCGGCGTCGATGGTGCCGTTGATGATGGCCTTGGTGACGTTCATGCCGCACCGCACGGCGGTGTAGTCGGACGCGGACATGCCGTAATGCTTGGTCAGTTCGTCGATTTGGATCTGGAGCCTTGATTAGTGGCCGTACACCGCATTTTCGTCATGGATTTGGGGTGGTACTTTGCCGAATTCGCCGACATAGCCAATGCGTTTTCCTTTGAGAGAGCGGAAGTCGGTGGTGACACCGCTGTCTTTCAGGTACACGACGCCCGTAAAGGGCTCGTCGAGAAGAGAACCGATCGAGAGAACGGGGAAATTACGGGCTTTGGCCTGGGAGAACTGGTCAGCTTTGGCCGGGCGCCTTCTCGTGGGAAAAGAGCACGAACCGCCAGTGTGTGGATCATGGCCTTGAAGCCCATATCGACCTTGCCGCTGCCAATGATCTCCGTGACATCGGACGGGTCGTTGGGCTCGAGGATGGCCACTTTGATGCCCTCGTCCTGGAAGAAGCCCTTGGACTGTGCCAGATAGAGCGGGGCATGGTACGGGGTGGCATGCCTGGGAGCTGGTTAACCTGCCGGCCCAGCGAACAGACGGCCGCCACAACCTACCAGTTGGTGAGAAAGGTGATTTTATCAGTCGACATGGTCACGATAGAGCAAGCAGAGAAGATCCAGAAGAGACACTACACGCAGTCAGCATCGCCAACCCAGGCGTCGTCGACCGCGCCGCAGAGCGTGCAAGGCGACGACGAGGAGGGGGAAAAGTCAAAGCCACGCATGTCCTTTCGCTAGAATTATCTAGATCAAGTTCAGACAGTATAATCTCAGAACGACGCAGACGCAGGGCCTCCAGAACGAAGGGATCCCACGTCCGCGTCGAACACCTGTCATGCGAGAGAAGCAGTGACGCGATATTCTGACACGACAATACCTTGATCCGAGGATGAATCCATCGCGAAGCGACAGCTATCGACCAGCGTCGACGAAGGCTCCGGCTCCCGGGGAAGATGTACCGTAGCAGGACAAGCGAGTGAGCGAGAGAGAGGAAGAGAGAGCGCGAGAGCGAGGCGGGCAGGCGGGCAGAGGCTGCGGTGCGCGAATTTATATGAGTTTTCGCCGGCCCGGGATAGCCACGGCCGGCCCCGCCAGAAGGCAGGATAGCTTCGGCCGATCTGCTGTTAGTTCGCCAGCAAAGCGACGCGATGCTCTGCGGTTGTCTGCGTTCCCTGCAGCAGCGAAGCTAAATCTGCCGGAAACCCGGCCCAGCTTGTGGGAGAACAAGCGCGCGAAGATGCCAGCAGGCAAGGCGGGAATCCTGGATGGATTAAGGATATATGAAGAATGAACGAATATACACCACAGCGCCCCCAGGCCAAAAAAGACAAACCATAAACGCTCACAAGTCGCTAATGCAGGCAGATCAGGGCTCACGAAAGGCAGGAAACACATGCATCGTCGACCATATCCCAGCGCCGAACCAAAACACCAAACCCTTCATGCGAAAACAATCAATGCGCCTTTTTCTTCAAAACTCCCAGTTCAACCAGCCGTTCCCAGACCCAGTCCTTTTTCAGATGCCCGGCATCTCTCTCCTCAACATGAAGGCCGTCCAGTACCTTCAGCCGGCTGCATGTGGCGGCGTGGACCATCAGCTCGACAACTCGCCGTCGAAGCTTGGTCGCCTCGTCGAGATGCGCCAGGTATTTCTTATCGGCAGCTGAATTTGCTGCGGGGACCGTGTAGGGGTCATCGATCTCAACCTCAACGTCTTCAAATCCTGGTCGAGTGAGAGATGCGTGGTCCCCATGCTCGACACGAGCGACATCAACACATCCGCCGAGTGGCGCAAGGGCATCATTATCATCAGCAGTATCGTCCTCCACCACAACGCGTCTCGTAAGCTGATGGGATTTAGGCGTGAAAAGATTGTCAGTCTTCACCCCTGCTGAACGTCCGTTTCCAGATACTGGAGAAGGATAAAACCCAACAGTAAGCGGATTTCCTCTCAGATCTACCTTGGTCAAACACCCTTTCAATCCACCCACAGTTTTGAGGGTTTGACAACATTTTCGAAGTCGGGAAATCCTGTTTCCAACGAGAGACAAATGAGAAAGTCGGGAAATCCCGCTAAGTGAATCGATATTCGACAGAGCGTTAAAGTTGAGATTCAACGATCTCAGATTCGGGTAGCTTTTCCCAAACCCCTCTGGAAGCTCGTCTAGCCCACAGGATGCAAGATCGAGAAATTGGAGCGTCGAGATAGGGCAGGCGGGAGACAGCATCTCACTTGAGACTCTATTACACGATAGGTAAACCTTGCGGATTGAGAGGTTTGAAGACAGATCGAAGTCGACTGCAAGGGGTTCCACCATGTTATTGCTCTCGAAGAATCCAGTCTGTTCTCGAATTGACAAAGTTTCGAGATGCGGGCATGTTTCAAGTTTATCAATCGTGGTTAGGTGGTTGCAATCGAGGTATAACAGTTGCAACGCTGGAAAAGGCGAAACATCAAGATTTAGGAGATGGTTGTATGACAACTTCAGCCATCGCAAATGCTGTAATGTGCCTGGGATGAACATTTCCCGAATCTCATTCCGCCCCAGACTGAGCTTTTCGAGCGCGCTCAAAGTATCGATATTTGCAATGCTCGAAATATGATTACCACTCAGATCCAGATTACTCAGGCGAACCCTATGATAGATAATCAGAAAAGTCCAGCAGTCAAATGCAGTTTACTCTAAATACTTACAGGTCAGAGCCTTTAAAGTCCAGAGAAGTCAGCAAGTTGTTCCTGGCCTTTAGGGTCAAAAGGCCGTCTAGGCCAAGAATACCCTTGATACATCTGAGCCTATTATTATTCACGTTCAGGCTTCTCAGATGAATCAATCCTGATAGACCATCCAGGTTCTCAAGATGATTGTGCGATACGTCGAGGTATTGAAGATTGGATAGATGACTCCATGCAGTCAAGTTTGACAGAAAGTTGTGCGAGATGTTTAGGCTGCGCATACTCGTTGGAACCCCGCTGAGTTGACCTATGTTATTATTTGATGCATCAAGTTCCTCAAGTCTGGAGCAGTATTTGTTCAGACGAAGCAGTGTAATGAGTTTTTTACCCTGAAGGTGTAGTCTGCGCAAATGCTCCCAATACACTTCATAAGGCTCCACATCTGTGATGTGTTTGATTAATTCTTCAACCGCCAGAGTAAATGTACCATGGACTTGACGAAGAGAATGGGGATGTGTTCTTTCAGCTACGTAGCTAACTTCTAGCCTCATAGATTCATCGATTTGGTTAACTGTAAATTCTGCTAGAGGGCTCATGTGAAAGCTGTAGCTCGCATCGTGATGGGAATTCGATGCTAGCAAAGAGAATTCATCTTGGACAGGAAGAACGGAAAGCTCTTGTTCGACCTGCTCTCGTAAGAGGTTGCTTTCATTATGCTCAGTAGTGCAATAGGCGCCGTTTCTAGCTAGAGTTCCGCTGAGGCGGAAGGTCTGGGGGAAAATTATTTGCGAAAGGGAGTGCTGGTATTGAATAGGGTCTTCTCTGTTCATTTTTCGTGGCAAGTCGACTATGTCGTTTGAATTTGGTTGGTCTGTCGTGACCTCAAGGGGTATGGTATTATGGGTCTGAGCTGTATCTCGAGATGTAGTGCCCACGCTCACGTTTTTTCTATCATTGCTGATGGTACGCAATGAAATGGGTGACTTATTTCCGGGGGGAGTACTGCATTTTACATCTGGTACTCTCCTTTGCTGAGAATCAGCGTATTCTGGCCGGACTGCAAGGATGGATGGAATTCCAAGATCAGAAGTAGCCCATGATGTTGCTCTTGTCCCGGGCCGGGGCTCGTTAGAAGTGCAGCTGGTGGACTTGGATTGCACACTACTTGTGTCCAATGGGGGGTTGTAAATGCTCCCCTGGGTCTGTGGCGGCAAGCCAGTCATTCCTGAGATTTTATCTGTCTGATTTTGGCATGAATTTTTATTCATGTTTGTCGTATCGCTATATACCCCAGGTTTCACCAAATCACAAGGGGAATTTTCCGCTGCCATATATTCCCGTAGTTCATCAATACTGAGGTCTGGAATATCTCCAAATGGATCGTCCTCGCTAATGAATGATGCGAAATTTTTGTTATGATTTAGACGACCTTTTATCCACATGTGACGAATGCGATCATATGTCATGACCCCAACCTTTTCAGGAATCAAATGCGATACCATTTGTGACGATATTATCCCTTTGGCCTTTGCACTCCCTGTAGAGCCTGTAGGGATGCTTCCAGTTGACGTGACAGTTTTAAAATCCTCATTTGATAACCCCAAGTCATTCGTAGAAAATTGATTCATTTGCCTCCGTGGTAAGCTGTTTAGTCCCTCTTGTAGCTGTCCGCTCGTCAAGTCGGCCCGAGTTTCTGTTCCGCCATTTCCCTGCCATTTACTGCCCGACTGTCGCGATTTAAGATGCAGGGACATAACAGAGGTGCCCATAAAAACATCCAGCTCATCAGTATCTTCAAACTTTTTCAGATGACTCATAATTTGCGGATCAGGGTCTTTTGGTGGGTTTTGTCGGCGTAAACAGCCTCCTTCCCGGCTCGGTGGCCGTGAGAACTCTTCTTGTGTTGATATTTCACTCAGCGCGTGTCGATCACTGGCTGCTATAGATTCTTCTAGCCCAGGTAGTTCGCTTTTTCGGCCACCATGGGACCGGATATGATTCATAATCTTTGTGGCTTCGTTCAGAAAGTCTTGGGTGGTAATCGAGCCTTTCCTGATCGCATTCACGCTGAGATTCTGCTGTATGCTTCTCGAAAACGGGAGACTATCTCTATTCAATGCTGGCTCATCATTTGACTCATGCCGGTTGGATTTCATATCGGATAGCCTTAGCTGTGTTGGAGTGGGATTCTTAGGTCGACCTGGATGGGAAGATGTAGTTCTACTTCCACTACCTGTGTGAGAAGGTACAGAAATGATCTCTAGTTGCTGGGGGCTTGATTGTGCTGAACTAAACACTGATGATTCGATGATAGGCTGATGCCACCCCTTGCTAGAGTGATCTGACGGGACTAAAGTGCGCCTCCTTTTCGCGGATGAGCTTTTCGTTGGACTGTTTAGGCCTCTCTTGTCCGCAAGCTTTGAGAAGCTATGGGGCGCGCTCTGTTTTCGGCTGTTTGGGGAGGGGAACGGGTTTGTAGAGGGACGTGGTGCAACTCCCTCATGGATATGGGAATCTGCCTGGTATTCGCTGGGGCCGTCTGACTCGATGGCGCAGGATGGCCCTTCTTCAATCGTCGCCTCAAACGTTTCTTCGAACTGGCTCATTCGACGAAGAAGTTTATTACTGGTAAACGTATCGTAATCACCAAATAGCTTGAGTGGGCTACCAGAGGACTTCATGGCACTTGTACTGGGAGTTTGGCTGTGCTCACGCGAAACGCCGGTCTGCTTCTTGGGAGTAAAGGGGCTGGGGAGTTTTGTGAGCCCTCGCTTGCCTCGTGATTCGCCTTTGCGCGTAGACTTCTGATACCGCGAAGCTGCAATAGAGGAAGGCAAATTTGACCCGGCTAAAGACGGGCTTAGCCAGCGTTTCTGGAAGGAATTGCTGGCCAGGCAGCCACCTCTATGCATGTTTCCGAATCCACCAGCAGTAGCAAACTCATGCGTTCCCATAGTCAGGCCTTCGGGTAGTGATTGGCTTGTTATTTCTAGTGAATCGTCTGTGTCGGGACGGCCGTCGGCCGGTTCAAGGTGTGAATTAAAGATGGTGTCGCTCGCGCTCGACGTTGGTCTACAAATATGTAGATGCTGATGGTTCGACGAAATGCCTGTCGACAATGGTATGGGGCTAGCTGCTTCACCCGTGGTCTCTTCGAGACTACTCGCTGACCACCCCGGGAGATGTTCAATGGACAGCCCCGCGGAGCTAAGGCTAAGATTGGAAAAGTCTCGCTTTAGCCGGGCAACGTCACATTCGTTGATGCTCAATTGGCTGCTCTGCAATAGTCGCGTAATATCAGCGGGCGAGACTTCGGACATCCTCTCCATCCAGGTAAGATTGATGTTTTCCTTGTCCCATGACCTAAGAAGTTTCGACCTTTGCGATATTCCAGATAGTTTTGGTTTTGAAAAAGAACAAATGCGTTCATCTCGTTTTGGCAGCACCGCTTGCTCTCTGGCTTCACAAGTATTCGGTGGTGTAAATAATTTCTGAAGCTCGGTTGGACCAAATAAGTCGCCGTCTCCAGAAGCAACAAGATCGCCTCTCAATAGTCTCCTTTTCCACTCTGGTGTATTTCCCCTTTCATTCCCCTGGCAAGGCTTCACATTCATTGTAGCAGTGTCCAATGGCGATTTTGGTGCTGAGGCATCGCCGTGGGGTTTCGCGTGCTGAGAAATGTTTAAAGACAGTTCAGAGAAGATCGGCGCGTAAGAATAAATAGGCTGAAGAGGTGCCGAAGTACAAGGGCTGTTCGACTCCGAAGGCCCTTGTTGCGATTCTCCGAACTGTGGGAGCGGAGTATGTGAAGCAATGGACAGTCGGGACGATGCGATCCAGTCGTCTGTAAGGCCTTCAAGCCACGGCTCGCCTGCAGTCGCCATGGAGAGTCGGCTATAACGTGTACGCTCAGAGCAAACAAAAGGCGTCGCACGGAGCTGACACCGGATATCTAGTGACTTCATCACAACAAAGTTCTCAAAGCGGTAACTACGTCGGAAGTGCGGAATAATAGTCGGCCCGACACCGCCATTCCAGCTGGCAGCCAAGACTTTTCGTTGACCAGGCAACGCATCTTCTACAGCTCAACTACTCCGTACTCCGTAGCACCTTTGGCTTCCGCTTCCATACTTCAGGGAAGCACTCCGTACCGAGCTTACCTACGGTACTACCGGAAATATCATTAAGCAAGAATAGGAAAGTTTATCGCCTACTTAGTTTCTTTGTTTCACCCCTCTCAACCTCAATTTCGTTCGGGACTTCAGCCACCGCTGAGCATGGGGCCTTAAAGGTTATCTTTTTCAGCTGTTCTCAACCAGAAAACCAGAATTTGTAAGGGCTGCATATGTGAACTCATAAATACGCCCTGGCATATTTTAAAAATAAATGCAATGTTGATAACATACATACAGGCTTATATAAGTAGTGCCCCCAGGGCATTCTTGGCTAAAATAAAGCAAAAATCTTATGAAGACTATCTAGCCTTAAGTTTACTGTTTGTTTCGCCGACAATATCATGGTTCTTGTGCTATGAAGTGAAACTGCAGCCTAGTGATTCAACAGTATGGAGCACAGCAAATGAAAAAGCCCCTACCAGTGGTCTAAAGTATAGTATAAAATTCTTATCCTTATACTTTAGAAATGTTAATCCTAATTGCTACTTTCTGCGGCGTTGTATAGTAGTGAGGGGTTCTGAATATTGAAACGATAAGAGCTTTGCCTGTATAAGGGGAACTTTTGAATATCTCCATGCTATATTCATTTTTACATACGTCTTAATCTTATAAATTATAGACAGACATGAGTAGTATACTACGTATATTATATTTTCAAGATATAATATTAATAAAAATAAGATGACATGCAAGTGGTGGTTAACTATATACATTTCTAGGTAGTAAGTGCCTAATTGACGCTTCTCTACGGCTACTGTCAACAATCCAGGTTGGCTACTGTTAGGGCCTAGTCACACCACTAACTAATTATTATTCATCACGGACCCATTTCACTTGCTGATTGTTCCTGATCAGAGATTGCCATGTTAGCTACCTGGCACCAAGATGCGGCTAACTAAGTAACTAGTTTAAAGGTTTAACTAGTCCTGGCTAAGAAGGAATGGTCCTAGTCGTCTGAAAACTGATATCCGCGTAGAGCTCCCAGCTTTGCAGAAAACTTCCGGCATCCGCTATTGCTTGGTCAAGGTCAAAGTTGTCAAATCCAATAAAACCCTGGCCATCTTGATGCTTTGTGGTGGCCGTTGATGCCGCTAAAGTCAAAGCGAGATCAGTTCCTGGGGATTTTCGAGGCGAGCTCTCTACAGGAGAAGACGATTGAAGGGCGTCATATTCCGCCAACGTAGACGAACTTCTGCGACAATCCATAATAATGTCTTTAGGCGGAACCACTTCAGCTGAAGGTTTGCGACTACCAATCTCCATCACGGTGGCTTCGCTGATGTGGTTACTCTCGCTTATAAATTCGGGCGGGAACTGAACGGGATCAACCGTACAAGGGGTATTCGAAATAGGGTTGTCGCTTATATCTTGGATGCAACCTGAATCTTGAGCAGCGTGGACATCGTTACTGGCATTATCATGGTAGTGCGAGCACAATATATCTGCTGTGCTAGGATTATTTGGTCGTTGCTCTTGAAATTGCTGCTGCACTGCACCCACGGAGATCTGCGTTGACTTGGCACCATCTACTGCAGGACTAAAACGAGTGTTATGGGAAACGGGGCATTGGGTGGAATGAAGTGAGATTTGATTATGAAATGTTGTTTGTCCAGGTACGATTTGTGCAGAGGGGAAATTTGTGATTGTGGTGGTTACAGAACTTCGGTTATGGCGGCCATTGGGCCCATAGGAAGTGGTTTTAAAACTGGTATTCAGGCGAAGTTTGATTGGCTTTTTTTTGGATGGTGTCCCTGTTTGCTCCTCAAGAATATGGATAGACTTAGAACTACCCTGGGCTGGCTCTTCGGTAAGAAGAGTGCTTTTGGGAGCTTCAATCGCATCGTAAATATGATGGCGCTGAAAAGATCTCGTGGCGGCGGGTGGAGTCAAAGATATTTTTCTGTTCAGTGATGGTGTTCCACCATGGGATCTTGAATGAGATTCGGACGATGGAGCAGACACGCTATATGGTGATTCTGTCCTTATAAGTTGTCGTCGGTTTCGTTGCTTCTTCTTCTTTTTCTTATGCTTGAGTGGTTGACATAATTCTGTATTTGATAATTTACTGGATTGAACAAGAGGGCCTTCGGGTAGCAAGGGCTTGGTGGTAAGTTTCTCGCCAGGATTTAGAACGGAACGCTCCCCTTCTAAGTAGGAGCCTTCATTTAAGAGAGAACTTTGCTGTGGGGCGAGTGAAATACTGTTCGATCGATTAATGGGCGACGGGCTAGGAGACCGTGCACATTCTAATAAACGCCGATCCCAAAATTTCCCGTTTCTTTTTAGCCATTCGCCAGAGACGACAGTGTTTTTTGGATTATTGGAGATGAATGAATAACCGGGTGTTTCTGGTACTTCGTTCCGAGATCTTTGCCGCCGGAAAGTACTAATACCGCCTTTCTCCGTTAATTCATTGCGTGAGCGGTTTTTTTGAGCTACAGACTCGTGAGTAATAGCCAGAGGTGTTTTCTGATGAATATCGGTCTGGCGAGTATTGGAATCCGGTGTTTCAAGTGTTCTATACCGCTTCGCTTTGTTCCACGGATTGACCCATCGACCATCGAAGGGGCCTTTGAGACGAGCAGTAAGGATAAAAAGAGGCTTTCCGTCCAAATAATCTCGGGCTAACCGTTCGATTCGTCGTCGTTTTGCGGCTCGAGATACTTCATCCGTGTCACTTTCGGAGCAGGATATGGCGGTTTCCGAAAAGCTGGTAGATAATGGCTCAAATGATAGAGAGGGGTCAGTCCGAAGACGGGACCTCTCACCCGAAGATTGCATGATCAGCGGCTGCAAAATCACTGTACTTGGGCAGCAAAGGTGGCCCCGGTTTGTTAAAACCTGGCATTAGACGGTAAAAATGCCTTCGGCCGCTCCTGGGCCTTCTGACAGCTGATGGCCAAGTCAAGTGCTTCTTCGTTGCCTGCGTGAACACGAGAAATCAATTAACGCGGGCGCGTTTATGTCCTCTAGTCCTATTCTGGGTTAGTAATATTCCGCTCGTTAGCTGACTAAGGTCTTGGAAACGAACTAGTCTATAATAGTATTAGGGCATTGGTAGTAACAGTGCTAACAGCTAGAGCCATGGGCGTCATACGGTGAACCGAGGGAACCACTGTGGCGGGCAGTTGCATCAACATCGGAAGTGCGTAAACGACGGTGTAAAGCTACCTTCAAAAATGCAAGCGGTTATATTTGATGCCATGGGATAATATAACATTGCTTCGTTCAATGTGATAACCATTAAATATTGGATTAAGGATATGGCCTTGACTTCAGTAAGATTCTAGCTTTTGCCCCATACTTTCATCTATCTAACTAGGCAGTGGAAATCTTTCAACTTCTTTAGAGCCTCAGAGGTTCATGTGCCTGATGAGTCAGGATCTTTAATATTCAATGTTAGTATCTGTTTTGCTCTGCAAGGCTCAGCAAAAATTGCTCTATGCTGATGATGCCCAGAGCGACATAACTTCCATCTGCGCAGGGTCAGATAACCTCTTTCTGGGTACTACGGATGGCTTCGTCCATATTCTCTCTAGGGCCTTTAAGGTCATTCGGTCCTTCAAAGCCTACGACACAGGCCCAATAACGCACATGAAACAGGTTACTGGGACATCGTATCTTGTGACTCTGAAGGAAGATTTATCAAGCGAACCCGTGCTGAAGGTATGGGCACTCAATGAAGTAGATAAGAAGACTGATGAACCTCGATGCCGTTCGACTAAAAACGTGCATAACAAGCGGAGGCAATTTCCAGTCTCTGCGTTTGTTGTGTTGGACGACCTATGGCAGATCGCAGTGGGATTTGCCAATGGTTCGGTGACTCTTATTAGAGGGGATTTAATTCATGATCGGGGTGCTGAGCAGAGAACGATTTTTGAATCAGAAGAACCTATCACTGGCCTGGAAGTTCAACGCGGAGCCACAACAACACTCTTTATTGCCACTACTGGGCGCATACTCACCATAGTTATCACCGGCAAAGGGGACGGCCAGCCTGCTCGTACATTGGAGAACCTAGGCTGCGGGGTGGGCTGTATGTCATTCGACAAAGATACTAGCGATGTCCTTGTTGCGCGGGAGGATGCTATATACACATATAGACCAAACGGCCGCGGGCCAAGCTTTGCATTTGATAGCCCGAAAACATTTATCGATGTTTTTCAGGATTATATTGCCTTGGTTTGCCCACCCCTCGTACCAATGGACAAGTCAGCTACTTTGCAGAGGTTTGGGACCAGTCAAGTAGATGAAATATTTAATACTTCCACTTTCACCCTCCTCGAACCGGATTTGAAGTTTATCGGACACTCTGAAGCTATTTCGTCCAAGATAAAGCACGTTTTTAAGGAATGGGGTGATCTATTTCTCATTACTGTGGATGGAAAGGTGCTAGTGTTCAACCTAGAGTTTATTTTATGTGCTAACAATTACATGCAGCTCTACCGATATCAGGAGAAAACGTTGCAAGAGAAATTAGAGATTCTTTATCAGAGGAATCTTTATATCTTAGCCATCAATCTTGCACAGAAGGCTGGCATTGATACACTACAACAAAATATCATTTTTCGCAAATATGGCGACTATTTGTATCACAAGGGTGATTACGACACCGCAATGCAGCAGTATCTCCGCGCTATAGATAATACCGAGCCATCGCAAGTGATCCGCAAGGTATTTTTATCCGGCATTTTGAATTTGTTTAATAAACCCCTTTTAATATACATGCCAGTTCCTTGATACTCAACGCATCCATAACCTTATTGAATATTTAGAAGAGCTGCATGACCATGAAAAGGCAACAATTGACCACACCACCTTACTCTTGAATTGTTATGCGAAGTTAAAAGACACGACTAAACTGGACTCTTTTATTAAAACCCCTGGAGAATTGAAATTCGATTTAGACACCGCAATTGCGATGTGTAGGCAGGGTGGTTATTTTGAACAAGCCACTTACCTAGCGACAAAACACGGGGAAAATGATATGGTGGTTGACATCCTAATTGAGGACTCTAAACAATATTCCGAAGCTCTAAGGTTTATTTGGAGCCTAGACCCAGGCCTTGTATGCCCTTGCTCCAGACTCCTTTTGCACCTGAGCTAATATATCACCAGGCATACCCTAATCTCATGAAATATGCCCGGGTTTTGTTAGAACACTGCCCACAATCCACCACCAAAATTTTCATTGATTACTATACTGGACGATATCGACCCATTAGAAAAAAGGAAGAGGAAGTAGTGAAAGGTGAAGAGATACGAACTACAGGAGGTTTGCAGAACTTAGCATCTCTTATCCCATTACCGTACCTTAGCATTTCTAAGACCGACCATTCAAAATCCACAATCAGCGAACCTCAGGTTACGACAGAGCAAGAAGAAATTATCCAGTACACCGTCCCAAAACCCAGGACATCCTTCTCATCATTTGTTGACCATCCCGAGGAATTCATCGTTTTTCTCGAGGCTTTAATCAAACAGGAAGATTTAACGAAGGACGATAAAGTCGATATCTATACTACATTATTCGAAATGTATCTTGATACTGCAAGCCGCAAACGAAATTCAACGGAAAAAGCCGATTGGGAAGCGAAGGCTAAAAAACTGATTGAAGGGAGCGACGTATGTTCTACGTGCATTTTACTAAACCTATATTGGCTGACCTCTCTTATAGATACCCGTTTCTACGTCAAACGTGTTGTTGCTATCGGATTTATCTGGCTTCCAAGAAGGAACCACTCTCGTACGGGAACAGCAGGGTTTACGATCTGATATCTTACGATCATACGCCGCTGTAAAAGATACCCCAGGGGTGATTAAGGCTTTACGAAAATACGGACCAGATGAGCCACAACTCTATATTGACGCACTCGCATACTTTGCATCAAGCCCCAAAACCCTAGAAGAGGCGGGAGATGAACTTGACATTGTTCTGAAACGTATAGACCGAGATGGGCTGATGTCGCCGTTGCAAGTCATACAAACCCTAAGCAACAATGCTGTCGTTACAATGGGCATGGTCAAGAAGTACCTTGACGATAATATACAAAGGGACAGAAAGGAGATTTCGAATGTTCGTTCCTGTTCCCCTTTTACCTGTTGCACAATGAAACTGACCCAGTCCTCCAGAGCCGACGTCTTATCAACAGTTACACCACCGAGACTGAATCCAGGCGGCAAGAAATCTCTGAGCTTGGTTCCAAACCTACTGTTTTTCAAGCCCGCCGCTGCTCGTCTTGCGGCGGTAACTTAGATCTTCCCACTGTGCACTTTCTTTGCAAACACTCGTTCCACCAACGTTGTTTAAATTCTGTCGATGAGAACCTAGAATGTCCCCTCTGTGCACCCCAAAACGCGACAATACAAGCGATTCGAGAACGCCAGATCAAGGCTGCGGATCAACATGAACTTTTCCGCACAGAGTTGGAACGGAGTCGGGATCGTTTCGGACTCATTAGTGAGTTTTTTGGTCGGGGAGTTATGAAACCTGGAAATCTCGAGTAAATGGCAGAGGGCCTTTCCTACCATATATTGTGTTATACATACATGCATACATACATTCATACATAATCCGCTTTGCACCAAGGTGTAGTAATCACATCACGTGATATCGCGTTTCACGGGCAGGTCAGTCTGGACCAACCGTCGCGTCAACTATCCAACGTCTGTCTTCAAGAACATTGTACTACAGCTCAAGTGGTACCTATGTTAGGACATCTCATAATCCAAGACTCAGATGAGTCTGATGATGGTCTCACTGATCCTAGAATCCGTATTACTCAAATATCACAGTTGGAGAATGCTGGTACATCTTTGGGCCCAGAACAATACCTCAATCCGGATGTTCCAGGCCAGGGTCACCTAAGCGGCGACGTGGTGGCCACTGACGGCCAAGATCCTTGTTTAACCGTCAACTTTGATGATTATCTGGTCTCCACAGGGCAGACAGCTGCGGATGGAATCCAACACAGTCTAGTTGGGAATAGTCCTTTCGAGGGGAAGTGTATTGATGGTATGATCGCGTATTGCAGTTATATTTCTAACCCACTGATAAAAATACTTAGTACATACAGAAGCAGAGCCCCGGACTGTTCTTGAGAATGAGCTTGCTGAGCCCTTCTGTTCCCCTCTAAAAGGTGGTTTGAAACGAAGCAGAACAACAATGAATGAAGAGATCATCCACAATACTAGGCAAGAATACCAAATGTCTAAACGGAGTAAAACAATGGTCCATGGGGAAAACCAACATTCGTTTGAGCCCTCGTGTTCCATGGATATTCTGATTAAAACAACAGCTGAAGCTGGCCCTTTTGTCTTGGGTCAAACCCCCGCGAATCTAATAAATGAGCCACTTCAAAAATATGACCTATTAGAACAAAACAAGGCTCAATTTAGTAGGCAAAATGCCCCTGAAACTACGACATCTAGTCCATCTAGTTCATTTAATGGCTGCCAAACTACGCAAAACAAAAGCCCCCTTCGCCGCTCAAAATCGGTGACCGTTCCCATCAATTCTCCACATGATACTGAACCGTTGTCGTCGACGAGGTATGCTCGAGCTCGGCGAACTTTGACACATCCTACAGACCAGCCACTCCCGGCCTCATCCTCAAGTAGTGTTGATGAGCTCTCTCTACCCGTTTCAGTTAAGGTTGTTGTAACAAAGGTTGATACTCAAGACGATACAGCAGACTCCCAGACATCCGATACCATTAACTTGGCATCTGATGATTTTGGAGGGATGCCAAAAGAAATGTATAGACCGAGACCTTCTAGATCTCGAGCGAAGGGAAGCGGGCCAAAAATCGTACCTCGCTCGTCGGCAGAGCCCTATCCTAATAATGGTAGAGAGGTTGATTCTAATAGTTTGGATATCCTTGTGGATAACCCAGGCTATTCTGGTAACAATGAAAGAATGCCGGTCAATATAACGGAAGAGCCACCTGAAGCGGACAAGCCAACAAATGTTTCAACAAATATAGATATGCCTGTTGTTGCCCCCGCAATTCCAACGTCGAAGGTTTTACGGAAGGAAAATAAGTCACAAAAGAAAAGAAAGCTAAAGAGAGGGAAAACCATGTCAATTATTCTTAAGAAATCAAGCGAGTCAGATATAGAGGACGACGTTATTTGGGTGGAGAATGCGCCCGTTCCCATTGCAATTGGAAATAGTGCGTTCAACCTTGAAAGCGGCACAAATGCTCTCCGAACGAATGAAATTACTGCTGCGCAACAGACGGTCTCTGGAAATGATCCCGATGAAATACCGGCACCTGTACCCCCACGAAAGAAGCGTAGCAGAAAGCCGAAAAATGCGGATGTAAATGTGCAGTCATCCCTGAACGAACCCAACAAGAAGTTTAATGGCCCCAACGAGAGCAAGGACACTGCAGAACCCAGTACTCTGGAGTATCATTCAAATTTACCAGAAAACACCACGCCTCAACCCCATGATCCCGCAAGCCCGGCTGCGCCCTCTCTTGATACCTCTAATATCAAAATACAAGACACACACCCTCAACAACAAAAAGACAGCATTGAAGACCAAGATCACCAGGAACCGATTCCATCAGGCAAGCAAGAAATTTTGCTCGCTTCCACACCCCAGAAAGCAGGGGCAAAGGGCCCAGACAAGCACAGTCCCATAGCAATAAACAACAGAGTTACCTATCGTGTAGGACTGAGTCGTAAAGCGAGAATTGCGCCATTGCTTAAAATTATTCGGAAATAGACCTTATAAGTTATATGTATGGACATAGGCGCCATCGGTTTCAACCTGATGAATTGTATGTAGCAAAACGACCCTGATGATTTCATGGTGTAATGTAATTTTATGTAGGAAGCATATTTTAATGACATATTATACCAAGACCCTAAAGTATGCCTCAGATGTGTTTTGTGCACTCTGTTGCTGAAATTATAGCCAATAACATGCACATCTGATCCAACTTTTTTTATATGCTCACTATGTTTGGGACGAAGCCGATCTATAGTTATGACAAGCAAACTATCAGAGCAGTCTTAGCCTATCAGCCTCTAAGCAAAGCTGGGTCATGTTGTATCCATTAATATGCCGTATGGGGCACTCTGTAGTGTACTTTACTCCTGCGTGGGTATTTCCAATATTTGCTTATAGCTAGCGACACAATAAGTGGCTGTAATTTAAGTATGCATGTAGTTACTACTTCAACACCAGATAATGAACAGGAGCGGCCCGTTGATTCCATGGCCCTTAATGGTATGGAGAGCCAGGGACATGGGTACAGCATTAAAGGAGAACGAGGGAAAAAGAGATTGGATGATGAACAATGTGGCAGGTCTAACACATAGAAACTGGGATAAAATTGTCCCTGTTCTTGTTGGGCTATCAGTGGCCTCGAGCCATGTACGTGTGCACATACATGCCGGGCGGGGCTAATCGCAAAGAAAAGCCTTTACCACAATTCACCCATCATAGTCCTCCTCATACTCTTCCTCCTCTTCCTCCTCTTCTTCATCTTCATGACCGTGGTCTTCCTCATTTTCTTGAATGCTATCATCAGAAAAGGTACCGTCAATACGCTCACCCTCAGTCTCATCATGATCTCCTCCATGGCTAGCGTCACCGCTGTGCTCTTCTGGAATCGCAAAGCTGTCGTTGGAAAGAATAACATTTCCTACTTGAAAGGAGCATACTCCGGCTGACTCCTGGCATCCGGAACCACAGTGCTCAGTGGCATTGCCGCAAAACCCATGTGCACTGCAGCACTTGCCAAATTTCGAGCCAGCGCAGGTATAATCTTTTCCACAGGTACCATCATTGGAGACTGGTTTCTCCCCAGGGCGCCTGTAGCTGGCATTTGAATTACTCAGCTCAGGGTAGTAGAGAGAACCCTCAGTCCAGCGGTACCAGTTGGTTGGTGGGTCACCTAAACATTCACCGAGCGTAACTGGTCGGTAGTTCGACTCGTATAGGCGATGAAGCATATGAATTGTCAGGTTATAAACTGTTTGTTCGTGGACATCGTGAGCAATCACAAGCATGGGACGTCCGGTCACCTCGTGCATTGCCATGGAGTGATCAAACAAATCCTTTGATCTTTGAATCTGATGCGGAGAAGCATTATTGTAGTCATCCGTGTCAACATTAAAGTAAGCAACATGATAGCCCAAATCATCCATGTCTCCTAAACAGCCCGATTGAACAGAGCACGCAGAGTAAGGAGGCCGCATATATGTCGGGAAGCCACCAAGAATATTCCGTAATACCATTTCGGTCTTAATCATTTGCTCACGGCGAGAGCCGTTCGACATGGAGTCCAAGTTCTGATGTGACCATGTATGGCTAGCAATTTGGTGGCCGCTATTGAACATACGATGAATGAGGTCGGCCCATGGGTAATTCGGATCATCAATGCTACCTTTATTCGAATTGAAAGCTGACACAAAAAAAGTCGCTTTCGCGTCGTACGAGTCCAAGATATCCAGCAGATCAGCGGTATAGATGTTTGGACCATCATCGAAGGTTAAAGCGATCGTGTTTGGGACAACGCACTGATAGATGGGAACGAAACTGTAAGGAATTTCCCCAACGTGGGGGCGCGGAACGGTAGAGGTATCCGCGCCTTGAGGCCATTTTAGAGCATCGCAGCCACTGCCAAAGTCAAACAAACAGTCTGGGGCCTGGCAGTAGTCCGGTCCATGGCCGCAGTATCCTAGACATGTTAGTTTCTATAGGTAAGGATAAATGTATCGCCCACAAGTTACCATGCAAAGAACAGCAGAAGCCTCTTTCACAAGGCCCATGATCGGGCCCACAGAGATTTCGGCCTTGTTTCTGAGTTGCTAAGTTCTTCTGGGCGGTGAAGCCAGGAGCTGGCATTGAGTTCGGAAATCGGTGTGAAGGGAACTTCGGCAAGTTGCGATAAAAGGGGAATTTGATACCAGATACAGCTGGCTTGCCATCGACGAATAGAGTCGGAATTGATACTAGAGCAACAATAGAGAAAAGAAGCCATTTGAGAGACATTATGCCAAACATGAATTAAGAGAGGCGGTTTGATCAATACCAATACTGCTTTGAATATACTAACGCCCCCAAACAAAAACACAGGCCAAGAACACAGCGCTTAGATAGAATAAACAAGAGAACGAAGGGTGTTTTGATGTTTTCATCGAGCAGCAGAAGGAGCCCCCCGCGGCCACTTCCCGAGGAAACCATGGCTGGCATGGCACGGTCGTAGGCGGCATTCTAAGCAGTGCATCACAGGCAAAGTGAAGGAACGAACAAGTCAAATTGATGGGGCCTCGAGTGGCAGGTCACGGTCGATATCTGGTAGCCGCACCGGGAACAGTCCCACTCAGAGAGAGGCTCCTAGGCCGCGCAAGTCCCATAGGCCGGTTCCACTGCAGGTCCTGCAGTTAGCTCCACAGAAAAATGCTGGAAGGGATATGGGGCACTTATAAAAAAAAAAGCAAGGCCGTTCCCTAAAGAACGGCCAAAACACCAGGAAATGCAAAACCACAGCAAAGCGACTTAGATGATGCACAATCAGTCCCCAATATGTTTATATCGACCGGGCATCTCATCAGCCAGGATAACAAGGTTTCATCATCGATGGTTTTGCTCCAAACTTCAAGTCTCTTTTCAGCAAGACAACCCATACTCCATACTTGCGTCGCTTAATGAAAGAGGTGGCTGATAGACAAGACAAGGTCAATACCAATCGAACGAGCCAAAGCTCTGAGCCTCACTCTAGAGAGGTCTCGACGTGGCACATGACATCCTGTCATCGAACCAACCGGGCCGCCACAAGAAGAGATAGCAAGCTATAAATGGAGGGGGCCCCACAAAATTAAGACAGAGAATGCTGAGTCGGAAAAAACCATCTCAAAAACAGTATTATTCAGCATGATAAGTTCCGTCGAGAGGCCCAATCAATAAACATGGGAACGAAATTGACACCATCTTGAGCCATTTTGGTAGCAAGTCAGAGCACCTCGGTTATGTTATGGAGCCACACCGACCAAACCACTCCAATGATCGCGGTAACTGCCTCTTCGAATTTCGTTCGGCAGTTCTAGCCATTTTGACTCATCTTTGTCTAACCGAACCATCTGGGTGATAGTATATCAATCCAGTATTCAAATTTCACACCCGAACCCCAAGCCCAACCGAATGGAAAAATCTCCTGTGTGTGTAATACAGTATCCTCAGAGACAAGTTTTTGTTTCCTCTCCTCTAACGAATAGGAGGGCAGATGAAGCGAACAAATAACGTCCTCAAAAATCGCTTTGTTCTTCCCGGGTGGGAAGGGGTTGTCGACGTTCAACTCGATCCGTAAGGTAAACATGCGGTGAGATGATTAACGTGGCGGACCCGGACACTCCCAATGAAGGAGACTCACGTCTTTGGCGGGTGACATTACGTAAGATCCAGCGAGCGAGCGCCTGTTGTTGAAACAGCTGGTCATGGAAGGGGGGTGGGCCGTCGGGGTCCTACAAGCGAAGCTTGTGTGGAGGTTCGAAGCGCACATGGGACGGCCAGCCGCAAAAGTGATGTCAATGGTAGGATCGCGAGCCATCAGCTCAACGAGCGCTCGGCAACCGAAGAAACCAACACTACCACTTCGCATTGAACCTTATCCAACCGGAACAGTACCAAGCTAAAATCTCGACGGCAATTCCCAAAGGACTACCACTCAAGAAGCCCAAAGCAGCACTTGTTGACATCGTGTACCTTGCTACGGTATGAAACCGATTCCGACAAAAGTAGGCAACATCACAAGCGATACCAAGTTAAATGGGCGAGTGTTGGCCACCCTCCGGGGAGAGTATTTGATACGTTCTTAGATCAATTCCAATTGAAGCAGATGATGCAGATATCCAAGATTATTCTCAGACTCCCAACCATTCAGTCAGCTGTTGGGCATAGGAGGCCTCCCTAAGGCAATCCTCACAAGCTGAGGCACCCAGTGTGCTTCACCGACGGCCTCCCATTCTCCTCCAAGACTGCCCACACCGGACTGGATATCCTTTTTGATCCAAGCATGTTGTCCAGCTTTGATAAACTGACGCGTATTCCTCTTGGAATTTTATGAACGCATAGTTGACCGTCTTTCACTGCCATAGGCTCTGGGCATCTTCCCTCCTTTCACTTATCTCGTCCCTTTTAAAAAAAGAAGTAAGAGTAAGCTGGTCAGATAGTCGGATAGCTGCTACCACGAAACTTGTTCTTCGGCGACCAAAAGATAGGCACGTTGAGAACTCGACGAGGTCACGTAGGGTTAAGTTCCAACATTCGTCGACTCCGAAACCACAGTAGATAGACAGGCAGCCAGCTATCTAAGCTAGAGTAGTTCTCGAGAGGAGCGATTGACGCGTGCGACGACTATTGGAGAACTGTGAGGAGGTTGAACTGCAGATTAAAGCATCACTAGGATGCCAGGAGAACGGGGGTACGAATGGATCTGAGCTGGCTGGCAAGGTCGATATTTCGGTTTTAGACAAAGAGGGAGCGAGTCAAAAAGTATTCTAGCGCGAATTCGTCAGTCAAGCAGTCACCATTCGATCATAGCGATGGGGTTGTCGTGAAAGTATTCTTGAGAGAAATCAAAACAAAATCGAGAGTGGGAAGGAGACGCGCGACCTAAATAAGGTTAGTTAACTAAGACGCGTCGCGAAAACACTAAATGACGTCAGCCCAGGTAACTAGTTAGTTAGTTAACTAACTTAACTACCTGTTAGTTTAGCTTACTTAGGTCGGCCCAAATTTGGCCTAGCTTACTTTACGGAGTTATCATTTTATGCTCCGTATTCGAAGGGCTGCAATTGTCGTGATTTGCGATTATCAAGGCATGGTGCTTAAATGGAGGATACTGTACAACTGAGAAATGCATTCAACTCTACGCATGACTTTCTCTATCCGGTGTTAAACAAAGGCACGAATTCTGAAGCGTACCAACATGAGCTGCCTGAGCTAACAGACCCAAGAGAAGATACAGGAGTCTCATGGCGGCTCGCTGGTTGAAATTTTGAACAAGAATCTTCCCATTGGATACTGCCAAAATGACACGCCAAGGTTCCGTGTCTTGCAGCGAGCATTGGAGCTGCTGTCCGGCATCCATGATGCCTTTGTGGCTGGCCTTACCTCGCAACCTGTAACCCAAATTTCATCTGGAGGGAATCCTGATTTGCTACTGGAAGACGCAAGGCGCCGTCGCGCTCTGAATGCTCTGCTTGATCTTTTATCATTTGAAGGCATATACCCTTGTTTATCCAATGGCGTTGGCATTCCGATGGACAAACGCGTTGTCTCGGTTCTTCCAACCGGCGTCATCGCAAGACAAATACCAAGAGTTAACGTACACAGGGGTATTCTGAAAATAATCGTCAATAACCTAGCTAATATTCTACAAGACGGCAGCACATCTATTCAACCCATCATCACGAACAGAATCCTTCCCGACTTAATTTGTGGAGTTGCAGAGTTAGCCTTCAATTCTAAGGATCTTTCATATTCGGATGTCCATGCGTATGGAAATATATTTAGGGGCATTTTAAACGAGTACGTGTATTTTGAAAACCTGGGATTCAATTTTAACATTATTATAGATGCTCTACGACCACTCTACTGCCAGTGCTCTCATCCTTACTGCAATCAAGTACTGCTCCATGGTTCAAGGCTCAAGTCTCTTCACAGCTATCCCAAGTACCACTACGAAAGGATGGGGTGTTTCAAACAATTCTATTTCTTGCTTCTCAGTTCGCTCCAATACTAGGTGAGGCTGCTGCAAATGTCTCTGCTGAAGGCCCCCCCATCACCATCCATGCAATCATGCAGACTTCGCAGCTGTTATCTTCTGTACCTCAAGAAATGTCCCCAGAAGATTATTTCAGCAACATCTCCCCAAAAATTCTCGCTTTACTTGATGGGGATGACTATGACATGAAAAAAACAGCTTCCTACGTAATTGGGAATGGTATTCTCAGCAAACGCGCTTTGGGTGCCCCCGGAAAAATCGGCTTTAATATTTTTGTCCGCCCAATTTTCGACATATTGAATGGCAAAGTCTCGGATCTCACCACCGTATGGCTAAGAACGTTCTCCTTTGATGGCTCTGTTGCTCCGGATCATAATGTGGCAACTCTTAACGGGCTTATTGTCGTACCCGAATATTTGCTCCTACGAGCTTTGAATAGGTTAATCAACCTGGTGACTCTACACCCAAATCCCAGCCTGCTTAAACGTCTCATAAATCCAGTTCTCCTACCACTCTGGGGACTACAGTGCTATGCCAAGGAACACCAAAAACACTGGTGGGAAGAGAAAGTAGCCCGCCTATTGCATGTTTTCTTTAGTGTAAGTGACGAAGTTTCACGACTGTTGAAACTTGCGGATAATATTTTATGGGATGGATTATCAACCTTGGTTTACGGCCCCGGTGATGATGGTGGCATTTCAATTCGGCAGCGTGAGAACAGAGAGTCAACTGATGAGGGTAACGTCTTTGAAATTATTAACAACTTAGATTGGCGGATTGATAAATACCTAGAGCTTCTGGCTGTAGAACCACGGAAAGAGGAATTTGCTTGTGATGTCTTCCTTCATGCAAGCCAGCAATGGCTCCTTGGGAAGTCAGCCGACAGGGATAAGAAAAAACTAGAGAATAGCTTATACCCTGAATTGCAGAAGCTTGTTCATGCTAAAATCACAGAGAAGCTCCTAAACGATTTCAAAGACTCGCTATCTCGCCATCCGACCAAAGTCCTGGAGCTCATTAGGCAATTAGTGGAGAGTGAATCTAGGTTTGTTACCTGCACACTTCCCAAGGATACCGAGTGCCGCGACACTATCTCTTTCGCGTCCGTTAGCAGCATCGTTGAAAAGGGGGGGTATTCAACGCAAAGCCCTTCTATGCCAGAAACTTCCGAATCACTATCTCCTGCGTTTAGCTTGCTATCGACAATTCTAACTTCTCCGGAGTTTAAAGTATCGGATTCAATCGCATCGATCTTGCAGTCTTTGAAATCTAACATAGATTCGATTTTACCAGTTCTTCCGTCGAGTCTGGTGCAGTCAGCAACAACCTGCTCTATGTTGCTTGATATCACATTATCAGACCAACAACCGGACCATATCGCATCTCCGCCTAGGGCTTCTCATATCTCTGATCTTGAAACACATAGACAAGCTCTAAATGCGTTATCATCTCACCTCCCTCCTGTTCAAGTGGAGGGTATTTCTCTTATATCGCAACTCATAAATAAGGCATCCCCAGTACTTGACATCCCGGCTACCCTCTCACTTCTATTTTCCATCTTAACGAGCACGAATGAGGTGGCTACTGATGATGAATTTGTTTATCTCAATGTGATCAAGGTACTGAGCTCATTGGCATCACGCCATCCCAAAACGACCATCAAAACGCTGGCGGATCACTATGCAGATCAAGGTGAAGTTTTAACGCTTGATCAGCGGCTTAAAATCGGAGAAGCGTTGCTCAGAATAGTCCAGGATCTAGGCGACGCCTTGATTGGAGATGAAGCAAAAATCCTGGGAGAGGTTCTGGTTGAAGTTGCTAGTAGACGGGGAAAAAAACCAAAAGCCAGGCGAGAACGGGAGCAACGGCTCAAGAGTGAAAAAAAAAACAGCGAAGAGCTAGATGAAATTTCGAGAATTGCAGAGCAGCTGAGCACTGGGTTAGATTCTGAAGAAGAAGACGAAACAACAAAAGAAGCTTCACGAAAAATTCTGGGTGCCTGGGAAGCGGGTGCAACTAGAGATACTGTCCCAGATGATTTGCGTGTACGTGCCTCAGCATTGTCGATTCTTGCGTCTGCAATCAAAACAAATATGGCTGGTTTGGGGCCGACAATTACATCTGCGTCCGTTGATCTAGCTCTCTCCACCCTCACTCTCGAGTCTGGAGTGGAAAACGCAATCCTGCGACGCGGCGCTGCCGTGCTGCTTTTTGACCTTATCAAGTCGATGGACGACGCCAGAGAATCGGGACGAGAGCTTGGCTTTGGGTTTTCTACCACCACCTCTCCGCCATCTACGTACCCGCCACAAGAGCAACCCGCCCTGAACAACAAGGTAGTCGGCAATGTTCCCGATATCCTTCGCGTGTTGATGTTTGTGGAAAGCAAAGAAACGGATACTGTGACTCGCGGCCATTTGCACATGGTGATTGAAAGTTTGGAAGCCTGGCTCGAAAAGTCGCTGCTATGGGGTATCCGCGCACATCAGGGCGTCATAGGACAGCCTCAGCTTCCACTAGGAGACCGACTAGCAGGCTTGAATATTCATCCTCTGCCGACTGTGGGCAGAAGTGAACCAGGAGTGGCACATCCCAGGATTGAGGAAATCGAATAAGGTCAACCTTTTGAACCAGAGCAAACGTTTGCTTAGGGTACCTGTTGAGTAACTAACTACCTAGTTAATTGAACAAGCATCTGCAATTTCCTATATTTCATATTTTCCAGGTACCAATATTCTTCCACCACACTGTTTTGTGGACATCATTTCCGGTTTAATCTGCTTCTCTACCACTGGGTTCTGGTTTGGCTCCGCTAACTAATGTAAAACAGATAAAAGGGGAAAGTTTGATAATTACCTAAAAGTGCACCTATGCTGTAGCAGCTCCTTTTATCGCGTCCTTAGACAGCCTATAATCCATGAATTGACGCCACTCGCCCATATTGAAACACCAGTTTGCCAACCTAAGTTGAGTAGTAACATAGATGGGGAAAATAAAGCTAGTTTTTAGCCGCGCCCTCTGCCTCGTCCCCCACGACGGTTTCCTCGCCCACCGCGCGGGTGTCCATATCCATTGCCATAAGGAGTGCCACGGTTGCCCCGGCCACCACGTCTTCCCCAGTGACCCCGTCCACGACCGTAGTAAGGCTCCGGATCCCATTGACGTCGCTCGTTAGCTTGAACTATGGCATCTTCTTGCTCACGGCGCTTCTCGTCGGATAGCCGGAGCGGGTTGTGAATGCCGAGCATTTCACAGAAGGCAGAGGTCTGGGGGTTTGAGTATTCAAAGGGCTGTTCATGCGTGGTGACTGGGACGGATGGGTCGTAGACAGGGGCTGTGACAGTGAAGTTCTCGGGAACAATCATTTTTCCATGCTTGACGATGTTATCTTCAACCCACTTTTCCTCCTCGATGATCTTTTCTTTATAGAAAAGAGCGCCTGGGTTATCTGCTGTACCCGCCTCGTGGCCCCCTATTTGGATATTATCTGCGAATACCCGAGTTATAGCGAGCCATTCCTTGTCATAAGCAAGCTGGTAGGGACGTTCGATACCTGCTGTAGGGGATGCAGAGATAGGAAACACTTCTAGTAACTCAATGCACTCTTTCTCTCCCTCACACTTATCCAAAGATAGAAATTCCGTAATTTTGTTGCCAATACTCTCTGGTAAAGCCTCTTCTACTAGGGCCTTTTCAGCGAAATGTTCCTTTGGAATAGCAGGCTTCTGAAAACTGGCGGGTAGCTGGCTCCGGAGCTCTGCTGATACATCCTCTACCGCTGTAGGTAACGGGTTTTCAATTTGCATGGTGTGATTCTGTTTTGGCGATTTGTGGGTTGTTTCTCCTTTTTCTGACGCAGAATCCATCTCTATATCAATCTCGTCTTCATTTTTCACATCGCAAGAAGGTCGATTTTGGTCTTTGCCAGTCTCACAGTTGATAGTAGACCTCACTACATCGGTGACGTCTCTCGAAAGGTTATCGTCGGTCACAACCTTTTTCCATGTAACCTGATAGTTGACCTGGGACCTCGGTTTCTCGATCTCTCCAGCTTCGACGAGACGTCTAAACTCATCGGCAGACTTTAAATATTCGGCATTTTCCTGAGCTTCTCGTTTTGACGCGACCTCATGAAAGCCCCTCCAGGCATTGATTCGCTCTTGCTCGTTATGGAGTACCTGGCCACCAGTCGTACTGTGGGAACAGGCCTCGGTATCTGGAGTTTCCATAATGACCTCTGTTATGGGCTCAGAAACTTCCTCCTGCTTAGGAGGTTCTGCATCAGGTATAAGTGCTGCTTCTCGCATCTGCTGTGTTTGGGGTGGAGTATTATACTTGCGGGTATTTACCACCCTAGGGGGTATATAGACGGTATGCTCGAACTTGGCAGTATATCTCACATGTAAATGCGCAGAGAACCAATGGGCAGGCCGCAGGCGATCTAGGACATATTTTGCGGCAGGACTTCCAAGCTTTCCGGTTTCTGCGTCCTCCCTAAAATGCCACTTTCTTCTAAATAAACCATTGTAATCTCCGCTCCATTCAATCGCTTGTGGCCAATCATGGCTAACACCAACGTCCACTTGAGTTCGGAGTTGCAGCAATTTGCGGATATCAATCTCTCTGACATGGTAGATAGAGCGCAGAGCATCGTTGTCATACGGTAGTCTCTCAAAATGTGGCAGGCGATAATGAGGGCCTTTCCAAATTCCCGACATACCAGCGATCCTCAAGGGGCCACAGTGAATGACATTTGCAGCACCAAGGTAATAAATTTTAGGCGCGACCCAGCCACCGTAGTACAGTTCTGAAAGATGATTACTCGCCTCGTGGTTGCCGCCCACAAAGATAGTTAGGTAAGGGGCAACGCGAGCACCACTATAATATTCATGAAAGTCCCCTATTTGCTTGTATCTCGGTGGTACAGCCATACAAGCCATATCGTTGGAGTTCCTGACAGCCTAGGAGTCGTAATTAAACACACTGATATCAAAGAAGATATGGTAGGCTGTCGGCCCTTGGGAACGAAAGCTTACTTGAAAATCGCCTCCAATTATAAGTAGATCGACTCCATCCCATGCTTTGCTTTGTGCAGCTGTGCGCACAGAAGCGTAGATATCATGCAATTTTCCATGCCCCTGAAACCGTCAGTCTTGCCCTGACAAGTTGAACTGTAAAGACAAGCTTACACATCCCTCCACAGCCAAGCGAAATCCATGTTGTATAGATGATAGAGATGCCATGATGGTGACTGTACAAGAAAAACAAGGGCAATGTAGCAGATTTGATAAAGGTGAGAGTGGTTGACAAGCAGAGGCCGAGAAAGGATGTTAAAAGCAACTGCCGAACGAGGGAAACGCCGAGCAGCTGAAGTGGTGGAACACGCCAACAAGTTCAGCAGTGAAGCACAGTTTTGGAGAGAAAGGATACACTTTGCAGCATTTTGGGAACCAAGGCAATTTCCTGCAGTCCAGAGATTGAATTTTCTTTTCAGGAGTGTTGTGGTTTACCTGGGTCCCTAGAGCTTGCTAAGCTCTGACAGGTGTGGTTGGGTTTTCTTTCCTGGATGAGCGTTTTTGCGTTTGCCAGCCTTTCTACCTAACTACATGCCTCCCATGAGACAGACTGATATCAATGTGCCTAGAAAACCCTCCTGGCTATCCGTGAGCTGGGACCTGAGCAACAGTCACAATGAATCACACTGAAACTACAGCACAACTGGGATTTCTCAAAAGGGCAGCAGTGATCCTGAACCACGAGAGCCCATCAACAGCAGCACATCTTGTCACTGTCCATCGCAGCATTCTTCATGAGAAACTATTACCATTAACTTTGACCCAGAAGAAAGAACATTGTCCTTGCTGTGGCACTATCCGGTCCCCGGCACTGACATGTACACTGTCCACAAAATCAGACTCTCAGAAATGCAGGAAGCGCAGGAAACCCCAGTCTGCCAGCGCGCGCGAGGACTCAAAGGTTATCTACAACTGTTTACGGTGCCAACGACAAACTATACAACCATTCAGAAAACAGCCAAGTCGCAATCTGAAAACGGCGGGCCTCGTCGAATCATGGCAAAGCCGGAATCCAACCAGCGCCGACGCCTTGGGTGCAGTACAGTCCTCAAAACCCAACCCTGCGGGAACGAAGAGCAGTACGGACAATGCGAATAGCAAGAAACGCGCCAAAGCCCGCAAACAGCAAGGGTTGCTAGCCACCTTGGCTGCCAGCAAACGCCAGCCATCACAAAGCTCGCCGTCTTTTGGGCTGCTGGACCTATTGCAACCCTAAGCCCTGGTTTCCGGATCTAACCTTCCTCGGATCAATATTAATCCCTCACCGGACCTGATAAAGATTAGCGCGGGGCTGATTTTAGACTAAACTTAATAAAGCCTAGCGCGTGGAGGGGTCTACTTAAAAAAAAGAATGTTGGAGACATTATTGGAGCAATGCAGACAGTATTACTCTGTAATTTTCTGTTCGAATCGTTGGAGTGTAGCAGATCTACGTTCTGCGGATATCAAGACATACCTGTATAGTTAGCCTTGAAAATGGCTGACAGTGAAAATGCTTTCATGGAGACGACCATTCAGTCGATAAAGCCGAACAGTTCGGAGCTGTTAGCGACTACCAATCCTAAAGATGATACAACCCAAGAAGACCTAAGTAATGGAAACGATGATGATACTGGACCAATGCAACTGGAAAGTTTGTGTATGAATTGCCATGAGAACGTATGATTGTATTTTCCAGCTTCAAATCAATATCTAACTAGTAATAGGGTGTCACGAAAATCCTCCTCCTTCGAATTCCATTCTTTAGAGATGTTCTTCTAGAATCGTTTGAATGCCCGCAATGTTTTTTTAAGAATAATTCTATCAAGGCAGCCGGCCAAATTCAAGAGCAAGGGGCCAAGTATACCCTTGAAGTGGAAGATTCTCGTGACTTCGAGAGGCAGGTTATCAAAAGCGACTCAGCGATTTTCCGACTAGATACTCTGGGGATAGAAATGCCGAAAGGTGATGGTCAACTCACAAACGTGGAGGGAATACTTGCTAGAATTCTCGAGCAGCTTGAAGGTAATCAACCGGAACGAAAAACTGCAGATCCCGAGTTGTATAATTCGTTAGAGACAATTATCCAGAAACTGAAGAAGATGGTCCATCGCGAATCATTTCCTTTTACGATTACACTCGATGACCCATCGGGAAACTCGTGGATTGCACCGGCACCGCATGATGAAGGAAACAAATATCGACGCAAGGACTATCCTCGAACCCGTGAGCAAAACGAAGAACTCGGAATTGGAGGAGGCGGAGAAGTCGACAAATCCAAAACAGGTGCAAATATGGTTGTAAGTGCTGGCGATCCAGACGACCTCGATATTATAGACGGAAAAGTCTATAGTCTTCCAGCAGAATGCCCTGGTTGCACGAAGGTAAGCACTGTCAACATGCAGAAGGTTGATATCCCGCATTTTAAAGAGGTTTTTATCTGGAGCACCGTATGTGACCACTGTGGGTACCGTACAAATGAGGTAAAGACCGGAGGAGCCATTCCAGAGAAAGGACAACGCATAACTCTCAAAGTCGAAGGCATTGAGGATTTGTCCCGTGATATTCTTAAGTCAGATACGTGTGGAATTGCAAGTGAAGAACTGGATCTCTCTGTGCAACCCGGCACTCTTGGTGGCAGATTTACGACCATAGAAGGTCTTTTAACCCAGGTGCGAGACCAACTTCACGGCCAGATTTTCGAAATTGGCAACGAAGACCTTGCTCCAGGTGACTCCATGGCTGCCGAGGACAAGGCTACTTGGGATCGGTTCTTTACCAAACTCAACGCTGCTATCAAAGGCGACTTGAAGTTTACGATTACTTTGGAAGATCCTCTAGCGAACAGTTATGTTCAAAACCTTTGTTTACCAAAGCCTGACCCACACCTGCATCTTGAAGAGTATACAAGAACGGATGAGGAAGAAGACGAACTTGGATTGAAAGATATGAAGACAGAAGGGTATGAAAATCCTAGCGCGAACAATGAGCCATGATGGCTCGTTTTAACATTCTTCTTATACATGCTTTCAATGCGGAGGTGTCGTCGAGGTGTATTGATCTCGTTGTTTATGCCATTGGTGTAGTAATGAGGCAATATGTGTTACTCAAGGACACTTGTACATGTCCCTGAAATCCAGTGGGATTCCCGGCATGAATTTGACATCCAAAAAGAATGATGTTAGGATCGGAGACAATTTAATTCCAGTTAAAGAGCTTGTTTCTCGTGGGCACTTGAAACAAACTACTGGCAAGGCAAATTTTGATGCTAAAACCGCGAAAAATAAAGTTATCCATACATGTCTGGAGCCTGATTTAGAAGACCAGATAGGTTGTGACGAAGACAATCTTTTGTGATTCCAGTGCAGGCTGTGGAACATAAGTTAACAATAATTCTTGTTCTAATTTTGTTATCTGTTTATACATTTGCGGTGGACTTTGCCAGCAGAAATCGGCTTCTTGGAAGAATACATTGTGTTAAGCATGTGAAAAGTGATAGTCTATATTTTTGAGGTGGAATAGACGGGGTGGTGTTTCATTACGGAGTATGTGCATGGCTAGGGCCTGGCATGGAGGGTGGCGGGCGCTGTGAGTTGCTGGCGTGGGCCAATCCGAAAATATACCCAATTCTACACAAATTTCTCCTAAGGTGATCTTTTTACTAGTCTCAGTTTCCTGGTTCCGTATTCTGGATTCCTAGTCATATCCCGTTCGACTGAATGGTGCAGTTTGCGTCGACAACAGAGTCAGTTAGTCGAGAGAGTGTCGTCAATGTGCCGTAGTCGTTCGCACGAAGGCGGGGGATAGAGATTCCAGTGTGACCCCTAACGCAGGGTGTGTCTGCAAAAAAAACTTCTGAGACGGTGCATTTGTACGTAGTTTAGGCCAAGGGCATCGTACATAGCTCAGGCGGCGAATGGATTGGCATGAATCGTAACGCTCTTGATCCCAATGCTTTCCCAGTCTTCGCTTTCTCCCCCGGGTTCTGCTTTTCCAATCTTCGCTGCATCGCTGGGCTGCACAACCCTCCCCTTCTTATCAATCTTCACTCGCGCGTTTTCCAGTCGGGTCAATGTATCCTCCTCTTCACCGTTTGCGCCGAGATTTAAAACTTTCCCAAACACAGTGCTCTTCCCATCGAGATGGGGCGCCGGGACAAAGATGATGAAGAACTGGCTGCCGTTGATGTCCTTCGTTTCATTGCTCGTAGCGCTCTTTTTCGCGGCCTTGGACGCCATGCTGAGGATACCCCGGGCATTGTGGCGTAATGATGGCAAATGGATTTCCTGCTCGAGAGGTTCTGGGTAGTAGATGGAGGCTCCACCTTTGGGGCTTTCAAACGGTAGCGAGGTCGGTTTGGAGTCGGACGGAGCAAGGGCGAGGGAGATATCGCCGCCTTGTATCATGAACGAGGAAATCAAACGGTGGAAGGGGGTGTTGTTGTATGCGCCTGAAGCACAGAGAGCGAGGAAATTCTGCTCTTCAGATCAGCCTTTAATACCCTCGACAGATTGGTCTCGCATACCTCGGCCGTTTTGGGAACGGCTTCGCAGAACACCTCGACTTTGAGGTCGCCGTGGGTGGTATGGAGCTGGAGCAGCCTGTTAGCAACACAGACGCCTCCCGAATGCTGCACGAACGAGACTCACTGTCACAGACATCGCGTGTGTTGCGTTGTCGTCGTCGTCTTTGGCTCGTCGCCCTCTCAAGCACGAGTAAGGTATCACGTGACCATCCCGTTCGGTGTTTGTTTACACGACGATCGCGGAAGAGACGAGAGGAGACGAGAGGAGAGAGGGTGGCGCGCGGCGCTTCGTAGAGGGATGGGTCGATGTAGTCCAGCGGTTGGGAGCCTACTGGCAGTCGGGGATGCCCGCTGCGCCGTCGAAGCCGCCAAGTGGGCAACTCGCGGGCGCCAGACAACGACGACAGGCGACGCCGCAGCGTCACCGCGACATCTCGCGGGTAAAGAATCTCGCAGTCGTTGACGGGCGGCATTGGCGGCCAGAGCGCACACTAAGCTGGCCAGCCAAGCAGACGACGATGTAGCGAATCACCACGGCAGCGTCAAACCTGGCCGGGAGATTGCCTCTGCCATTGCCAGCTCTCACTCCCTCAGTCTCGCCTCCTCACTCCTCTCTCTCTCTCCCTCCCTCTCTCTCTCTCTCTCTCTCCCTCCGCCCGACCTCCCGCCCGGCCTGAAGAACCACCGCTGCCACTCCATCCCCGGCCCCGGCCACGGCTCTCCGTGCTCTCATCCGCGCGTCGTACCGCTGCTGACTCCAATCAGCGCCACGCGCGCTCGCTGTCGTTACCGCTGTCCACGGAATGCCCGGCTGCCTTGGCCTCCAGTGCCCATCGCATCGCCCGCTACTCCACGAGACACCCGTCCCATCGCTGCGCCGTCGATCGTTCTGATACCCATCTACCCTGCGTTAGTTCGTCTCCAACGGCCCGTTCGTGCTTCGACGCCGCGCCTGCGCAACTCCCTGCCCGCACAGACCAGCCGTCGAACAAGGCGGCAGGGCTGGATGCTCGCCCGCCGTTGCGGACCCACGACCAGCTCATACGGCCCGTTCTTTTGTCCAAGCTTGCGCTGGATACCGCGTTGCTCTCTCGTATGGTGGTGTCGTGGAAGCTGTGACTGATAATGGCCGCCTTCGTGCGTGTGTCTGGGCCGCCAAACAGCCACTTTCTGGTGGGATACCCTGGCATCTCTGCCACCCTGGTGAGTCGCCCATGGATACTCCCTTTTTCTGATGCACGTCTCTAACGGGCTGCCAGCCCCGCATTGAGGGCAAGGTAGAAATACGGCCAAGTACTGGCATCTCCGCTCCGGTCAACGTTTCCCTCGTCACAATATGCCTACAGCGACGAGAGACGATACATCCGTCTGCCGATTCGGTGACAAAGAGACATTTGGCCGCCCCCCGAAAGGAGATTTCGGACGTGGTTGGAAAAGAGATGCTTCTTTTTCGATGCCCCATGGGCCGTGACCACGAGGAAATAATAGCCATGGATCTCCCTTTTGTACTGTTCATCCCATTTGGCCGCGGCGGCCAGGAGTCTTCGAGACGGCTACCGCCACCAAGCTTGCAGCTGCCAAGTCGTACGGCAGAGACATATTATGAACTGGTTGTTACCGTACAGCAAGGGCCATCAGAGCAAAAGAAATACGCGTTCCCCGTGCCGTTGGCACGATACGACACCCTCTCAACGTTTGGTATGTATAATCGCCCTGAGTCGTCGCAAAAGGTTTCCGATCATTTAGTTACCCTGGGGATATCATTACCTCGGTGGTCCTATGGGCCAATGGACCCTGTCAGCGTATACATACATCTCTCTCCCAATCAGGATTGGTTGACCAAAGCCCGAAAAGTCACTATTCAAAAACTTACCCTCACTATCGATGAAGAAATCATCTTTAATCATGAAGGAGACGAACCACAACGAAAAGTCAAGACACTTGCGAAAAGAACAGAGAGTATCGGCATGAAATTGCCAGAGGCTGGGTACATCACAAACCTAGGGCTTGTTTTCCCATCGCGGGACTTGCGTGACTCAGACGGCATTCTATCACGCCCTAAGCCTGCTTTCCCTTCGTATGCAATTACTTCGTTTACTACAACTGCTTCTTTATACAAGATTGAATACTATCTTACAGTAAAAGTATGCACTCCATGAAGCATCCTCAATTTTGATAGACTAACCCAGCGCTCCTCTCTAGGCTCACCTAACCTCTGCGAAGGATATCGTACTGCGCCAGCCGATTGTTGTCTGCCCCCAGGATCATGTTGGATGCAAGGAAGAAATGGAAGCCATTGAGCAAGCTGCAAAAGAAGCCCGATATGTCAACCCCGATAATCCAATGTTACCATTACCAACCATTGTACGCACCAATGACCCACATGCTTTAAGCTATCTTAACGTAGCCATTGTGGGAAATGTGAAGAAACCTTTGATCGACTGATTCATTACTATTATCCTCTCTATTATGATTTTACGATCTATGTGTCGAGGTTCAGGAAACCAAGTACTCAAAGATGGAGAGCTCCAGCTCGACCTATGCCTGACGATTTACAGGGTGCTTCTCTCACCTAAGCGCGGGCACCTTTCTAATACCTCAAGTACTCGACATAACCTACATCTCCCGGTTTTACGTGATCTTCATTCATATTTTCGATGTTAAGAGTGTTAATACTGCACCCAGAAGGTGCTCAGCCGTCTGCGTGCGCCGTGACGGAGCAATCGGCAGAGCGTCCTCCCTGCCTCAAAGTCAATAATCTTCTCACCTTTCCTACGAGTGTCTTTCTATTTCATCTCTCTGTCCCTCCGGGTCCGCTGGACATAATACCTTTATTCCGACTAAAAGAATGAAAAATTCGCCGGGAGAACGAGTCAGAATGACGCGTTATGTCTTGGAGGCATCTCGTTGGGTGCCTATGGAGTTAAGATTTTGATCGCCTACATCGTTTTGGAGTATGATATTTGGGTAAGTTTTCAATCAAGCAGTGTCAATAGGAGAGAGGCATCAGCTAAACCCCTATTGATGTGACTATCTAGAGAAAGACATTTGTCACGGAATACGCACATTGCACCCGCTCCGCGCTTTTGGCTCGGTTCCCGGGTTATTTCGGAATTATTATGTATTGATTTTTCTCGACAGCATACTGCTTGCACAATCGTACCAACTGCTGTATGCTAGTTGCTATGTTGCTGTGGTTAGTCTCATGTTTGAAAACCTGACCTTACTCTTTTAATACTCCGGGTTATACTGCCGGGTATACGAATGTTTTTCGCTTTATGAGTTGCATTTAGGGCTGGATTTTCGTTGGTCTCTATTATACTGCATTTCTCTATTGGGGTATCAGCGCTTGATCTTTGTCCGATTATTTTTTTTTCTTTTGGAGGAACGCTTTATGCAACAAGTCTGCGATGTTTTATTAGGTCGATGCAGATTCTAAGGGGTGTGCTGCGTATTGAGAATCGAATTCAACAGATTTTATTCTGAGATATCAAATTATCTGTGCATGCTCTCGGCAAGCAGTAAATATCCGCCCCTCAAATACTGGACGCAGCATCGAGTCCCAATTCTACAAGACACCCACCGCCACACCCAAGGCGCCGTCTACTGTGAAATTGAGATTAGACTTAATATCCACAGGAGATCGATGATAAGTCATAAAAATGAGTATGAAGTAGAAAGAATTTATGTAGTAGGATTATATCTTAGTAAGTAGTTACAGGTGAAATGTGGGCGCTGCCTCGGGAGAAAGAAAGCTATATGAATCTAAGAATATACAGAATACAGCGCAGAGAAAAAGAGGGGGCTAAAGAACGAAAACCTGTTTATATTAATTCTCCAACCCTTGATTGAACCGTTAACACCGGCGCTTGTGCTTTTTTCCGACAAAACTCGGTAAACTCCGTCAAATAATCAAATCTCACATTATGGCAGTTTGCTAGATGAAGCGAGAACAGCTCCTCACGGTAGAAGGGCTGTCCGTGATTATGTCTGTGGTCGTGCGTTAAGTTGTCCGTCTCCGAGATGCAATGCATGTCCTGTAAATGTTGTTTCCGGGCATCCCAGTCCGGAGGGGACTCATGGAATATCTCGCCGCAGCAGAGGCAGTAGTCGTAGGTATAGATGGTCTTGGTGGTAAGTGAGGACTGGTCGGTTTGAAGGTTTTCGAGATTGAGAGATGCCAGCTCGGATGCATCTGCGGTAATAGTTTCTGTATCGAAAAACACGCCTGGATTGCTGGCATGTCCAGGGCCGGGACAGATATATGTTTCGGGAGTTACGTGCCAGAGTTCATTGTGCAAGGAAAAGGCGTCAAGATCGGGGAAATTTTTCCGACACATTTTACATTGAATGGTCGAGGCACTACTGTATTCATTAGCATCAGGTTCATAGTGAAAGGTATAGGGACGGCTTACCCATACGCATCCCCGTGAACTCCAGGCTGCTGCAAGGATTGCAAGGGAGAGAAGTCCCACAGCGGAAAGCCTTCGACAGGCGTCAAGGTGAACTTTGAGATCGGGTAAGGAGACCGCAATGGATTCCACGAGACCATTGTCATTCCCTCTTCGAAGTGTTCAGCAATGTGGTCCTGGCGTTCAGACCAGGTTCGCATAAGGAGATCGCAGAAACCGCAGTTCCAGAACCAATTACTTCTTTTCTCCAGCCAATTCCACGACTCCGACTTCTTGGGCTCTGCTTCGCCTTGGGAATATAGATGATATCCTAGACTAAGAAACTCGTTTGGCTGTTCCTCCGAGGCCGCAGTAGGTTCTTGGTGTTCGATACTGCTATGTGTGGAGACAACGTCAGACATCGAGAATAGCACTTCCTCATTGGCCTGGTCCGCCTGCGACAGTAAGTTGCCGTAGGGCCGCATGTGAAAGGACGCTTCATGGTAGGCCCACTCTTCCCTATTTTCCCATTGCATCAAGCAGAAGGTGCATTGGAACGGTCGAGGTTCACCTAGAGATACCGATATATCCAAATCCAAAGTTGGGGGTTCTTTGGCGGTGGAAATGAGGGACGGCGGTGGTCTGCAAGTGGACAAGTTGGGTTTAGAGCCGCGGGAGCCTAGTTCGGTCAAGAAGTCGGAATAATTCGACGCGGGGGATTTTTGGACGCGAGAGAATATTGATTTAGGGGATATTGTTCGGATCGATTGGCGGGAGGCCTTGCTTCTGGCTTGTGGGTATGCGCCTTTGAGCGACAATTTTCGGAAATAGCTTCGGGCCTTTCGGGACCAGGAACTAGCAATAGACGCGGTGATGCTGCGTTTGGAATGGGACATATAGCTTTGGGGTTTGGAACTGGCATTTTCATGCCTCGTAGGGCCCCAGAACTTCATCTTGGAAAAGAATCTTTGGCCGACGGAGCGCGATCGGGGGAGAGGGAGGTCGACTCGGAATCGAGGAAGCTCGGACGACTGCACGGTCCTCGACATGCCAGGCCAGCCTGAGAAGTCTTCCTGGAAGTGCTGCCTCTTCATGCTTCTAGGGAATGGCTCTGGGACTGGTGATTCGTGGCGCTCGTTGCAATACGCTTCTCCGCCCTGCAGGCAGTCTGAATATCTATCCGTGTGTCGTGTTAGACTGGCTGTGCAGTTGGACGCCGTACGAGCAGGCGGGGCGAACCTTGCACTGCGGTCATCCCTCGAGGGCGGTGCATCAGCAGGCGTGTGAGCGCCCCGGGGCTCGCCGTGGGTCGACAGCGGCCTGAGGCTCGCTGTTTCGGCTGGAAATCGGGGGATGGAGGTGTACTGTGGGCAAGGGTTAGGAGTCGGTCTGCAAATCAGCGCGGCACCACGTACAATGCTCGAGCTGCCCCGGCGGTGGCCTCTGTCGGAGTTTAAATACGGCTCATCCCGCTCGGCGGAATAGCAGGATGCAGGCAGGGTGACGAGCAGCTCGTTGGGGGCGGATGGGGCGGCAGGATCCTGTCTCACGGGCGTCAGCTCCGTTGCGCCGACGGGAGGGCCTGTCATCGACGGGGGTGGCTGGAGGCTTACCTGGCGGGGGTCATCGCGCGCGTCCAGCTCGTCGAGCGGGCGCTGCAGCGACGTCTCTGCATTGTCAGTGTCGATTTTGAAGATGGCGATATGGCACGAGCCGTCAGCGCCGCCCAGCCGCTGCGTGTCCGGCTCGCCGATGTCAAAGCCGCCGGCGGCCCAGATGTACGAGAACTCGCGGATGGACGAGTCGACCTCCTCGGTGCTCAACACGGTGTACAGGACGGTGGTCTGCGAGTCGCTGGCGGGCGGGGGGTCAGTCGCGGTGTCGAAGGGCTCGACGCTCTCCATCGCAGCGGAGAGCCAGCGGCGGCGGCGGCGGTGGTGGTAGTGATGATGATGATGATCGCAGAGCACGACGCAGCGGCAGCAGCCGAGCAAGAAGAAGAATAATATCAACCCGCACGCTGCACTGCGCTGCGCTGCCCGGCGGACGGTCGGGCGTCGAGAGTCGCAGCAAGCCAGCGCAGCCGGCCAGCTGGCGACGGCGACGGCGAGGCGGCCATGTGTTGAGGTGCCATTGGAGACGCGGGCGGGCGGCCGGATCGACACGACGCCGCACTGCTTGCTCGCTCGCTCGGGAGGCCGGCCTCATTAACTATGTAGTTAGTCGGTCAGCTAGTTAACTGACTGAGTTGCGAGGCGTCGACGGGCGAGCGCGAGGGCTGGCCGGAATGGTGAGCAGCGAACGCCCTGGATCGTCTCGCCCGCCACGGCCAGGCGCTGTCGCAGGCCGAGCTGCCCGTCCACTGCCTGCTTGCACGGAGAGGCATAGTAAGTTAGTTCGCTAGGCGGAGATCCGTGTCTGTCTGGCCTCGCAGTGGCGTCCGACAGTCGCCCGCCGTGCAAGGTTGGGATAGTCATGGCTCTCGCCCGTCCACACTACGAAGCGAGAGCGCGCTTGATTGCTGCGCCGATCGCCAGGCAGCTGGTGTGTGTGTGTACTCCGTAGCTCTCCGTGTGCTCCGTACTCTGGATACATCTTCGTGGAGGGCCGACATCCCAAGGACGGTGAGTCAGAGGTCTTCATGCCCAACGACGCCGCGCATATGCGAGGCATGGGTGCACGGAGCCGGCACTGGCATGCTGCTCCTGCGAATGAGAGACCAGCGCTCAACGGCATCAGGCAGAGAGCCACGGACCGGCTCGTCTGGCAGCTCTCTTCATCGCCTGCTGCCGACGCTGAGCGCCATCACAGCCAGCACTGCAGCTCCCAGCCCAATCGACGCGAGGATCGCAATTATCTGCTGAGCGCCCATGAACGTCGACCTCGGCGACTGGGTCATGTTGCCAATCTCTTCCTCCAGCCGGTCTCCCAGCGCACGCAGAGAGAAGTGCTGTTCCACCCGTTCCTGGCCACGTTTGCCCATCCGTTCGAGCTCGTTGGCATCCATGCCTCGCAACACTTTCTTGATTATTTCCGTCCACTGCTCAATGGAGTCACCATCTCGCAGCCACCCTGTTTCGCCCTCCGATATAGTTTCTAATGGCCCGCCTGTATTTACGGCGAGCACTGGGAGCCCGGCATGCATGGCTTCGACGGGAACGATGCCGAAATGTTCATGTGATGGAGTATAAAGCAGCAGCGTGGCACAGGCAAGTAGCGTTTGTTTGAATGCTGACGGAACGGAGAGGAGGAAAAGGACGTCGATAGATTCTGGGATCGAGAGGGCAGACACGACCGTTTTAGACGTAGCTGTCTGAAGACCGAGGCTTGACGCGAGGGAGTCTAGCTCTCGATGGTATTGCACATTTTCCTGCACGCGATTATCGTACCCCCCTAGAAAATCGCAGAAATTAGAATAGACGCAGAAAAGGATTTGGAGCATAAGTTACCAGCAATAACCAATCTTGTTCCCTTCCTATCGCCATCCCCTAACGCATGGTATGATTTGATGGCCAGCTCGATATTTTTTTTTCTCTCAAACCGATTGATACTCAAGAGAATCTTCTGTCCGTCCCATAGCGGGCCCTCCCCGTGAGGCAGCTGTCCACGCTCCTGCTCCAGAGGTTTGGGGGATGTGTCGACGCAAGGATAGAGTACCCTCACGTTGCCTAGGCCGTTTCCAAACACCTGTTTCACCACTCCGCAAGTAAACCTGGAATTCGCAACGATTGTATCCGCGCCGCTCATCGCCCAGCCTTCAAACCAGTCGAATGGGTATCGATAAAGACCCTTCAGCCGTCGCAGTAGTAGACTCCCTTCATCGCGTCGCGCAAGTAGTTGATCTGGAAAATGACAATAGAACAAGATGCGCTCTCGACCTTTGGCTCGTACGCTGCTGAAGATGTCTGACGCGAAGAGGCGTAACACCGGAACGCAGGCCGGGACCTGATCAATAATGAACACATCATCGCCCGTCTTTTCTTCATCCGTGCTGTCTCCGCGGATTCCGTTGTTCCTCCGTCTCTCCAGCACCAATTCTACAACGAGGTGCAGCTGCCTCAGGACGGCCATGAGCACATGCAACCGCCCCTTCACATGCGCGGGGAAGATCGTATTGCCCCTGATCTTTACATCCAGCGTTCCATCTCTGGCCTCTTCGAAGCAATGGCTTGGGTCGCGGTGCGACGTATAGATCGTGACGCGGTGTCCACGCGTCTGGAGCGTGAGGGCAACATCAAGGATGAGTCGTTCTGCGCCGCCGATTCCGAGGTCCGGGTGAATAATGGTGATATTTTTGCGGCCCGGCTCTGGCGGCGAACCGCGCGAGTGCAATGGCATCGTTGCTTGCCGGTGTTTTTACTGAGTCGTTGTGCGTGCGAGATGACAAGTTGCGACTCGAAGACCAAGTCATGTGATGGCGAAGATGAGACGGGAAGAGGCAGAGAGTACGGCTGGGAGATCTTATTTAATATACTGGGCATCTCGGTGTAGCTGGTTAACTGGCCTAAGGTATTTTGTAAATACAAGCGATGGATCAAAAATGTATGTACTGGATGTATGTACGGCGTGCATGCCCATCCATTGACTAATTAACGAAACGGATGTAGAACTGCAGCCAAAGAAAATTAAATGGGCAAAAAGGGTGAAAGGCAAAGGTAGACCTCCCTTCGTTAGATTTACCATTAAGTGTAATTGCATAGTGACAGTGCTAGTCAACTCAGGTGGTATCTTCGCAACATGATCAAAATCGAGGATAAACAAAAAGCAAAAAGTGAAATGAAATGAAATGCGTCAATAGAAAGAAGTGCCCGCAAAAGAGGCGTAAGAAAGAAATAGAGGCATATCCGGGGGTCAAAAATTAACACCGCATCAAAAGCAAGCATGTATGAGCATCCGCTGTATGTATTAGACAGGGTCTGGGTTCATAAATGATATCGTAAGAATGAAAAGGAATGTTGGAAAAGATGCGGGGGAAAGAGGAATAGTTGGTAGGGGTAGAGAAAGTGTGAGAATTGGGGATAGACATGATAAGAAAAAAAGGTACTCCAAACGACCCAATTCACGGCCAGAAGGCGAAGGAGAAGCCGTAATTCTCCGTACCTCTATAACTTTTTAAAAGCAGTTCAAGGTACTCTTCTTCTTTTTCTTGCTGATTGCATTCATTTTTTCTTCCAAATGTGCACGTGCAGCTTCGGCTTCTCGCCGGGCACTTCGTTCTTCCTCTACTGCCTGGAGTGAAAGTCTAGCGGAATTGCGTTCAGAGCGTAGTGTGTTTAACTCTTCCTCCAGTTGCCAAGCCTTCTTCTTCCAGGATTCCATGTCCGTTTTGACTTTGTTGCTTTGAGCTTCAAGGTCACCGAGGGCTTCCTCCAAAGTTGCAGTCAGTTGTTTTTCAGCGTGAAGATGCTTCTCGATTGTACGAATGCGAGCTTCCTGGTCTTCAACAAGTTGAGCGTTGACAAGTTCCTTGCTTGTATGCCTCGAGCTGGGCGGCGAAATGCTGCCGGTATTCGTGGCAGCGGCAATGTTTGGAAGGGGAGGAAGAGGGATCGCAGGCGGTGGAGAAGGTAAAGACGTAGCAGACGAGCTTTTTCGAAGGTTCGATGATATGGAATTGGTTCGTTCCGCATTGTGACCGTCCGGTGTAGCATTTCGAGTTTGTGACTAGGAAAAGGTCAGTACGTGAAGTTCATGGAAAGGCCAGCGGAGTAGGCGACTTACCTCAAGATGTTCAATGCGTGAACGGTAAGAGTCGACCTCCTTCTCATATAACGCAATTTTATTGTGCGCTTCATCCAGTGCTTGAGTACGTTCCGCTTGAATGACCGAGAGACGGTTGTGATGCTGATCAAAAGTATTCGTGATCTGCTCCTCAAGCTCCTCCACGAGACGAAGACTCTTATCTTTTTCAACAGAGAGCTCGGTGACAAGGGCTTCTTTCTTTTTGATTAGCTCATCCTTTGCAGTCAGAGAATCTTCATGAGTGGCGACAAGATGAGCGAGTTCGTTGACTTTGACTTCCTGCTGCTCACTCTTTTCATTGAGGGTCGAAATCTGCTCTTCAAGCTGAGTGTGGCTCTTCTGTTTCTCATCCAATTGTTGCAGAAGTTTCTCATGTGTTCCGCTGAGCTCAGAGTATTTATCAGAAAAGCTCTTTTTCTGGGAAACAATATCCTGCAGCTGATCTTGAAGAGAATCTGGAGTCACTGGGACGTTCAAAACAGACGTAATCGTCGCAAGTAGTTGAGTTAATTCGTTCTTGGAAGCAGTGATTTCAAGTTTTAAGTCATCAAGAGCTCGGGTATGTTCTTCGTTCTCCTTTGCAATACGCGAGGCGTACTCTGCTTCGGCTGCCGCTTTTACTCGGGACTCTAATTGCAGTAATTCTTCTGCGTGAGACGACTGTAAGGATTCTAGGCTGGACTTTTGTTGTTCAAAGGCGGCTTTGTGGCCTTCGATCTCCTGGGATAGCTCATCAGCACGAGATTGATAGGACGCGAGCTCCTTGGCGGTGGATTGTGTCGTCTCAGAATGGTTCACCAGTTCCGATTTGACGTCGGCATGGGCTTTCTCCAGCTGAGAAATCGTCAACAGATTAGCAGAAAGAGACGTCTTGTGTTCTTCAATGTTCTTGTTGAGGCTGTCAACTACATTTTGGTGGTTTGCCCGCTCCTGCTCAAGGCGAGTGGCTACATCGGCCATTTCCTTGGCATTGACACTGTCTGCTTCGATTTTCTCTTTGCGCATGGATTCAACGCTGGCAAGCGCAGCTTCTAGCTCCGAAAGAGTCGTTTTCAGTTGGTTTTCAGAAGCCACAAGAGAATCTGCAATGACTTGATGCTTGTCCTGCCATTGAGATCGATCTGCAATAACTTCTTCAAGTTGTTTCATTGTAGATTGTAATTGTTCTTGCGCAGATTGGAGTTCGGAGACAGTCGCGTTGTGTTTTTCTTGCCAACCATTGCTCGTCTCTTCGAGCTGGGCAATCGTCTGCTTGTGGGCCTGAACCTCTGCATCTCTCTCGTCAAGTGTAGCTTTGTGGCTAGTTAACATAACATTGAGATTAGACATCTCCGCAGCCAGTTCCTTCTCCCTGGTTTCGTGAGCATCCTGGAGTTCTTGGATGCGGGCTTCGCAGTGGACGATCTGGTTTCGCATCTGAGAAACGACAGATGAATCGACGGGGGACTGGCCTTGAAGACTGGATCGTTCTCTAGTCAAGCCAGATATGATGGTCGCCTTCATTTCCATTTCTTTCTTAACATTCTTGTTTTCAACCTCCAAGCCTTGAATTCTTTCCATCCGAGAATGAAGCTCATGCATTGCTGTATTCAAATTGAGCTCGAAGCTTTGCATTGTATCTGGCTTGCTTTCAAATTCTTCGCTCGCGATGTTTCGGAGAGCAGCAAAGGACCTATGTGCTCGATCTGGGTTGATCAAATTCTGGCTTGTCATTCTTCGAATAACCTGCGATTTCGGGGTAGTTGGAGTGGTAGGCGAGACCATTTTTGTCTTTTGAACTTCAGACTTCAGTTGCTCGACTAGACCCAGCGTTTCCTCGTGCTCAGCTTGGAGTTCGGCATATTTCTGAGTTACAACGCCCATTCCATCCTGATGCTCCATCAGAAGTTTTCTCATTCGTTCTAACTCCAAAGCACCGGCCTCATCCTTCTCGGATGCATCTCGTTGCCACGAGTCGGGTCTCTGAGTAGCCGGCGTATCCAACTCCACCTGTGAGGTAGACGATCCCTCTGCCAACGAGAGCTCCGATGAGAGCGAGCGCGAGGACGAACGCTGTTCTCCATTTTTCAGTGGTTGAGCCTCGACGTCGTCTAAAAAAGTGACCGGGTTTGGAGTAGCGGTAGGCGACGAAATAACGGGAGGAAGAGAGTGGCGCGATTCATCGACAGTATCCTGGAGCTCTGCAAGAGTCCGCAATGCCTCCTCGTATTTAGCATGAAGCAGATCATAGTCCGTTATTGTGCTCTCGTGTTGAATACGGAGGTCAAATAACTCCTGGGTCACATTCTCAAGTTTCTCGGCAACGAACCGTGATTGCGCAGGGCTCTGAGGGGCGTACTCCTCTTCGATATTGTCCGCTCTGAGGTCAGTAGAACCACGCAAGGCTGAAGCTTTTTCAAGAGTCTCTAGTCCAGCATCATCTGCCGGCAGAGCAGATTCCTCTTGAGGTGCATGTTCCACGAGATCATCGTCGGATTCTGGGATAGCGGTCTCGACAGCTTCCATAAGTACATCTAAGGAAAGATTTCTATGCCGTGAACCTCTTCGTTTATGCATTAAAGTAGGCGGGGGACCCATAACACTGTCTTTTCCTTTTTTGCCCTGGGATCCGTTGTGTTGAATATGATCGAGCTCATAGAGCAGCGTGTCAAGTTTTCCCAAGCTGCGCTGCCGATCAATGACGTGCTCGAGTCTTTCCATTTCGCGTTGTACCAATTCCATATCTTGATCCGCTTCGGCTAGTCGCTCCTCCAATGTTGAGATATAGTCCTCACAACTAGCTTCATTTTCGCGCGCACGAGCGATTTCTTTTCGCAGTTCGGCAATGATGGCAGCATTCTTTTCTTCTCCGGAAGCGTGGCCGTCAAGCTTTGATTCCAGATCATGTAAATAGTGCTCAGTGTTTGCTTCTCTATCCATCATTTTCTGAATACGGGCTTGAAGTTGTCCGTTTACAGTCTCAATGTAGGCACATTTCGTTTCCCGCTCGAGTAAAGTACTTTCGGTACTCGACAAGGAGGAGCGTGTGTTGGACAATGACGACTCCAAACTTTGGATTGTCTTTTCATATTCCAGCACGACCTGCTCAACTGACTCTGCGAACGAATGCGAGCGCTTGAGTCTTTCTATCGCACTAGCGCTGCCAGACACAAGATTTTGAATGTCATCGGTGTCGCCATTGAAATCAGAGGCTTTAGTGAGTTCCGAAATCAACTTCGCATGACGCTGGCTCAAGGCAGTATAGCTTTCCTGGATATCCAGGAGGTGGTTCTGCAGCTCAAGTTCTCGCTCTGTCTGGCGCTCCGATCGCTCTTGGAGCGGACCGCTGCGTCTTTCAGCTCCCTCCGAATTACGGATTTGCTGGCGCAAAAAAGCTACTTCTGCCTTTAATCGATCGATGACCGCTTGCTTATCGCGCTCATCGGAGACTTGCTGGATCCTTGGCTTACTCTGGATGGCCCTGGCACGTTGGGCGTACTGAACCGTATTCAATGTCTCACTAAGATGAAATTCGGCAGGTGTGACGCATGCAATCATATATGTAATCGCATTTCCTCCGAGCGAGTCCTGAAGCAGGCGTGTGAGTTTAGAGTCACGATATGAAACGTGGGCGCCCGCTTGGCGTGAGGATAGCTGTGAAATAACCTTTCCCAAACTTGCAAGACCGGCATTGATCGAGATACCTTCTTTTGCCCGTTCGCCGGATGCACCGGTATTTTTCAAACGTTCGCTTCCAGCCAAATCCACAAAATGTAACTTACTATCAACGGTCACAAACGTATCCGTGCCCAGAGATTCAACGGGGACCGAAAAGCGCTTTTCTCTGGACGAGGTAGGAGCCGATGGGTCTTTCCGTTGAATAAGGTTCAGACTAAACACCGCATGCGAGCGCGAGGATTTGGCATTGACGGCTGTCGAATCGGTCTGTCGAATTGCAGAGCCGAAATTGAGAGCGCCAATAAGATCGTCAAAACAGGTAATGGTGACTTGGTGAAGCCCTGTGAGAAGTATTCGCCCTTTAGCATCTTCTCTAATGGTAACGGTACTTCTGTCTCCGACTGGGATGGACTCTGGGACTAAAAGATCTCTAAGATGTTCGTTGTAGATCTAAAGAGTATGCATGTTAGTTTGTTCGACGGGTCAATTCCTACGAGGATAGCAAACCTCAACATATGTAGCTTTCAATTGCCAATTCTTGTTCAGAGCTAATTTGCCTAAGTGTTGTACTGACGAGGTCACGGAGTATCTCGCAGGAGTCCGCAGGCCCGTGGACGCCGATCGGGAGTGGCTCGTCTTGTTGTCGGTCAGTTTTTCGAAGAGCATTTGCGCCGCACGCGGGACGATTCCTAGGGCGGTCAGTCAAGGCATACCGATTCAGCAAAGATCGCAAAAGGCTCACCCATGGCCTTGGGGTCGTTCTGTTCCGAGGGTCCAGAAGTACCCATTGTATACGATTTTCCAGCTCCAGATTGCCCATATGCCAGAATCGAGACATTATATCCTTGCACAAACGAACTAACGCTGTCTTGGAGGTATTCCCAGATCCCATCTTGATCCACGGATTCGTTGAACACTCTATCGAAGACAAACAGCTTGCGGCCCTGTGGCGCATCTACAGCTAAACTCGTGTCGGAAGAGACATGGACTGTTGATCTTTGGAATCGGGGCGGAATCAATTCGTAGCCGGGGTCCGAGGGCCGCAATGGGGGACGTACCCTGACAGCTATAGAGGAGGTCAAAAGGTTTAGTAAACTCTGGTTCACGTCGATGGCACAGAATCAACGAAGCACAGCTGCCACGTACCAACTTTTACAGCGGTTTTGGCGTCTTCGTCTGAGGCGCGACTTCCACCATGCTTGCTCCCAACGCTCAGCCGACTATGGCTCCGCGGGGGCCTCATTATGGCGCTCAGAGGGCGGTGCAGACCACTGGGAGTCGGAGATGCGGGAGGCGAGCTGGTCATGGCAATGGGCAGCCGGCCTGGTCCAGGAGTGCCGCGTGGCACAACTTCGCGGAGAAAAGGACGACGGCGACGGCGACGGCGGGAGCGCGGATCATGCGATGCGGAGAGCGAGGTCAGAGCAGCGGAGTCATTGACGCCGGGCAGGGCGGCAGCGAGAATCGATACGGGGGGGGGCCGTTGGGCAACACGCCCCCTTTCTGGCACGGGGCGGGAAGCGGCTGCGGGAGCGGCAGGCTGGCACGGCGGGCGGCGGGCGACGGGCTGCGACAGCTAGTTAACTAGGCAGCAGAGCTCCGGCAAGCGGACGAGGCGGCGTGGAGCAGAGCGGCAGTCGCGAGAAGCCTGAAGGGCACGGCGAGCGAGCGAGCGAGGACAGCGAGACGGAGCGACGGAACGACGTGGTGCCGCGCGAAAAGGGAGAAAAAGTGGTTGGTCGGCCGGCCGGCGGTGGAGCCGCGCGATTGGGCTTAGCGCCGTTGGCCGCGGCGTCTCCTGATCGATACGAGCACGGAGGATATCGAGATGCGCGCATTACCAGCAAACACCACGACGACAGCCTGCGAGTCGGGGATTATTATTGGATATTATTATTCTGACAGCTTGCTATTATTCTTATTGCTGCCCAGCCTTCATGGGTGTGCGTGGGCTCGCCGGCTCCGTCTGCGCACATATACAAAGCCACCCAGCAACGCGCCGCCCGCGCCGCTCGCCTGCCGTGCGATCTATCACACTGCTGCTCTTTGAGCCCCGTGCGATCTACAGAGCCCGCGTTGACGCTGCTGCCCGGCGTGTTGATAGCGGCATTTCGTTTCTGTCGTCCGGCCACTACTCTTAACTAACTACACGTCCACAAGGCGCGTCTCGCTTGGCGCAATTAGTGAGTTATGCCACCGTGTGCGCCAGGTGCTGTTCCGTGGTTCATACTGCTGGCATGATCCCCGGGCCTTGGAAGCTTTTGCTAGCTCTCCTGAATGTCAGGTACGAAGCACGTCGAAGCTTTCTTGACTGTGGGTTTGGGAGCCGAAGGGTCAGGGTACGACTTTGGCCCAACGCCACCACCAACACTTCGCCCTCAAGGGGATGTCGAACAGAGAACAACGAGGAGACTGCCGTGCACACGTACATGCATACGAACCTCTCGCTCAACGACGCCTCCACCAAACGTCAGAAACGCAAATGGGAGCCGGCCGTGTGCGGGGGGGGAAGGGTCGGCTAATCTTAACTCGCAGCACGACATCCCTGTCAGAGCCGTCCAGCTAAGGTGGCTCCAGAGGCTCGACCAGCTCTCGGCTTTTTCCCCTGACGTGGATGAAGCTCTGCCTGCTAAAACAACTACCACTGGCTATCATCGAAACAAAGGCGGCGGCGGCGGCTGCTCCTGCTGCCGTCGCTCTTGGAGACTGGAGTTCTGGTTCACGCAAACTCCCTAAGTGTCCAACCATCCAGATCGAAAAGTCTCGGCATTTCTGCTCCCAGCCGAAACTCACCCGAACTTGAGCCTCGCGCTTTGTGGACTTGCCACTAATGAATTTTTCCCATCTTGGGCCTCCGGCCGGCCCTTGTTTGGCCTTGCAAATCTCCGATCATGATTACGTGCCGTTTCACGGGGTATGCAAACCTAAAACTACTCGAATTAAATAGTAGGATGCAACCTCACTTGGCTAAGTGGCCAGAGATCCTCGGACGCTGGCTATCCAGTGTTGTGTTGTTTGTTGTGATTTTTCCCGTGCACTGGCTGCAAAAATCCTTTGCTTCACACCCAAGATATGTATTATTATACACACCTTCCTAAATGGCTTTTCACACGTTCTGAACCACCGTGTTTCCACCAATAATCCTGAAACACCAGGCTCAGTGATGGCGACGGCTGTTTGCAGCAAATCGGTGGTTCGATGCGCTGTTTCCATCCAGCCTATGCCTGCTTATGACGGCACCCTCATTCTACTTTCCTATTTCTTCCCGGAAGGGTATTTCCACCAGCTCTGATGTCAATCTCTTGTAGGAAAATCCCATGTTTCAAATAAACACTCGGTCAATATATTATTAATGGCGCCGATATTACCCGTTTGCACGAGCCTTCGTACATTTCGGACTGGTGGGGAAACAATAATAAACAAGGAAATGCTTCTGACAGTGATGCATCTTTAGGAGATGTGCAAAGGATGACTTGAAAACCGAAGGAAGAATATACCATCATCTCCTAAAAGACCCGCACGCCATCTAGCAGAGATTGATTGTTTTGTGTTGATGAAAAATTTCTGGCTTACGGAGTTCATACGCCTACAGAGTAGATTTCTTTGCTAAACAGGAAGCCATTAAGCTGGGTTTATGACTTAGCTAGTTATCTGTGAGTAACCGCCATAGCTATAAGAAAGAGCAGGCTCTTGTCTTTCTGCACCTCACCACCACGTCAGATACTCTCCCCTTTACATTCTTACTGAGCTATATCTAATCAGGCGGTCACAATAATTCTACGTCAGTGGCTCGTCCTCCGAATCAGCGGAATGGGATGAGCCCCACTGGATAAGAAAAGAGCGAATTTATTGTGCAATGCCCAACTAGGGGCGCTGGATGTGGAAATAGTATGTATGTATGTACAACGAAAGTAATAGTAATGCCATCACTGCACATAGCCAATCCGCTGGTTTCCTGCCCAAATCGTACCATGGCTCAAATCGTCCAGGCTGTTAACAATATGTACATCGAATAAAAGAGCGAATCCCTCTATTTACCGCTACCATTGTATGCCAGTCTGTTGTTGCTGGCGCCCACATCTTTGACGATGTTAGGTGTAGCCAATTCATACAACTTCCTGGCAGCTGCCGCAGGGTTACGGAGGTCGAAAAGGCTTTGTAGATAAGCAATGGTACCAGCGACATGGGGAGTAGCCATAGAGGTGCCAGACATGTTGGCCGTTCCATCACGGGAAGCCTTGGCACAGGAGATGATGCCCTCGCCAGGGGCCCAGATGCTGACGACCGTGCCGAAGTTGGAGAATCTGGAGCGTGTATCCATTGCATTGCGGCTGTTAATGGAACCTACACAGATGGCACCGGGTGCATTTCCAGGACTGTTTCGGCCAGCCTCTCGCTAAATATATGCATCAGCACCTACATATTTCCATGGGGAGGACGGGTCTATTCTTACTCCGTCGTTTCCGGCAGCAGCAACAACAACAACACCTCCATCAACTGCAGCCTTGATAGCATCGTTCATGGGTTGGTAAGTCGCACCACCTTAATAAAAAAAATCAGTATTCAAAGTCAAATTTCAAAGGAAATACCATTACTAACTGATGCTGATGGAAACCGAAGACCTGGAGAGTCTGTTTTCGCCGGTAATGTTCTTAACAGACCAGTCAAGACCATTAAGAAGGAAACTCCAGGGTCCCTAAGCAAGTATTATTAGTTTTTGAAGCCCCAACATTTGGTATGGAACGTACTGAAGTGCTTTTAAAGACTTTAACATCAACAGCAACGGCTTTTTTGGCAACTCCATAGGTCTTTGCAACTGCAATGCCAGCACAATGCGTTCCGTGGCCGACGGTATCGTCGAACGCAACGCCTTGTTGAAGGTTGACACCAGCGATGGCCCGACCTTCGAAATCAATGTGAGCTTTGTTGATTCCTGTGTCCATGATATAGACATATGATCCCTCTCCTGCTTTGCTGTCGTAGAAGTAGCTGTTATCTGGAAGGGGTAGACTGCGGTGGGAAAGGCGTCTGGGGCCATATGTGGCATTCATCTGCTCTACAAGGTCGGCAACATAGACAATTCTATCTGGCTCAACGTATGCAACCTATATTTATTCAGTACATCAGATCTCCCAAGGCCAATGATGAGGCTCACATTTGGGTGGGTTTTAATTTCTCGAATCGTTTCGCGATCAAAAGATCCTGAGTAAGCGTTGAAGGTGTTGATGTTAAACGTGTTCTCGACGCCGGGGGCTTCAGCAGTGGTGAACCCCTTTGCAACATTTCGTGCTTGGACTGACGAAACCCATGACGTATGGGCTTCGATATCAGCCTTGCTAACACCAGATTTGAAAGTGACGACATATTTGTCGGGTATTATCTGATTTTCCCTGGGTCTCGATGTTGGGAAGGCTGTGATGAGAGGGAGAACGGTCCCTACAAGGACAGAGGTGCTTTCAAAGAGACGCATGGTGGCGGCTTAAGAACAAAAGTATGCTTGAACGGGGAGGGACGACACAGCCCCAGAAGTGAGAGAAGTCTAGAGATATATATCTTTTCTAACATAATGACCCGTCAGGACGCCGGTGGGGTACCGGTTCGATCACTTGTTCCCCAACAGCCCCGGGAAAACGCGGGCGACTCGCTGAAGGCTTCCCCTCCATTTTTCATATCATTCCCATGCGGGTTCAAACCGCTTTTGGATTTACAGTGCACTTGGCCCTGCAGGTTAAACTGGGGAAGCCGGGGCTGACCATGTTCTGGTTACTCGTGGCAGATCAGGAAACGCAAATCAGCAAAATTTGGCGCCTTGAAATGGCTGTGGACCTGCAAGGGTCAACCTCGGGGAAGCAGCGGTTCGAAATTATTTCTCGAAGGCATAAATTCGTAGTAAAAGAGTATTGCCAGGTGGCAATTTTGTTAGATGCTTTAGCCACATTAACATCTCAGTGATCCAGGTGTTTGCTAATCTAGCAAGATGCCATGCCGCTTCAAGATGGCTCTGGTACGCAGCATGGTGGAAAAGCAATAATGAATATTCCAGAAGGTCGGGCCGAACCGATGGTAAAACATCCCGGTTTGCGACGGGGAGATCAGCGTTGCAACAGAGAACAGTGTAACCCAACCGGCGGCGATTTTGGCACACAAGAAGGCTGATTTTACCACTGCACACGACCTTAAGTGGCAGAGTAAGCGAGACCCGCCTGCCTCATATTGCTGAGGTTACCGACTCTGTGAGGGGGGTATCAAACGCCCAGCGTTGGTATTGGAAGGGAAACCGGATAACTCTCAGCTGGTGCCTCAGATATCAGCTTGGCGGTGTCTGATCAGAGAAGCTGGGGCTGATCTGCCATTGTCCTGGAAAACCCTCCACAACTCGGCAAATAATCTTTCTAGAATCATTCAGATCTGCTTCTGCAACAATACAGATAAATGAAGGTTGCTTTGTTGAGTTTCCTTTTTTTACCTTCACGGTTGAGCATATTTTCTTTTGGTGACGGGGCTTCATAGGGTGATATCACCAGAACGTGGAGATAACGGGCCGGATGACACTCTGAGAAGGGACATTAATATAATGAAAATATTATCGGGCAGCGATCCCCGGAAAACATGAGACAGCCTCGTGACGGCATCGAGATGGGGATCGGTCGACGTCGCTCCACCGCCTGTCGTAGCAGCCCCCGATAGAAAGTCATGTATTGGTCATTCAGAGCAGCAGCAGCCATATTATTATTGCCACAATGGCGTGCAGACCGATCAGCGGAGATAGCCCTCTGGATGCGGCACCCTGCCTATATGAAGTGCAAGTAAAGGGATGGGCGGTTTTCCTCGGAAAACGCCCTAACTTAAACATCTCCCACCAAATGAAACTGGGTTCTTCCAAGTAACTACTCCGTAGAGCAACGCAAAGTGCGAATGCCAGCCAACAAAACCGCGGGTGCATCCATCATGGCTTGACGGCTTTGTGGCTGGCTCAGCGAGTCCGTGGAAGTCATCATTGCTGGTGGAAATGGCCTGCACCCTCAATTTCCAGCCCAGTTACTCGTACCAACATTCTAGTGTGATACTGCATAGAATACATAACAGCCATGACAACAAAGTCGCCATTGCGTGGAGGAGTGACTCTTTGTTGAAAAAAACGTGGCCATGAAGGCCAGGCTGAAGGAGCCGAATTCGAATACCCAGCAAGCAGACCGCAGCGCTTGCAAAGCTCTTCCAGATAGGAATTCAAGCGTCGTGTGGTCCCTGTATTTGGCAAGGGGGGCGTCGCTTGGGGGAGGCCAGAAGAGACGGTGTTGATGGCTGGTGGCTGATCCTGCAAAGATGGCTGTCGTGATGCCGAGCACATCCTGCAGCTCAGTCAGTCAACCAGCCAACTAACTACCTAGTTATGTAGTTAGCCGGTCAACTAACTAACTACCCCGTCAGCGAGTGCTCCTGGCTACACCAATTACTAGGTAACTACATCGTGTCCTCCGTAACTAACCTTGCAATCTCTACTTTCCTCACCCTAAGAGTATTTCCGAATTCTCAGCAGTCAGTCATAGAGAGAAATCTTCTCTGTTAGTAAAATGCCTTTGAGAATATTGAGATTTGAACCCATGATCTTTTTCCGGGCCGTGCCAGAAGGATTCCTGCAGATGTTTACCAACTACACCATGCACCCTCCCCAGGCTAACTCCATACGCGGAACCTACTAACTGGTACATAGATAGCTAATTTTCCGATTTCACTTGGTAAAGTCTTCTTTAGCTGGATTCTATGCATAGTTGGCTAACTACAAGATTTCCAGGTCCTTTCTTAGTTTTCCACCTGTCCTCTGACTTTTATGTTGCGGTGTCGCATAAGAGCCTCTGTGGCCTGGCAGTGGAAAAGTCCTCATGCCCTGTTCACCTCGCTGTTTGTTCGTTACCACTCATCTGCAAAAGATATACTTGCCGCCCAAGCACCCCAAAACCAGGCCCATATTAAATATGTCTGGATCAACGGCGTGGAAGCTCTAGAGAGATATCAATCTGGAGGCTACCACCCCATCATGATTGGGGACATCCTGCACAGGCGGTACCACATTGTGGATAAGCTGGGGTTTGGAGGATATGCGACATTGTGGCTTGCTCGAGACATCCAGCTATCCCGATACGTTGTTGTAAAAATCAACGTCGCAGATTCAAGCTTACGCGAAACAACGATTCTTCGAAAAATTTCGGCCCAAGATCCCCCATTCTCTACAACAGCCAAATACTCAGGAGGCCGTGATTTAATAACCGTTCTCCTGGATGAATTCAAGATCAATGGCCCGAATGGTGCACACCAATGTTACACCATGACTCCAGCACGGTGCAATCTCCGAGATGCATCATACAGTCGCTTGTTTCCGATTGATGTTGCGCGAGCAATATCAGCTTCTCTCGCACTCGCCGTTGCATTTCTTCATACACGAGGCTACATCCATGGAGGTCAGTGAAAATGAAACTATTCCTGCTAGGCAGTCTCTTAACGGATAGTAGACATTCATCTTCGTAATGTTTTGGCCACTCTCCCTTTCAGTTTCGATGAACTGTCGATCGAAGAGTTCTATGAAAAATACGGGAAGCCAGAAACGGTTTCCATTACTAGATGTGATGGGGGTTCGCTTCCTCTCAGCATACCCACTAAAGCAGTATTACCCCTCAGTCTTGAAAAGACTGCCTGGGACTTTACCTTGGCCGATGCACAGGTGCTTCTGGGTGACTTTGGAGAAGCATTTGCCGCTGCAGAACCTCGTTATGGAGTGGATTGCCACACCCCACTATCTATGAGAGCCCCCGAAGCTCGATTTGAGCCCCACAGGCCACTGACATATGCAGCAGACATTTGGAGTTTGGGTGTGGCTATATGGGAGCTTATTGGCATGAAGGCTATTTTTAGCAGTGAATTTATCACGGAAGATGAAATGATATCTCAACGGATCGATATTCTTGGGCCAATGCCATCAGAATGGTGGGATAAATGGGAAGAAAGAGACCAATTTTTTGATCCGTGTCAGTACCCCAAAGACGGTCGGTACGTCTGGCCCGCAATAGAAGAAGCTTTCCAAGAAGGGGTCCAGAAATATAGGCAACTGAAGCCATACATGGGCGTATTCGACAAGGATGAGAAAGCCGCTGTTCTTGATTTGATCCGTCGAATGCTGATGTTCAGACCTGGACAACGGCTTACAGTTGAAGAAGTGATGGAGACTGAATGGATGGTTAAATGGGCTTTGCCCGCCTTCGAACGCGCAAAGTTGGCTAGTTCCAGCAGAACATGCTCCGCCTAAGTTGCAATATCATATATTATAGGTCCTTTGACTTTCCCTTTATGGTGTATATTTGTATCCGCAGCCATTACTTTCTCTATTCCCATCACATTTCAGAATTTCTAAACAGAGGGTATATTGAAAAGTTGGCATCGCTGGCAATTTGCTTCATCTAAGAGCTTGAATGCTCCTGTTGCAGTAGCATATAGATCCAACTACCATCAATCTGACATAAAGGTTCTACTCAGTTGCCTCTGGCAGCGCTGGTAGAAAATATAATAAAAAATAGTTAGTTACTTGCGTAACTGCAAAATAAATACTCTCAGATAACTTGCTAGGAGAAAAATAGGATCTTATAGAAAACCCAAGGATGGTGAAACTCTTCATTTAGTTGGTATATATTTTTTAATTGTGCTTTCTTATGAAGTAGTTAACTAAATAACTAGTTAGTTAAATTCACTTACATAAGCAAACTTGAACCTAATATGCCATGAATGCCTCGACAAGTTTATGCTGTAATATGAGAAGTAGTGCGGATGGACAGTGATAAGTTAGCACTCCTGGGTTTGGAGTCTTGATCTTCTTTTTTTGGGCTGGGTTATTTGTATGGTTTTAACAAAGCTTTGATTTATGGCCACCCATCTGCGCAACGAATCGCCTTCTGGCCGGTCTATTGCCAGTCAAGACGATGGAGAAGGCTCAATGCTGGGGACGGGATTAACTGTAATTGGTTTTCATTGAGAGCATTTGTGTCCTGCCACTGATATTTATGTCAAGTCCCGTCACCTGGAGGCTTTTGGCCGAAAGGTCACGACAACTGCAAGCCATCTAATGGCTCCGAGAACCGACCCGACATTTACCACCCATTACCAGAGCGCCATGAGTGATATCCAACGGGAATTGCGTCGCCCGGGGGTTCAGAGAAAGGTCTTTTCATTCGCACAAACTACTCCTACAGATCTCGTGCGATCAAAGCTGTCAACGTCGGAAATCCAGTATCGTGCGCTCTCCGCTCTCCCCGAGGACCTACTTGCCAATATTCCGGAGGATACAAGCACATATTCTTTATTTCAAGGATTTCAAGCATCCTTGCCTGAAAATGACAGCGATTTTCGCAAAGGCCAGAGAAGACGTCGATCTGGTGGACAGAAATTATTAGAAGACTCTGGAAAAGGTTCTCGTCCCTTACCTCACACTGTTGGCGCATTAAAGCGAGAGAGGGAGTCATTGAACAAGCGACTTGAATTGATGGGAACACGGAAAAATATGTGCAGCGCCGAAATCCGCGAGATAGATAACAAGATATCTAATCTCAATCATATGAGAAAGATTGTTCTAGATCGTTTGGCTGGGTTGGAAATGGATGAAGCAGACTTAGAGCATGAGTGTAAGAAAAACTGCCCGCGCATACTTACCATGACTAACGAGTCGATGAGTAGTGGTGCAGCTGGATAATAAACTTGAAGACATGGAAGAAAGCACTGACGAGCCTATTCCCGGCGAGTCAACACCAAGGACAAGGGATACAGAAACAACATCAAATCGAGCCGAGGACGAAGAAGCGGAAGCTTCGTTCATGTCCGAGTCCATTTATGAAAAGATTCCGTCTCCAAAAAGCTGGAGGCATAAGGGAACGAGTTTGTACCCTAATTCTTCATTGGTCTATTGCTTAATAGAAGCTAATGTCTTGGATTCTACTGTAGGAAAAAGGTCGATGCCTATATTGCACGAACATTTTGACTCCGGCTCCATGATTAGAGAAATACAAGCACATAATGATATGATAACCGCGTTGGACTTTGATGTTCCCTTTGGTACCATGGTCAGTGCAGCTTTGGACGATACTGTAAGAGTTTGGGACTTAAATCTGGGTCGGTGTATGGGGTTTCTGGAAGGACATCATGCTTCTGTGAGGTGCTTACAAGTCGATGATAACCTTGTGGCTACTGGTTCTATGGACGCATCGATACGACTCTGGGATCTAAGCCGTGCAAGTTATGCCCCAAGAGATTCTCGGATAAATAAGGACGAAGAAGAAGACGACGACGATGCGCTTGGTTTTGAAGATCCGTCAGCGGAACCCCCGCCGCCTCCCCCTTCTAGCATGGATGAATGCCCTCTGTTTTGCCTGGAAGCACACGTTGATGAGGTAACTGCACTACATTTCCGTGGTGATACTCTGATATCGGGTTCTGCTGATAAAACCTTACGGCAATGGGATCTGGTCAAAGGCCGATGCGTCCAGACATTGGACGTTCTGTGGGCGGCCGCTCAGGCGTCGTCGGCAATAGGAGGAGGAGAGGCTCAATGGCGGCCGGCAGGCCGACTTCCGGACGCATCTGCAGACTTTGTTGGCGCATTGCAATGTTTTGATGCTGCACTGGCATGTGGAACAGCAGATGGAATGGTTCGTTTATGGGATCTGCGGAGTGGTCAAGTCCACAGAAGTCTTGTTGGCCATACGGGGCCAATATCTTGCCTGCAATTCGATGATGTTCACTTAGTGACCGGCAGTTTGGACCGGAGTATACGGGTATGAGACTTCTTTCCGCTTCTCTAATATGTCTTCTAACACTTGGCAGATATGGGACCTGCGTACGGGATCAATATATGATGCATATGCATATGACCACGCCGTGACTAGCATGATGTTTGACTCACGTCGGATAGTTTCTGCTGTGGGAGAAGATGTTGTCAAGGTGTACGATAAGGCTGACGGACGCCATTGGGATTGCGGTGCCGGGGTAACTGCAGAGGAAGAAGGTAATACCCCGGCAGCAGTTGAACGGGTTCGGATCAAGGATGGATATTTGACAGAGGGTAGGAAAGATGGAACTATCGGAATCTGGACGTGTTGATGTATAACCGTGATTTTTAACAATCTTCCCGCCGCTGACACAGTATTTGGAAGGGGTAGGTATTGTAATATCAGAATATATGGACATGATGAAAATATATCCAACGGGAGGGCCTTTCTAAGGGGCTACATGGCAGCATTTTTTCGCTTCCTTATAAGCTGCTTTTTGCGTATGGAGTTCATATATATTTTATTTAGCACGGAAGAATTCTAAACCCTAATGACAATTGAGTCTAGAGTTAATGTACACTATGGTCTTTTGAGTATGCCGTAACGAGTGTGGATACTAACCACTCGTCAAGCACTGAAAGAAGTATATGCAATAAGTTTGGTTATTAATTATTCTAATATATATAAATCTAAATATATATTCTGCAAGAATGTTGTTTCAGGTACTCAGTACAAGAAGGCTATGTATTCCCATGGAGGCTGTCAAATCCGGCCCTGTGGCGTAATTGGCAACGCGTCTGACTACGAATCAGGAGATCTGCAGGTTCGAGCCCTGCCAGGGTCATTTTTTTGTCTTTTTTTCGGCCTTTGACGCTACTCCGCATCGGGACTAGCGCTTTCGCGACGACAAACAACAACAGCCGCATTTCGCGACGCGCTGAGCTGGCTTTGGGGGGTTGGAGGCAGATTGCTTAGGGGAATAAAGAGTTTTTGTTTGGATGGTCTTGTGTCATTGTGGCCGCCGTGGGCTATTGTGCTGATACCCCCCCTGGCAATTCACTGCATCTTAGTCCTGTCTTGCTTTGGTTTTTGGCAGCTTCGCCCAGCAAGCTACCTTTTTACTATTTCTACGGAGAGATATTTGGCACACTGGACCACCAACCAGTTCACCTTCAACTGCCTGCTCTGCATATATAAATTCCCCTATGCTCATTGCTAGCCCCTTGATATCCGAACCTTAGCAGCAAACCCGTGCTGTGGCAGACACGACAACTCTGTCTCCTGACAAACAGGCCGTTGTTTTAGTTTTGAATTCGGCCATAAAATCATGCCTGATATTGGGTTTTTACACCCTGGTATTTGGTTGTTTTGACTTGGCTCGTTTTGTGGCACTACACCGGGAGGGTGTACCCTTCCCCCTCAGGCTCTCTGGTACTTCTTTGTGGCTGTGGGAAGCTCCGTCCCTTCAGGCCTTTACATTCTATGGGCTTCTAGTATGTATTTTGAAGTAGGTGAGTTCCGTGTTAGCTCGCTTAACGTGTTTTTTTTTACATCCCACTATGAATTTCCATTGTTTTTTCCTTTGCCAATCATTCTTCCACTAGTACCCAATTCTTATTATGCAACTATAACTAATACCTTTCCGCGAATATTTTCTTCTATTCACTTTCTCTTCCCAAGAGCAGCATCTCCAAATTTCCCTCTCAGTTTCCCTATTGCTCTCTCCAGTTTTGTTTACTTGAAACGCATTTACCATTTTAGCCACTTTTACTAGTCGCAGAACCATAAACTGAATCACTCTGCTATAGCTGAAAGAGCGAAAGGAATCTTTGGCCTTATCACCCTGTTACCCTATTAACATAACTGACGATTTCTGTTTGTCAACTCTGCTATAGAGAGCATCTACTATTTATCACAATCAGCTGAAGGTAAATTGAAATCCATCCTCTTTGCTCATCATCCGTTTCTAAGTGTTTTAATGCTATAGGGCATTTCTCTTCCTTGCTTTCCGCTGATTCAATTCCTTAACTGGATTGCGGGAAACCAACCTGATCCCATCAATACTATATTACATGCTCGCCAATCGTTCTGGTCTCCGGCTCCTGTTGATTACGATTCTAGCTAATTGATCCTACGCGTATTTTCCATTCCCTATACGCTCAGACTTTGAAACCCACTCTCTCATCTGCTGTTGGTTTCAGCCATTTTCATCTTCATTTATAGCTACGTCTTCGCCACCCGATAGTTGGATATGGTTGAGACGCGTAACTCGCGCCGCGGACGATCCGCATCCCAGGAGGTTACCGGGCCTGCGATTTCTCGCACACTTCACAGCTCCCCCCTTCCTCCAGTAAAAACACAGCACTCTTTTGCTTACGGTGCTACCGGGAGCCCTTCTTTTCCTCGACGGCTACGGACTAGCCCGCCAACTGAGGCAACCCGAGTAGGCTCTAACACACAAAATCCAATCGAGCCAAACGCGACAGATCTTGAGCGCCTAGAAGAAGCTGCACTCTCGCACCCCGTGACTGGCCGGTTGACTCGATCTAGAGCCCAAAAGTCTGCATCCCCCACACGACGAGTACGAGGTCGTCGGAGAGAAACGCGCGAATCCACGCCTGAGGATCAGCTTCTTGATTCTCTTCGAGAAGCATCTGAAGAGGCCGAAGAACCCAGAGACAAAGTGTTACCCAGCATCGAGGAATCCAGTGTTAGCTGGAACACCGAGCGCTATGTCATTGGCGATCCAAGAGGCGTCAGCGTATCCGTTACAGATAACACATCTAGTGGTGGCTCAATTCCAAACCGGCTACCGAGAGATACGGCCGCGTCCATTCGGCCAATTGCGGTTCCCCCTATTCGCCCTTCTGGTCGCTCGCAGCTTCCACCCACTCTTCAACCTTCAGAGGAATTGCGATTTAAAAGACCGTTAACGGCTTCGACCCAGCTAACTCCAGAACTTGGTGAAATTCCAGTTCTCGCCCCACCTCAGTCAGATGGTGATACTCTTGTTCCGCGCCCCGTACCCGCGCCTACGAAAACCACCCCTTCTCCTGTTACAAGTTCTCTCGCTCCTGTGACATCTGGTACTCAGAAGAGGGTCACCGTGTGCCAGATTGTGTGGATATCTGTCTTTTTTTGGCTAATTGCATTCGGAGGAACGTTTGCGGTGGTAGACGACTTCGGCGGGAAAATTTCACGCAATATTCTGCTTCCACTTTGCGGTTCTCATCGAGCGCCTATCCAATATACCGACGCGCTGAACAAACTTTCAGCAGGTGTTGACCAACGCCTTAGTGAAATGTCGCGAGAAGTCGCTTTGCTCAAGGATGAGTGGAATAAACGGCTGCCTCATATCAAGCAGGCGATATGGCCAGCAGTCGACGAATCTCTGGTGCCCCATAAAATCAATTGGTTTTCGACGGGCGTTGGAGCTCTTGTGGATCCGTACCTGACCACCAAAATTCGGCCCAGCTTACTAGCTCGTGGTGCTGATAAGGCGGTTGGACGAAAGAAAACAAACCCCCCGATCGCCGCGCTTACTCGCTGGGAGGAACATGGGGATTGCTGGTGTGTTCATAACCACCCTGATGAAGTCCAACTGGCGGTTCTCCTAGGTCGACCCCTAGTGCCAGATGAAGTGGTGATTGAACACATTCAGAAGGAGGCAACATTAGAACCAGAATCAGCACCCCGTGATATGGAACTCTGGGTTGAATTTTTTGGCCGGTCTACCTCAATGAATTCTCCCACCGCTCATCATGAGCCCTCGCCAGCGAGCATGAAGCTGGCCGAATCGATCCCGTTGAACAAAGTCTTTTCGGAGCCTCTTTCTGAATTGCAGCGAGATGACATTCTCTCGACTCTTCGTTTGGTCTATCCGAACGAACCGGAGACAGCTTATTCGCTTGACGAGGACCTCGGTCGAAGCTTCTATCGTATTGGCAAGTTTCAGTACAATATCAATGCGAAGCAGAATATCCAGAAATTCCAACTGGACGTGGTCATTGACTTGCCAGACATTCGCGCGAAGAAGGCTGTAGTGCGGATCAAGTCGAACTGGGGGTCGTCGAATACCTGTCTGTACCGTGTGAAGTTGCACGGCCACGTCTAAATTCGTGTTCTTCGGCTCGTTATTGTGCTATCGCATATAGGATGACCCCGCAATCCGTTGTACCAAGCTCGAATTTCTATCCCGGTTGAAGTTGTTTAGTGGAAACTCATCTGATGGTTTCCCTCCTTCTACGGGATTGCGGAGCGGATAATTGAGTCTCCCACATCCGAAATGAGAAACCTTTCAAGTTTGGCACGTCCCGTCCCGGTATGTTTACCCACAAACCTCCAGTATTCTCACCGTCTTATGCTGTGAAGGAAGCTTTGCCACAATGGTACATGCGTTGTATTTTTGACTTGCAACCACGCCATCGTTCTGCGAATGCTCACTGCGACAGAAACCGGGGTCTAACAGATGATCGCAGTGGCAGGTCGTCGTAGATTTTTCAATCTGTACGAGGTCACCTACATTACTAGGGTAGTCGAAAAATTTGATGGGCGAAACTCTCAATGGTCGTGGACGAATGCGGGGCCCATCTCGGTCTCATGAACTGACTAGTTACGAGAGTTTAAGTCAAGTCCCTAGGCTGTTGAAAGGATGGTGGAGCGAGAATTTTCGATGCATCTACATCGCCAACGCAAGATGGGAGGGCGCAAAAACTAGGGTTGGCTTCTATCTACAAATGTATCCTTCAATTGGCCCACAGCTTACGCGTCAAGCTGATCATGCCTGGCGAATATCTGGACTGGAAAGAGTGTTGGTGGATTCTAGTAGTCGATGATTGATGATTTTTCGATTAGTACGGAGTAGAAACGGCGTTTATGGAGCAGGAGATGTGGATCTGCTAGATAAAATCTCATGGATTCTGGATGCTTCTTAGGCAAGTTTGGGATTTTGGATTTTGGATTTGGGATTTGGGATTTGGGATTTGGGATTTGGGATTTGGGACTTTGAACCCTTTTGCTCTTGTAAAGCACAGAAGACCCTTGTGGCCAGATCGACAAAGGCCTTTCTCAAGGCTATAAATTTTGAGAGCATGTTTCTCAGTATAATGCTGGAAAACACCGGCTAGTTAATGCGAACACCATCCCGATGGCCACTCTGTTGTGCATTCCGTATTGTTTCACAATGCGTGCTTTTGTTATAGGCTCACGGCGATTGGCAAGTGACTGACTGCAGGGCCGAGAAGCTGAAGGCTGCGCTCCGTGTTCGGCGCCCGGGCTATGCCGCTGCCAACTAGTTAAGGAGCTAGGGTTCCCGCCAGTGACAGGGTGGCTCCGCGCTGCTTAACTTTGTGCTTAAGCTCCGTAGCCCGAGCCTCCCTGGCTGGTTATCATATGCGAGAGAAGCTCAACTTGCAAGCAAACGCCAGTTCAGCCAAGCTGTGCCAGTGCACTTGTGTGTTGGTACTCGCCATTACTGGAACGCAATCATGGACGCCGCGATTGACCTGTCGGATGCCTCAAAGGCTCTGGATTTGGACAATATTCGCTTTCAATTAATGTGAGTAAAACAACCCTGCATGCCGTAAGGGCGCTAGGGCTACTACGGCCTTCGAGTCAACGAATGCGCGAGCTGACCAGTTGCCCTACGCCTACAAGACGTTTAGAAGACACAATAACATTCCACTTGATTGAGCGCGTCCAGTTTCCCCTCAATCCTCGAATTTATGTGCCAGGCGGAGTGAATATCCCCAACAGCGAGTTGAGTCTGGTGGACTGGGTACTCCGTGAAACAGAACGCATTCAATCTCGTGTCCGTCGCTACCAGTCCCCCGATGAATTCCCGTTCTTCCCAGAGGTGGTTGAAGAACCGATCCTCCAGCCGCTCAAATATCCAAAAATTCTACATGAGAATGACGTTAATATCAGCGGTATGATAAAGTCGAGATATGTCAATGAGATTCTGCCCAACGCATATGGTAAATTTGGAGGAAAAGAGGATCGAGGCGAAACTCAGGAGAATTACGGATCTGCTGCAACTTGCGACATTCTTTGCTTGCAGGCGTTGACAAGAAGGATCCATTTCGGCAAATTCGTTGCAGAATCAAAGTTCCAAAAAGAACCGGAGAAATTCGTCAGGTTAATCAAAGCAGCAGATAGAAAAGGAATAGATGATGCTATTACGAACGCTGAGGTAGAAAAGAAGGTACTAGAGCGACTGCGGCTTAAGGCTACGACCTACGGAAAGGACCCCGCAAACCCCGATGACAACAACTCAAAGATCGATGTGGATGCCGTTGTGTCAATGTACCAGGTAGGTTCTGCCATGGCTCGTGGGAATAGGAGCACAGGCTAACAAAGATGACTGCAGCATGCTGTGATCCCCATGACCAAAGTCGTGGAAGTTGAATATTTAATGCAACGCCTTCGAGGCACGGAATGGGAATGACAGCGATGACGATGGCAGTGTTCTTCTACGGGATTTTATGGCTGGAGTCAAGGCTCTTCTTTCGAGCCGTGTTTTTATGATAAACTTGGAATACCTTAAGAAACAGACTAGGATGATGAATTAACATACTCTTTAACATCATTTACTGCCGTTTCAAACTTTTGGCTTTCGATTAAAATCATCGACCCATGAGGACGAATCCCCAATTCTTGGAATGCACGTTTGGAGTCAGAATGTCCTTCTGCCTGTTGGTGTGTATACTCATATGTTCCACAACACAATGCGTGTTTCTGCAAAACCTCATCTTCCGGGTGGAAGTAAAACACCTCTGGTTTGCCATTGCTACCTTTTTTCTTCTTTTTTTGCGGCCGGCTGCCTTCTATATCCAACTGTGACTCAACTTCCTCATAAGTCTTTGATATTATGAGGTAGTGTGTGAACTGGTATGGCTCCTTCTCCTCTAGGGCCCATTGAATTTCCTCAAGGAGCATGGTGTACATTGGTGGGATGACCTCGGGGGGAATATTGATGAGCCGTTCAGTAAGAACCAGGCCAATTTGGCAAGTCGTCTGAGAAAGGAGCTCCTTTATAGGTGAGAGCTGTACACAGGATTTGCTCTGGACATATTCAATTAACGAGTTTATCACGGGTACATCCTACGTCGAATCATATTAATGAGCAGATCTTCACTACGGCTTTACGCTAGGACTCACTTTGTGCTGCCGCAAATTGAGAACAGTAAGGAAGGCATAAGGGTCAGTTTCATTTCCGTCGACTTTGACAGTAGATCCCAACAGTGGTTGGGATAGTATCAAGTCGGTGAGGGCCGATAGATCAAACAATTGCGCATCGGTGTCAAAAAGTTGCCGAAGCAGCACCTTCAACCCGTGAAAATCGACTGCAGGCTGTGGATCAAACCATTCGAATTCCACATTGACCACGTCCATGTCCTGATTCACACATCAGACACGCGGGGGCTCAGGCTAAGATTGTTGCAACTCACGTCGCCGCTGCTCTCATCCTTGTCCATGTCGACATCGGCATCTTTCGGTTGTTTTCGCTTCCCCATTTTGAACTGTCGCGGTGTGTGGAGGGTAAGGTGCAGTCAAAAACCAAAAAACTCAACTGAGGATATCGCTAGCCGTCCCAAGTTTATACCATATAGCATGGCACGTGACACCGTATAGTTGATTGGTTAGTCATGGAAACTAGTCATCGGCGGAGTTAGGATTGATGATGTCACTCCTGTGCACCACCTTCAATCGAACTGTTCGACTTACCCCATTAGCGGAAGACCGAAAAATAACACACCTCTCTAAAGGTCAAAATCATCATGAGCGGCAAATCTCATGTTGGAGCTCCGTCGCTTTATGAGGACGGTGTTCAAAAGAATATTTCCCGGGAAGAGATTTCGGCTGCCCGGCGAAATAGAGAGCATCCACCAGCATCTAGCGGGAGAGGCAGTGCGCACAGCAAAGAACAAAAGTCCCGGAAAGGCACCGGGTCACCAACCTATGAAGAGTTAGTGAAGAAGGATCCCTTAGCTCCGGTATGCTGCGGCCTTTGACAGTTTTGAGCCCTTCATTGACAAGCACTAGGCTCTGTTCCATGGGAACAAGCCCTCTCGGGGGGCGCAAATTGATGCTGAGCTTCGAAAGGAAGACTACGAAAGGCTGAGACAAAAGGCGCAGAAATAAACACGTCCTTGTAAAATACTGCAGCTGCAAGTAATAACTGACAGATTGAGAGCTCTTTCTTGATCTTTTGGATAGTGGAGTGACGTGTCTGCTTAACTGTGGCTTGTAGCTGTTTTACACGTATTTTGGCTGGTGACGCGAGTATTTCGTTCAAAAATATTCAAGGGAATCTAAAGTATATCTAAATACATGTATGTGCAAAAGATCGAAACATTAGGTAGGGAGTAAGTAATAAAAGATTTGAGTAAAAGAGTGTATACAATGAAAAAAAGCTTCGCGCTTGCTAAATTATAGACAAAGTGTGGATGGGATGTAAAGATCGGCAGATAATGAGAGTTGTAAGTGTAGACACATATAACAAAGTGATCGCCTTCGCTGTTATATCAATGATCAAGCTCCTTTTATGTTTAGGATGATCGGGTGTTACGTTTGACCATTCTTCTTGCTAAACCCATGGTCTTCAGCCACGATTTCTTCTCTGACTTTTGCATAGTAGTAGTGGTGGGAGTCGGTGGAATAGAGGTGTCTTCATCAATTAAAGACGTTGTAGATGACGCACTCATCTTAGCTTGCTCCACTTTCGCAGCACACATCGAAGCCATTTGGCCCAGCATTGTGGGGTGGTCTATCAGATCTTCGATTCGTACCTTAAAGCCTTCTTGTTCTAGGAGCCACGATACCTGAGCCAGTCCCATGATATCTCCGTTGAGATCAAAGAAAGAGGATTCAAGGTTGAGGCCATTAGTGTTATCATCCCCAAGCACTTGACGCCAGCTGCGGCTAAGGACATCGGAGAGGACAAGAAGGTCGGCTCGGCTAAGTCCTTGAAGTTGCGATGAGACGAAGTAACTATCATTTGGCCCACTTGTTTCATCAAGCGTTTGCGGAGGAAGCTGTGTAATTTCGGTAGGCGACGTAAGAGGCGAACTGGGATTGGCAGTGAAATTCGTAGCAATGTTGCAAAGCATGTTGAGCACTTTCTGGGCGAAAATCGGGGTGATATCGCTGTTTCGAGAGAAGGAAAGACTGAGCTCGCATTGGTCAGAGCCCTTTGGAGTCGACACGACAGAAAAGTCAGCAAAGTCCTCGTCCGCACCCACACCTCCGACTTTATATGTATTGCCGCCTAATTCCATTTCGTTTCCGTAGCTGACATTTTGATGTTGAACAACTGTGGTGTAATTGGTCCAATCAGGCCATTCTGTACAGTGCTTTGTTATTTCCCGGAAACCAAGTGCCTCGTAAGGCATGTTAGAGACTTGTTGGTCTTGAACAAGGCGGAGTAAGTCAAGGGCAGTCCAATTTTCGCAGAATTGTACCCGAACAGGAACAATGTTTAAGCATGGTCCAACTGTGCTTTCCACGCCAGGAATTGTGGCATTACGTCCACTAATGGTATGGCCAAAGACGACGTCTGGATGAGCCGAAAGCTGTGCGAGAACCAACGCCCAAGCTGACTTGACAACAGTTGCAGTAGTAATACTTCCATGGGCGATAGCTGGCAGGAGAATTGTTTGTGTAAGCTGAATTGTTTCACCTGCGGACCGGCGGTAATTTGGACCATGCCTGCGTACAATTTCGGTCATGCGAGAACCTTTCAAAAGAGTCCTCCAGTGTTGATAGTGATCAGAGGTAATGGTACTAGCTGTTGAACGGACATAGTTAGTGAACGAGGGCATACTAGGTAGGGCTTCGTCCTGGTATGCCGATTGAAGGGCCATGAAAATCTTCGGAAGACAAACACCATCGTACTGGGCATGGGAAATCCGGAAAATTAGCCGGTGGTAGTCAGTGTCCTTTTGTTTGACTACGGTGAAATTGAAGAACGGTTCTCCAAGACGGGGGCCTTGATCGCGGTCACGCTGTTGTAACATGGTAGTAAACTCGTTCATATCTGACTCGGTTTCGTAAACGAAAAAGTCAGGTCGCATCTTGCGAAGGACCACCTGTAGGAAGCGGTCACCGTGGGGAAGGAAAACTGTACGCAGTACGTCAATGGCATTGACAAGCCGGAAAACGCTAAGCTTCAGCTGTTTCAAATCCAAGGGTCCAGTTCCATCAAGGAAGAAATAATTCAGCATCCACTTGGAATCTAATAGCGTTCCCGTAATGGCCAGCCCCTGGAAATCTGTTGCAGGTAGAACATCGGCAATACCACCCTTAAACACACCAACCTTTGGGCAGATATTACTTTGAAGGAATGCATCAATATTGGTGGCTTTGACCAATGAGAATCGTTGATATAATTCACTTTTTTCAGCTGATCGCAACACTGGGACTGATCGCCGATATTCGCTTAAATCGTTATCGCCATCAACATCGCCGTCCCCATCATTGTAAGCTGTAAGGAGGCTCGTTACTCTGATCATGGCAGCCATATCCTCGAAGACAGGGTTACGGAAAACATCGGCAACAGTAAGCGCGAGACCTTCTTCGCGGGCGGCTCCAACAAGCCTCATTGCAGTAAGACTGTCGCCCCCTAGCTCGAAGAAGCTGTCTTCTGGGGCAATCGTGTCCTCTTCTGTTTCTAGCATTGAGCTCCACAAAGCCAACAGCTTTTTTTCTATTGCAGCTGAGCGACCTCGTCTCCTGATCTGTCCAGCCATAGAAATGGCATCAGAATCATCCTTGGGATTGTAGCTCAATCCGTCGTATGAGTTGTTCGCAGTAGATGGTAGCTCCAGACGAGGGTTGTTATGGAATGATGAAAACTTATCATTGGTATTTGCGAAAGCAGTCTTGGCCAGTGTTTGATTTTGACTTAGTACCTCGGATATCTTTTGGTCCATGATGCCAGATATGTCGGGGCTGGAACCATTCAAAGTGCCGCTTTGTAGCATTTGTTGGATAACTTCGCGAACACAAGAGTCTACTACCTTTCTTAGGCCATTGGAGCTTCCACTCGGGTTTTGTGGATAATAGGATTCACGTTCCTCATTAATAAAGGTCTCAGGCGCGTTTAGAATCCTTGGGGTCTCTAGGGGCGTGTCTGGGACTTTAATCAATTCGCGACATGATTGAACTAATTGTTGTTCAGGACTTTCCATATGGTCAAAATAGCTTATGTGTTCGGTTGATCTGGTAAGAAAGCTGGTAAGAACTTGGGACATGAAACCTCCCAATTTCTTAGCTTCAGCGTCGGAAATGATGTCACTCCAGTATCTAAACACAACCGCTTCGTCATTCTTAGCCGTCTCAACGTTGACAGTTACTGCGAACTAGATTAAACGGTTAGCAGAAAATACCTGAATGGAGATGTAAAGCAATTTACCTCGCTAGGATCGTGAGCAGAAACAGTATCAAACATCAAACTTTCTTCCACGGCATCGCCGGATCTACTATGATTCTGAATAGATATAGCGGTGTTGTACAGGGCCTTTCCTGTAAGTCCGAGTTCGTGTTGAACCTCGGCGAGAGAGCAGCGCTGATGGGGCAAGCTGGCAAGGTAGTCATTTTGCACTGTACGTAGAACATCCTCTATGGTTAAAGTCCGAGAAAATTGTACCCGGCAGCAGAGCATATTGATAAAGGCGCCAATAGTGTCTTGAATATTCTCAACGGGGGCATCTCGTCCAGCAGAAAGATATCCAAAGCAGACGTCATCGGAGCCAGTATGACGTTTAAGAACGAAGGCCCACGCAGTGTGTATGACATTAGCTAAAGTCACCCTCAGTTTTTCGCACAAAGCATGTAACTCAGAGAACTGATGGAAATTCAACTCAAGAGTGGACAGGTGCCTGTCACGTTTCATATGTAGTGTAGGCAAGTGGCAGGGCTTGATTCCACCAAGGTATTGCTTCCAGAACCTCACATCCGCGTCGGCAGATTGTGTTCTGATGAACTTGATATAATCGCTGTAGAGCGGACCCGGACCATTTGGAAGCCGTCCTTCATAGGCTGCAACCATGTCACGCATCAGGATACCGACCGACCCACCATCGATGACTGCGTGGTTAATCTCAACTTTGATCAGCACTCTGCCACTTTGTGTTTTGCAGATGGCAAGCTGATGTGGAAGCTTCGGCAGCTTCTTGAAGTTGTTATCCTTCAAAGTGATGGCGTCTAGTTTTGTAATAGCTTCAGAGTCGTGACAGTTGACAAACACAATTCCGCTGTCCACTCGTTTCAGGACCAGCTGATCAAATGTACCACCCCTGTATACGCTGTCGACAAACACCGTTCTGAGTGCTGCATGGCGTTGTACGACTTTCAACCATGCGCCGGATAGTTTATCGGGGTCGATTTGATGCTTTGTCGATTTGAATTTGGCTTCAAAAATGCAATTGAAAAGGTACGAATTTGGATCCCGTAGCTGACTCAACAATATACCCTCTTGCATTGGCGAGCATGGATATATATCTTCGACTTGATCACATTGAGAAACGCGTGCCTTGGGATAAGTTGACCTGACGAGCTTCTTTAGACCTTCGTAAGAAAGGGGAAGAAGAGGATAATCGCTAAGCGTGGGTTCGGGAGTACTATGAGCTAAGCGCAAAACGGTTTCTCTGAGTGTGCTTTTGCACTCATCAACCCAGCGTATAATATCTGTGATGCGTTTCATAGTGCGGTCAAACGTGAACGAAAATTGAATCTGATCATCAAGAACGATAGCAGACACTTCAAATAACGCAAATCTTTTGGTATCTGGTCCAACATCACTAGTAGTCAGTATATCCTCTTCCGAGGAGGTGAAGTCGAACTGTTGAAGGAGTGAATCATCCCTCTCAAGTTGCTGCATTCTGCCTAGATAGTTAAAAAGGATTTCCATCGGAATGTCCGCATTAATTTTGCCGGCAGAGGTAAGAAATCTCTGAGCAAAGTACGATCTTCCATTATCAGAAATTTTTCTCCTGATATCTTTGGTTCGACGTAACGTGTCCACCACATCGTCTGCATCTGGTTAGCGACAAAGTATCAAAAGAAAATTATGAACGAAAGCATAGCAAGCTTACCAGATTCGACGGCTATATGGGTAGGACATATTGTAGTAAACCAGCCTACAGTTCGAGAAATGTCCAGGGAGTCTTGCCATGTTTCACGCCCATGGCCCTCGTTAAACAGGGTGGGAATTTCTCTATCAGAAAACACTCGACTGAAGGAGTGAGCAATGATAGCCAGGAACAGATCAATAGGCTCTGTCTGGAACACCTTATGACAATTTTTAAGCGCCATATTGGTGGTTTCTTTATCGACCTGGAAGGTTCGCTGTTCCGCATCTTGATAGGTTGGGCTCCTATTCTCCATCCCCCAATACCGAAGGTTGGATGGAGTAACATCAAATGGAAGAACCCCTGCAGATTTATGTTTCTCGCAGTGATCTGCTTGCATTGCACACCAAGCTTGGAAAGAAAGTGGCTTTTCGACTGATAGTGATCCCGTTTCGAGATAGTCCTGAATGTCCTGAAGAATGATTCGCCACGAAACCATATCAACACATAGATGATGGGCAGCTAGGAATAGGAGCTGGTTGTTGTTTCGAATATTGAAAAGGTCAGCTGCAAAGACAGGGCCATGTTCGACATTCAAAGTTGTTTGAGAATCCGCAACTATTGCCGAAAGATCATTATGGTCGTTTAGGTCATGTACTCGGTATCGATGCGACCGGTTGATATCCTATTTCGGTTAGAAAGGAGCAATATACATGGGCATGGGTTGTCACATACATCTGTAATCATTTGCTGCCAAATGCCAGAGGCGCCCTGACTAAAACGAGCTCGAAGCATAGAGTGTTGGCCAATGATTGCCTCGATTGCCTTTTGCAATTGGCTTGAATGCACTTGTCTGCTTAACCGCAATGAGAAGCTCTGATTGAAGCGTTCACGGCCACTGTGGGAGTTGGATGACGCAAAAAACAACCGTTGAATTGGAGAGAGTCCAAATTGCTCATTGATGATCTCTTCTTTTTGGATGACAGAAACAGTGGCTCCAACACTTTCTACAAGGTTAAGTATTGATTTGCATCGTAGCACATCATGTAGGGAGAGGCTGATTCCTTCCCTTCGACACCGGGACATAACACTCATCGCCGTTATGCTGTCGCCTCCTATATTGCTATAAGTTAGAGTTGTTAATAATGTTAGATTTGGGGCTTTGCTCTTACCTAGGCTCATGAATGACTGGTTTAACTTGACCTTGTTAAGGGGGATATTAAGAACTGTGGACCAAATCTGTTGTAGAACTTTTGCCATTCCGTGGGCTCGGATAGGAGTATCATCTTTGCCCTCAATCCCCATTATTTCCTCGTATAGGCGACCATCCATATTTTCAACCCAGGAGCCCACTTTCTTTCGATCAAGTTTTCCGGAAGCAAGCAATGGAATTGCTTTGACAACGGCCCATATTTGGGGAACCATAAACGGAGGTAGCTGGCTGGAGAGGTTTCCTTGTATTTTGTTTAGTTGGGAACGGATTTCATCCTTGAACCTCTTATCCGTCACAACTTCTAGATCGCCATTCGACAAAGCCGGAGCTTCTGAGAAGAGCGTATCAAGAGAAGCCACAGCAACGAGTCGCTTTTTGCATCGCCCACCTTTTGGCATGAGAACAAGCACATGTCTGATTCGGGAATCAGTATCCAGGCGATGTTCTATCTCTCCAAGTTCCATTCGTTGTCCGTTAATCTTAACTTGATTATCTTTGCGACCAATGAACTCAATAGAACCGTTGGGGTTATACTTCACTAAATCTCCAGTTTTATAAATACGGCGGGCGGACGAAGCACTACAGGGGAACTGCGCTGTCCAATCTGGGGCTTCGATAAAAGCTTCTTGAGTCTTTTGAGGATTTTTGAGATAACCACGTGCAAGAGTTAGCCCTTCAAGTGCTAGTTCACCAGCTGCACCTAATGGAGCAAGCCTATTATGGTCAACCGGGTCAAGAACCCAAATGGTGGTTGCCGGGGTTCCAAAGCCGATACATGTTGGATTTTTCTCAAAAGAGACATTGGAATTTATTGTCGCCACCACTGAGGCTTCAGATGGCCCATAAGCATTGACTAACTGGACTTTGTCGGACCATTTTGAGATGACTTCTGGAGACAAAGCTTCGCCGCCACAAACCAAAACTTCCAAACACGGGACAGAGTTAGGATCAATAATATTGGCAACAGAAGGTGTTAGTAAAGCCCAGGTCACTTTCATTCTTTGGATCACTTTAGCGGTTTTGTTGAGTCTTTCTTCTTCACTGGGAACGCAGACGCAGCCGCCCAAGGTAAGTGGTGTTAGTATTTCCATAACAGAAGCATCGAAGGAGAGCGAGGCGAATTGAAGAACGCGAGACTGAGAGTTCATGAGGGCTGCCGGTCCAAATGCTGCCGAGCTGCTGCTATAGGATCTATGCTCAATTACTACGCCTTTAGCACGGCCGGTACTGCCAGATGTGAATATCACATAGGCTGTATTTTCCGGCTTTGCTCGTCCAAGAAGTTCAGCGCAGCTGCGAGGCCGGGGAAGCTGGCTAAAAAACATTTTGTCGATGATCACAACATCTCTTACTAATTTAGCAAATCTGTCATGGTATTTCGATGAGCAGAGAACAACGTTGGCATTGGTCTCCTCTAGTATTTCTTGGTGTCGTGAACGAGGGTGTCCCGGATCCAATGGGACGAAGGCTCCTCCGGCCATCAGAATAGCCATGATAGTAACGACTGCCCAAGCGGATTTATCAAGACAAACTGGAACAAGGACTTCTGGGCCGATGCCCATGCCAACCAAGTGCAGTGCGAGACGGGATGAATAGTCTTGAAGCTCTTCGTAGGTCAATTCTTCCATTGAATCACAAACTGCAGGTGAATCGGGTTGAGAATCTGCCCGACTGGTGAAAATGTCGTGGATACATTCATTAACCACCAATGGTGTTGGTCGATTCCAGAACGAAACGATTTCTTTGTCCTCAAGGCTGAAAATATCGATCTCCTTGACTGTTGCCTCTGGACTCTCAAGTTTGTTGATAAGTTGCTTCATGATGGAACCAAATTGGCCCAACACTCGTTCCATTTGCCAGCTACTCATGGCGTTCTCTTTGAAGTAAGCAATTGTCTTCACATATGTACCATCAACGCTGCATTCTAGTACAAGTGGATAGGTAAAGAAGTCTTGATCATCGTCATTGTTATGGAAATTCCAGAAACTTTCTTTGATTTGCTCCTGGGCTGTCTGGACAACCAACAGGTTCTGGAAATCGCATGCTGCCGCAGCATCACCATCAAGTCGTTTTATGCGTTGTAAGCCAAAGTGTTGATGAGAAACACTATCTGTGCTATCCTGTTGCACCTGCCCTAAGTACGATGAGAGGGTAGCAGTCCTATTGATTTGGATTCTGGTTGGAACCGTTGTGAGGGTTGGGCCAACGATATCAGCAATTCCAGGGACATCAATATTCCGGCCAGTGAGGGTTTCACCAAAACACACATCATCTGTTGCCGTGTGTCCGGCAACGAGCAAGGCCCACGCCGCTCTGATAATAGTTGGAACAGTAATATCACCGGATTTGCGTGTAGGTAATTTTGTACAGCTTGAAATAGTCCGAGTTGTTGAATGTTGCTCATTATATGAATATGAGACATTTGGGAAGTTGACAGAGGATATTCCAGATAACTTGGATCTCCAAAAGTTTTCAGACGCAACAATATCTGCCTGGGTCAAATATTGAATGAATTTCACATAGGCTGTTTGCGCCTGAAGAGACTCTTGCCCAAAGTAAGCGTTTTCAACCCTTTTAAGCATCAGCGGCAAGCTCCAGCCGTCATAGATAGCATGGCTGATAGTGAGAACAAAGTATCGAGTAGCAGACGGCAAATCATCCACGATCGAAAAGGTAGCCAATCGTCCGCCATTATGGGAGGGTAGTTGAATAGCTTCGTTAGAAATGGATGTCAAACTCGAGTAAGAATTCCAGCAAATAGTTTCATGTTTGAGAACAACTTGAATAAAATCAGAGGACGCAGAGTGAACGATACGAGTCCTCAACATATCCAAGTCCTGCACAACTGCTTGCCAGGCAGCCTTAAACTTGATCACATCAACGGTAGCACCAAGCCGAAACACATTTTTTGCGACATAGGCACCAGGTTGTTTAACAGCAAGTGTGATAAACCCTTCCTGTAACGAACTTGCTGGGTAGATGTCATTAATATCACTCTCATCCACACGGCAAAGTTCAGCAGCCTCCTGTTTGAGTTTGTCGACAGACTCGGTTTCTTGTATGAGCTCAAACGGCTTCACGTCGGCCTGTAAATCTCCCTTGGCAGTGCCGCAGGTGCGGGCCATATCTGCCAATATAGGGCATTTGAAAATATTCACGAACGTTAGAGAAATACCCTGCGAGCGGGCTCCCCCGGCAAGTTGCATGGCGGCCAAAGAATCGCCACCAAGTCTGAAAAAGCTGTCTCCAGTGGAAACAGAGCCCGAGGGAAGGTCGAGAACTTTCTCCCACATGCTCTGTAAGATTTTTTCTGTTCCTGAGGCTGCAGCACGATTACCCATTGATATTCTCAATCTGAAGGAGCGAACAGAATCTTTCGACAAGTCTTGGACGCTATTTCGAAGGCGATTTCGATCAAGCTTCCCAGAGGATGTCCAAGGAAGTTTCGACACTGGAACGAAAAGATGAGGAATCATATAAGTCGGAATAGAAGACCCCAGACTTGTTTCTAGAGCGTTCGCCATAGATCTCATATCATCATTCATTGGAACCAGTAATTCATCAGAAGCTGTGCCATCGGCTTTTACCAACGCCCCGAGGTTGCTGGCTGTGGTAGAAACAGAAAAGAACACGGCGAGAGTCTTTTTAGCTCGATCGGAGGGCACAACTAATTCCACCGCGGCTTGAGTTTGATCCGGAAGACTTGCTTTACAGTGATATTCGATTTCACCCAGCTCGATTCGCTGACCATTGAGCTTAAGTTGGGTATCTTTACGGGATATAAAGTTGATGGTTCCATCAGGATTGTATCGAACAAGGTCGCCAGTGCGATACATACGCCAGCTCCGAGAGAACAGACCACGGAAGCGACTGTCTTCAGTAAATTCGGGGTTTTCTATGAAAGCTTCCGCGGTTTTTTGAGGGTTGTTCAAATATCCTCTAGACACCATGCGACCCTCCAAGATAAGTTCTCCGATAGCGCCCACTGGAACTAGACGGTTATAGTTATTGGCATCCACTATCCAGGTTCTGCACCCAAGAGCATACCCGATGTTGGATCGATTCTCATCTTGTGTGACTCCATCTCTATCAACCTTGAGGCTGGCAGAAGAGACAACGGAGTTTTCTGTGGGGCCGTAAACGTTAAGTATGGCTGGGCCACCTCTCCATTCTTCCATGATTTTCTCTGACATTGCTTCTCCCCCGATGGCAATGACTTTCATGGTTGGGATTTGTTCTGGTTTCATTGTGCTCAGAACAGATGGAGTCACGACCATCCAGCTAGCTTTGTACTGCGTGATAGCTTTTGGAAGGTCGTCCGAGCGCTCTTCGTCACTTGGAATACAAACACAACCCCCCATAATCAAACAAGTGAGGATCTCCACGATTGAAGCGTCGAAGGTGTAAGAGGCAAATTGAAAAACTCTAGAAGAGCTGTCCATCAATAAGCCCTCACCATGAGCCAGAGCACTGGTACAGATTGCTCCGTGCTCGATAATGGTCCCTTTTGGACGCCCGGTAGTCCCAGAAGTAAATATAACATAAGCTGCATCCGACGGTCGGGCGCTCGAAGTAGCAGGGGTTTGATCATCCTGAATATTTCGAATAGTTGTCGGGTCGAGAACAAATGTTCTGTTTGACACCTTTGACGCCTTTTGGCTGTACTTCGGAGAACATATAACAACGTCTGCTCCAACATCATCGATCAGCATGCGCAATCTGCTTTCTGGATGGGCAGGGTCAACGTGTACGAATGCCCCGCCAGCTTTAAGAACTGCTAGCTGAGCCACAACTGTCCAAGCTGACTTTTCAAAGCAAAGGGGTACATAGACGTCTGGGCCAACCCCAATAGTAGTCAAATGCGCCGCTAAACGGGATGTAAGGGTATTCAGTTCAAGATACGTGAAACTTGCATCCCATGCATTCACCGCCATGGTGTTTCTAGGTCTAAGCAGCGCTTGTTGTTCGATAAGGCTGTGTACGCACTTATTAACCACCTTCGGAGACTGATTATTCCAAGAACGAATTTGAGTGCTGCTGTGTTCACCAAAAAGATCAAGTTCTCCCACCATCTGATTACAGCCACCGTCTTGAATGATTGTTCTTAGGATGTGCTCGAAGGTTTTGGATATATAGACCGCATGCTCATCAGAAACTGTGTCCGACCAATATCCAAGTCCGATGACCAGGGAGGAGTCAAGAAGGCTGACATTGATAGAAATATTAAACTCATTAGGGTCTGTTGAAGTAAGATGATCAAAGGAGATAACGGGATCGGTAGAGAGGGAGGTCGAGCTTTTCTGAAAGGTAAAGACCGTGTTAAACAAGGACGTGTCAGACAAACCGAGATCATGTTGCACTTCGGTAAGTGAGCAGCTCTGATGATCCATGCTATTGACAAAATCTGTTTGTATTTTTTGTAAAACGTTGTCCAGCAAAGTGGTCGGGGAAAGTACGAGGCGACAGATTATCATATTGATAAAAGCCCCAACAGCATCTTCAACACCAGAAACAGGGACATTTCGTCCAGAAGATACCACTCCGAAGCAGACTTCATCTGTTCCAATATAGGCACGTAGCACTAGGCCCCAAACAACTTGGAGTACATTTGCAGGAGTCAAACCATGTTTTCTGCAAAAGCTTCGAAGCTGGGAACCTTGGTCAATAGTGAAGACGTGTTCACCGGCCGATCTGCTAGAGTGGCGAGGAAATTTCGCAAGGGAAGGTAAAAGGCATGGCTCGATACCAGAAAGATAGTTCCTCCAGTATTGGAGGCCGTTTACTTTCGGCGTTGACTGAAGATATTTGATAAAATCGCTATACGCTGGTCCGTGTGGAAGAGCGGTTTCGGTTTCGTAAGCCGTGGTAAGATCTCCAAGTAGAAGTCCCATGGATGTGCCATCTGATATTGCATGGCTTATCTCAATCCTGCAAAAGACCCGGCGGTCAAAACTCTTGCAAATAGTGAATCTGTGGGGCAATCTGTTTGTGCTGCAGTCGAAAGCGTCAGTATCAGCGAATACATCTTCTGCAGACTTTGATTCCACAAAAAGCGTTATTCCTTTGGCATTTTTCAAAACAACTTGATCCAGAAGGCCTTTGGTATCGATACTCTCAATAAAGACGGTTCGTAAAGAAGAGTGCCGGGACACTACGGCCTGCCATGCTTTTTCTAACCGATGAGGATCCACGAGGTGGCCTTTGCGATTAGATTTCACTTCAAAAGCAAAGTGGAACGCGTATTTCCTTGGGTCCTTAAGCTGACTGATCAAAATGCCTTGCTGAACTGGGGAAGGTGGATATATATCTTCGATTTCATCCATGGACGAGATCCCGATTTCCGGGAGTTGGACTTCTAGTTTAGTCATGCCACCATATGTAATAGGGAGTAAGGGGAAATCTTTTATAGATTGGCGGCTCAGCTTCTCCAAGGCTAGTGGCGCTTCGATCAAGAGGTCATGACAGCCAGAGATCCACTTTAGAATAGAGGCTCTTCGCTTCATTTTCGTATTAAAGTCAAAAGAAACCAACATTCTACCGTTTTTAATAACGGCAGATATGTCGATCAGGGAGAACCGTGGAACCTTCGATCCAATGTCGGAAAGGGTGTTAACAGATTGTCCTCCTGCGCCTCCAATGGGTTGAAGGATGTCATTACTTTCTTCGTTGTGTTTCATCTGGCCGAGATAATTAAAGCACAACTCCATAGGCCAGTGATTTCCAAATCTACCTCGCCCATTTTCCGTAAGGAATCGGTAGGCAAAGTATGGCCTTCCTTTTCCAGGCATGCGGCGCCGGAAATCCGCCACCCAGCGAATAAGGTCGCAAAAGCCATTCGCGCCGCTCACATCAGCGTCCGTTGGAAGATAGACAGGACTCATTGTGGTGAACCACCCGACAGTAGATGAAATGTCCGTGCTGGCATCCCATGGTTCCCGTCCATGTCCTTCATTGTAAACTGCGGGAGTTGTTTCTCTGTCCGAGAATACCTGGCGAAATGAAAGAAGCATGGCAGCAAGAATTACGTCGACGGGCTCAAAGCTACTGCTTTTGCGACATGGTGTCAATAAATCACTTGTAGACCTTAAGCTTAGCTCAAACTTTTCTGTGAGAACGTCCCCGTTCAGGTTTGGAGTATCAGCCATGCCCCAATACTCAAAATCAGCCTGGGGAACATCCCACAAGGGGAGCACTGTTTCCAAATATTGTGTTTGAGCATCTTCATCCTGTAGTTCACACCATTGCTGAAAAGAAGTAGAATCACGAGATGTAAGTTGAGACCCTACAAGGGCGTCCTCAAGGTCTTGGAGGATAGTGTTCCAGGATACAACGTCAACGATTAGATGGTGGGCGATGAAAGAAATTTGGCTGTCTGCATCAGAAAAGTGGAAAATATCCACTGCGAAGAGAGGGCCATTCTCAATATCAAGGCATTTTTGACTAGATTCTATCAAGGACTGGATTTGACTGGGAACAGTATGGTGGACACGGAGGCGATAAGATTCTGACACTTCACTGCTTATTCTTTGTTGCCATTTGCCGGAATGAGCTTTAAAAAATCGGGCGCGTAGCATTGGATGAGCTGTAATCAATGTGTCAAGAGCTTTCGCAACGTCTTCTGGTAGGCGTTGGGAGGCCAATCGCATCAGCAGACTCTGGTTGAATTGTTGCCAGTTTTCGCCAACACATTCCATATAGAGCTGTTGGATAGGGGATAGATTAAATGGGTTCCCACTTTTAAGATTAGTGACAGCATTTTTGTCAACAATTCTAGCTGGCATTGCGGTGCCGGAAACTTTAGTTTTCGTGGAGAGCTCAGCAATGGACTTCACTTGCATAATGTCTTGAACAGCCACGTCAATACCCTGAGAGCGGCACCTTGCCATAACTTGCATGGCGGATATGCTATCACCACCCTAGAAATGAGTTAGAATAATTGACGTCAATCTCGCCGGGGAAAACTATCGTACCAAGTGCAAAAACGATGACTCCATGTCAACTTCCTCAAGTGGTAATTTAAGGACATGACTCCAGACTTTTTGGAGCTCCTGGCCAATATTCACAGTTTGAATGGGTTCAGCTACCCTTTCCTTTTCTGTCGTCTCAACTTTATCCGTAATTCTGATCTTTGGACCAAACTTCGAGGGTTTTACTTTGCTTGCCAACTCTTTGATCGATTTAGCTTGCATGATGTCCTGTACTAACACAGAAAGACCATTAGACCGACATTTTGCCATGACCTGCATGGCAGATATGCTATCACCGCCCTGGAAAAAAGAGTTAGCTTAAAATTGCACTTTACTGATCCAAATATGAACGTACGAGATGCAAAAATGAGGAGTTTTCTGCTTCAACTTCCTCGGAGGATAACTTAAGCACGTAACTGTAAACTTTTTGTAGCTCCGCTGCAACATCAATTGTAGAAATGCCTTTAGCCTCCTTTTCTTGGACGACCAAAGGGGATGGTTCGTCCCTCTCTTCTAGTCCCTCGATGAACCTGATTATCTGGCGCCGATCGAGCTTTCCAGACGGCATAATGGGCACTTCCTTGAAACAAACCCATCTAGTCGGAACCATGAACGGTGGAAGTCGACGGCGTAAGCGTTCTCGAATAAGAGACAGATCTGATAGTGCGGCCTTGGAAGTTTCGATTGCCAATCTCTCAGAAGAGTCTGGTTTAACAATATTTGTCGAAAAGACAGCTGCAACCAGTTTCTTCGCATGGAGGCCCTTCGAAGGAACCGTCACCAAGCAGTTTGAAACGGCCTGGTCAGCTCGGAGATGGTGTTCTACTTCATCCACCTCAAGTCTCTGTCCTCGTACTTTAGTTTGGGTATCCTTTCTGCCAATATAAATGATGTCCATCAATCCGTCACCACTATACCTCACAAGATCACCCGTTTTATACATCTTTCTTGTGTTGGATGGAGTTTCTTGGGTCCATTTTGGGTTCATGATGAAGGCCGCTTCGGTTTTTTCCGGATTGTTTAAGTAGCATCGGCCAACAGTAGGGCCTTCCACAAGAAGCTCCCCGACTGCCCCAATTGGAACAAGCCTATTATGATTCCGCGCATCGACGATCCAACACCGGTCTAACTGTTGTCCGATATTAACAGGACTCGTTTTAGTGGTAATTTTATTATTCACAACAGCAAGTGCCGAAGCCTCAGTAGGGCCATAACCGTTCACAAGTTGGACTTTATTTGCCCATGTGAGAATATGAGATTCAGATAGAGCCTCACCAACAAGGGAGACAGTTTTGAGGTTAGGAACATCTTCCGGCGTTAAAAGGTGAATGAAAGATGGTGTAAATTCTGCCCAGTCGACATTCATCTTATTAATGAATCCTTGTATGTCATTCAATCGATCGAAATCGTTCGGAATGCATACGCAAGCCCCAAAAATAAGGGCGGAGAGTGTTTCCAAAAGACTGGCATCAAAAGTAAAAGAAGCAAATTGGAGCACTCGTCTTTTAGGCTTAAAGAAAAGAACAGGGCCATGAGCCATGGCGCTAGAACAGAAGTTACGATGTTCAACTACAAAGATTGTAAGCGAGTAGCTAGGGATATATAACTTTAGATGGCAACTTACTTATAATACCCTTAGGCTTTCCTGTTGTCCCAGAGGTAAAGATAACATAGGCTGGATTGCTTGGAGGAATCGACGGAAGAGGTGCTCCTCTTGATTGAAGTGATTGGAGATATTTCATATCGACTGCAAGCGTCTTAGGAGCCAAGTTCCTACTAAGGTCTTTATACTTGGGGCTACACAGCACTAAAGTAGCCCCAAGATCGCATGTAATTTCCTGGAGTCGAGAAACAGGGTGCGCTGGATCCAGAGGAGTAAATGCACCACCCGCTTTTAGCACACCGAGCATAGCAATGACCATAAATGCCGATTTCTCGAAGACAAGCGGAACAAAGACTTCTGGGCTTGAACACACCCCTAGGTTGATTAAATCGTGGGCCAGGTTTGTCGACATCTCGTCCAGCTCTTTGAATGTGAAAGTGCCATCCCAAGTATCAAGAGAAAGAGAATCAGGATTAGAACGAACCTGATCATAAACCATATCATGAATACACCGGTTATAGACAGTCGCTCCATTTGCATTCAACTTTTCAATAGCGCCTAGGTCATCGCATTCCATGAGATTCAAGTCACCCAGTACAGTCTGGGCATGATCACTTGAAGCCAGTCGTCTCAAGAATGTGTCTAAATGAGTCAAAAGTTTCTCAACTTGCCATTTGGGGATGATATCAGGGTCATAATGGGCATCGATGCGTATATCCAATTTAGCAATTGTACAGGAAATATTCAAAGGATAGGAAAAGAAATTGCTCCCAGTGGTCCCAGAACTGGTCATATTCCAAAACCCGTTGGCAGATTCGTCAGCATCCTGAGTAATTGTAAGAAGATTTTGAAAGTCGCAAGCCATAGCAGCATCGGACCCAAGTCGCTTGATATTTTGCAGGCCAGTAAATTGATGTGGCATTGCTTTCACGAACTGATCCTGAACATCCTTTAAGAAACCGTTCACAGTAAGATCGCGATTTATATGAATCCTAGAGGGAATAGAAGTGAAGGTTGGGCCAATCATATCCTCAATTCCAGGTACTGGGGCATCTCTACCCGTAAGCATCTCCCCAAAAATAACATCATCAGAGTAGGAATAGAGGGAGGTAATAAGTGCCCAGGCCGCCCGGATAATGGAGGCAACTGTAGTTTCCCTAGATGAAACTGGTTCGATACTAGAGACTCGAGAAGCCTTATTTCGTGCATTCACCTGGTATTGGGGGCTCGGAAGCCGTGGCCAAGCAGTGCATTTTGGGTCATCCAAGTGGGATCTCCAAAAATCATCGGATGATTTTGGATCGATGGAGCTTAGGTATTGAATAAAGGCTGAAAATGGTGTGTTCACTGTTGTAAGACTATTGAGATTACGGTAGCAAGCAGCGACTCTATCTAGTAGAGTCGGAATGCTCCATCCATCATACAACGCGTGGTGAACAGTCCAAACGAATTGTGGTGAACGAGAATTCTCTCCAATAATTGTATAACGAGATAGTGCTCCTCCATCGCAGGCAGGCAAGTTACGATGTTCATCCGCAAGATCCCCCATGGAATTGAAAGAATGCCACGGGAGGTGCTCACGGATGACTACTTGCAGAAAGCCAAGTTCCTCGGTGAAAACAATGCGGGTACGAAGGACGGCATCAGCATCCGCGACAGCTTGCCAAGCATTCTTGAACCTTTTGAAATCTATGTCAGATGGTAGCTTGAAGATGTTCTGTGCCACATATGCTCCAGGCTGTTTGCTTGATAAAGCAACCAACCCTCCCTGGATTGAAGTACAAGGGTAAATATCTTGCACAGAGTCGATTTCGATATCGCAAATATCAGCTACTTCCTGTAGCAAGGTTTTGACCAATGTATCTCTAGGAAGCAGAGAAAATGGCTCGATTGCCCGCTGGCCTATGGCTCCATTCAGGTTCCCAGGTTGCTTGGGAGAGCCGTGACAGCTGGCAGCCATTTGCGAAAGTGTTGGCTTTTGAAAGATGGTTGCTACCGACAGACTGAGACCTTTTAAGCGAGCAGCACTGACAAGCTTCATTGCCCCAATGGAATCACCGCCATGCTGGAAGAAACTGTCATCTACCCCAATAACATCGGTTGATTTAGACAAAATCGAAGCCCACAGATGTTGGAGTGTCTTCTCTGTGTCAGTTGTGGGAGGTTTGGTGCTGCTGCTGCTGCCTGCAAGTCTATATGTAGATGCTTGCTCATCAGACATTGTTTGTCCAACACGAGATAATGCACGTCGATCGAGTTTCCCGGATGCTGTTAGAGGCATTTTTGATACCGGAATAAACATACTGGGAACCATATAGGTAGGAATGGCTGCAGATAGGGCCGACTCAAGGGCACTGGCAGTATCATGAACAGTGTCAGTCATAGGAAGAAGAATACCATCGGAGTCAGTAACCGTTGCAGCTGTGGTACACAAGAAAACAGCGAGAGCTTTAGCACCATCCCTAACAACTAATTGTACTGCGGACTGGGCAGATTCTGGTAGGTTGACTTTAACATGGTGTTCAATTTCTCCAAGCTCAATACGCTGTCCGTTGAGCTTGACCTGGTTGTCTTTTCTGCCGATGTAAATAATAGACCCATCGCTGTCATAGCGCACCAGGTCACCAGTCTTATACATTCGCCTACTATGATCAGTCCGTAGGATTGGGTCTTTCTCAGTCCACAGAGGGCTTGTAATAAATGCTTTGGCGGTTTTTGCCGGATCATTGAGGTATCCCCGCGAAACAATAGGTCCTTCAACCAGTAACTCGCCGACAGCCCCAACAGGAACGAGCCTATTGTGGTCTATAGGGTCAACAACCCAAGACACGCTTCCAACACTCTTTCCAATGCTGGATACGTCCGCAGCAGCAGAGTCTGGGTTGTGAGTACAGTTAATTGAACACTCTGAAGGGCCGTATTGGTTGTGGATTGGAATCGAGCCCCATATTTCTTTGACTCGTTTTGTCATCGCCTCACCACCAACGGCCAATGATTTAATGCAGGGGACATCGGCAGGGCGAAGAAGTAAAGCCACTGTGGGCGTGAGGTCCATAAAATTGGCATTCAGTCTATTGATGGCTCCAGCAAGGTTGTTGAATCGATCTTCTTCGGAGGGAACGCAAACACAACCACCTCGCATGAGGGTAGTGAACATTTCCTCCAAGCTATTGTCAAATGTATAAGCAGAAAACTGCAGGATTCTGGTGTCAGGACCGATTCCCAGGGCAGAGCCATGGGCTTCAGCGCTTGTCACTATCGAACGATGCTCTAAAACAACGCCCTTTGGCTTTCCAGTACTTCCTGAAGTAAAGATAACAAAGCAAGGATTCGTGTAGGACGCCCGTGTGCCATAAAATTCATCATACCCCGAAATCTGCTCCAAAAGTTCTGCGTCAACTGCAACGACATATGGGGTGATGTCTTCAAACATAGCGGCTCTTTGAGGAGATGCCATGACAAGCTCGGCACCGCAGTCCATAACTTTGTACTCAAGAGCATCCTTTGGGTGTGTGGCATCTAGAGGTACACAGGCGCCACCTGCTTTCAACACGGCAAGCATGGAAACGATGGTCCAGGCGGATTTGTCGAAACAAATAGGTACAAAGGTCTCGGGAGCGACCCCCAATGCTGCAAGGTAGTTTGCTAGGACTGTGGAAGCTTCGTCCAGTTCGCGGTAAGTAAATTCGCCATCCCAAGCACAGATGGCGGGAGCATCCGGGCGAGTTTCTGTCATTTCAGCCACAACTTCATGGACACATTTTTTGATAGTGTCTGGGATTGATTTATTCCAGGACCAAATCGCTTCATAATCTTGTATGCTCACATTATCAAGCTGCCCGACTGCCTGTTCAGAATTATAAGCTATGTTCTCCAGGCAACGAACAAATGTGTTAGCAATACTAGCGGCCTGTCGGTCACAAATGGAATCGGTCCAGTAGTCAAGGTCAATAGCAACCTCAACGTCAGAAACCTCTATGTTCAAGGAAACTGGATATTCCGTTGGATCATGAATTGGACAGTGGCTAACAAAGTCGATAATTTGTTCCGATTCTGTTGCTGGTGGGAGCCGTCGATAAGAAACACATGTATTGAAAAGAGCTGTATCCGAGAGCTTCAAGGCGTGCTGAACTTCGGCAAGGGATGCGTGTTTATGCGGAAGGCTATCCATATAATCTTTTTGAACATCCTCCAGGATTTTTCGGAGAGGGGCTTCAGCTGGCATATTAACACGGCAGGCAAGCATGTTGATGAAGGGGCCGACAGCATCCTCAATCCCAGGAATGGGGGCATCACGACCGGAGGACATATACCCAAAACACATTTCATCAGAGCCAATATATACCCGCAAGGTCAGTGCCCAAGCAGTATTTATCGCATTCGAGAGGGTGAGTCCATTTGTATCGCAGAAACTCTGGAGATCTTTCAGCTTCTTATATTCAAGTCGCAATGTCTGAAGGGTCTTATCAGAGCTGCGGCCATCATTTAAAGTTGGGAAGTGACATGGCTCAACACCACTGAGATAAGCACTCCAGAAATCGATGCCTTTCGACGCAGGTTGCTCTTGAAGATACCCAATAAATTTGCCGAAACCCGTTGCTGGCTGTTCAGCGAGTTTTCCAGCGTAGGCCACGGCGAGATCGCGGAATATGATTGATATAGAGGCACCGTCCATAATACTGTGACTCATTTCAATGCGACAAAATACTTTTTGGCGTGACGTCTGGCAAATACTGAACCTATGGGGCGGCTTTCTGGTTTCATAATTGGTGGGCTCTTGCTTTTCAAAAGTTGGGACCACATCTTCATCATCATGGCACCGTAAGCGAAGCAATTCAGCGTCTATTTTCTTCAAACAAACTTGGTTGTAGAGTCCATCAGCTGTTAAGTCTTCCAAGAATACAGTCCGAAGTGCTGGATGACGTGCCACCACCTGTAGCCAAGCCGAAGCAAGACGATCCATATCGACTTTATCAGAACCCCGAGGCTGAACTTCAAAGGTTCCTTGAACAGCATAGACCGCACCATCTTTTGTACTGCTGATAAGCAATCCTTGTTGGATCGGCGAGCATGGGTAAGCATCTTCCATATCATTGATGCTAGACACACCGATTTGTGGCAATTTCTCTGTCTCCAGGGCGGAAAGATCTTTATATGTGAGCGACAGTAATGGAAAGTCGCTAAGTGTGACACGAGGTGTCATAGATACGAGTTCGTCAGCCACCCGACGGAGATTATGCTGACATTGCGAAACCCATTGCCGTATGGCAGGTTGATATTTCATGTTTCGGTTGAAAGTGAATGCAAAGCGTAGTTTTCCGCTGGCGACTACGGCAGAAATCTCAAAGAGCCCGAACCGTGGTGTTATCTTATCATAATCAGCGGAGCCCCCGGCCTCTCTAGCTTCACCTGCCATTTCATCGACAGGTTGCAAAAGGGCATCGTTACGCTCCAATTGTTGATATTGGCCGAGATAGTTGAATGACACTTCCATTGGAGCATGGTGGCTGAATTTGGACCTTCCGTCGGCGGTATGAAATCGACCAGCAAAATATGGCCGCCCATTTCCGGGAACACGACGACGAATATCTTTGACAGCCATAACAGTGTCAGTAATCTTATCGGAAGATACAGCTGGGACAAAAACGGGATACACAGTTGTGAACCAGCCAACTGTGCGAGAAATATCGATCGAGTCATCCCAAGTCTCACGACCATGACCTTCATTGTAAATGGCAGGCACGACACGATCTGGGAAAGTTTCAGAGAATGAATGGATAAGGGTAGCTACGAGAATATCAACCGGCTCAGTACGTAGAGAATCGTGGCATTCCGTCAAAAGAAGAGATGTCAGTGTGGTATCAATCTCAAAGCCTTCACACGCGGCGGCACCATAAGTGTTAAGGTGCGGGTCAACGTCCCAATATGCAAAGTCACCACTTGGAATATCCGCCGCGGCGATAACCTTGGATAAATCAATGTCCTGACAATGGTCTATTTGAAGTTTTGACCAAGTCTGGAATGGAATAGACTTTGCTGCCAAGGAAGGATTCTGGGGGTTCAGGAGTAGTTCTTCCAGGTCCTCAAGTATGACTCGCCATGAAACTAGATCGATGACCAAATGGTGGCCTATCATAGAAAGAAGCTGTTCCCCTCCATCCACGTCAAAAAGATCAGCCGTGAAGAGCGGCCCGCTGCGTGAGTCCATTGAATTCTGACTATCAGCGATGGCGGCATCCGCTCCAGCCCGAGATCGGATTTTGTGTGTACGAAGTCGATATGATGAAGCTATGTCTGATACAATACGCTGCTTCCACTGTCCAGTCACATCATCCTTACTAAAACGGGCACGAAGCATCGAATGGCGTTCGACAATAGCTCCAACGGCTTGACGGAGACTGGCCTCCGATGTAGGCTGGGAGAGCTTTAAGAAGAAACTCTGGTTAAAATACCCTTGACCTTCGGTTCGTACTTGAAAGTGGTATTGTTGGATAGGCGTGAGGTCAAAAAGATAATCGACCTCTTCCTTGTAGTCAATTGCCTGGGCAATTGCTTTTGCACAGGCGGCAAGCTCTCTGATAGATTTGCTTCTGAGAACTTCTTGGACGGTGAATCCAAGGCCGACCTTCTTGCATTGACCCATGCAGGTCATGGCAGTAATGGAATCGCCACCCAAGCTTAAGAAGCTTTGGTTTAGCCCAACTCGATTAAGAGGGAAATTAAGCACGCGACTCCATATATTTCTAATCTGATCTTCGACCTTGTTGGCAGCCTCTCCATGGTCATCAGTTGTGGTCTCGACGGGTGCTATTTGAAGAAACAGTTCATCTTCAACACTGTCTACCCATTTCGACACAGCCTTGCGATCCAACTTCCGGGATGACAGCATCGGGAGCGACTGGACACATATTGAAATGCTAGGGACCATATACGACGGCAGACGCGTGTTCAGACGCTGTCTGATTGCTTCGATTTGCGGATCTCGTATAGCCCTGTCTACCAGTCGCAAGGTGTCTGGATTTGGCGAGCCATCGACAGCACAATTATCAGTCAGGGTGAATATGGAGACAATGTGGCCTTTGCAGCAGCCAGTTTTGGGAAACAACACCAAACCATGCTTGACACTCGGGTCGGCGACGACATGATGCTCGATTTCGCCAAGCTCAACCCGTTGGCCATGAAATTTGATTTGGGTGTCTTTGCGTCCGACATAGTTGAATGAGCCCTGGGGGGAATTATAGCGAACTAAGTCACCCGTCTTGTAGAACCGCCGGCGGGTGCCGTCTGGCAAGGGCTGGGCCCAGCGTGGGCCATAAATAAACGCGTCGTTCGTCTTCTCAGGGTTTGCAAGATACTCCCGCGCAAGACTCGGGCCCTCCAAAAGCAACTCTCCCGTACATCCAGGCGCGACAAGGCGGTCGTGGTCATCTGGATTCACAACCCAGCAATGCAGCCCAACGGGGAAGCCAATGTCCTTGGGGTCCGAGCTAGGCGTCACGTGCGCATTGGTGGTGGCGCACACAGACGCTTCGGTTGGGCCATAGCCGTTGATGAGCGTGATCCGCGACGACCACACATCAACGTGCGACTGCGACATCGCCTCGCCCGCCAGGATCAGCGTGGCTAGGCTGGGGACCTGGGCGGGTGCGATGAAGGTGACGAAAGACGGCGTGAGCGTCGCGTGGTTGACACCCATCGCATTGATCGCGCCGACAATGTCGTTCATCCGTGCCTCCTCGCTGGGGATGCACACCGTCCCCCCGACGAGTAGCGGAGTGACCATTTCCACTAGGGAAGCATCGAATGTGTGGGCAGCAAATTGAAGGCAGCGGGAGTCTGCCGTTATCCTTAGTATCGGCGCATGCGCTGTTGCGCCGGAAACATACGCCGTATGCTCGATAACAGTTCCCTTATTACCTTGTTAGCTATACCAACGGCGTGCCCGAAAATAATCAGCAGGGCACACGGCTTACCTTTGGCTCGCCGGTCGAGCCGGATGTAAAAATTAGGTAACCAGCGTTCTCTGGCTCGCAGCGTGGGACATATTCCTGGCGCTTTCCTACCAGGGGAAGACTCTCGATAAGAGTCTCGTCAATGGGAATGACAGCTTCAAGAACTTGCGACAGGTGATCCAGGTGTTCGGCAGATGACAGGAGTAAGGATGCTTCGAGTTTATTAATTAAAGACTGCAGGCGTGGGATTGGGTGCGAAGGGTCAAGCGGAACAAACGCCCCCCCTGCTTTCATCACTGCGAATGCAGCAACAGGATACCATTTCTGCTTTTTGTTTAGATCAGGCTACCACGAGTGGACTGTGGTTGAACCTACCGATTTCTCAAAACAGCAAGGAACTCGAACCTCCGGGCCCACACCCATGGAAACTAAGTGATTCGCCAGGCGAGACGTCACTTCGTCAAACTCTCTATAGCTGAAGCTGCCATCCCACGCACAGATAGCCTCTGCGTCTGGTCGACGGCTCGCTTGGTCCTGGAAAACTTGGTGTATACATTTGTTGACTTTCTCCAAAGGTTTGCTGTTCCACTTCGAGATTCGCTTCATATGATGGCCTGTGAATGCATCTAACTGGCAGATATTCTCTTGAGGGGAATTTAGTGTGGTGGTTAGGATTTTGTCAAAGGTGCTTGCAACATCCAATGCTTGATCCATATTCATTTCAGAATTCCACCATTCCAGAAACATGCTGACGGTGCCGTTAATTTGCTTAACAAGGATTCTGACGGCACACTGTGAAGATTAGAATCGAACCCAACGACGCATGGTGATGGGACTATCGTACATCCTCGGGAAGCATCACATTGAATGGACCGGCCGCAGCCGGAGATGAAATGGTTTTTCCTACATTAGCCAGCGTTCGCAACACCAGAACGGTATTGAATGGCCGTTGCTGGCCCATTTTTACGGCATTAAAGCTTCCAGAAGATACGTAACTATGGTGGGGGAGACTTTGGGTATACTCACCTTTCGCCGCCTCAACAAGCTCATCTAAAGTCATTTCATCCGAAAATTTCAAGCGCGCAACCGCCATGCTGCTAGAGTTCGCCTGCCCGGAACCTGTTTCCTGGTACCCGAAACAGACGTCCTCCGAGTCGGTATAACACCTAAGCACCAGCGCCCAGACGGCGCGCAAAATTGCGGGCAACGCTATCGCTCCAGAACTGCATATCTCCTGCAGCTTTATCGAGTCTTGCAGGCTCATTCGAACGGTCATGGGACGTTTAGTGCGCTGGACGCCTTTGGCTCCAAGCCTGGGGAATTGACACGGAGACAATTCTTCCAAGTGATGGCGCCAATATTCGGCAGACTCATGCTGATTCCCAGAACCTGTCATGTCTTCTAGTAGATGCGGGGTTTTTTATTCTCCCGTTACTAACTTAGCAGAAGCTCTCACTACCAAAGCTGCCCGGTACTCACATCTGTTTATTTCGGAGGGCTGAATTATATTAGAGTATGTCTATACGCGGTCTATCGGCATCAAACGAAAATTGAGCTTGGGCTCAATTGCGCGGGGGAGTTGTTCTATTAATACAACTCAAATTATTCTTCAAAAGGGCTTTTATATGTCGCTAGCACGAGGTGTCGTTCAGCTTGGATTTTGCTGGATGGATACAAGATAATGTAGCTTGAGCTGCAGCTTTTGGTGGAGGGATGGGCATTCGAGGCGCCAGAATCTTCAGAATGCGCCAAAGGATAGGATTGAGGATACCAGTGCTGTACTGCAGCAGCTGTTTGGTGATGATATTGCTTGGCGTGACAAGTAGAAGAAGGACGATTTCAAGGTCCGGCTGAAGTGTCAAAAGTGGTCACATACAGAAAAAATAGAAGCTGAAAGAGAACGCGACGGCGAAATTAACCTCGGAGATTCTATCGCAAGGGGTACATATGCATTATCGGCATTCCGCCGCAGAAACAGTATTTACTTCTATTTCAAATCGAATGGCCTAACCTTTGGAAACCCCGAACAGTGGTCCGGCTAAAGTTCTGTCGTTGAGCAGGGATGATGGCTGAGGATAGAAACAGGCTCGTATAGTCGAGAAGACAGGGCAGATGGCTTGCTCCCCATACTGATACAACCCCGTCAAGGTTCCCCATCGCAAGTCCTCCTGCCCTTCGCCCAAGGCAGAGTATCTTTCAAGTACTAGCACGTATTGTCCCATACCGGGACAGATCGACACCCGAGACAGCCATTTTTGGTTTCACCTTTCTTTTTACAAATCCTCCCTTTATGCCTCTGGAAGACATTTGCTTTGTCGGTGTGCGCTTGTACTCCGTACCCCTCTGTGCAGTGCATTCCGAGTCGAACGATGTCTGTGCCTGGTAGTTCCTTTTTTCACTTGGCCAGCGTGGGCTCCTCATGGCTTAACAGGCTTGAGAAGCAAACAACATTAACGCCCCGGCATTCACTCAACCTTCCCAGTTTCTATCCTAAGTTACTTATAAACCAGTGCATATTACAATTGTCGGCGCGAGAGTTGGGTGTTCAAGCACGAGAGGCCGTCTGACTTACTAACCACACAACATTAGCCTGAGATAGTACTCCGTATAAATAAGTAGCAAGTTCCGCCAATTCGCCTGTTTGAAGGAGTCCTTGGCAGGTTCCACCATCAGCGACTTGGCCTGTGCATCTGGCAGGCCGGATCCAGGCGAGAAGCCCGTATCACGCCTTTACAGCCACAGTACCCATGGCCCCAGCTCGGCGGAGACTTGCAGACTTGCAGCTCCAATGGACACGAGGCTAGCGCCTCCTAGCGACGATCACTCTGACAGTAAACTTTTGCTATCCGTACTTTAAATTCTAATTTGCCGGCATTGTCACACTTTTGCGCCAAAACTTGGCCAGATCTTCCACGCTCCGGGTGCCATGACGAAGAACTTTTGAATTTAGGAACAGTGGAATGTCGCATGCATGCATTGTACGACAATTGTATACGGAGAACCGCCCAACATTCGTACAAAGACAGATACTTCCGGCGCTGCCAGTGGTCCCTCTCCTCTCCGCCGAAGAAGCTGACATGCTAAACATAGAACTCTGTGCAGGCTCCGCCGTACAAGGGCATCGGACGTGCCCAGGAATAGCACAGACAGCAGTCAAAGCCTTCGAACCGGCGATCTCCTGCGTGGCGTGGGGTGGGAGACCGCAAAGACAGGAGTCCGAATGATGAGCGCTTCGCTTTGTATGGCGTCCATCTGTTGTTGCCGTTGTTTTTGCCGGCCGCAGTTCCCAACCCGTCACGTGCCGCTGATTGGACTTGCCAGCTGGCCCATCAGCAGCAGCCAACACACCCTTTCTTGGGGGCTGCGGCGTACAACTTTGCCGGCTGGTTCCTTGTCTGCGTTGTGCCTGCAACTGGTTGCTGCTCACGTCCGGAGCTGCCACCTCGGAATTCAGGGAGTCTGACTGGAGCGGGTCGGAGCAGTATTTTGCAGAATTTTCCCTGGAGGCTCTGGCCAATCGCCCAACCCGTTCCTTACAATGATGCGCGTCGCATGAGATAATTCGACAAAAGGATTCAAAAGCAATATAGCTGAGCTCGAAGCGAGCAGAATCTCGCATCCAGTTCGTTTGACACGAGGGTATCCAGCTCTAGGTTACGACTCTAGAAAAGAGCTGGGAAAAAAACGATCTCGTTTCTATATCTGGATCATCGCGGAAGATTTTCACGAACGCCACAATCCACTCCGTTCACGCGGCAAAAATTAAATGACATTCTGGAAGGCAAACTTTTTCTCTTGCATATCTTACATACAAATTTGTCAACAACTGTGTCCCGGTTACATGCATTATTGCTCTGTATGAATATCACACTTTTGTTAGTATTCGTTACTAGTTTGGCCCAGTGAATCCTCCCAGAGCGCCTCCGCTCATTGGACTGGTGATCTTTGCCGATTGTGTTGATGCTGTGATACATACTAGATACATCCAAAAAAGCTGTGGATGCCATGAAGCCGAAAATACACTTTACGCTGACGAGGCTCCTAGAACGGGACAAGGTATGCTGTCAGTGGCGGCCAGATTTAACTAGTAGGCGCAATAAAAGGGAGCAAAATAAGTGAAGTAAGAAAACGAAATTTGCTTCATCATTTGCATAGCAATGCTTCGTGTTGTTACGAGCTAGCTATGGTGTTGCGGTGTAAGAAAAACAGAGCAATCTAATAAGACTATGACGCCAAATGCCCACAGGCAACTCCATAATAACACAAAAGCCATCGATCGCGATATGAAACTATTGATTTAGCAATTTGGCTAGGTGCTGTTTCACTCCCTTACCAACTACTGTGATTGAAAGAAATGACTGCGGGAGGGACCTTAGGCGCAGAGGCCTTGCAGTTGAGTTCTGGAAATTGACTTCGAGCCCTTGGCGGGAGAGCGGAGGTTCCCAGCATAAGCCGGATAGCCGTTTAGAGATTCGGGTGTTTCACCGGCCGAATACCAATCCCCCTTGCCTGGAGAAATATCCTCCGATGCCTGGCACAAGACTTCCTTCAGTATGGGTATGCCTATATTCCGAGCAGGCATTGTACTGCACCGCGTATAATAGGGTGACAAGGATGTCAGCGAGGCCTAAAAATCAATAACGAGAGGACTTGGTGGGTACTCCTTCGGCTCACCAAACAACACGATGTGTTTTAAGGCGAAATAATCTCCAGCCACCATCGGATGGGGAATAGAGTAGCATTGCCAGGCCGAGGGCAGGGAACAGTAGCGAAGACTGGTACGAGTAGTTACGACGCCCCTGCAAAGGGAGGGCGGATGGCCTTGCGCTGACATCGTTCGAGAGAGGTCAAAAGAGAGAATAATGCGTGCGTATCATCATCGATCAACGGGCTTGCCCAGACGCCGCGACGGGGGCCAAGCAGCACCACTCTCCCCGAGTCAAGTTTGGCTGGTGAGACTTCTGCCACCGACAAGCGCGACGCGGGCCTGCGCTGTGTGTCACCTCCCGGCGCTGCAGTGGGCTAGTACGATACCTAACGCCGTTCGTACGGCGGCGTTTCGGTACAGCGCGCCCCACTGCGTTTCGTATCACGCTCACGTGATGCTGTGACTGCCCGATCAGGCTAGCGCATTCCGCTCGCCGCATCGCGCCGGGGCACAAAGCTTGGCCTCAACAACACACCATCAACCACTGTTGACTGACGGGCGGCCTTAGGCGAGGAGATCTGCTCTCCCGGCTGCATCGAATGAACGCCTACCAGGCAACGTGGCGGAGGCCTGGCTCGTTCGCGCACGCAACCTTTTGCCATCCAACCTAGGACCGCCCTCACCTCCAATCGCATGCACTGCAGTCTCGCAACCTTAGCCGCAGCCCTGGAGTCGTACTGTCTCGCTCGTTGAGCCTGGTCGCTGTCCGTCCCATTGGCCCGGCGTGAGCGAGAGCCCGGAATGGTAGCATCATGCGCTGGCCTGATTCCTGGTACCTTGGGATTTCTAATTTTAATGCCAGGATGGAGACAGTATGTTTCTCCCATTGCCCGTATTATTACTTTTTTTTTCCTTTTAACCCTCCTCCCTGTTATACTGGACCCGGGATCCGACGGCGGGCCCTTCCCTTCATGCACGCCCAGAAACTTTCATTGAGCTAAGCTGCGGTTTGGTACGCCGCATATCTGTCTTTCTCGCTTTCTTTTTCCAAATCTCAACAGCGAAGGAACGGCCACCCGCGGACCATGCATCTCAAGTAGAAATGAGAGATGATCCGCTGCTTCTCCGCTCATTGCCCCTCCAGGGATTTGCACTCATAGATTTCCATTTGACAGGGGAACTGCAAGACACAAAAAGTCCCTCCTCTTGACCTACTTGTCTTGCTCGAGGGCCAGTTCGCTCGCTGCTTGCTCTCTTTCATGCCTACTGTCCCCTCTGTTGTTGCATCTTCTGCGGGACACCATGGCTTCCCTCAATCTGTCCTCGTGTGCCCAGATTGATGATACCTTTGGCCCTTATGCGCTACACTGTCGGAACAGCTTTGATTTTACTCTTCTCTTTGAAGAGACGCTCCTGACCATTGTTCCCATCGGCCTTTTAATGCTTATTACCCCATTTCGCATCTTCTATTTATTAAAAAAGCAGAAAAAGGTCAACGATGGCCCATTAATACATTTGAAACTCGTAAGTTGCCATACTACTCTTCCGCCACTTCTCTCGCCTTGATTGGTATCCATCTGTACTGACAATTTGTCGGGGGAAAAAGACAGCCCTATCTGCATTTGCAGTACTTCACCTAATGCTCCTCATTCTTTGGACCCGACCATCCGCCGACAGAACTCGAACTTCGCTGGCGACTAGTGCCCTCACCCTCGCGGGTGCCGCTGGCTTTTGCCTACTATCCTATTTCGAGCATGTTCGTTCCGTCAAGCCATCGTTTTTGCTTAATGTCTATTTCCTGTTTACTATCCTTTTCGATGCCGCCCGGTCGAGGACCCTGTGGCTGCGTCGAGATGATGATTATGGGTTTATGATTGCCCTCGCATTTACTGTGACGGTGGGCTTGAAAGCAGTTATTTTAATATTTGAAGCATGTTCCAAACGTGGAATTCTAAAAGCAGAGTATCGCTCCTATCCTCCAGAGGCTACTGCCGGCATTATCAACCGAAGCCTTTTCTGGTGGCTTAATCCTCTATTTTGGTTCGGATACTCTAATTTTATGACAATGGAAGATTTATACAGCCTTGATAAACATCTTGTTTCGGAGCGTGTGCATCAGCGATTAGAAACGGCTTGGGGAAAAGGTGCGACTTGCTCCAGACCCTTAGTTACTTTCTACTGACTCTGGCATTACTTTAGTTACGAAAAAGACATCAAACTCGTTGTTAATGGTCACACTGAATGTTCTCAAGTGGCCCCTTTTATCTATTGTAATACCTCGAGCATGCCTCATTGCGTTCATGTTTGGGCAGCCTTTCCTAATCAACAGGGCGATTACATTTGCCTCTCAACCAACTCAAAGCAATTCTGAGAGTATTGGGAACGGCTTAATTGCTGCATATGTTCTAGTATATGTTGGAATAGCTGTAAGTGGACTTTTGTTGGTTTCCAAGTTTATGCTCTTGTTTTAATTGGCATCGTTCCAGGTTTCAATGGGGCAATATCAGCACCTAACATATCGCGCCATCACCATGGCTCGTGGGGGCCTCATCGGCATGCTCTATAGGAAAGCCACCGACTTGAGCATTAAAGACGTTGACCCTGCCTCGTCAATGACACTTATGAGCGCCGATATCGAGAGGATCGTTCATGGCTGGCAGACGTTGCACGAGATTTGGGCGAATGCGACCGAAGTTGGCATTGCCATTTTCCTCCTCTACATTCAACTCGGCGTAGCTTGTGTTGTCCCAATTGTGGTGTCAATCCTATCACTACTCTTGTCAATAATCGCAATGAACTTTGTGATGTCCCATCAGGCACTTTGGCTTGAAGCGATAGAGAGGCGTATTTCTGCAACCAGCGCTATGCTTGGCTCCATGAAAGGTGTTAAGATGTGCGGCCTCAAGCAAACCCTGCTGACGAATTTACATAACCTTCGAATCGAAGAATTGTCGATCTCGAAGAAATTCAGAAAACTGCTGATCTGGAACATGGGTTTTGGTGCGGCATACCCTGGTGTATCATACCCACTATATTCAATGCTAATATTGTTTTCTAGCATACATTTCCCAGGTTTTTAGTCCCATCCTCACGTTTACTGTATTTGCAGTGTTAGCAAAGAAAAGGGGCAATGACGATATCCTTGACTTCGCCAAGGTGTTTACCTCGCTCTCCCTTTTTGCATTGTTATCGGAACCCTTACAGTCTCTCATCATGGCACTGGTGACATTCCTTGGCTCTGTTGGCTGTTTTGCCCGGATCCAAGAATTCCTCGATAAACCCACTCGCATCGACCCCCGCCACAAGCCCACAGATGTTACTGATGAAGTGACGAATAGTTCTCAAAGTCTCCCAGCAACTGAGAGAAACAGCATTACAACAGAGAAAACGCGCGTGTCCAGCGCTCCAAGCATCTTGGATACGGCTAGGCTATCCTTCCCATTCAAGGATGTATCCCAACCACTTTCCGACCGGGGTGTTATTACAGTTCAAGACGCTTCTTTTGGTTGGGACCCGGAGAAAGCGGCCCTTCTCAAGGATATTAACTTGGCGATCCCTCGGGAAAAACTCACAATGATAGTTGGCCCTGTCGGGTGCGGAAAATCCACTCTGCTCAAGGCTATTCTCGGCGAAGTACCTTGCATGGACGGCAGGGTTGATGTGGCAACCTTAAATATGGCCTATTGTGACCAGACACCATGGCATATGAATGAGTCTATCCGCGACAGCATTGTTGCTGTCTCGGACTTCGATGAGCAGTGGTATGCAACGGTCATCCGCGCATGCTCCCTGGAAGAAGATCTACGACAACTTCCAAGAGGTGATCGGACGATCGTTGGGAGCAAGGGAATTGCCCTCAGCGGGGGCCAAAGCCAGCGTATTGTAAGTTACCGCATGAGCCCACCCTACTGATATATGTCTGACCATCCCTAGTCACTTGCTCGGGCCGTCTACGCTCAGAAAGAAGTCGTGATTTTGGATGACGTTCTAAGCGGTATCGATGCCTCGACTGAAAATCACATCTTCCATAACCTTTTTGGGCATAACGGCTTGCTGCGCAGCCTCCACTCAACTGTGATCCTTGTCTCTTCCTCGCGTAAGATCCCCACCCCCACCATTCTAGAGTTAGCATCTAACCAGTTTGTAGCCAAGCGACTGCCTTATTGCGACCACATCATCGCTCTTGATGCCGATGGTAAGATCTGCGAGCAAGGAAAATTTGACGATTTGAACTCGACCGCCGGTTACGTCTCCAGTTTCACGCTTCCGCCCCCGGATTGGACATACAAACCTGACCCTGATGCCAACCGCGAACTTATCCCGGTTAAGGAGGAGGAATCCGATGGGCTACGCACGAATGAAGCCCTTGAGGCCGCAGCAAACAGGAGAACTGGTGACGTGAAGATCTACCTGTACTACATTGGATCTGTCGGCTGGCTTGCCGCCCTTGCCTTCGTAATTTTCGTCTGCGGCTTCGTGTTCTGCATCGCCTTCCCATGTAAGGCCTCTTGAATTTCGCTCTACTGCTCGTCAATTACCCCAGTTAACATGATTGATTACAGCGATCTGGCTCAAAATGTGGGCCACTGCAAACAGCGAACGGCCGTACGAAAGACTTGGATATTATCTTGGGATTTATGTGATGCTAGGCTTCCTGGCAATTATTTGTCTCATTGCTAGCTGCTGGTTTGTTCTCCAGAGTTATTTTTGTTGTGCTAGTTGGCTAACTAAGGTGAATATAGGCAAATGATTATTACTATGGTACCAAAATCCGGCGAAACTTTCCATTTGACACTTCTCCAGACAGTACTCAGGTACGACCACCTCTTCCTTGGTTCCTCGACATTGCTAATTATGTATGTAATAGCGCGCCGATGTCCTTCTTTTCTACCACCGACATCGGCGTCACAATCAATCGCTTCAGCCAAGACTTGCAGCTTATCGACATGGAATTGCCCGTTTCGGCGCTTAATACCTTCGCCAGTAAGTGACAAATTCCAACATAAGAAATGTCGTCATGCTAATGCGCTTCCCGCCAGCCTTTGTTCTCTGTATCGCGCAGATGGTGCTTATCGGTGTTGCATCCATCTATGCTGCGATATCGTTCCCTGTCGTTCTCGGCGCTCTCTATTTCATCCAGAAATATTACCTGCGAACGTCCCGCCAACTCCGTTTTATGGACCTCGAGGCCAAGGCCCCGTTGTACTCTCAATTCACAGAATGCCTAAACGGCTTGGCTACTATCCGAGCATTTGGATGGCAAAAGGCACTGGAGGAAAAGAACCGTGCCCTTCTCGATCGGTCTCAGAAGCCATTCTATCTTCTATTTTCAGTCCAGCGATGGCTAACCTTAGTTTTGGACTTGCTTGTTGCCGCTATTGCTGCGCTGTTGATCATTCTCGTGGTTAAACTCCGTGGTACCATCGGTGGCGGCTATGCTGGTGTTGCACTGCTGAATATTGTTCAATTCAGTCAGAGTATTAAGCTGTTGATTACGTTCTGGACCACGCTCGAAACTCACATTGGTGCTATTGCACGTATCAAGGTATTCAACGAGACAATGGTGCCTGAGGACAAAGAGTCTGAGAATTCAACGCCTCCCACCAACTGGCCGGGAGAGGGCGGTATCGAGTTTAATAATGTGTCTGCTGAATATCGGTGCGTGCTTATGACCTTTTGAACCTTAATGTGTGGAATGGTTATTAACGAGTGATATTGCAGGCCTGGCGAGCCCGTCCTCAAGAACGTAACGCTCAAAATCAACCCAGGCGAGAAAGTTGGCATTTGTGGCCGAACGGGAAGGTGGGTTCAGCGGCGTTGATCTTGGTGGCAATAGACACTAATGCACTGCACAGTGGGAAAAGCTCGATGGTGCTGAGTATATTCAGGATGATCGAACTCAGCGGCGGCACGATCACAGTCGACGGCGTCGATATCAGCACGATACCCCGACATGAAGTTCGGTCCCGAATCACGGGTGTGGCGCAAGATGCGTTCATCCTCAAGGGGTCGTTGCGGCTCAATGCCGACCCGACTGGATCGCTCGCGGACGGGGCGATTGTTAATGCGCTGAAGAGCGTGCATCTGTGGTCTGTGGTTGACGAGAACGGCGGGCTGGATGCGGACATCGACGACCTGCACCTGTCGCATGGGCAGAAGCAACTGCTCTGCCTTGCGCGGGCGATGCTCCGGCCCAGCACGATCTTGATTCTCGACGAAGCCACCAGCAAGTAAGTAGCAAATGGTTGCCCATGTCTGGGGAAGATTGCGACGGCTAACATGGTATAACAGTGTGGACAGCAAGACGGACGAGATCATGCAGCGGGTGATCCGAGAGAAGCTCTCGCAGCACACGATCATCGCAGTGGCTCACAAGCTGGACACAATTCTGGACTTCGACAAGGTGGCGCTGCTGGAGGCGGGCGAGCTGAAGGAATACGACGACCCGTACACGCTGCTGTCGCGCGACTCGGATTTTGCCAAGCTGTACGCCAGCACGATGTCGGAGCAGCCGGACGAGGTGGGGATCCTGACGGACGACATCACGGTGTCGTCGCGGGCGGGGGTGTCCCGCTGAGAGCGCGTTGGGGCTTTCCGGCAGGCTTTTTTTTTTTTTTTTTCTTTTTGCATGACTTCTACATCCGGACGGACATGAGTGGGCGTCAGGCAGGACATCGGGAGGGTCTACGGTCTACGGGATACTTAGAACAGCGGCGGGCGCTTGTATATACCGCTTTGAACATGGTTGTTTTTTGACGCGGATCTGTGTCTGAGAATATGCACACCAGACAGACATGGTGAAAAAAGGAAAAGAAAGTAAAATAAAATAAAATACGCACGTACATAGATAGTTAGACATTGAATAATGCAGAATTGATCCACGGCTGTCGCCTCACGGTGGTTAGTTACATGGCGCGGGGGGGTTCGTGGGCGAGCGATAAAATTGGCCGGGGGGCTGCTCTCGTGCTCCTCTTACCTACGCGGACTCAGTCTGTAACTAGCGCAGGCGGTCCTGGGAAATCCTGCCCATGGCGTGGCCGGGCAAGGGGCCCCCCTTTTCCCTCGATCCCCCAGTCCGGCTCCGCCCCTTTTTTTTGAATTTTGATTTTTTTTATTTTCGCCGGGTAGCGCAGAAACAAAGTCGGTGTGTATTATTATACTCCGTAAATTTTGTTTTTATTATTGCTGGACGGGGGCCAGGGATGAGCGCTGGGACGGGGGAGGGAGGGGGGGGGGCAGTAGTGTTGACGCGGAGGGAGCGCACGCGGGCAGTTATTGGCCGGCGCAGTGGGCATGATCGCCGGCCGCACGGCGGATCGGGCGCACTAATGTTCCGGCAGGTTCGCGGCGCGCGAGCGGGCAGCGGCCAATAGCGAGGCGCGCAGGCCGGGCGGCGTCGCGTGAAGTATGTTCTGGAAGGCGTGGGCGGGCGGCGGCTGAGTCAGCGGGGGGTGGTGCGTACGGCGGGCTCCGCGGATCGACAGCGCTGCGACGCCGGCGGGCGCCACGGCCACGGTCGGACGGTCTGCGCGAGCGTTGCCGTGGCCCGTCACTCCTACTACCGGGCGCGTTGCAACTGGCTGCCGATCTGCTGGAGCTCACTAACCAACTCACTAACGAACTCACCACCAGCCCATCTCCTCGACGACACATGGCGTATTATTAGCACACCCCGACTGTTCGTCCGTCGCCGTCAGTCGTCGTTGTCGCCATCCGCGTGCGCTTGCTTGCTTGCTTTCTTGCTTATTACTCCCCGTCTTCCCCGCCCGTCGTTCTCGCGCCCACTGCGATGCCCATGACTGCCCGCCTGCCGGGCACTGCCTGCTGACATGCCAACGCCCGCGCTGCTCCGATCTGTGCTGCTCGTCTAGCTAAGCGTGTCATCGCGCTGTCTCTTTGTCGTCGTTTTTCTGTCCTCCCTCTCCTTCTCTTGTCCCGACGCTTCCCTCCCCGACGACCATCCTCGAGATGGCCGCCACGCAGCCACCCACCCGCCCGCGCGCGTCCGGCAGCAACAAGCAGCAGCAGCAGCAACAACAGAAACAGCAGGGCGAGCGGTCACCGCCCATGCCGCGCAAGCGCCGGCGACGCGCGGTGGGCAGCGGTGCGGCGGACGACTGCTTTACGTGCGCGGGCCGCCAGGTGCGCTGCGACCGGCGGCGGCCATACTGCACGCCGTGCCTGGAGCAGGACGGCCGCTGCTCGGGCTACAAGACGGCGCTGACCTGGGGCGTGGGCGTGGCCAGCCGCGGCAAGCTGCGTGGCCTGGCGCTGCCCGTGTCCGGCGCGCAGAAGGTCGGCACCACGACTCCCACCGCCGCCGCGAAGACGCCCGTCACCACCGCACCTCCCGCCCCGGCCCAGCTCCCCCAAAGCGGCGCCCCCGAGCCCCCCAACACCCCCGGCCTGCCCGTCCGTGCCGGCTCGTCCGCCCACCACGCCCAGTGGCCGTCCCCGTTCACGCTGCACCCGCACCCGCACCCGCACTACACCACTCCACCCAGCCCCTCCAGCTCAGACCTCTCGCTGCACCTCCTCACCACGCCCACAAGCCACTACGCCGATGGCGCCTCGTTTGAGCCCGACGACCCTCGCGACCGGCCCCCGTCCGACGCCCTCGCGCCCGCCCTCGCCCGCTACAGCTACCGGTCGCCGCCCGCCTATGCTCCCCTCGTGCACCAGCCGCCGCTCAACCAGATCGTCGGCCAGACCCCGCGCATGCGCTATCTCATCGGATACTACATGGAGGTCATTGCCCCCGTCATCGTGGCGTTTGATACCCCCACCAGCCCCTTTCGCCTGTACATGCTGGAGCTCGCGAAGACCAGCGACACGCTCCAGCTGGCCATTGCTGCCCTGTCGCTGAGCAATCTGAGACAGCGCCGCAAGAACTGGGCCCTGTCGACCGGCAAGACGCTGCCTTCGCGCCGCTCCTGCCAGGCCCACTGCCGCCTCACCGACACCGCCGTCGCCGACGTGTACGAGCTCCCCAGCCCGGACGAGCAGATGCGGGAGGAGATCCTCTACAAGGGCGCCGTCGTCAAGTCCATAAATGCCCAGCTGGCCGACCCCATTGCCCGCCGCTCCGATGCCCTGCTGGCCACGCTGCTGATCCTCAGCATCATCCACATGTGCGACACCGGCTTTGCGTCCTTCAAGAGCCAGTTTGCCGGCGTGCGCAAGCTCTTTGCGCTGCGCAAGGCCAGCCAAACCGCCGGCTCGGACGTGATGAAGTGGTTCATGCGCATCTTCACCTGGTTCGACACCATGACCGCTGCCGTCAACGACCGCGACAGCGAGCTCAGCGCCGAGTGCCTCGACGTCGTCACCGAAACCGGCGACCAATGGTCGCTGGAGAACCTTTCCGGCTGTGATTCGCGGCTGTTCCGAGTGGTCGCCCAGCTCAGCCGGTTAAACCAATTGAGTCAGATGAAGCCCGTCGAAGCCAGCGACTTCGTCGACCGGCCCATCGCTTCGGCCACGCCTCCTCCCCAGCTGCTCCATTACCCTGGACTGGCCGGCCCAAGCGACCCCCGCGGCGACCTGCTAAGCTTCCCCGTGCAAGCTTACTTTCCGGGCTACGAAAGCGCGGACCCGCGAACAGAGTTTTGGCTGGAATGGCGTGCTTTGAAAGTCCGACTGGAAACCTGGCGGCTGGGCGTGTCGGATCCCGCCGTCCTGGCAGTGATGACTACGGGCCCGTTGACCCCATCGTCCGCCACAGGGGCCGCGGCGTGCCCCTCGCCGCTGGTCGAGCACGTCGCGTCGTCGCTGTCGCCCTTCGCCCGCGTGGCGCCCGCCAACCTCTCGGACATCGCCAACATCTCGGAGTCGTTCCGCTACGCCGGCCTGCTGTACCTCGAGCGGCTGGCGCACCCGCAGCTGCCGTCGAGCCACCTGCGCATCCAGAGCCTGGTGTACGCGGCGCTGCACTACCTGGCCGCCGTGCAGTCGGACGTGTTCCTGCTGTGGCCGCTGTTCATCACCGGCGCCGAGTGCGTGCTCGAGGCCGACCGCAACCTCATCCGCGAGCGCTGCGGCGACATCCAGAAGGACTCTGGCTTCGTCAACAACCTGTCGTGCCTGCAGCTGCTGGAGAAGATCTGGGCCCGGGAGTCGCCCGCCGCCGTCGTCGTGGGGGGCGTGAAGCTGGAGGAGCAGCTGGCCGCCCCGCCGCCGCCACGGGTCCCGCTGGGGGGTGAGGGGTTTAAGTGGAGGGCCATTATTGACTCGGAGAAGCTGATCCACGAGTACATTGTTGTTTGAGGCGTTTGTGTGTGTGTGTGTGTGTGTGTGTGTGTGTGTGTGTTTTGGGGGCGGGGGGTGGGGAGGCGGTTTGCATGTGCTGGCTCTCTAGAGATAGATCCATTGGGGGGCGTTTTTCTACATAACTACACTTTTTGTTTCTTCTACGTTGTTGCATATACTGGTGCCTTTGGCGGATGGGGTGATGGGTGGCAGGTGGTTGCGGTTGCTGTTGAGCATGGCGCCGGTTGTGTCTTGTGTGTTGCGGTTCTCTGATGTCCGATATAACTAGTACATAGTAGCACTACTCCGTCCTTATCTCGTTGTCCTAGTTCATGGCACCGTCGATGCTTGTTCAGCGCGTGCGTCCGAGAGCAGTGCCGACTGGCTCACGGCCGCTCTCCCCCACCGGCCGCCCCTTATTAATCTCGCGTCGCCAGCGTGGCGCCCGCCATCCATCGCGACCGCAACCGCAGCATCGCCGCCGCCGCCGCCGCCGATCCTCGCCGGCTGCCTAATCGGGGCGACACGTGAGCAGCTGACTCAGCGGTGGCTGGGGGTCACCTGACTGCCCGTTACGTCAGCGCGCGCCACCTGCTTCGCCCATGGCGGCCGTACCGTACTGAACCGCGTATCCGTACGGTCACGGCCTCCTGCGTCCTTCTGCCCGCTTCCGTCGGCCTCGCGTATTACCAATACCCCGTTTACCCACTGGCCAATCAGCGCGCGGCACCCGCTCCCCCTCCGTATCGTTACCGAACCGCACGCACCGCTGGCCCGCGCGCACACAACCGCCGCTTCGCATTTTTCGCTTTCGCCTCCTCTCCTCTTCTCCTCTTCTTCTTCTTCTTCTTCTTCTTCTTCTCGCCAAACCTCCCTGGGTTTCTGTCCCGCACATCTCGTCCCATCGCACCGCTCGTCCAACTCGTCCTGCTGGCTTCCTGGCTCTCTGGCTCGTCCCGACACTCTATTTTGCGTGATCCGCTAACCGAGTTTTCTGACTCCCTCTGCTGGCTGGATCGTGCCCACTTCTCGGCCTCATCCCGCCAACGCCTGTCTCTCTCTCTCTTCTTTTTTCTCGCTCTCTGCTCCATCTATCCCTCCCTGGAATCACCTCGCCATAAGCTCCAATGCACCGCGGGCAAGATCGGTCTTATCGCTTTCTCTTGCCTCCAATAGCCTCCGCGCCCCGGTGACGGGTTGATCCACACGTTTGTCCTGGCCGCGTACTTTTTTGCTTCCTGTGATATCCTGTACAACTATATACCCGTCTGCGTGTTCTGGTGTTTTTTTTTGTTTTTTTGTTTCTTGTTTTTTGTTTCGTCTGCTCGCCGTCCTGGGCCCTGGAGTTGTGTGTGCCTCTTGTCTGGATCTGCCGACGTGCCTGGTTGCCTGCCCGCTGCGTGTGTGTGTTCTGCCCGTTTGACGCTCCGGAGCAGTCCCTGGTTCCTCTCTCCTCCATGCCCGCGCTTCGATAATGTATCATTACTCCAGTCCACCGGCCGGGTGGTCTGCCGCCTATGACTACGGCCACTCCCCCGCCGCGCCCCCCTATGGCTACTACGGCGCCCCCTACGGCTCGCCCAGCCCGTCCCCGCGCGCCAAACGCCATGCCCACCGCGCCAGCTACTGCGGTGCCAAAGACGGCGGCCCGTACTATCCGCCGCCGCCGCAGCATCCGGCGTGGCACAGCTACTACGAGTCCGTGCCCGAATACGTCGCGACTCCGCGCAAGCACGATCATGTAAGTGGAGCTTTTGGTGACCATCAACCGTGGTCGCGGTCCCATGGCCGCCATCCCTCCATGCCAGGCAAACCTCACCACCACTCCCACTTTTTCTCCTCCCGATCGCGCCCGCCGCCTGCCTTCTTTGACGACGATCGCACTGAATCCGACTCGGATGGGCGTCCGCCCACTCCTCATGGAGCCGGGACGGGCGCTCCGTTCTACGAACCCAGGACGTCGCGCCAAGAGGGCCAGCGCCCCTCCAAACCTGATTCTCGTCGGAGGCAACCCACTGATGCTTATTTTGATTCTCACCAGGCTCCCACCTTTGTGTACGACGATGCAGATCTCCCCAAACGCTCGCGTGCCCGTCGTGCCTCCACGTCGGCCCGCGCGCCCCAAAAACCCCCCAAGCCAACGGCCAGTGACAAGACCGCCCCCAAGGCCACCGATGAGGATGCCCTCCGGGCTGGCATCCCCGCTGGCTATTCCATTAAGAACTGGGATCCGACGGAAGCCCCGATCCTACTGCTCGGCAGCGTCTTTGACGCCAACTCTCTCGGGAAATGGATTTACGACTGGACGGTTTTCCACTATGGTGCCACGGCGCCCATGTCCGATGTTGCGGGCGACCTGTGGCTCCTGCTGATCAAGTTGGCCGGCAAAGTCAAGAGAGCCGACGAAAGTGCGCCGCTGATCGCCTGCAAGGAGGCTCGTGAAATGGTGGAAGACTTCCTTGATAGTGGCGAGCGGCTCTGGGCTCGCTTCAAGCGACTGCTCAAGGCGTGCGAGCACTTTATGTGGAAGGCCGCCAAGCGAGAATCCGGCGCCAGCTCCGTGACGATGGGCCGCGGGGCCGGGTGCGAGTTCGTTGACTCCATCTTCGGCCGCGAGCGCGAGCTTGAAAACACGGAGAAGTTGATGAACAGCATCCGGCTGTGGAATATGCGGTTCGACGCCAACTGCGAGGAAATCCTGCGTCGACCCACCGATCCTTAGCGAACGCCAGGACTCTTAAAAATCCTGTCCTATCACTCCTACTCAATAATTAATGTGCGCGCGTTCAACACACCAACCCGATATTCAACCTATCCGCCTTTTCGACACGGAATCATCTGATAAAGCGCGCCCTGGCACGCTAAACCTCCCGTCGGCCAAGCCTTAATTCCTTTCCGCGATCGGCCGCTCAACCAAAAACCTTATTTTTTTAACCTTTAACCGCTTCGCTTCTTCAACCAACAACCACTTTATTATACACTATATATTTTTTTTGGCCCTCGCCGGCTCCATCTTCACCCTGCACCACCGGGGTACAACGCCTACCCTCCGCTACTTCGGGGCGGGATTATCTTTTAATCGTTCCAACTTCCAAGGCCTAACTGTCCGTTTCGGCGCTGGGGAATGTATTTGGGGGTTTTCGTGTGCATCGAAGCGTATCCAGTTCGAAACTTCTTGCATTCAGTCCAGCCTCATTTCTTCGGCGCGATGCATCTTTTGTCGTTAACCTGGGAATAGCTTTCGAGTGTTTTGTGTGTTTTGGGGCAGCGGGGAATCTTGCTTGCGAACTGTGTGTCTATCTATCTATCTATCTTGCCAATATCCTGTGCCGTGTTATCTTTCTAATCTAGCGTTTCCTTTGTTCCATTTTTCTTTTTTCTCCTTTAATGATACCACTGGTGTGTTTGTGCAGGCTCCTTTTCCTTTGTCTATCGGACAGCCTAGTATTATTCTCCCCTTCTCGACGCTCCTTAGATGTATGTATATACGTGGCTACACGTGCGATACTATTTAAAACTATTATTACTCTTCTACGCAGCCCTGATCCAAGTAGGTATGTACAATAGACAGACATGGTGACAGTCCAGAAAAGCCGCAGACAAGGCTGCTGAGGGGTAAACTAGTTATCTGTTGGAGTGTGATTTCAGCCCGACCAGCCGCAACAAACACGGGGTGCCAGAGCGTACAAACATCGTATTCATTGTTTCTCCTCTGCGGCACAGGTACAGCGACAACAGTAACAACAGCCGGCAAGCAGCCCTCGCGGGCAACCAACTGCATCACATGACAGCGATCGGCCGCAGGCCATGCAGGCGGCGGCGCGACGGAGGGACGGACCCGCCTTGCTGCGTTGTCTGCTGCACGGCGCCTCTGCGGCGAGGCTAGGTGCGCTGGCTAGCCTTATATATGCCGGTCCTGTGAGTCCTGGGGCTGCTCACCGCTCGTTGGGGCGACGCGGGCTGGAACGAACTCGCCCTGCTGCGCTGTGCGACGCGCGCGGTGTGGTGGCCCCGTCAGGCAGCCCTGCATGCGTGGCCGGTCAGGCTGCGGCCGCCGCCGATGGTCGGCGGGCTGACTGGCTGGCTGGCTAGCTGCCTATGAGTGAGTGAGTGACGCCGTCTGCAGTCGTTACGTGTGGGAGTGCGTGCGGGTAGCGGAAGTGTGCGGACGAGGACATACTCCATACACGAGCGAGACAATACCGGGTATTACGCGATGCGACTGTGCCATCACCACCCGGCCCTTCCCTGTCGCTCCGTTTGTTCGTTCGTTCGTATTGATGATATTTTTAGCCGGAGAGAGCAGGCGGCGTCTTGCTGCTGGCGGGCCAGCACAGCCAGGCAACAGCCACTGCGAACTTTGTAGCCGCGGCCATCCACAGCGCGGTCTCGATACCACCGGTCGCGCGCGCCAGCCAGCCACCCAGCACAGCGCCAGCAACCACAGCGACCGCGGCGGCGAAGCGGCGGTTGCGTTTGACGTTCTCGCGCAGGGGGGCTAGCAAGGCCGGGTCGGCGGCCAGGTCGTAATACAGGCTGGTCAGCACGGTGGTGGGGATCTCGCTGAAGCCCAGCAGGCGGCTGGCAGCCATCTGCCCGGCGGACTGGAAGGCGACCAGCGCGATGGGCACGAGCTGGAGGAATACGGCTCGGTCGGGCGCGCCGTCGTCGACAACAAGGATGGTACTGCTGGTGGTGGTGCTGTGAGTGTCGCCGGAGATAGCACCGGTGCGCAGCAGCACGGCGGCGACGGCCAAGAAGACGGCCTGCACGGCGAACGAGCCGGCCAGGGTGCGGCGGCGCTGGGGGCCGAGCCAGCGGGTCAGCGCGAACAGGCAGCTGCCGGCGATGAAGGCGGCGATGGAGACCAGCGCCTTCAGCCACTTGGAGGATTTGCGCAGGGCGGCGTCCGACGCGCCCAGGCCGAGGAAGACGGTGTTGCCTATGGTCACATAGTTAGCTAGCTGGAACAGCTGGAGATAGTCGGCATTGGCATGGCTCACCGGTCTGCATGCTGACGAAACAGCCCCAAGCGCGGAACACGGAGCTGTCGCACAGGCCGGACAGCAAATAGCACAGCACGAAGACGACGTCGGCATGCTGCAGCGCGACGTCCGCGTCGAGGCGGCGGGCGAGCCAGGCGGGCATGCTGGACTCTGGACTTTGGAGTAGTGATGGCGGCCGTTGACGAGGAGGAGCGTTGGTGATCTGACCCAGTGAGCCCGCAACCCTAACCCTAACCCCTAGCCCCGAACCAGTTAGTTAGTTAGTTAACGCGTCGGGCCGGCTCACGGGGGCGGCTCTCTGCCTTCCCGTCCCACCACGCAACATCCAACATCCCGCTACTCCCTACGCAGTACGGAGCACATATCGATCCGTCGACCCAGAACGGCTGTCGCCTGAGAGCACAGGTCCGTTATTGGGGCGAAATATGTCTCATTTTGTCTACCATTCTTGCCTCGACCGCAGTTATGGGCATTTATTGCGGACGAACCCGACCCCATCATCCTATGCCTGGATTGCATCGCTTGTGGGTACCTCAACTCCCTCGTTCTTATAGCGTTAACCATGTACCTGACTCCGCCTTCAGTTCTCGCGGTTCGTGGACCACAGCTACACTTATTGCAACTCCCGGGCGTATTGAGAGTGCTGCTTATACTTGTGCAATCCAACATATGAACAGTGGGTCTAGTAATCACCAAGCTGTCGCTCGCTCAGTTTCCGTTTTTATGGCGGCGCCTGCGCTCCCGTAATGCGTCTTCCTGTCTCCTACTACCGATCCTACATGAACTCACTTCCAGACCCCCCAAAGACCATCACTCTTGTTGCAAGCAGATCCTACTGAAGCTCTCGCAAATCCTGCTGAAGCTCTGACAAATCCTGTTGAAGCCCCAGACAAACACCCAAGAACTCTGGCCGCTCTAGCGGATACACTGAACCCCATCTCTCTACTGGCGAGTGTCTTGTACTGGGTATGGACTTCTCATCGTGCATCCAAACAGTCATGAAATCTCCAAAATTACCAACTATGAGAAACCACCGTTTTATGAACTTCTACTAGGCATATATTGTCTCAAGGGTATTTCGCTTTCTATGGTCGCGGGGATATTTCGTTTGGCCAAGATATTTAACTACCAGATATTCGACTGATGTTTCATTTGACAGTGGAATTTGCATACAAGGTATACGACACCATCCACCGGAGAGATGGAGTTCGATCCTAACGGATTTCATTGCATGTATGCCAATAAAAAATCAACTCAGCGTCGACAATACACCTCCCTATCAAAGTGTAGAAGATGTCTTGCCACTGGGTATATATAGCTGGATAATTTCCCCCAGGCTAAATAATTATCAGGATCAGATATTATCTTTTATCCAGCTTCTCTCTTCACCCCCACAATTTCTTTCAATATGCGTTTCACTGCTGTTCTCACCGTGCTCATGGCATCTGTGGCATCTTGTCAGATGTCAGAGTCTTGGGGAAAAGCAAAGACAACCATAAATGGGCCGCTGGCAACAAGTGCAAAAGCTCTAGGGGATGAGGTGACAAAGTTGTCTGGCATGGCTGCTGGTGGAACTTCAATAAACTTAGGAGTCCGTTTGCACTTCCATTGGCCTCAATATTCATTGATAATAGGCTAATGAAGACAAAGGAAATGAAAAAACTTATGAATGGCTACAGTGACAATTGGAAGGCCGCTGGTAATGATATGAAGGGTATCAACAAGGTTACTGATGAGGTGGATATCTGTACCGTTTTCCCACCTGTGAGTTCAACCCCATTATCATCAATGTCATTGTCCTTTTAACCTGACAAAAATAGGCGGTGGAAGCATTCGTTGCTCTTTTGGGTCCCTGGGCTGACCTTGGTGAGAAGGCTGCTGCTCTCGACAAAAAAGGCCTTGTTAATCACAACGATGGTGGAAAATTGCTGCTAAGGCCGCTCCAACTTAATGTTCAAGTATGCCTTAACCCACTTCGGTTATTGATATCAAAACGCTACATGAATGGACTAGCTGACTCAATGCTTTAATTACTAGGACACTGTCAATATAGTCAAGAAGAAAGGAATTAACTGCGGGGGCAAATTGGACATTCAACTGCCCCGACTCTTCAGCCCGGTTGGTAACAAGTGGGTTTGGGCACTTAAAAAATAATAGTTGATACAAAGATCGGTTTGTCGCGACACTAAAATTTTGAGGATATCTATCACCCACAGTTTGACCAGTTTGATGGCATTATCTTCTCTCTCTTGGCTGGGACTCAGGCCTTGACTTTCCTCAACTAACAGTACCTTTCCACCTCCTCTACTCTAGGCATTAAGCTAGTTAGATAGTTGGAAATGCAGAACTCATCCTAACACCAGCAAAAATTCTTTGCCCGCACTTCCATACAGTCAACATAATATTTCTACCATCAAAGACAATCCTTTGGCTCTGGTTGATTCAGAAACCCATATATGCTTCGAACGTAATTGAGTACGGCCGTCACTCAGTTGCAAACCGAGGCCTATTCTTTTTGGGCCGGCCGTTCCCAGCGGGTAACATACTGCCCGAGTGCCACAACTTCAGCTCGTCGACGGCGTAAGTACTTCAACTGTCCGCCTTCCACCTCCATGGTGAACGGAGTGAGTTTCGGATAAGTCGGGAAAGAAACCGGGTGCTTTGCCTCCGAGTGATGTTTGATAAATCGTGTGGTTTTCCGGCCTTCCGCCCACTCGGCCAAAAAGCTCCGATACGCAGTGATTCCACCCTTTCCTTCTTCCAATGGCACAACCAACGGCCAGTCCTCCATCTCCTCAACTCTGCCCACTTGCTGTTGATGGAAAGGAACTCTTCGAAAATGCCCGTCTTTCGTGAGAGTCTCATAAAGAGTGAAAATAACACCATCAACATCATTGCGACCCGGTTGTTGATCTCCGATTAAACAGGACCTGTCGAAATCAAAGACCTTCAAGCTGTTGCTGGACGGTTCAAATAAGATGTTGCGAGGTGCAACATCTTGATGCATGATCCCAAACCCAAGATTCAACTCGTCAATAGCATCCGTAAGTTGTTTGAGTCAGTTAAAGTAGAATGGGCGATCACGGTAATTCTCAAGTGTGCCTCCAGCTATATATTGCGAGGTAAAGCCAAGGACCTTTTTGGATACATCATCCAGAACCACACGGTGGAATGCCACAAATGATTCGTGACCCTGGAGTGCTTTGAGTGTAAGTAGCTCTCTCCATATGTACTCAACCCGCTGCTGGTAAATGGTGTATTTGAAAGCAACAACCTCCTTTTTTTCTCCAGCATGACGGGGGTTGTACTCCACCAAGTCTGTGCATACTTGGAGCCGATCGGTCTCTGTAAGTTCTGACCGGTACACGACCTCACAGTCTGCCAGAGGCCCGGAATACTCAGGGTATCTGACTTCCCATGTAGGGTCATCTGTAGAGACACTAATCAGGTCTCCATGAGCAGAAATCTTCAAACAATGTATGTCTGGTCCAAGTTTATCAACGTGGCGTGCAACAGCCTTCACTCCATCCTCATCATCAGGAAGAGCTTCAGCAGGGCCAGTCACTTGAAACCAACGGCGCAAATCCCAATCAATAACATCCCAGGTGTGAGGGCCTCCAGGCGTCAGCGCCCCTTCCGGGCTGTAGAAGCGCCAGGAGGGAGGAATCATACCGGGCAAATTTTGGAGCGAATGGGACAGTACACAGCGGCTCAGCGTTGCTCTTCAGATGAGGGGTGGTATGTCTGATAAATTGCTTCTTTTTACTTCGTATAGTCTGCATGAATGCCTTGTCTTGGCGAATTTGGTTCCATGCCCAAAGTCGCTGAATTCAATACAATAACAACAGTAATAGCTAACCACTCTAGTTGATTAAATGGAGTAGTGTTGACAAAAACACCACCATAACCGCGCCACGCGCCCTTATACGGTTCCTTTTCGGACGGACTAAGCCACGACCTTATTGGGCGCAGTACTCTGTAGACACAGTGTTACTAAATAGCATTAAGGGCTTTAATAATTTCTCTAATGGCTTTAGTAATACATATAAAAACAATCACGATTCCTCAAATAATAACCCTTTAATACACAATTAACAGAGTGTCTAAATTGCAGAAATCTAAGAGCTCATCGACCTAGTAAACTATTCCTCCCAGTCTATCGCGATAGAGCAATACTAGGCCAGTCAACTCTGGGGGTTTACGGGGCCGACTCTCCCTTGTCTAGTCCCCGTGAGTGACGTATCGAAACCCGAATTCTCGTTATGCAGAATGCCCCCGCTCCATTTCGTCGATCCATTGTTTGTAATATTGTACCCAACCCAATACAATGGCCGTGGTCTCCTCTGATAATCCTCCTCGCTGTTCGATTTCTCTCAATCTAGTAGAAGGATCGGGATCAATAGTCAAGCGGGCTTCCCTGACGCTCCCTAGCTGTCGGAAAGCATCCAGAAATGATGGTAATGCCTTGTAAACGTCGCGAATACAGCGAATATCATGGGCGTATGCTCTGACCAAAATATGGAGCTTGATATCGGGACCGTTGAGGTGAGTTGCAATAAGTTTAATATTGTTGAAGGCTTGTTCGTGGTTTTCACGTCTTTCTAGAGTGAAACAGGATTGTTTAAAATATTGCCACGATCCAGGTTGAACCAATAGGCATTTTCTACCTAAAATGTATAGTTCTTCACGGTAAAAGTAGATCTTGCATTCGAAATTCCGATAGAGAACATCACATGCCTCCTCAAAAATTTGATGATTCAGTTGTGCCATCTTCAGAAAACTGAAATATGTATAAAATTCAGTATACTGACTCTTGTAGTCATCAAGAATATAGGAGAAGATCTGCTGACGAAGCTCAGTTGGTAGACGCAGTATGTGACATGGTAGCGGAAAATCTGCGTGTTTGGCACAGACTTGTCGTCTTTCACACCAGGGGATTTTTTTGAGGCATTTTCGATTGCGGGCAAGCACCGCTTGGCAAAACGTGACGGTCCGGCCGAGTTTGCGATGAGCCCAGCAGACTGGGAGCAATGCTGGGACAGTGGCAGCTCTATTTTTGCATGCGTCAAAGGAGTGTGTCAGCGCAGAGCACTGACGAGATATCTTCTTCTTCTTCTTCTTCTTCTTCTTATTCTTCGTCTTCTTCTTTCCGGCAGTAGCCATTTGGCGGTGCCCTGGCGCGGGCGGTCAACCCCACAGATGGGAGGTCGTGTTTCTCACAACAAACCAACGAGTTCAAGCGTGAAGATAAGGGGTTGTTGCCTGGAGAGCAAATTAGGAGGAGCCATGAGCTTAGTCAGCACGAGGCTAATTTTACGCGGCGTAATTATGTTCCGTATTATGTAGCCAGACAGATCCAACCAATCAGCCACTCGAGCAGCTCATGCTCACTTCGCGTCGTCCCACGCCCCCACAAGTATAAATATTTTGAGAATCCAAGGCTACAGACTCCAGTGACATATTTCCCAGGAGTCTCAGACAACTCTATTCCGTTGTTTATTTCAACTGTTATATGCTAAGGCGTAGAGGATCCGAAATGAGAACCGACCTTACATTTCGCAGAGCTTCTCGAGACCCAAGCCAAATATTTTCAACGAAAAACGAGCCAATTAATATAAAGACTCCTGGATGATGACAAAGTGACAATCATCCTAGCAATTCTGTCAGGTTACATCAGAGCATTCAATGCTATACTTTCTATTATGGTATTAATATTGACGCCATAGATCAAAGGATAATGTTCACCTTTAGCCAGTGGGCTTGTTAGCTCCTACGCTAGGGAGTATTCTTTATTTAGTATTGAGTGGGAAAGGCTTGTAGTATGCTTGATATACCCTCTATTGTCCTATAGCTTTCTTTCCAAGCTAAAATAACGTTTTGAATAAGCTGCTCTAAAAGAGTTCAATATATACCCCAGTTAATACGATGATGGTTGACAGCATTCCCCCTTTGCCTGGGTCTGTCTAGTCCCAAAAAGGCCAGTGCTTCTCAAAGATGGCTTTGTCCTCTGCGGTCTCAGCGTAGACTTCGATGAGTTCCTTTTTAATATCTTGAAGAATCATCTTGACCTGATCATATTTGTCATGTTCCACAACACCTTTTTCCGGCCATAATCTCCCTAACCGCCCCCGAATATTCATCATAATTTCCATGCCACGTTCTACAGCTTCAGCATCCTTTTCGATTTCCGCAACTTCACTCTCTGACATGTCAAGTGGAAACGGCACCAAATTCGCACTGGCACCAGACTGCTGGTTCTGCCAATCATTTCGGATATCCAATAAAAGTGCACGAAAATTTGCCTCCCCAGCTTCAAAGATACGACGAGAAACCTCAAGTGAAACTCCGATAGCCGAATTTCTGAACATAATTCCACTATAATGACTTGGATTTTTCTTTTTCACTAAACGGCGCCATGCAACCGTTAAACCTTTATCCAGAAAAAGGTTTCTCGCTGCTATTTTCTCTTCTCCCTGCATTGACTTGAAGTTGTCTGGTAGCTGAGGCTTATCAAGATTGTCACCAATATCCGGACCCTGATAATCCAGAAATAAAGGGTCTAAAACATGATCAAACAGAGGAGCTATGTGAGCCGATTGCCAATCAACGATTCCAGTGATCTCGGTGGGGTTTTCTGGGTTCACAAAAATGTTCTCATCATGAAAATCATTGTGCCAGAGGTGACCTTTCAGGAGGACAGGGTCTTTTGGAAGAAAGGTTTCAAGAGTTTTCATATATGACTCTATTGCTGCAAGTTTTTTCTCGGGAAGAGGTTGATAGAGTGGTGCTGGTCCATACAATGCTAGCATTTGCCTGGGAAAGTCAGTTAGTGTCTTGGTCGCCTGTGCTTCTCGACGACCGATGGCCTTCCTATATTCCAATACAGTATCCCCTTAAACTTTTAGCCGCAGAAACCTCAAGAAATAACACAGAGCTAATCATAGAAACAAGATGAGACTTACATGGGCCCTGATCGCAGTTGATACGGTTACGCCCATTTTCAAACCACTCATAGTTTGAAGCCCGGCCAACGATAAATTTCGGGCATTGGACACCATTTCCTTCTTTGTCGATGTAGAGATATTTTGCGGGAGGATTTTCCACGTCATTTACAAAGTAGAGACTTCCAAACTTGGTGAATGTGATAGATGACCACGCTCTTTGGTAGTCAAACACTTTGATAAGGACTTTCAATTTGTCAATCTGTTGCAAGCTCCTCCAGCATTGCGCTAAGGGAATTCCTTCAATCTTTTCCATGACGATAAACTCGGCGCCGACGGTGTTACTATCATCAAGCCTGGAGTTCCACGCATGAACTTGCGGCGTTGGAGTTTGGAGAACAGTCCGCATCTAGGGAGCAGTCAGTTCAATGCTGTATTTCCTATATCCTATAATCCTACACCAAGAAACATACAAAATCTAGAGTAGCAACCTCGCTAGCAGTCGTGAAATGCGGCGTTCCGGCGTTGGGATTGGGAATTTTGCCGATGACTTGTTTTCCATCATCCATTGTGAATACAAATGCTTTATTGTACAGTCCATCGGCGCACTTCTCAACGTTCGTACAATGCCTAGCACCAACAGACTGTGCCGCTATTCGAGCCAGCTCGTTCATATCAAATCGAACATGCCGCTGTTTCATCTGTTCAGCTTCATCAACGACAAACCGGCCTCGAGTATAATCAAAAAAACTATCATTGGCGTTCCAATCTACACCATTTAGTCATGTATCAAGCAAGAAGAATGCTTAGGATTACTTACTTTTCCGAAACATCGCCATTGAGCGTGCTGCATTGGTGATGAAGCCATGAAATCGGCCGGGCCGTGTATTGGTCTTCAAAGAAAACATTTCTCATTGATGACTGAGGTGTTAAGTAGGCCAAGTGCTTATATCACTCCTTATTTATGTTTGTTGATGAAATCAAAATAGGGCTCTGTGTTTTATGTTACAACTATAGCCAATCCCAGTTGTGTTTTTTGCTTATGTGTTCCATGTACTTCAATACTAATATGGATCTGCACTGTAGATTCTAACCCCCTCCCTCAAAGCTATAGCTATATAGATTGCCTGAATACATAGCTTTTGTAACAAAAGAAACGTCCTCCTATACAAACTGATATGTTGAGAGAAACGCACATACCTTGACCTCTACAACATCAAATGGCTGGCGGAGTTATCGAATATAGGAATAGAGTTAGTTCCTACGCAATTTCTTGTTTATGATGAATTGTTCATAGTGATGGGCCTTTGATCTCAAGATAGCACCCGTTGGCAGCCAGGTTCATTGAAAATAGACTCCTCGGCACTAAACCTAAATAAGCTTAATGAGCCGCATCGGCCTATAGTAATGCCGAACCGGGATTCTGTAACCACCTAATCACAACATCTTCGCACCAGCCTGTGCCCCGACTGCCACTACATGCCGAATGGTTCAAATATGCAAAAACGATTCATACACCATACTAGCTTGTTGAAATATCCTAGTATTTGGGGCAACAGATCAGCTAGTTAGAAAACTAACCCGGCTCGGCATCACTATGGCTCGCGAAGATAAGTTCAATTTGCTAGCTACACTTGCCGATGATCATGCTACCTAGTACCTCCCCCAATCTCACCTACGCTGGCCTCGCCGGAACGCCCTTGACACACTTGATTTCTTGGAACCGGTATGCTTTGCAGTTCAGTGGGTTGTTCGCCGCCCCAATATGTGCCATGGCAGCCGATGCGCCGAGCGGGCACGGCGCCGACAGCCCCTTGTCGGGGAAGAGACGCAGACAGATCGCACAGTCGCCATACATGCAGTAGCCCTCGCCGCGGAAGATAGCTGCGAGAGCCGGTGTCTTGAAGTTGGCAATAGCCATGTGCGGCAGTTGGTTGCCGAACCAGCCCGGCCCCGTGTCTCCGCGCTGGCCCAGCTGGTCCTGGAGAGACCAGGTGCCGTCGTCCGGCACGAATCGGCCCTTGTCGGCGTCGCAGTCGGCGGTGGTTTTGCAGACCTGCCAATGATCAGTGAAGAATAGTCAGGAAGCATCGGGTCAAAACGCACTTTAAAAATGAGGTTGTCGATGTCGCCACCAGACTGGTATGTTCCATCAACAGCCCGGTTAAAGTGCAGTCCGTTGATGTCCGTCATGGTATAACAATGACCATACCGAATGCCCAGGTTTCCATCGCATTGACAAGCGAATTTGTTACTGCATGCCATACATCTGGCTGGAAGGGGCTCCTCCCGGTGACAGTCGCCATCGCGGTATCTCTCTCCTGGCCCACAGCATCTCCCAGAATTTGTGACCGGGTCGTAGGAATATGCCATATTTGGCTGACAGCAACCGCCTTCAGCTTTCGTGACACTATCCGCAGAAAATACCTCGTTCAGTCGATTGCAGCATTTTCTATCTCCAGTCACAGGGTCATTGTCTGCAGTTCATGCAATTCGGTCAGCCCGCACTCTATATTTCCTTAGTATAGGAAGAACATACATGCCGAGCCTGCACACATAACACACTGATAACCACCACCCTCAGCGGGGCGGATGCTGGTGTTGGGCCCATATGCCTTGGTGCAATGGTCGACATATTGCTGTTCCTCCCCCGTGACTGCCACTACGTGGACCCGGGAAAAGAGGTACGCAACGATCGGGATAAGAACTGCTCTCATACTTACAGATTGTCTTTTTTTGCTTGGCTTCAAAGATGCTCTGCAATCGAGCGAAGGACAATCCAATATGACGAGCAGCACGGTCAACACTGCCTTTATGTATTTCATTTGAGATGGTGATCGGGAATATAATTATTTTACTCCTACGCTCGGATGCCTCGACCAGACCGCCATTCGAATCCTCCTTTGCCCATTTGTGGTGAGGATCAAGGCGTCCCACACCTAACGTTTCGTTTTCATTCAGGAAGAAACCCCCATGAGTGGGATCTTCTCCCTAGTCGTTACTGATCATGCCAGCCTTTCCCAAAAATGGTCTACACCTTACCATCCAGTAATTGGAAAGACAACCACACTCCTGCAAAAAGAAAGCGTGAGCTTTAGTCACATGCTGCTATTTGCAACCTTTTCTTCCTAATGATTGACACTGTGTTCGAATTTCGCCCATATACCTCAATGTCTTGGGTCGGGAAATAGTTGAGGGTGACTAGTCATAAAAACTAGGGAACCGCGTTGCATTTCGATACGGGGTGTGGCCCCCTTGACTCTGTTAGAGCATGCTTGCTTTATATGCAGCACATTGAGTCATCATATATGTGTGTGAACAATATCGAAACCATTTCTGCCTTTTTCTTCAGAGCTTGAAGCTCCGAGTTCGTAGCCCAGAGTCTGTAGTTGTTTCGCAAGTGCCCACTGCGGCATTATATCGGCTTTGGGGTCAAGACTACATTTCCATTTCTCCAAGCCCTCCAAAACCCCCGAAGGTGGCATAGGTTACAAGTAGCATAGATATCCCCGCACAGAACTTTTCCACGACACCAACTGATCGGCCATGTTGAACGAGGTCGCTGGCTAATTTTGCAATGCCAAAGCAGCACAACGGAAACACTGTCGACTAACGATGTACATATATATGTACACACTTAGGTCCGTACATGCAAGAATATTAATTCCTGAGCCTACTGGCTTGTCTGGCAGGCGAATCAAAGACGTTGGGGGCGTTAAACCTAGAGTGAATTTAAATTGCTGCCGGTGTTATTTGGGCTTAGGGATGCTACATTATCGCATAACAGTAGTTGAAAAGGTCCTTAAGCTTAGGTTCGCCTTAGAAGATAGAATACCAGAAGTGGAGAATCACAGCAGAATGGCGCCGCAAAAGAAAGGCAGAAATCTGTACTCCGTCACCAGGCGAGAGCCGGGGTGTTTCTCTACTGCATCACAGCCTGTACAACAATGAGGCTCGCCCGTGGTGAAACAGCGGGTTCTGAATCTAGCGTTGGCTCTGAATCAATCTGGCCCTAACCCGAGAGGACTGCAGTTCAGTTGCATGGCTTCTCCCTGGGCGTGGCTTGTGAAGCGGAGCTCTTCCCCAGGCGCCCCCATGGCTGATTCTGCTTTTTTTTTACCCGCAAGATCCGGGTTCCTCGATGGCTGGGTTAGTGAGAAGACATGTCACACCTTGTGGTGCATATCCGGTTCCGTTTGCCTATCAGCTCTGGCGCGTGATGGCTCTGGGGAGTATTTGAGCCGACAGCAGGGAGGGTTGGTGAAGGGCGATCGGGAAGACGACGGGAAGATCTGCCTGTAGCTAACTAGGTGGTTAGTTAGTTAACTAACTAACTAGTTGATGAGTTAGCGAGAGAAGCTGTTTCATGAATGACCAGTTTGTACTCCGTAAAGTAAAGTGACCAGGCAGAAGAATGGGCGGGTTGTCAGCTGCAACGAGTTAGTTAGTGAAGTGGTTAAGTTAGTTAACTCGGCCGAGGCCCAATCCGTCGCGCTCCTTCGCCACAGACCAGCCGTTCTTTGTCGCGCCGGCGGCTCGTCAGAGATTTCTCTGCTCAACTGCGCGTTACCTTGAACGGCACCCCACTCTCTAAGCTTTTATAAGCGTCCATAGTCGACTGGGCGTGTGCTGGCCTCAGCCATGCAGCGCTGTCGATTCCTCCTCCACGCTCTCTCGAGGCTTGCACGGCCCTGTGGCATCGGCTGAACAGACGATCGCCCTCCTCCCCCAACCCTCGCCCGGTTCAATTGGCAACCCCTGGGCCTGTTGCGCAGGAGCACGAAAGTGCTTGTCGTTCCTTGCCCAGCGCGCTCATCCCCTCTTCTCCCCGCAGCGCCGCCGATTCACGACCGGTCTTCGGCATGACTCAGTCTGGCGCCCATGCAAAGTCGGACACGGACCAAAAGACGGACGGTGCGTGCGCGTCTTGCGATGGCGCGGAGGCAGATGACTCTCTGGTGCGCTTGGATCCCCTGCGAGAGCAGGCTCTGATGCGGAAGATCGATATGCACATTGTGCCGTTTCTGGTTGTACTGTATCTGTTCAGCTTCCTGGATCGAGGTGCGGCTTATATCCCCTGCTTGTCGAGCGTAGCTCGAGGCTGATGGTGTTGGATGACTGGTAGTAAACATCGGCAATGCGCGCCTCTATGGCTTGGAAAAGGATCTGGGCCTCCGTGGGGACCAATTCCAGGTTGCTGTCTCAATACTCTTCGTGCCATATTGTGTAGGCTAGCCCCTGGTACACTCCAAAGAGACCATATGTGAAGACTGACTACGACTGCCACCATAGCTTCTTGAAGTCCCATCGAATCTGGTGATTAGAAAACTTACGGCTTCCAGGTACATTGCGTTCATTACCACAGCTTGGGGCATTATTGCTACCTTAACGGGCATTACGCAGAACTTCACTGGTCTTGTTGTCTGTCGTGTTTTCCTTGGGATCGTCGAGGCAGGTCTTTTCCCCGGCCTGGTTGCCTACATGACGCTATTCTACGGAAAACGGGAGATAGCTCTTCGAGTCGGGTACCTATTCAGTGCTGCGGCCCTGGCTGGCGCATGTGGAGGATTGCTTGCATATGCCATCGGCCACATGGATGGAGTCGCCGGCCTTAAAGGCTGGAGATGGATCATGATAATTGAAGGCATCCCATCTGTGTTCTTGGGTATCATCACCTGGTTTGGCCTTGCTGACGATCCGGATACGGCATATTATCTCACAGACGAGGACAGAGCTTTTATGAAAGCCCGCCGGAGCCTGGAAATCGGCCAGACCGATTCCGCGCAACAATTCCATATGAAGGATGCCAAAGAAGGCGCCAAGGATTGGACTATTCTCCTTTTTTGCTTGGGCCAGTTCGGGGTTGACGCCGTTTTGTACGGATATAGCACGTTTCTGCCCACCATCATCCGTGGCATCGGCCAGTGGACGGCTCCTCAAGTGCAGGCTCTAACTATTCCATGCTACGCCGTTGGAGCTGTCACTTACTTGATCGTTGCTTGGTTCAGCGATCGGACGCAACAACGTGGCATTTTCACTATTGCCTTCTGTGTGATTACCATTGCTGGCTATGCCGTCTTGATTGCTGATACTAGTGCTGGCGTGCATTATTTTGGATGTTTTCTAGTTGCAGTCGGCCTCTATGTCTGTGTTGGTCTTCCGCTTGCCTGGCTACCCACCAACCTGCCACGATTTGGTAAACGCGCTTTTGCCGGTGGCCTCCAGTTGACGCTTGGGAATGTTGCTGGAGTCGTTACGCCGTTTCTATATCCCAATCGGGGGGCGCCGCGATATGTAATGGGCCATGCTGTTACGCTGGCACTTACAGCGTTCTCCGCTTGCATCTATGCGTTTATGTGGTTCTGGTACCGGAGATGCAATGCTCTGAGAGACCAAGGTATGGAAGACAAAAAGATTGAGGGTATGACAGAAACCGAGATCCAGGAGATGGGTGATCGGAACCCTCGCTTCCGCTTCACCACGTAGTTAGCCTGTGGATTAATTATATTAGTTCGCTTTCGGAAATCCGATATTAACTTTCCGTGGAAACTCTTGCACTCCTTACTCGTTCCCAGTCCACCTGTGAGTTCTGAATTGCGTTTTCCAGTGCCATGTTTCTTCCCTGTCGCCACTGGCTTCGTAGCAGTCCGCAGGCAGAAAATGCCTACCTTGCTGCCTATCCGCCTGGATCGTACTGCATACATGTTTGAATTCTTGCTTGTAGTTGTATCGCGCATGACGTCAAAACCCGTGCCCGCTGGAATTTTTCTGGTAGAGCTTCGTCCTGTGTAAATGGAAGCTTCTCGTAGCAAAATCTGAACCTCCCATCGTTGACTCAGTTGTTGGGCAGTTGGTCCCTCTATGTGCGTCCACGCCTGCTAGTAACTAACTACGCGTTGGAGCTATTCTTGGCGCGTCTTTCCACGATGGACGCGGCATCTGAACAACCGTCGACATCCCACACCGGATCCCAGGAAACACGGTCCGAAGGCGACAACCACCGTGATCATAGCGGGCAGCAGGAGTCTATTTCTCATGAAAAGGCGTTTTTCCCAATCCGATCAGCTTCGTCTCGAGTACGTGAGTCGTCTCCTTCCCATCGAGATGCATCTGTCGTGCTGAGCAGACGAGAAACAATATCTGGGAAATCAGAGCACACTAATAGTGAGATCAACCAAAATGGCGCGGCATTACCCGGATGGACAAGTGCCAACCCTATTGTGTCGAGGCAAGATGAAGAATCAGCACACCTCGAGCGGATCCTGTCCACTATGTTCGGTCGTGCGCGACAGGAAGCCTCCGAAGAAGAGAAAACAAGACATGTCGGAGTGGTATGGAAGAACCTGACCGTAAAAGGGGTTGGACTTGGAGCCACATTGCAGCAAACAAACTCGGATGTGCTACTCGCAATTCCCAGACTTCTAGGGAGATTGTTTACTGGAAAGATTCGCAAGAAAAAGGCCGTAAGGACCATAATAGACGACTTCACGGTCAGTGTTTCTACTACGTGGTTGACTCAACCTTTTTCTAACAGAGACGGTAGGGATGTGTAAAGCCAGGAGAGATGCTGCTGGTGCTGGGTCAGCCCGGCTCTGGCTGCTCCACCTTTCTAAAGGTACTGGGAAATCAGCGAGCAGGATACGAGAGCATTGACGGAGAAGTTTCATACGGCGGGACAGATGCAGAGACAATGAGTAAATACTACAGGTCGGAAGGTACGTGATTATTCTCATCCTATGGTTTCCTTTAACTAAGCTAATGAATCACACTCCAGTCCTATATAACCCGGAAGATGACCTGCATTATGGCACCCTTTCAGTCAGACAAACGCTTAAATTTGCGATACGGACCCGGACGCCTGGGAAGCAATCTCGTAAGCCTGGTGAGACTCGTCGTCAATATCGGGATACCTTTGTGACAAATGTTGCCAAACTGTTTTGGATTGAACATTGCCTGGATACTAAGGTTGGGAATTCAATTGTTCGTGGGGTTTCTGGCGGAGAAAAGAAACGTGTATCTATTGCCGAAGCTCTGATCACAAAAGCCAGTACTCAATGTTGGGACAATTCAACCCGTGGCCTAGATGCGAGCACTGCCCTGGAATACGTTCAAAGTTTAAGGAGTCTTACGACAATGACGCACGTTTCGACGTTAGTCGCAATATATCAAGCTTCTGAATCATTATATAACCTCTTTGATAAGGTGATCTTGCTTATCGAGGGGAGATGTGCATATTTTGGCCCAATCGGCCAAGCCAAGGCCTACTTTGAAGATCTTGGCTTCGAATGTCCACCTAGATGGACGACTGCAGATTTCCTTACCTCAGTTGCGGAGCCCCATGCTCGGAGGGTAAAGAAGGGTTCGGAATCCCGTGTCCCGCGATCTGCAGAGCAGTTTAAGGCAGTGTATGATCGAAGTGCAATTAAAAAAACAATGTTGGAATCGATTAAAGATTTTGAAGATGAACTGGAGGTTAAAAGGGGCGAGCTGGAAGATATCCGAAGAACAACTCCTAAAAAGAACTTCACGATCCCCTATTACCAACAGGTTCTTGCTCTCAGTGCTCGACAATTTCAGGTTCTTATTGGTGACACACAATCACTATTTGGAAAGTGGAGCATTGTCCTGTTTTTGGCCCTAATTATTGGCAGTTTGTTCTATAATCTTCCGAAAACCAGGTATGTTGTCTTTCAATACATGGATATTCTACAACAAGCCTCTCATGCTGCCTTGTATAGTCTAGGAGTGTTTACCCGTGGGGGCTGCCTGTTTTATATTATTCTATTCAACGCGTTGCTCTCGATGGCGGAGTTGACCGCAACCTTCGAAAGTCGACCGATCCTAATGAAACACAAAAATTTGTAAGTAGTCTAATGTCTTAAAAAAGGAAATGTCCTAACGCATCACAGCTCGTTTTACCGACCATCAGCTTACGCGCTCGCTCAAGTAGTTGTGGATATTCCCCAGGTTTTTGTCCAGGTTTCTATCTTTCTTCTCATTGTATACTTGTACGTCTTGCATCTCTCCATCTTCACATAATTGGCTTCACTTAACCTGAACTTAGCATGGCCGATCTTGCTCGCACAGCATCACAGTTTTTCATTGCATTTTTATTCGTATGGCTGATTACCATGACCATGTATTCGTTTTTCCGGGCAATCGGAGCTTTGGTCGCTTCTCTTGATGTTGGTATGTATTATAGAATTGAAGGGGAGGGCTGTACTCACAGATTTGTAGCAACGCGGATCACAGGGGTGGCTATCCAAGCATTGGTTGTTTATACCGGCAGGTTTATCCTCACTATCCTACTGTAGACGACCTGTTAACATGTGGATAGGCTATCTCATTCCCCCGGGCGAAATGAGACCTTGGTTAAAGTGGCTTGTTTGGATCAACCCGGTGCAGTATACCTTCGAGTCATTGATGTCAAACGAGTTCTACCAATTGAAGCTTCAATGCGTTCCTCCTAATTTGGTTCCAGTCGGGCCAAATGTATCACCCCAGTTCCAGAGCTGTACCGTCCAAGGAAGTCGGCCTGGCCAGACGTATGTTGATGGCCCAAGTTATATATTATCTAACTATGATTATACTCGAGACCATTTATGGCGCAATTTCGGCATTGTACTCTCCCTACTTGTACTCTTTATAGTGCTTACGATGATTGGCACCGAAATACAGACGAGTGCTCGCAAGGCAGCATTCGGGGGTGCTGCTGTTACTGTTTTTATGAAGGGGCAATTACCCCCCTCTGTGAAACAGGAAATGGAAAATATGAATGGTAACCGGGACGTAGAAGAAGGGAAGCCGAGCACGGCATCGACTGGATGGGAATCTGACCATATAGATGACAAGGAAACCCAGGGCATCGCAAAAAATACCTCAGTATTTACGTGGCAAAATGTCAACTATACAATCCGCTCTAAAGGCGCAAAGAAGAAACTCCTACAAGATGTTCAGGGTTATATCAAACCTGGGCGTTTATGTGCTCTCGTGGGCGCCTCAGGTGCTGGGTATATTTTTCCCTCCTGCTTTAGTATCATTGGTAATGCTAAGAGGTTCGTAATTCAGGAAAACTACTCTGCTTAATGTGCTTGCACAGCGCATCGATATTGGCGTTGTTACGGGAACATTTCTAATTGACGGAAAGTAAGTAACAGCATATTACAAAAATGTGTTGCAATGCTGATGGTGTCAAAAGACCTCTTCCAAGGAGTTTTCAACGTGCAACTGGGTTTGCAGAACAAGCAGACATCCACGAACCCACAAGTACTGTTCGAGAGTCTCTTAGATTCTCCGCTCTACTTCGCCGCCCAAAGGAAATCCCAATCAAAGAAAAATATGATTACTGCGAACGGATTTTAGAATTACTAGAACTTCAATCAATTGCAGGGGCTACTATCGGCTACATGGGGGCAGGACTCAACCAAGAGCAGCGCAAGCGTGTAACCATTGCTGTTGAGCTAGCAAGTAAACCAGACCTATTGCTGTTTCTAGATGAGCCGACATCAGGACTGGACTCGCTTGCTGCCTTCAATATCGTCCGTTTCTTACGGAAACTAGCCAATGCAGGGCAAGCAATTTTGTGCACCATTCATCAGCCTTCTGCTGTGCTATTTGAAGAATTTGATGACCTTTTACTACTTCAAGCTGGTGGAAGGGTGGTATTCCATGGGGAATTAGGAGAAGATTCTAGGAAATTGATTGAGTACTTCGAACATCATGGAGCACGACCGTGTCCGTCAGATGAGAATCCTGCAGAGGTACGATCTTTGTTATTCCGTACCCATGGTAGTTGCTAATCAACAGTAGTACATGCTTGACGTGATCGGTGCTGGCAACCCTGAATATAAAGGTCCTGATTGGGCTGATATTTGGGCAAACTCACCAGAACATAAGGCAACAACTGAAGAAATCGAACGACTTATCAAATCTAGACAAGATGAGAAACACACTAATATGCCCGATGGAAAGGAGTTTGCCGCGTCACAGCGAACGCAAATTATTGCCACTGCAAAACGGTCTTTCATTGCGTATTGGCGCACACCGCAATATACAATTGTACGCCGTCGTCACTCTCTTCCTAGAAGGCCAAAAGACTGACTTCATTCAGGGCAAATTTATGCTTCACATATGGACCGGTCTTTTCAATACTTTTACTTTTTGGCACATTCGTTTCGCTACTATTGACATGCAGTCCAGGCTGTTCTCGATATTTTTAACACTCGTCATTGCACCGCCTTTGATACAACAACTTCAACCGCGATACCTTCATTTTCGGGGTCTGTACGAAGCCCGAGAGGAGAAATCCAAAATATATTCCTGGTTCCCGCTTATAACTAGTGCAATCTTGCCGGAGTTACCCTATTCTTTAGTTGCGGGAACAATTTGCTTTTGCTGCTGGTGAGTTCATCCCTGTTTATGTTATAATACATGATAAATTGCAAACTAAAATGGCTGAAGGTATTTTGGAATATGGTTTCCTCGAGATTCCTTTACAGTCTGGTTCTGCTGGATGATGTTCATGCTGTTTGAACTGTTCTATGTAGGCCTGGGGCAGGCTATTGCAGCTGTTTCGCCAAATGCACTATTCGCGTCCCTGCTTGTCCCTGCATTTTTCTCCTTTGTTGTCTCCTTTTGCGGCGTGATTGTTCCCTACTACAGCATGCCTTACTTCTGGCGCTCTTGGATGTATTGGCTTACCCCTTTTCGTTATTTGTTTGAAGGCTACCTAGGTGTTGTTACCAACAAGATCCCCGTGCGATGCAGCAGTAAAGAATTTGCTAGGTTCTCTGCACCTCCAGGTTTGACGTGTGAGCAGTACGTCGGTCCGTTTATCCAGAAAAGCGGTGGATACGTGACTACAGACCCCAGCGGCATGTGCGCTTTTTGCGCGTACGCCAACGGGAATGAATTTGCAGCGAGTTTCCACGTGTTCTACCAGTATAAATGGAGGGACTTTGTACGTGGTATCCCCCTTATGACCCCAAGACTGCGAATACTAACAAAGACCCGATGTTAGGTCGTATTCATATCGTTTATTGTGTTTAACTTTCTTGCCGTATATGTTCTCTCGTGGTTATATCTCCGTGGAGTTCCGGCAATGAGGAGACGTCTGAACTCGTATCGAACAAAGCAAACTGCGTGATATATTATTTGGAATAACTACATGGGTAATGCTTTTGCCTCTCGCCACTTGGTTATTTGATATTGTAGCGCTACATTCGATGCACAAAGGATAGACAATGTAATTGAAATTGGTTCAGCCAGATTAAAAGTATATTAATGTCAACAGTACGGAGTCCAAAGTACGAACAACTTGTTTTTAGCCTTCGCAGATATGGAGTACTCCCTAGCTACATATGTATTTGTATTTAAGTTCTAACCAGCAAGCTTATTTCAGCTGTCGGGATAGTTAGACAAGCCGTCGGCGTCGACAACACCGAAAACATCACTTAATAGCCAAGCTGCCATTGTTTTCATCCTATCCAGCATGACGACAAAAGCCGTCGCTGTCATTGCCGGTGCAGGACCGGGAACGGTAAAACACCGCCCAAAGCGCGCCACCGTCACTTGGATATTAATCCCATTAACCATGCATCGATAGGGCGCGGCGATTGCCCGCCGCTTTGCCAAATCGTATGGAATTGCCTTGCTTGCCCGCAGCGCCAGCTCATACCAGCCGCTTGTGCAGGAGATCTCGTCCAGTGGAGGTCGTGCCATTGGCATCAGCACCGATGTATCGGATGGAACCAGTGTCAAAAGTGCCTTCGAGCAGATTACTACGGCTTTTCCTGGCGCAGCCCTAGCCGCGGCGGTGTACAATGTCGGCGGCTGGCTTCCAAGCAAGCCCTTTCTGCAGCTTTCCGAAGACGACTTCAAAGCTGGGTTTGAGAGTAATGCGTGAGTGTAGATTTGCAGCTAACTAACCAACTATTGCTTTAAGATTGCTTTCTTTTGCCCTCTTTCTGATCGGTGAGCAGGTTGGGTGCGTTCCATTTTTCACAGGCAGCTATCCCATTGCTTTTGAACGCTGGCAATCTTCAATACCCTCCTACTCTGATCTTTACTGGTATGGATGCAACCCTGCGCATCGATTGTAGTCCCTATCTTTCCATTGATCACTGCTGTTCCAGGTGCTACGGCAAGCTTCAGGGGCTCAGCACGTCTTGGCCCATTTTCCAGTGGGAAATTTGCACTCCGTGCTCTGTCACAGTCGTTGGCTAGGGAATTTGGGCCCGAAGGCATCCATGTGAGCCATGTTATCGTGGACGGAGTCATCGACACCGACCAGACAAGGACTTTGAAAGCCGCCACTCCAGACGCAAAGTTGGACCCAAAAGCGGTCAGTCATCAGTAGCATAACTAGACTGTGCTGTTTGCGAATACTAACATTGGCCGTTAGATCGCTGATACATACTGGCACTTGCACTCGCAGCCAAAGTCGGCGTTCACCCAAGAACTAGATCTGCGCCCTGCAGCCGAGCAGTGGTAGTAGTTCATGCTGAAGGATGGATGTATGTATACGGTGTATGTAATTGAATGAAGGAGGGAGATCGCCATATAAATGCTCGAAGTTGAGATGCACCGACTTAGTGTATGTGATATTTCGAGCCTATCTAGGCATAAATAATGGCATCGCAGAAGATCCAAAAAGGTTACCCGTACGGGCAAAAAGATTGCATCGGCCGGGAATCGAACCCGGGGCCCGTCGATGGCAACGACGGATTTTACCACTAAACCACCAATGCTTCTGTGGGGTAATATCCAATAGTATTCCGTAGCTAACTACATCATCATCTGGCTTAAGCGCGAGTGTCCGGAGCCTTTGCTGAGTCAGCACTCCCAGCCATATCGCCGCACACCACGAACCAAAGACGCCAGCGGCGCCCGTCCAGCAACAACAATCATGGGGCTTGCCGACGACCAGCCCGCGCCCGATAGCGGCCGGAATTTGCCAGCGAGCGCCGCCCCTACCGTCCTCCCTCCATATACCTTCTTCCGAGGCCTGCTCTACGGGTCCCGCGACAAATATGAAGCCCAAGTCACCAAGCAGGCTTGCTATAGAGCAGAGGCCAGCGCTCGCCTTGTCAACAGGCCTCTCACGGAGGGCGAGGCGAACTTCCTTGCCGAGAATGCTGTCGACTCGATAGTATTTCGCCAGACTTTTGCCTTCACGAGCCTTGCTATGGCCACTGGTTTCTGGATCCCCCGCGAGGTGAAGGAGTATAGGGCGAAAAAGCTGGAGCCGGACTACGCACTAGCATCACGCTTTTCTCGGAGGAAAATGATAGGCTTCAGAGTCGTCCGCTCTCTTTTTGTTTTGCAGTTTTGCTATGCATTGGGGTATTGGTGCGGACATACCGCCGGTACGATATACATCTCTACTAGAACCATGAGTGACGAAAGGATGGAGGAATTCCGCAAAGATATTCCATCTCGAGAGGAGGTACTGAAGCGCGCTGCTCAGCTTCGTTTAGAGACAGGCGCACAGTATCGAAGAGCGCGTAACCAGCAACAGGCCGGGTTTTCGCCGACACAAAGTTCGGGCGAGCAAACCGAGCCTGCTGTTGACGAATTTGCGCCGGACGATGCCGGATTCGGCGACTCGAAGGTCCTTGGCCAGGTCTACTCCCAAGGAAACAACGCATTTCAGAGCCATCCGGCACCTCAAGACAGCCAACCACAAACACCCCGACAACCACCCAAACCATCTGGCGAATTGTTCTGGGATGACGATTCTAGCCCTACAAATGCAAATGCTGGCACAGCATCACCCTCTGGCAGCGTCTGGGAACGAATCCGCCAAAACTCCTCGTCTTTGGGATCTTCCCCTGCTCGTGGAGTGTCCGTTAAACCACCCCCACAGAAGCAGCAAGACCAGCCGGAGTCCAATGACGGCTGGCAATCTGTTGATCCTGGATCAATGCAGGATTCTGGAGACAGGTATTCGGGCGACTCTAGAACCCAGGCCCAGCGAGACTTTGATCGGATGGTTGAGAGGGAGAGGGAATTCGGATCTGATATTGAGAGAGATGGCGGCAATGCTTGGAGTAGAAAATGGTGAATTGTTTCAGAATATCAACTGATGATCTGAGATTGAGTCTTGATCCCGCGTCGGACGGACTTTGATATTATCTATTCAAAATTCGGTGTATAAGAAGCAATTGGGGGCATGTTTCGTATTACGCTGTCATATCACAAAAAAAAAGTGTACATTATATAATAGCCGTCGGGCCAGGGGTACATTAGATATCCGGGTATACACAGTCCAAGAAAGGGGTTATCAATTAAGGGAGGGAATTTGAGGTATCAAGGAAGTGAATCATTATGCGCAAAACAAAGGAGAAAATTCATCCCAAGACATGTCCAGGACTTCGATATAATGGCTACATAGACCAAAAAATCTCACATCTCTTTCACCTGAAGATCTTCCAATATTACCACATTTCTTTCTAGAACTCATTCTTGTTTAAGTTTTGATAGGTGTTTTCGATCACACTTGTCATTGGCACACTTTCGTAAGGTGGCGCGTCTACATCACAGGTAGGGGACGTGCGCATATTTCGCCCGCGGCTGGTGCTTCGCATTCGATCCGTTAGGCTGCGGATCTTGTTGGCCAGGCCATCGTTGATGCTGCGTCCGCGGCGGTGGGAATATTCCGCCATGGAGCTGCGAGCACCGCCTGCGCCGTGAAAATTGGGATGTGGATATTCGGTAGGGGAGAAAGAGGGTTGTGACCCTTGCTTGGGAGACTCGCCTGCGTTGAGCACGGTAGGCTCGTCAATGGCAATATTTATGGTACCAACGCCAGAGATGAGGGAGTTGCGCTCCTCTGATGTTGGGGGTAAGTGCTGGTTGCTGCCATCTATGATTCCGCCGGAGGGAGCTGGTGGTGGTGGCGGAGGATTGGACAAGTGCTGCAGCTCCGGGAGAACAGGAGGTACGAAGGCATCACTCTCTTTCCTTCCAGATTGACCGGAAAAGCTACCATAGTGCGACGAATTCAGAGTTCCATCTTGAGAGAGTTCCTTCCTATGGCCAATGGATTTATTAATCCTGCTGCTTGGAAGCTGGGGCTGGAAATGCGGGTGTGCAGGAATGCCGCTAATAGCCTGGTCACTGACATCCTCGGGGATGGGTGCCGACATTGACCGTGAAATACTAAGAGAGCGCCCAGGCTCGGTTTGAGAGACGGGACTCAAGCAGTCAAAGCTGCTACTGTCCGGCAGAGGCGGAACATCTCCATATCCAGAACTATATTTAGGATGTCTCATTGCCCGTGGTGTGGCTGGTAAGCCAACAGGAACAGGTGCAAAGTTACGGCCAGTCGAACCATCTGAGCGTGTCGACATGGCAGGTGACGGATTATGCCTGCCCATGACCCTTTGGCTGAAAGAGCCGTTGGTTAGGGGAGGGCTGTCGCCGCTCATGGCTCGAGACCTGGCTGGCACGCTCTGGCCCGCACTCAACTCGCCGGGTAAAGGGATGACCGGAGCCGATGGCCGACGAACTAATGAGAGTCGTCGAGCTTCTAACTCGGCTGCCGCTTGTTCCTTTCTTATCCGCTCGGCATCTTTTTGTGTCTGATCCTGGCCAAGCCGACCGTTCCATTCTATGTTTTCGGCAAATATTGGAGCTCCATCACTAGCTTGGCCTGGTGTATAACTTCTCTCTTGGCCGTGAGCTAAGCTCGGAAGAGTGGGTCCAAAGGCCACTGCTTGCTCCACCGCTTGCCGGCTCCGTGATCGGCTGCCAGGCTTCCTTCGATCTGGAGAGGAGTCACGTCGGGCGCTTGTGCCGCGTTCTGGACGGCGGCTCGAACCCCGATCACTAGACTTTAAGCGTTGATTTCTGTCGGCACTGACAAGCCGTAAATTGTCCTCAGGCACGTTGTGGCTTTCGGAGGGCGACATGGGAACTGGTGAAGAAGGTGACCTCAGCCCGAAACTGTTGTCCCTTCGTCGGCGTCTGCCCTCCCTGCCCTCGCTGAAACTCTGGTCAGCGTTATCGTTGTTTCTGGAGGGCGGCCTCGATGACTGGCCGCCCCGAGACTTTGATGCTCGTCGGCGTGAGTTGTCGCTTCGACTCCGGTGTTTTTTAGACTCCTTCACCTGGAGGTTTGGGGTAGACTCATTTCCAGTTGATGAGTATAGTGCAAAGTCTTCGGGTGACATTGGGACGGGAGATGAGGGTGAACGTTTGGCAGGTTGGATATATCGTTGTTTACTTCTTCCTCGGGATTCTTTTCCTTTCTTATTTCCTTTGGAGCCGAATTCATTGTTTTGGTGCTTGTGCGAGTAATACGAGGCAGCGTCCAGACTACTAATGTAGTCGTTGACACTTCGGCCGCTGATACTTCCTGAAGGTAAAGAACCAGTCCCTTCTGTGGTCCACGTAGGACTAACTCCAATAATTGGATTTCCTTCCCGTCGCTGAAGAGATAACGGCTGAGAGAGCAGGGATCCACCAGAGCTAGGGACAGAATCTTGAGAAGAATAGACTGGGGGCCATTTGATGTGAAGTCCTTCGGGTTTTCGGTCTCTTGAACCGTTTCGAGTAGAAACTGAAAAGTCTTCCGGTCGAAGGTCCGTCTTCGAGGTTGGCCTAATAGGAATACTTGTATCCTCCTGCGGAACAGAATTTTTGGGTTCGTCCTCTAAAGGGTCGTTACGGGGCGTATATCTAGCAGAGGTGAGATATACCAGAGGTTGATCCTCAGATACGGGTTGATTCTGGGGCATGATTGACTTGTGCTCCTTTTCCCTCTCAGAGCCGGAGTAATCAGGCGTAGGTAACGATTTTGGTATCGGTAGACTTGGGGGATTCACATCCGTTGGAGTCTCGCCTATAGATGGTAACCTGTTCTTGTGGCCGCCAGGTGTAATGGTCCGCGCAGAAAGACTGGGCCTGCTGGGTTTCTGTTTGTAAAGGGCAGAGCCGGCAGGCGACATGATATAGTCCCCCATGGCAGACTCGATAGGGGTAACGCCCGGCATATTGATCGGCGTGCGATCAGCTGACTGAAGACCGGGAAATCTGAAAGCGGTATTTTCGGGCCCAAAAGAAGTGATAAGTTTCAGCGCCTGTTGCTTGCCAGCAGGCCGAGATGATTTGGGTGACGAACTTGTAGGTTTAGGATCGGAAGGTGGGACAACGACTAATGGTGAGGGGGCCTTGCTGGCAAGCTGGTTCGAAAGGATGTTCGCCATTTGAACAGAGGGCGAAGCCCATGTGTCAGCGTTATCCGTATCTGTGCACGAGAAGCACCGGATGGCCAGGTGTTGCTGAGAATTCTGAACGACATATTCGCCCCATCTGCGCACCAGATATGATTGCCTGGCCCACTCAGTAGGCATTACCAGGCAGGTGAGGAGGGTGGCCTCCATATACATATTCCTCGATACGTAGACTTCAACACCATCATTTCCATCTCCCATACCGATTAGGACAGCAACTGCAGCATGGATATCTCCTCTCGCTAGCAATTTTTGCACAAAGGTATGGCCCATCTTTTTTGTCTCAAGCTGGGTGTTTAGTGTGCTAAGTGCAAGGAGCATCCAACCGGTGTATCGCGAAGAAGCGGAGGAGGCCATCCCCAAAAGAATATCATAGTCGACATGGCCCAGCCATCGGCCCAAGATTACCGAGTGTTGGTCTCCAGGTCGATGCCGTCGTACTAATGTAGCGAGCGTCGGTTAGCCAGTTCTCTTGTAAACATTATTAGCAGTTCATAGCTACTTACGCTCATCGTGAAGCAGGTCCAGAATATCGCCCTCCCAACCAAAGACCACATTGAGCATTTGCTTCCGCAGTTCATCCGGATTGAGCTCCGCCTCGTTAAGGCGTGGCGGAGGGCGAAACGGCACCTCGTTCAAACGGCTTCGAATAAACGGAAATAGGTCGGCGATAGGCTCGTCAACAGAGCTAGGGATGTATTCGTTGCGAAGGCGAGATGTTCCACGCAGGGAGCCTCCGGAGACAATGGATGCAGACGAGGTGTATCTCATGGAGTATACGCTTTCTGCACCTGATTGTACAGGCGAGCTGGTAGAAAACGTTGTAGTAGTGCCACTGTACAAGCTTCTCGGAGCACGAGGCTGGTAATGACGGCTTAGGGAGTTCGAGGATATAGACTCCGGGCTTTGGAGCGGAGGGCGGTCCGTCCTGCTTGCCTCCGTTATTTCGAAAGTCGGCGTCGAGCGGGGCGAAGGACTGACAGAAGCATCCTTGAGCTCCGCGACTGTGGGGTTGACATGAGCAGGTGGAGTGGAAGCCAGCGCGGCCTGAAGCGGAATTGAAGTGTTTAAGGCCTCGGCACGTCCTGAGGTCTCAGCTCCCGGGATGTGCTGCACATTAGCAACCATCATAGGGTTGAGCAGATCGTACTGCTGTACGGTGTGGTTTGGTCCCAGGGTGAAGAGCGTTGCAGTTGGACCGTAATTTGCGATGCCTCGAACGCCTTGGATGGTTGGAATGCGCTCGTATGTGACATGCTTGGTTCTTACGTCCCACGCCCATGTTTCGCTATATTGTCGGGGAAATCAATTAGCACAGGAAGAAATTTAAGATGAAAACACGGCGTACCTGTCTGAGTACTGGACAATGCGACCGTTTTTAGACCAAGCAAGCCACTTAGGCGTGGTGGCGGTGGACTCTGGGCGCCTTAGAGTTCTGATGACGCGGGGCAGATCGTTTGCGGTAAGTTTGGACACGCTCCACACCAGCAAGTCACCGTCGACAGTCTGCGTGGCCAGCATGTCGGATTTCTGCTTTGTCGATGAAGCATGCCATGCTAGCGATACGATTGGGGACGGAGCTCTGGAGGTGGACAGGGTATGCAAGATAGTAAAAGGTTGAAGCGTGGCGATCAGTATCGAGCCGTTTTGGTATCTATAGCCTGGAGGTTAGTGGCCAATGCCTTTTGAATTATCGGGCTGAGGCTAGACGGACCCAATAGCGTGGGACTGGCAGTCAGCTGCAGGCGCTAATGCAGTAATGGGGTCGAAGATGGTTCTGGCGGAGATATGCTCGGACGTGGACGGTTCGAAGAGGATTATATCGCCCTTTCCGCTCCCTGGTGAAAGTCTGGTTAGATCGAAACACCAATTGATACCATCACTGCAGGCGCATGGGGCGACGTACCAAAGGCGATGTTGCCATTGCGCATCCAGGCGGCCACGCGAATGACTTCGAAGGAGGCAAAGCGGACGACCTCCTGGCCGGTGAACAAATCCCATATGATGGCGGTCTGGCTGGCGTCGTAGCTCACCACCAGACGGCCGGCGCCACTCTCACTAACATTGTCGGCAGCAATGAAGGTGATGGGGTCGGTGTGGGCGTCGAAGGAGCGGTCGACGGCGAGGGTGTCGTGGTGCAGGGCGAGCACGGTGGAGCCATGGGCGCAGAGGAACAGGGAGGCGGTGGCGGCGCAGGGCTCGAAGTCGGCGGCGCGGTCGAGGGGCGGACTGGGCATCAGGGCGGCGGCGGAGACGGAGCGCGAGCTGGAGGAGAGGGACTTGCGGCGGTCGAGCTGGCCGGCGGCAGACATGGCGGGCCGGAACTACAGGCACAGACAGCTCGACGCAACGGCCGACATGGAGGCTTTAAGGCCGCGGGACGGAAGTATATTTAGCAGTGGAATTGGGCAGCGGGCGTATCTGGGGTCGGGCTGCAGGCGAGGTGCAGAAAGGGGCGCAGCGGGCGAGGAGGAGGGGAGATATAGCTACGACGGGGGCGAGAAAAGCAAGGGGGCAGCCATGGAGAGCGGGAGAGGGAGAGAGCGAGGGAGAGGGAGATGGGGTGAGGTTGAGGGTGAGGGTGTAGATGAGGTGAGGTGAGGAGAGGAGAGGTGAGGCGAGGAGGGGAAGGGGGAGAGCGAGCAAAGCAGGCAGGCAGGCGGCGGCAGAGGCTGGGGCGGGCCGGGGCGGGCGCCCAGGCGGGCAGGCAGCCCAGAGCGGTTAGCGGCAGGCCGCGCGCTGGCCAGTGGCAGGCCGCCGCCCGGGCGCAGCGTGACGGCGGCTGCAGCGCCGGGGGCCCCCGCCGGCCAATCAGCTTGCGCAGCAGCGTGACGGCCTGCTCGTTGGCTGCGAGCCCGGCGCGTAGCGAGATGAGCGGCATCCTGCCTGCCCGACCTTTCGCCGCGTCTGTGCCAGGCCTCGTCATTACTGCCCGCCGTGGGCGAGAGTATTTACCCCGGGTGCCACAGCCAGGGACACAGCATTGCTATGTAGTTATATAGTTAACGACTCCCTAGTAGAACGCCCTGCAGCTATGCCGTGCTGCACGGGCGGGCGCTTGGCGGCTTCACCCGCCGCAGACGCCGCCCCGGTGGGGGCCATCACGAACTCCGCCTCCTGTGCTTCTGGCATTGCGTTGCACGCTCGTCGGCAACGGGGTATCACGCCTGCACGCAGCCTGGGTATCTCGGTCCTGTGTGGGGGTATGCCGGCGGTGTTGGACCGGGGCATCCAGCAGGACGACTCTGCGTGCATCTCTCCTCTGTGGATGTGGTGTGCAGGTGGTACGAGAGAGTCAGAGAGAGAGAGAGAAGGAGTGTGTGGAAGTGAGAGTGCGAGAGTAGAGATGTCGTTGGGTGCGGTTGGCCACCGTCGAAAGTATGGGACTAATCCGTCCCAAACAACGGCCGCCTCGCACCGACCGGCTCGAGACCAGCTCATCGACGCTGTCGTGAGACCGCGCCAGCCTGGGGGAACCGGCGTTGCACGAGCGGGTGATCGCAGAGCGAGAGTACGAACGAGCGACGACTACAGTTACTACAAACGGGCAACCGATCAATGCTTGCGAGCGGTGGGACAAAGGTACCGAGAGGCAGGGCCATTATTAGATTGATGCGTCGGAGACGACGGCAATAATGAGTTCAATAACTAGATACGGAATATACATCGTGTTGGTCGCTATGCAGGAAAAGAACACCACCGCGCGATGCACCACGAAAAAAAAAAAAAAAAAAAAAACAAGCCAAGGGGTATCACGAGAAGCACATTAAAAAAAAATAACGGTCATAAGAGCGCACTAACAAAGAGAAGAATAAGAATGGTGTAATGCACAGGACGCCGGGTCGGTGAGCGAAGACGAGAGGTGGCCGGCGGGTGGTTGCCAATCGGCCAGGCGGTGAAGGGCCGCCGCGCGCTGTGCAAGAATACGAATCACGAATCCCGCGTCGCCCAGCACAGCATGGGATGGCCGGGGGAAGGCGGTGTGCGCGCCGGCGAGCACAGCAGCAGGTGAGTCAGTGAGTTAGTCAGTTAGACTAACTAACTAACTAACCAGCAGGGTCGCAGGTGGGCAGGGTCCGTCGAGCCGCGGCGGTCAGGCGGGCGGCCGTGCGTGAGAATGGCCGTGAGTCATGGCCGGAAAGTCAGGCGCTGGTGACACCGACAGCCGAGGCGAGGCGAGGCGGGATGGGATGTTTGTTGTTTTGTTTCAGGAGTGGCCAAAGACTTTTTTTTTGTTTTTGGGTCGACGACCTTTGGGATGTTCACGGGTTGGCGGCGGTGGTGCTGGGCTTGCGCTTGCTGGAGACGCGTCGCTTGCGGCGCTGGGCGACGTGGGCCGCGGCTTGGAGCTGTTGTTGCTGTTGCTGCGCGGCGCGCAGCGCCTGGTGCGCCCGGGTCTGGGCGTGCACATGCGCCCACACCGCGGCGTCGCCGTCGCGTGCGGCCGCCTGCACGCGCGACACTTGTTCCTCGGTGGTCAGGCTGCCGGCCACGCTGCTGCTCGTGCTGCTGCCGCAGGACCAGGTCGGGTGGACAGGCACGCACACCGGTGACGGGGCGTCGTAGCCCAGCAGGTCCTCGTCGGAGAGAAAGGCGCTGGCAGGCGCGGCGTCGCTGGCGTGGCCGTCGAAGAGCGCGGCGCGGTTGGGCCACGAAGGAAACGCGCAGGTGGTGTTGCGGCCCGTCAGCGAGCAGGAGGTGGACGCGCGCAGGTCAAGCAGCGCGTCGGAGGGCGAGGCTGCGGAGAATGGCGAGAGCATGTTGAGGAGTAGTTATGTAGTTATGTAACTGTCTGTTGCAGACGTGGTGGGTAGAGTAGAATAGTGTGCAATCGTTGGTTGCAGACGTGGTGAGGAGAGTAGCTGCTATAGTAGTATGTATGTAGTGGTGTGCAGACGTGGTGAGGAGAGTAGCTGCTATAGTAGTATGTATGTAGTGGTATGCAGTAGCTGCAATAGTATGCAATAATAGTGTAATGTGGTATGCGGTGGACGAGGCAGCGGGCGGGGAGGCATCAAATATATATATAGGGCCGGCCAACAAAGCACGGATCGGGCACAAAGCGCGCCGCAGAGCCAGCTCATTGATGTCAGGCGGCGTCGATCGCCGCCAGCCCGGAAGCTTCGAGCCTCGCTGGCCCGGCTCCAAGCCTCGCCTCGCCCCGGCCCAAACAAGAGCCCACGCCCTAGCTTGGCCCTCGTTAGGCCCGCGCCCCGAAACAAAGCCCTAGCCTGGGGCCTAACCCCCTTACGGCCTCGCCCCTAACCATCACCCCCAGACCGCCCCAACGGGTGCCCCCCCCCGCGGGCCACCCCCCCCGGCTTTCCGCCCGCCACCGCCGCGCTTGGCTGCGTCGCCCACCGCCGCGGGTGCGCCCGCCGCGTTCCAGCCCGGCCAGCCCCCCCAACTTCCCCCCCCCCCCCCCCTCCCCCCCCAGAGTCCCAGACCCTTCCGCTGATGCGTCCGATCGCGAGCCCGCACAGGCGCTCTCGATCGCCGCCCGCATCACCACCGCTCCACCCACTAGTCAGTGGTCTCGCTCACTAGCTGTCAGGCTCACATTGTCCGTCGCGACACACCATATTCCGTTTTCGCTCTCGCTTGTCAGCTCGCCTGCGTTGTTTTTCTTTCCTCCTCTCATCTCGCCACGGCTAACTAGTGAGTTACATAACCGACACCCGCTGATTCAGCCAACTCTCCGCCCTGCCGGAGCCTTTACCCTTTGCCCTCTCCCAATTCCCCTCCAACGCCGTTTGCTGAACTCTCGTCTCGCCGTCTGCCTGCCCGTCGCGCCGGAAACTTCGCTAGCTGTGTTCTCTGCGGCCGTGCTGCTTTTGACAAATCTCTCTCTCTCTGCCCGCCCCCCGAGCCGGCCCGCCGCCCTGGCTCCTTTGATCGCTCTGCTCCCCGTTCCGGTGATCCATCACACCCGCCTCGCCCCCGCCGCCCAGACTCGACCCGTCACTCTCTGTCTCTCTCTTTTTTTTTCTTTATCTCTTTTTAGTACTCCGTATTATTCTCACTCCGTACTCCGTATTCCCAACCCACCTGCGCTGCTCTGGCCGGCCCCCTTTGACCGCTGATTGCGATCCTGCCTGGCCCGCTGCCCGACCCGTCTCGCCAGACGTGGCCGCCTACAACATCTCAACAGATCTGCCCGTGTCCCAGAATAGTGATTGTTTCAATTTCCCTACCCGGCTCGCTCCCCAGCAATCCACATAACTAAAACGTCGCGAAAACGCCCAAACGGATTATCTAACCACCCTCCTCCCTCCCCACCGCCGAGCTGCGCGCTCCCGTGCAAGATCCGCTTGCGGCACCCCGGCCCGGCCTGCCCGCCCACTCACGGCGCTGAGGCAAGAGGGAAAAGAAAACAAAAAAAAAAGAAACAATAAAGGTGAGCAATAAAATGAAACCAAGCAAACATGCATTATGAATCGGCCTTTGTAGAATTACACTCCCGCCATCTCATTCACCCAGCATCCCGCCACCCGTGGTTGATTTACTGTAGTTGGCCATCAGTCAGTATCTAGTTCTCCAACAAACAACGTCGGTCGCCTTACAGAAATCTCATCCATGCCCATGTCTTCGGTCGCCGCCGCCGGCGCGCTGTTGCCCGCCCCCGCCGCAGTGCCATTCGCCGTCGCGTCCACGAAGTAGTCTGCCATCTCTGCATCCAGCTCCGCCGCTGACTTGGGCTTGGGCCGGCTGGCGTTGCGTCCACGTCGGGTGCGTCCGCGCGCGTCACGTCTCCCCGCTTTCGCTGCCGCCGCCGGCTTGGGCTGCGACTTCGGTTGCCTGCGCTCGTCAAGTTAGCCGCCGTCCAACCGCGAACAAGAAAGGTGCCCCTGCTACGTACGCTACGCGCTCGCCCAGCGGCCGCACCGGCGGAACTGCTGGAGCCCGAGCCGCGTCAACCACCACTTCGATCTAGTCATCGCCACGTTATTGCTTCATTCCAAATCAGGTCTTGTTGTCGGTCTGGCGAACGCCTACCTTGATCGGACGTTTGTCGATGAGCAATCCGTTGAGTTCCTTGGCCGCCTTGGCCGCGGTTTCTGGTCGTGCAAAAGTAATCGCAGCGATGCCACGGCTAGTGCCGTTCTGGTTGTAAGTGACCATCACTTTCTTGACTGGACCCGCGGATTGATGGAAATATTCCTAGTTCGAAGCCACATTAGCACTTCTTTTGTTCGTTTTGGTCCAGTTGAGTTGCAGTCTAGTCCCCGCCGCAAACAGAAATGAACGAAGAGCGACAGGCACCAGAGATCAGCGAGCACAGAGCGATAACAGCGTTAGTAGTCCCATAGTCCAGGCAAGCTCGTCGATGTTGTCGTCTTCTCCTCCCACTCTTCCAACATCTTCATCTTCGCTTAAGCCCGCGTCAGCCCCATATCAGCCTCGAATAACCCATTTGAAATTTCCAAACAACGCCATCTTGTCTGAAACCCCAACTATGTTCGCCCCATCTCATATAACAATCCGTGGTGGTCAAATCGCTCGGAAATTAACGAAAGATGCGAATATTGAATAGGGCTTTTGTGGCCGGACACCCGCGCTTGGTAGAAGGACAATGCCAGGATAGGTCTCCGAAGTGGGGACTTGTCACCCAAGCCTTGCATAAGGCACAAAGGTCGCCATGCCGCATACGAGCGGATGTATAATCGTTGCTATGCTGCTTTCACTGCTGCGCTCGCTGATTTCGAACACCTCCGACAAGTAAAAGAAATGTTCTCAAACGAAACCGGAGTATTTTTCGCCACTCAACGGTTGAAGTATAGCAGCTCGTAGTCTGATGCCACAGCTGTCGCTGCAAGTGCAGGACATCAAAACAGTCCGCGATTTGCAATGCGGTGCGACAGTGCCCAGTCATCTCGCCAGCTTTGCATCAGGCCTTTGATAGGCGAGCAAAAGCCGAAAGAGAGAACGGCATCGTCTTACGGTGCAACAGTAGCCTTGCATATACACACAGACTTCGCCCACAACAACTGACGTTGCGTGTATGGCAAATGTGATAAAAAGAACCGACGAGTTCGATCGTAATACCGAAGGAAGATTGAAAACGGACATCGCGAACGAAACCCAGAGAGCGTCTCTGTTCAACATACCTTAATATTCGCTTCATTGACATCGGAGGGCTGGTGAAGAGTTAGTGTCACTGTGCTACAATGAGGGGCATGAGTGCAGAACAACGTACCAAACCGCTCACGATGATTTTGCTTTCGCCGGAGGCGGGAGAAGGTGCAGTAGGTATGGCCTTGGAAACAGGCTTGACTTGTCTGGTAGACTTCCTGACTCCTCCTACAGGAGCAGGCGCCGCTTTCACTCGTGTCTCGCGACGGCGCTGGCGACGAGCGCGAGTGGTGTTGATGATTTCATCAAGAGAAGTATCAAGCTTTCCAGCCATAGTGTTTAGTCCTCTAAGGAAAATTTTTTAATGTTGAGAGGTGTTGATACTGATGACGGCGCTAAGGGGTCGATGACGCGGATTGATGTGTCTGGTTGTTGATGCCTTGCAGAGAACGCGATTGAGAGAAGGGCACCAGGCTCAGCGACCGATTACGTGATTAGAAAACGAGCTTTGCTGTGAAAGAAACAGCGTCTGAATCGAAGGTGGTCGCAGCAATGAATAAGAGCAGAAGCAGTGAATGGGAAGATGGCGGTTGTCAACGACCTGGAGCAAGAGAAAAAGAGGAGAGAGGGAGGAGCACAGCCGCCCGCAGGACTTTCCACGCTAGCCTGTTTTGAAGCATTTGCTTAGGTCATCACAACCAGGTCTTGGCATGCCATCCCCGTTGCGAAAACAACGCGGTTGACATGAATTGGGAGGAAATTATTCATATAACTAGGTCTTCTATCTAATCGTATCACGACGTAAGTCATACATTCGATGTGCTGAAAGCCTGAAGCAGGCTGCCCCGCAAAGTTTAATGACAGAAGGCAGGCTTCAATTGGTATATATATGGGTGAAGGGGACGGAGTAAAGGGATGGCAGACCAGTGAGATGTCCTCCAAGAAGCCAGTGTCGAGCCCAGAACCGCGCCTTACTAGAAAATTCGCTACACAAATTCTCAACTTTTCAAAGCCTCGAGGCGACCCCTCATCTGCTCCAGCGTAGCTTCTTGGTCTTCGAATTCCTCCGCTGCTGGCTCCTCCATTGGCTCTTCCGGTCTGAGCCCCTCGGCCTTTGCAAGCCTCCCCTGTAACACTTCCTGCAAAACTTTATCAACCTCGGCATCTGCTGCTTCTTCCTCGCCTTCTAGAAGCTGATCGCTCGGTAGTGCATCGTCTATGCTCTCTTCAAGTATGCCTGCTTTGACGAGTTCAAGGCCTGTACTCCATTAACCCTACATATCCCAAAGGCCACCACGGACAACTTACTTAACTGGCGCATAGTCTCTGACAATTGGGGTAATCTAACCAGCGTATTGACATCCTTCATAATCCCTGTCGATGTTCTCAAGCTGCCTTCAATTTTGCGCACAGCAAACGCTTCATTGACCTGCATTCTTACACTTTCCAGCTGGGCCTTGCTTGTATTCAACCGTGACGATTGTTTTCGTATTCTGACCAACTCCTTTGCGAATACTCTGGTTTCTTGGGCCGCTTGGTTTGCTTGCGATGGATTTCTCTGCGCCCTGCGCGACGCCGCAACAATAAACTGTTTGGTTTTTATATCGAGTGTTTTCAACTGGGCAATGTCACGATCGAGTTTCCGCGTATTACTTCTTATGAGAGCGTTGCATTTTCTCATCTAACAGCAGTATCATCAAAGCCACCAAGTCAGTGCTCTGACAAGCTGACACAAGGGAATGAAAGGGGAATACCTGGGTTGCAGGGTCTGGTTTAAAGAAAACTGCTTTGAGGGATTCCATCTCTAGTTAATAACCTAATGTCTCAAACGCTACTTTTACATGCGGTCTTAGCTATGATCGCACTGTAAATGTATGCCACGGGTTTCTTTTTTGGTAATAAGGTCGGTGGGGCGGGGAGGTTTGTGGTAAGATAGAAGATAAAAGCAGGAATTCATGCAACGTATAAGGAAATGGGGGATCGCAAGGTCTTAGACACTGTACATAGGGCAAATTTTGTACCAGTTCAGGGATATGCCCTCCATTCTCCGTACGCACGTCCGCTTTCCCTTCACTAGCCATGATCGGTCGGTATCTTATCAGGCGTCATTGCTTATGTAAGCAGGCTAGTGACTTTTGGGGGGCAAACAGTTCAAATCCACGTGACATAGCCTGCTTCCAGCACTTTCCAAGCACGCTGATGAAAGCCGCTTTCTCTCACTCGCAAAGAACTTCCGGCCATTGCTCTTTTTCTACCCTCGCACCATCACTCCCTGAACTAATTCTGTCAACAACAAACTGTGTATCTCCTATACCATCTCTCTGATTGACTGACGAAGATATCATGGCAAACACCCAGGTTCCAGAAGGTTGGTAGGCCCTGTGCGTCATATAGAGTGCGGGCAACTGTTTATATGGCGGTGGAGTACTGTTTCCAAGTGCCATATCGCTCATTCAAATACTCCACAATATCTAGCAATGGCTGGCGTCCATTTAGACTTAACTCAGAATATTATTAGCGTGACATAGTACTGACTTCTCACAGTTCTTTGGGCTCAGCGTTCCTCCAGCACCGAGGCCGCCAAAAATATTGTCTATCTCTCGCTTTCTGTTTCCGATGTCCCTCAATCGTCAGCGAAGTTAAACCTTACTGCAACGACTGTATCGTTCAGCGGCCATTCCTCAACAAAAAACATAGACTATAAGGTCGACATGGAATTGTATGGTGAGATCGATGTTGAGAACTCGAAAACACACCACTCAGCCCGTGGTGTGGATATGATTCTTCGCAAGAAAGAGCATAAGGAAGAGTATTGGCCACGCCTTTTAAAGGAGAGCAAGAAGGTCCATTTCGTCAAAACAGACTTCGACAAGGTTTGTATCACCCATATTTTTTTGTGCAGTAACCCATATAGCTAATACACACATAGTGGGTTGATGAAGATGAGCAGGATGAGGCTCCAGAAGAGGATTTCAGCATGCCAGGTGGCTTCGGAGGAGATGGTGGTTTAGGCGGTATCGATTTTTCTAAATTGGGTGGTGGCCAGAATATTGCTGAGCTTGCTGGTGATGCCGCTGCTGGCGATGATGGCTCGGTATGTATCAAAACAGTATTTAACCAGACTGATTCTGATGCAGCTCTCTAGGATGAGGACGATGACATGCCCGAGTTGGAAGACGAGAAAACGCCTGGACAAGCGTCTGCCACGCCGAAGATCGAGGAACTGAAATAAGCATTTCCTATCTGTGCGATAGGTTTTGTCACTTGCTCCCAACTATATCCTAACTATTTTTTTTTAGCAAAAATGACAGGGGAGTCACAAAAATTTACCGGGTGAATGAGGGGTGTGATTAATTGATCAATACTTTTAGTAAATGGAGAGATTAGTGGTTTTATCAGCGCGCTACGGAACTTACTACTTGAAGAATACACTCCAACCCGGGTTTATTTACTATACTATTTCTGTATTCACACCCTATGCACCGCATGGTGTCTTTACCTGCTAGCATTATTAGCTTGGGGGAAAATTGGCAGTGCACTACGCCACCCAGGATTCTGACTTGAGCCCAAGGTGTTGCTAGACGAATGAAAATGTTCTTGAAGAAGGATCGCTATTGGATCACGTAGTATGTACAGAGCATGCTGTCCACCTAGCATCACAGGCAACCAAAAGTCCATATATATCCATTTCGTATGAGAGACGTAGATCATGATGGAAAGAGCAAGAAAGACATATGCTAATGCAGATGACTTAGTAAATCGTCAGGTCATAGTCAAATGGGTATGAAGTGAAACCGATAAGCACGCTAAACGCTTCTTTTGAGCTGCTTCTCACTATCCCGCACCTGTTACTTCAGGCGTCGAGCCTGGGTCCACTGCGTTGCCGAGAGATGCGCCGCCTTGCAGCTTCGCAACACGATCTTGCTCTGACTGGTCAAACAAATCTTCCGTCTCTTTTCGCATCGCCTCTAAATTCCATACGCCCTGCCTTTCGTCCTCGTCATCGCTCTCTTCGTCTTCCGAGTCCTTCCAATTTCCACTTTCGAACAGTGCGCGGCCTGTCGCCTCCTTGGCTTTTCGCGCTTCCTCTTCAGCAGCCTTCTTATCAAGACGCTCACGCTTCCACTTCGCAAAGGACTCTTCTGTAACAGGTGTGAGAGTCCCTGTTAGTTTGTGGCGTTCCGATTCCAGGAACTCTTCCAGAGTAAGTGTATTAAGAGGTGATTTGTCCATAAGGGCCTTCTCAGCCGCCTTTTGCTCCTTAGTTTTTAAGACAAAGCTGTAGGTAAAATGTATGTTAGTTTTCATCGGGTTTTAGATCGGTAAACTTGAAGAAGTCTAAAAAAACGCACCCTGGAGGAAGACTGTGTTTATACATGCATTTATCCCCTCCATTTGGACATGTCCAGAACCAGCCGTATTTCTGGTTCTCAACAGCCTCAATAAAAAATTTGCAGACCTTGTCGGTTGTAGTTCTTGGATTGCCATGCTTGCTTAAAACGACGTTACGCAGTTTCTCCTCATCCCAGTTGTCCATGGTATCGTTTTGCTTTTCATTTTCACCATCCCGCGAATCCGAGTATAAATCTCTCTTTTCTGCTTTCCGTTCCACTGCAGGATCATGGCTGAATTTGCACTTTTTTCCCTTTTCACAGCCTCCCTTCTTAAAGAACAGGCATAGAACTGTTTTCGGGTCTACACCAAACGGAACCTTTTGTACCTGAACTGGCTTGAAAAGTTCTGCTGCCTCTCGCTTGGCCAGCTCCGCGGCGGCTTTATCCTTCTCTCGCCTCTCCTTCTCGGCGTCCTTTTTCTTCTGGTCTGCGCTCTTGTTCGACTGTGCTTGCGCCTGGAGCTGTGCTATTTGTTTCTTGGCGGTGGCTCCTTTTTTCTAATTGGAGAGAAATTGTCAGCTTAGCAAAAGCCGCTCGGGTAAATAGGAAAGAAATGGGCGCTCATGCTTCTTGGATTGCTGACTCTGGTCCATGTTTGAAGCCGCCCGTGGGGATTGAAACCGTCGATATCGCCGTTTCTTATCCGGCCACCGCCGTGCGATGCGGAAGAAACTCTGTACTCACATTTTTCATACCAAACGTCTGTATAAAACACGGAGTTAACTCAGCACCAGCCAGCGTGCACCGAAAAGAGGCTTACCTTGTCCTCCACCGTCGCCTTCTTCTTCTTCGCCGGTTCTGCCTTTTTTGGCGGCATGGTGGCACGGTATTACTACGGTAGAGAGTGAACAGGGGTGTGTCGAAGGCTCAACAGAGAAAAGCCGCCCAGCCGTGCTTGTTAGATGTCAACGCACTGTAGGGAATTGTCGCCGTCAGAATTTGGGTGGGGAAAGCGAGAGGTTGCGGGTGGCGGTAGGCATGCTGGCCGTGGGCATAGTGAACTAACTAACTAACTGGCTGCCAGCTGTGCTTAAGCCGCTCCTGCGCCGCGAGATGAGGACGCGACAGCAGCCTGAGGTCTATGAAATACACACTGCACGCTCCTCAATTGCTGGACTCTCGATAGGAAAGGTCTTGGTAAACGTGCTCCATTCCTGCTCAGCACCGTTTAACCTTGACTGACTGATTCTCCTGCGAACAAATAGACACTGACAAGAACGTCACCACGTTCCGCGCTTCGTCGTCGACAATGATTTCCGATTCAGACCTCTACAAACTGGCCATCTTCCTTGGCTCTTGCGCCATGCTGCTGATAGTTCTATACCATTTTCTGGAAGTGAACTCAAAGGACAGCGCTGCCGGTTCAGATACTGCTACTCCCGCGTCGAAACCAACCCCTGTGAAAGGCCCCGACGCTTTGAATCCTTCATCGGCTACGGCGAAGACGACAATCTGATGATGCGTATGATATCGCACTTGGGTAGACCTGGACGCGGATGCTTCTAAGCTTGAGAACAGGACATGGTGTGCCTACGCATTTGTGTTATGTTGGTGATGGCAGCTGGATCCAACAGTAGGGAGGGCAGTCGTCGTTTCGACTCAAATTTGTGATGCTTATCGAGTGCTGTGACTCCTGCTGCTTGCTGTGGCATTTTCCTCTTATTCGATATTAGTGTACATACAAAAATGGTCTGTTGCGAGAACCCCTCACTATGAGTTAATCTCAGAAAATGAACGCTTTGCAGTGAGAAATGAAGACCCCTATATAAGAACCGCACGCCGCCTAGAAACAGGATCAGGAAGGTAACCAGGGCATAGATCAGAGAGGGCTCTGCGCTAGTTGTATTCTGATGATGTTTCAGACAATGTTTTGTCTGCAGGCACAATCTTTCGCACAGATTCGAAAGCCGCAACTGCTGATTGTCTCACGGGATTGAACAAGGTGCAGCCTCCCTTGTTGACGCCAATCCCAATCCTCGCCTGTTTTGCCTCCAATGCTCGTAATACCTCCAACGCCTTTGCTCTTTGGCTATTATTGCCCTGCATTTTATTAAACGATCTGATTGACGATGAAGCGGCTGGAAATATCAAGGAGGGTCGAGGGCCTCGCTCCGATATCTTGGGAGTTAACGATCGGTAATTCTGGCCCTTTAAACGTGCTGACGTATCATTTGTGGGGACTAGAGTTGAAAAGGCAACAATTTACTAGTCATTAGAGAATAACTATTGGGGTTGCGACATCATTTCCATTCTCACCGGATCCTTTCGTCGTGGGACCTTCGCCGTATCTCCAGGCAAGATCACTCAGGTGAGTCGATTCTAAGTGCTGACGTAGCTCGACAGAGCTAAGGAGATTTTGAGACGGCGGCGGGTCCTTTGAGCTCGACGGGCCCGAAACATCGCAACCCGACCACTGACAGGGAGTTTGACCAATACCTGCAGAGACATGTAATCGTTCGACGTGTTTTCGAAGAGTCTCCAAATTATGAAGCTTCGCATCGCAGCCTCTCCAAGAACAGGCAAACTCTCTATACAGCGGGCCGGAGCGCGAGCTTGGTCGGATCACCACTTCGACGCCAGTGTGCCGAGGCTTTTTGTTGTCACGATGCAGCCGAGGGCGACCACGACCGCGACGAGGCACGGAAGAGGTTTCCATCGCTGTGGGGAAGGGCTGAAGAGGAAGTCGATTAACCGGAGTGAAAGATGGGAGGGGGAAGACTTTGTTGGATGACAGAGCTTCCGCGTCTGGCGGCAGTGAAGACCCAACAGTGGGCTTGGCACTCGAGTCACGTGGAACTAGATTATGTAATTCGGACGACGACTGATCGGAGTTAGCCTCCATGTCACACGGGCGCGCGGGAATGGGCGGTCGCGACGGCAGCGGAGCGAGAGGCACTTCGGGCGGCGGCGAGCCCGGATCAACAAGGTCCCATCGGAAGGTTCGTAAGTTTGAATTGTTCTCCACCGCTTCGAAGCTCTCGCGCAGCCTGAAAAGGTGGTAATTCAGGGGCTGCTCTGTTGGATGTCGCCCAGCCGCGATAAGGATGTCTCGCGCGATCGTTTTTGGATCATAGTAAGACCTTCGAAGCGCCTCAGCTTTACTAAAAGATTTTACTATATCCCGGTTTCGCCGTAATGCACTCCTTTTGACGGCGCCGTCTGTCTCGACGGTTTTGTTCGCTGATGCATCTATGGCCTCAGTCTGGGTCGGTATGGCAACGTTGGGCGACGCCAGTTCCGTAATTTCGGGCTTATTGCAACGAGGGGCTTTCGGTGAAGGTGCATCAACTTCAATCACATCGTCATCATCGCTGAGTGTTTGTGATAAATCGACAATCTCCGAGAACATGCGTTTCTTCGCCTGCGCCTCCTTTGGCCCTGGTGTGGGAGTCGGTTCTTTCGCGGGGGCGGTGTGCGCGGTAGGTGCTAATGGGTCTTGCGAATGTTTAAATTTGTGGAATAGAGCCCATCCCGGGCCACCGGGAGTTGTTCGGGGTTCAGCTGGACGTTCGTTCGGTGATTTTGGCCGAGGGGGCAGAGGAATAGGTGGTGCGACAGGTGGAAGAGTAGGAATTGTAGCGAAAGATGCTTGAATTCCTGCACGCTGTAGCGGCGTCACAGGCAGATTGTTTAAGTATAGGATGGAAGTAGTGGGGGGAGGGGGTAGTTGTCTTGACATGGCAGGAACTGGCGGCATAGGGAGTCGCGGCGGATCGCACGGGCCAAATGAACTCGTCGGTAATGCAGAATTGGCAGTGGGAGGTGAACATGCAGTCGACGTATTTAGATTGGAAGGAATTGGAGTTTGGGTGTTGCCAGCATCTGTTTGAGAAGGGCCGGCCACAGGAGGCCTTGACACTGAACTTTCGGGAGTAAAGGGAGCTTGCGAAGGATTAGGCGAGATTGAGGGCGGTTCCTGCGCCATGGTAGACACAGAGCTAGGTTTTAATGAGCTTGATGGGACCCGAGAAGGGGTATCAAGACTAGGTCCAGGCGCAGAATCCCTTGGTCGAGGGGTGCTCGCGAGATCTGGAACTGCTTTAAGAAGATGCTTTGCAAAGTGCACTCTGTTAAGATAGTAGCCTTTCACCTCGATCATCTCGCACAATTGTATGTACGATGGATCTTGATCAATCAAGCCGAGTATCAATTCTGTAGGGCATTCTTTGTTCGCGTTTCGCGCGGTCCCATGAATATAGGAGCATGCAGCCTCTGCAAGAGCTTGCCGCTTTGCTAATGGCCAGACGTTACATGGCTGGGTTCGTGGCGCCTTAGTTTCGGGCAACAGACCAGGTTGAGTATTCTCAGCAGGTGCTTTGGGGTGTTGGTCAGATGGCCCAGCGATATCAGAAGGTAGCGAGGGCTGGCCCACTGCATCTTGAATAGATAAGGACGCATGAATATTCGAGTGGCTATCCTGGGAATCCTTCTGTGGATTGGCAATGCTTGTCACGGCTTCGATGGGGCAGGAGGAATGCTCAGTTGTTGCCTGGTTGGGAGGTGGCTCCCGGTCAACCACCATTGTTTCATCCTCTGCCGGTGGGTGTTGTTCAGGATTAGGCTCAGGAGCACTCTTGCGTGGCTTTTTTATTCTCTTCCTCCTTGCAGCCGGGAATTTTCCAAGGTCGGGTAGTTTTGGATTCTGATTACTTTGCTCTTGTAATACAATAGAAGGTTGGATTTTTGAATTGGTACTTGTGACCGTTGGTGTTATTATGGGTTGAGAAGTTTTGGTTATGGTTGGGGTCTGGGAATTTGTCGAGGATGGGCCCTGTATAAAGATTAGATAAAAATTCAAAAAGCCAAGCGCTGGAAGAACCTGGTACCTTCTTAACATCTTCCCACAACTTAGCAAATAATGATGGATCTTTCGACCTCCATTCTCTCATCTTTTCTATCATTAATCTCATTTCAGATGCCATCTTTTCTTCAACGGAAGTTTCGGCCAGTTCAGCTACGAGGACAGTATTTGATTTGGGGGCTGCTGGAGGAGCAGAATTGGAGGTATCATTTGACGGAATATCTGGGGTTGCCGGCAATTTCCGTTTTCGGCCCCTCTTCTTGGTTGACGCGGTACCTGGAGTCTCCAGTGGAAGATTCTCTGTGTTTGGTTCGGTTGTTTCTTTTGGTTCGGAGGCTCTGGTTGGTAGCTATTAGCATAAAAGTACACGGAGCGCCAAAATAACCTGGACAAGGGGAATATTCACATACAAGTCACTGTTGGCTTTTGAGTTAGGGGTGCGATGATTACCCGATGCCCTTTTCGGCTTTTTCTTTGGCTTCGTCGTCTCGATTTTGTCATTTGTTTCTGGGGGTATGCCCTGGGCAGTTGGAGCAGCCATACTAGCACTTGAACCTTGGTCTGTCTCTAGTTGCACTGCTTTTGGGGAGCCTGCAGGCTGGCTACTAGCACGATACGAGGCTTTGGCGCGTTCGTAATCATGGTATGGGTTATAAATTTTACTGGGGTCAACGAAAGTGGATCTTTGAGGTGAACGCTGCGAGAGTCCAATATTTGGGTCGTTTTTATACGGACTGTTTTGGCGGCCTTCAGTTGAAGAGACGGTGGCTTCCCTATGAATAATTGAGGTATGATAATCGGTAGTGTTATCTAAATGTGCGGTACCCATGCCAGATGATCCGGTCTCCATACCTGCGCCATGCTCAGATGAATGGCGCACACTCAAATGATCAGGAGTAAAAGTTGTGCCAGTAGCTAGGTGATTGGTGCTCCCAAAGGAGGTAGAATTCCGTGGGGCTGGTAATTGATGGGGGTTTGAGTATGTCCGCGAATGTATAGGCGTCGAGGCCCAAGGTTCCCTGCTTTGGTCTCCGTGAATAATAGAGGGTCCCTCTGGAGGCTGCGAAACAGGGGTTTGACGTGACGACGTAGGAGCGTATTGGGGCTGGCTTGTGCTCGGAGCACTGGTGGTAGGAACAGTGGGGATATAGGTCTGGGTTTCTCTCGCGTAGGCCGTCATAGAGTTCGCTGTATTTCGTTGTGAAAATCGCGGTGTTGGAGTGGATGTCGACAGGGCAGTCATTGCTGTTGCGGCAATTGCTCTCGATTGTTGCGCGGAATCTACGTAGCTTGTCGGATTAATAACAGAGCTATGTGTAGAGTAAGATAGGGTAGCCTGATTATGAACAGTCTTTTGTTGATATAGGTTTGAATTGTGAGAAGGGGGTTGTGGGCTGGGAGGAGTGCTCGACACAGCCCTTGTGTTGAGATAAGGCGTACTCGCAGAGGAGGCATTAGGTGTGGGATGCTGAGTCGTCGTGGGCTCAAAAGTAGTGTTGCGACTTAACGATGAATTCCGATAAGAGACCTGGGACGAATAATTCTGAGTCTTGTGCTCCGGGTTGTCATTCGAAGACCAGTAACCATTTGAAGCCTGGGGTGCACTAGACATTTGTAAGCTGTGAGAGCTGCGATCTTGTGATGCGTAACTGTGTCGGGAGTCTCTGTCATTATGTTGCTGTTCGGCGGTCGATGATGAGGATTGAATGCTTGACGCAACTTGCCCAGGCTTGTATGAAGAGTTGGGATTCTGGTACCCCACACCCTGATTCTGATAAGACGAGAAATTATATCCTGAATAAGACATGTTGTAAAGGGTGAGGGATAGCTAATCCGCCGGCGTAGCTCACAACAATCGGGACATCAGAACGCGCGGACGGCGCGAAAGGAGGCTGTCGCAAATCAACATGGGGGCGTGGGAGGGAAATCCAAAACCCAGCCCTGGTGTATGAAGTGGAGATAACTTAGGATAATAGAATAAGCATTGCCTGCATCGCCCAGACTTCCCGCTCTCCGCTTGCTACCCGTTGCTCACTTTCTTTGACCTGTGCTCGCGCCGCCGTTACTAGAAAACTGATACTGGACGGGAGGTTTAATGGATTAGTCAGCAGAAGCGTTACCTATCTGATTAGATAACCAGTTCAGCTGAGTCAGCGAAACCCTACCTGCGCCAAGGACCCGGTCAGCTGATCCACACAGTCGCACGCAAAACAAAATCAGCGAACACTAAGCGAATCTCGCTGGCACGACGACAAGAATCCCCGACGGGTCGACAGTTTCTCGCACAGCAACACCTTCGGCCGCCAGATCATTTTCATTGCCTACGGATTCGAAAAATGACGAAGGTTAATCAGGGTGCGCATCCCACCATTTTTTGGCCTTTTAGGGCTTGCTATTCCCTTAAAAGTACCATGCTAATAGGCTACATAATGTGTATAGAACTGGCTTGTTCGCGCCGGAAGTCGCGCAAGGCCCATTTCGGTGCCTCTTCGGGCGAGCGACGAGTTATTATGAGCGCACCTCTGAGCAAGGAACTGAGAGAAAAGCACAATGTATGGCTACCTGCCCTGGTTCATCGACTTCGGAGCCTGTTACCCTCGGATTATGGCCCCATTGCGCTGGAAAAATTGCTTCAAAATTCGCAAGGCAAAGAAGAATATGAGGTGAACAGTTGCTAAACAGGGACACCTTTATTTTAGGTCCGCTCAATACCCATCCGCAAAGATGACGAAGTCACCATCGTTCGTGGCACCAACAAAGGCCGTGAGGGGAAGATCACCAGCGTATACCGCCTCAAGTATGTCGTTCACGTCGAGCGTGTGACCCGCGAGAAGTCCAACGGCCAGAGCGTCCCGATCGGTATCCATCCCTCCAAAGTCGTCATCACTAAGCTTAAGCTGGATAAGGATCGCGAGAGCATCCTTGACCGTATCGGCAAGGGAAGAGAAGCTAGAGCGAAGGCTGCATCTGCATAGGTTTAAAAGGATCTCAGCTACTTCGCTCTTTGTTATGTAATGAAAGGGGTTTTCCGGCTTTTCGAGAAAAATATCGAAATGAATAAATGGGACCTTTGATGGCATGTTTTCTTCCTACTGGAGTTTTCGATGAGGCCAGGCTGTGTTTCATTTGGGCGTTTCCTCCAGTATTCTCCGCATGCCGCCACCTCTTTCTTCGATTTGTCCACTATTGATGCCGAAATGTTTCAATTACTGCCCGCATCGCATACAGCAATCGAGGAATTTGACAGGAGACAAAATTCACAAATCTTTGGCCCTTCTCTTTCGTGTGACACTTTTTTTCCCATCATCTTACAAAACTTTCACCCATTTGCCAGTATTATCTCCGCGACAATTCAGGAAGCAATCTCGTATTGCCCCTCTATGATTGTCGTGGTATACGGCTGGCATATATCAAGCTACTCAACTTCTGCTTATATCTTATTATTAGCTTAACGTTGTATAAATACAGCCCGCCTGCAGACTTGCTCCTAGACATGTATGTCCATGAAGGAATCAAGTTTGATGGCGAGCTACAGATAAACCCAAAGTCTTTCACAATGAAGGCAAGAAACATATAGTATAGAATGCAAGCGAGCTGTGAACCTTTAAAAACAATCGACCCTCTTTAGAGCTTTGTCCCCATATACCAAAGTAGAATATCAAAATAGCATAATGTTGCCGACCAAATCACATTCTCCAGAAGACAAGCATCAGCTTTTATTCCCAACGCATTTCCCCCATGCAGGCAATCCACACCCCATACCAACAAAAAGATATATCAAAAATAGTACCACAACCGCGAGCAAGGTCATCACCTTCATGTTCTTCCACCACATTCGTCTGCGTAAGTCTCGACTTCTCACCCGAAAATCTCTCGCACTGTTTCCTAGTCTATCCGTCTTGTCTACGAGCAAATCTATCCTCTCTCCGCGCTCGAGAACACGCTCAATATTCTCCGTCATGATATCACGTACATTATCGATTTCCTTGCGAGCTGACGCGAGCGAGTCGGACGGTGGAGCTGTGTTGTATTGCTGGAGCAAGGTCCGAAGGTCATTGTTGAACGCCGCGCATCCATAGGCGGGTAGAGAACCGAAATCAACGCTTTCGGGGCTATAGGTGGTTAAGAATTTTCGCTTTATTTCCAGTAGAAACGCAAAGGGAATCCGCCGGCCAAGCTCGGCGGTGGATACGACTAGGTAGCTGAGAGGAGCGTGGGATTCGAGAGCCGAGGGGGAGGATGATGACGATGACTGGGCGGTGGAAGGCGAGTCGGCGATATAATGTATGAAAAGCCGGTCATGGGTGTATGTCAGTTTCTGGGATGACTGATGGGAAATCTTGGGTAGGATTATAGATGCTAGTGACGAGGCGGAGGTTGATGACGTTCCTGGAGAGGAATGTTCGGCGAGAATGGTGGTTCTATGTGCGATGCATGCACTGGCAAATCCGTTAGCATCTGCCGATATAACGTGCAGGCAGTGGATATCATACTAGAGCAGCGAGCTTGCGGGTTTTGATGAGGATGCCATCGCTCTAACAGCACAGAAGGCTGTCACTATTCAAAAGATCCAGTCTGCGATGCTTTGGTAAAATAATGGAGTGTACGGAGTATGGCCGGTCACATTCCAAGGAATCCAGAGTTGATGCCGTTGGAGGCGCCGATCTGTTAGAGCATGTTTGTATTGTTTGCACGGGGTCTCAAGCTGAACCGCCCTGAGGCGGATAATGTCGTCATAACAGTAGACATGTCCTGTCTACTACTGAGACCAAGGGTTGTTAGAATCCAGCACCTGAATAATTCATTAAGCCAACAGTTTGGCTGGTGCAGAGGCTCCTATCCTTGCGCAACCAGCTTTGGCCAGTAGATACACCCAGAAGCAAACGATGCCTACCCTCACCGCCATGATTAACTACACTTTCTATAAATACAAATATAGTGACATCAACGCCGGAAAATATAAATGAGTAAATCAACAAAAGGGGTATTGATCGATAAAAGCCAACCCGCAAAACTCAGATCATCCACACTGTACAGGCGCTGGCTCGAAGCCCTTAATCTATGCAGAAAGAACTAGGGTTTAGATTCTTAAGAGTCATCATTATCAAACTGTAAATCAGAATTACCACCATGTTTATTTTCGGCGGGCGATGCCTTCACTTTTAGTCCTCCACTTGGCTGGCTAGCCGTTAAGGGCTTTTGTTGTCGACGGGCGTCTTTTACCTCTTGAACCAGTTCTCGAAAGCTTTCTTCAAGAGTCTTCATTCTTGCCAGAACCAATCTATTCAGGGTGTCCCGGCGGTCGTTATTTGAATTACGCCGTTGCAGGCCACCCGTGGCAAAAGCCATCTGCGTCGCAAAACTAGCCGGTACGCCTCCCACAAATCCGCCACCAACGGCCTTATTGTCACCGATATCAGAGCCAAGGCCCATCGTGAAAGACGATCGGTGATCCCGGCTGTGGTGGAACAAGCCAGTCCCACTGAAGTCAGGAACAGATCGTGCCTCAGCTTTCAACGGATAAATTGGTCGTGGTCGTGCTTGCATGATCTGCTCCCTGGGGGAAATTGGAGTGTTTGTTCCGCTCTTTGTCCGCGGGCTCTTGCTCGATGCCTTTGCCAAATGGGAGCGCGGACTGTCGTTCTCAGCCCACGGGTCAAGTGGGTTATAAAGCACAGTGGCACTGGACAGATTCCTGGTGTGACGGCGACGCGGTGTGACCGGCCTGCGAATGGGGCTGTTTCTTCGAGATAATCGTTTAGCTGTGGAAGGGCGGGAGGTTCGATTTGGCGACATAACAGGTACAGGATTTTCGGGGGTAAACAGGGTTTCTTGCTGTTCCATATCGATGCCAGGGGAACTCTGGTGGCGGCTCGAGATATCGTCCTCCTGGTTCTGGTTACTACTAAGCTCGTCGTCGCCTTCTACATCTGTTTGGCGGGTCAGCTGTCTGCCGAGTGGATGGCCATATTCTTCGTTGGTAGTGGGCGTGTTCCTATGTGTTAAGAATTCCTCGGGGTCTGAAGCAGCAGATCGCCCTATAGAGGGAGCACCAAATCTCGTCTCTTTGAGCCGTCTCTGCCTGCCCGGAAAGCGGATTTTTCGGCGCTGTTCTAATCGCGCAAGCACATGATGGTTTTCCTCTTCGGGAGGGGCAGCGATGCCATCTGGGCCGATGTCTCGCATCCAATCACTGACCACCGATCTTGGTGGGCCTCGAAGACGTGTGCTCTGCCTCTTTGTGGATTGCTGAAATGGTCGACGAAATACTTCTTCCAGGGCCTCGTCCTTTTGATGGGTTGCAATAGAAGGCTCCCGTAAGCGAAAAGTGTTTCCAGGTGTGAAGGCTTCGAACCTACTATTTTCCGCCTTGACATGATTGGGGTGAAATGGTCTATCGACAAGATCGGTCGGCTCAAACACTACGGAGCACAGGACAGCCCTTTCGTAGAAATATATTGAGAAGAGTATTGGAAAATGTGTAGCCTTTATCACAGTCCTGTTAAGCTTGATAAAATTTCGGAAAGGCATTATAAAGCGCAAGGGGGTAATGATCCAGGCGAGAACGTTTGTCGGTGCCACGTACGAAAAGAGGGCGTCGGATTTGACCATCGATATTGTGTTTACGGCAAAGAGAAACTGATGTTCCTCGTTTGCATTTTGCACAATCGCCATAAAAGAGTTTGTGAGGACAGTAATAAGAATAGTGACGACAAGGAAATGACAAATAAATAGAAACAATGTTAAGATAGCTTTTCCGAGAAAATTGTAGCGATCCCAAAGTTGCCACGCTGCTGGTGTAAAGCCCATGATCATCTGGAAAAGAGCATAGGCGACAGAGCTGGGAGAGTCTCCGTGCCCAAAGGAAAATGTGAAGGCGACGAAAAATCCACTGCAAGCAATTATGATTAAGATAAGGACGGCCAAGAGATCTGCCGCCATCATGCGAAACGCGATGAGAAGCTGGGAAAAATAACGGTAGTGGTCTAGAACGGAGAAAAGCCTGGGGACTAGGAGAACGGCAGTTGTTGCTAAAACGTCGTAGGCGGTATTTGCAATGTCGTGATCGACGAGTATGACGCTATATAATCGAAGACAATAGTAACAAAATAGCAAAAAAAGAATGCCGACATCAAAGGTATTCCAGAAGCTCATTAGGTAGAGGCTGAAGCCTTGCTCATTGAAGCCCACGATTTCGTCCAGCATGAAGCCGGCGCTCCAAAACCAAAAGATCAGCTCTAGCGAGCCGAGTTCGAACGAGCGCTTCTGGACGACGGTAAGGAAGAGCAACAGGAGCATGGCGAATGAGCAGGTCGACAGGAATTGGCGATATCGTGGGACGCGCAGGCGGGACAGCTTGAACAACGAGGCGTTCCGCGGATCATAGAGAGAGGCGGACCGTCTCACTACGCCTTTGGAAGCGGTATGTGCCTGGTTCAAGGCGTTCATTGCACCACTATTGAACGAGCCGTATTGGGAGCGTGGGGTCAAGAAACCGCTGGGCTGGCGGTGCAGATGGTCGGCGGCGTAATGAAAGACGATTGTGCCGGCCCAGATGGCCTCTAGCTGCTGGACGACCAAGGGATGGGCCAAAAAGCGCTTGGCCTGAGCGCGGATGGCGATCTCCAGGCAGGAGATGCGGATGCCCTTAAACAGTTCGTGGTGGTCGCGGTTCCGGGGATGCCAGGCGGGGGCAGCGTGGAGGTCGCTGCTTGTCGACGGAGGCGACTGGCCTTGCAGGGGGTGGAAGTCGTAGGACAGGGCGTCAATCAGCTCGCGGGTGGTGTACTCTTTGAGCAGCTTGATGGCGAGCAGCTCGCACACCATGGCTCTAGTGTGGCTGGCGCCGCTGATGCCGGGCTTGAGGTCGGCCTCCTTGCGGAACTGGAGACAGTTGGCCATGAGGGCGAAGAGAGTGGCGCGCGAGAGATGGGCATTGTGGATGATTTGCTGGATGGGCTTGAGGAGAAACTGCGAGACCTGCGGGGAGCGCAGCTGCTCCCAGGTCAGGGTGGTTTCGCATCGCGAGGCGACAAGCAGGCGCAGGTCGAGGGTGAGATAGTAGACGGGCAGCGAGTCTAAAGCAGCAGCGGCGGGAGTCAGCATGGGACTAGCCAGACCAGGCGTTTTTGGGGGGGAGAGGGAGATGTGCGCGCAGACAGACCTAGATGGGGAGCAGAGAAGATGGGCAGCAACGGAGCGGCACGGTCGGGCTCGGGCTCGTCGTCGGCAGAGTGGTCGTCGGGCTGGTCGGACGGCGCGGGTTGGGATGGCTGCAGGCGGATGCGTCGGGGAGCAATGGGGCTGGGGGTCGAGGCAGTGGTGGGCGATGCCAGCAGGCGGGCGTGGACGCGACTGGGCGACGGGCCTTGCGGGCGCAGGAGAGACGCGAACATGGCGGCAGCATCGGGGCAGCCCGCGCAACAAACAGGAAACAAAACACAAAACACCGCCCAGGTACAGAAACAAGATCGCGATGGTTAACTAGCTAGCTAGTTCGTCAGTTATATAGCAGCTCCCAGAGAGCAGCAGCAGGGCGTGGCCCGGCTGACGTCAAGTTTCCTGCTATCACAGCGGTGAGCGGCCGTGTTGATGCCAGTCGGTATCGTGACTTCGCCGCCTTACCGGCTTGGGTTCGCGGCTGTTTTGGCGCCGGCAGGCTTTTCCCGCTTGGGAAGCCAATTCGCGACCTCACCTCTCCTCCTCCTCTCGTCCCCTCCCGTCCTCGCTCTCCTCCTCTCCCCGTCTCTCCCATCTTCCTCCTCTCCTCTCTCTCCGTCCTCCTCTTCTCTCGTCCTTTCATCCTCTCTGGTTGCCGTTTGTCGACTTCGCTCGACCAACCACCTCGCCAAGACCCGCGATCCAGACCCAGCCCGTCTCGCGAAATCCAAAAAAAAAGTCTTTTTTTCCCGCAATTTTTTTTTTTTTTCTCTCTCGTTTCCTCTACTTGTCCAGTGCAGGACAAGCCCTTCCTGTCTCTCTTCCTCCTCTCTCTCCTGCTCTCAGGCTCGCCCGCTATCCTCTCTCCCCTTATACCCCCCCTAGTCACATAGTAGAGGGTTTCCCTAGCACACCACCTTGGCACGCGACTTTTGCTTGAGAGGACGGCGCCATGCCGCTCTTCACGTCCTCCGCGGACTCCAAACCCCCCCAGCTACCAGTAAGCCCGCTCGCTGTCTCCAGGCCCGACGCGACCCTGCCGTCATGCCCCGCCGCCGGTGGTGCCGTCGCTTACCTCCAGAATGAACAGCAGCCCGCCCCCGCCGCACAGTCGTCCATCAGCCCCGCCGTCATCCCGCCCGCCTGTGCGCAGATCACCGACCACTCGGGTAGGTCACTTCTGCTCGAGCTCGAAGATGGCACCATCTACCACGGCCTCAGCTTCGGCGCCGAAAAGAGCGTCGCCGGAGAGCTGGTCTTCCAGACCGGCATGGTAGGTTATCCCGAGTCGATCACAGACCCCTCCTACCGCGGCCAGATCTTGGTCATCACCTTCCCCCTGGTCGGGAACTATGGCGTGCCATCCCGTGAGGCCATGGACGAGCTGGCCAAAGACATCCCAAAGCATTTCGAATCCAGTCAGATCCACATTGCCGGCCTCGTAGTAGCCAGCTACTGCGGAGAAGAGTACTCCCACTTCTTAGCCCAGAGCTCACTCGGGCAATGGCTGAAAGAGCAAGGCGTGCCCGCGGTCTGCGGCGTGGACACGCGAGCCCTTACCAAGCGCATTCGTGAAAAGGGAAGCATGCTTGGTCGCATGCTGCTCCAAAAGTCCACTAGTGCCCATGATCTAGTCAACGATATCCCTAAAGTTGCCGGAGAAGAAGATACTAGCAAATGGCAGGAGTTTTTTGCTAGTGTTGAATGGGTGGATCCAAACAAGAGGAACCTCGTCGACGAGGGTAAGCAGTCCTCCCATATCAAAGACAAACACAGCTGATTGACTGTGGTTTAGTGTCGATCAAAAAACCTCATCTTTACTCCCCACCAAAAAACACCCTACTCCACCCTTCTGGCCGCCCTGTCCGCATTCTATGCGTTGATGTTGGCATGAAGTACAACCAATTAAGGTGTTTTCTTGCCCGTGGTGTCGAAGTCCTTGTTGTTCCTTGGAATTACGACTTCCACTCGCTAGCAGGAAAAGACTACGATGGCCTCTTTGTCTCCAATGGGCCCGGTGATCCCGCCATGCTTTCTGTCACCGTGAAAAACCTTGAAAAGGCCCTAAGTGAATGCCGCACCCCTGTCTTTGGCATCTGTCTCGGTCATCAGCTTCTATCACGAGCAGCTGGTGCGGGAACCATCAAGATGAAGTTCGGTAATCGAGGTCATAACATTCCTTGCACAAGCATGCTTTCCGGAAGGTGCTATATCACTTCCCAGAACCACGGCTATGCGGTGGACTCGTCAACCTTGCCCGAGGGTTGGGAAGAATTATTTGTCAATGCTAATGATGGAAGCAATGAGGGCATTAGGCATGTTTCTAAGCCTTTCTTCAGTGTTCAGTTTCACCCTGAGAGCACACCGGGCCCCCGAGATACAGAATTCCTTTTTGACGTTTTTATTAATACAGTCAAAAAGAGCCTTGATTCTCCTTCTGCTCTTAATGAACCAGTTAAATTTCCGGGCGGCACGCTGGAAGAAAACCGGGCGGCTCATCCCCGAGTTTTTGCCAAGAAAGTGCTCATCCTAGGCAGCGGTGGCCTTAGCATTGGCCAAGCCGGAGAATTCGACTATTCTGGTAGCCAAGCTATCAAAGCTCTCAAACAAGAGGGAATCTACACCATTTTAATCAACCCTAACATTGCGACCATTCAGACCTCCAAAGGTCTTGCTGATAAGGTCTACTTCTTACCTGTCAATGCCGACTTTGTGCGAAAGGTCATCAAGCATGAACGCCCGGATGCTATTTACGTCACCTTTGGTGGTCAGACTGCTCTTCAAGTTGGTATTCAACTGAAAGACGAATTTGAAGGCCTTGGTGTAAAGGTTCTCGGTACTCCCATTGAAACTATTATTACCACAGAAGACCGTGAGCTCTTTGCCAGAAGCATGGAGTCCATCGGGGAAAAGTGCGCGAAGTCCGCGTCGGCATCTACCATCGACGAAGCTATGCAGGTAGTTAAGAACATCGGTTTCCCCGTCATTGTTCGTGCTGCATATGCTCTTGGTGGCCTTGGAAGTGGGTTTGCAGACAACGCTGAACAACTTCGAGAGCTCTGCTCTAAAGCATTTGCCGCCAGCCCTCAAGTACTTATTGAGAAAAGTATGAAAGGATGGAAGGAAATCGAATACGAAGTTGTTCGTGATGCCCAGGACAACTGCATCACAGTTTGCAACATGGAGAATTTTGATCCACTTGGAATTCACACTGGTGACTCAATTGTTGTCGCCCCATCCCAAACCCTTTCAGACGAGGACTACAATATGCTCCGAACCACTGCTGTCAATGTGATTCGGCATCTTGGTGTTGTTGGTGAATGTAACATCCAGTATGCTCTCAACCCATTTTCAAAGGAGTATTGCATCATTGAAGTCAATGCTCGTTTGTCGAGATCTTCTGCTCTTGCTTCCAAAGCAACCGGTTACCCATTGGCCTTCATTGCCGCTAAACTGGGTCTTGGTATCCCACTGAATGAAATTTCTAACAGTGTCACTAAAGTTACTTGTGCTTGCTTCGAGCCGTCCCTCGATTATGTCGTGGTCAAAATTCCTCGCTGGGACTTGAAGAAATTCACACGCGTCTCAACTCAACTGGGCTCCTCCATGAAGAGCGTTGGAGAAGTAATGAGCATTGGCAGGACATTTGAAGAGGCCATACAAAAGGCTATTCGAGCCGTCGACTACAACAATCTAGGTTTCAATGCCACCAATGCTCTGATGTCCATCAAGACTGAGCTGCAGACTCCTTCAGATCAGCGCCTGTTTGCTATTGCGAACGCCATGCAATCTGGCTATACTGTTGACGAAATCTGGGAGCTCACAAAGATTGATAAGTGGTTCTTGCGAAAACTCGAGGGTCTCAGCAGGTTTGGAAAATTGATTAGCAATTACTCCACATCAACGGTTCCTATTCCTCTTGTCCGCCAGGCTAAGCAACTGGGTTTCTCTGATCGACAGCTGTCAAAATTTCTTAGCTCTAATGAACTTGCAATTCGCCGACTTCGTGTTGAAGCTGCCATAATGCCTGTTGTCAAACAGATTGATACCGTTGCCGCTGAGTTCCCAGCCTATACCAACTATCTCTATCTCACCTACAACGGCTCAGAAAGTGACATTTCGTTTGAGGATAAGGGTGTTATGGTTCTAGGTTCTGGCGTTTACCGAATTGGTTCTTCTGTCGAATTCGATTGGTGTTCCGTGAGAGCGATCCGCACACTGAGACAGCAGGGATACAAAACGGTAATGGTTAACTACAACCCAGAGACTGTTAGTACCGACTATGATGAAGCAGACCGACTGTACTTTGAGAATATCACTTTGGAGACGGTTCTGGACATCTACCAGCTGGAGTCTTCCAGTGGAGTGATAATTTCTATGGGTGGTCAAACTCCAAATAATATCGCGCTACCGTTACACCGTTTGAATGTTAACATACTGGGCACGTCTCCCGAGATGATTGACGCCGCAGAGAATCGTTACAAGTTCTCTCGAATGCTTGATCGTATCGGTGTGGACCAACCTGCCTGGAAAGAACTTACAAGCATTGAAGAGGCCACCGCATTCTGTGATAAAGTCAAATATCCGGTGCTTGTCCGACCATCCTACGTTCTCTCTGGTGCTGCAATGAACACTGTTTATTCCCAGGATGACCTGGCCAACTACCTGAACCAAGCCGCTGAAGTCTCAAGAGATCATCCGGTTGTCATCACCAAGTATATCGAAAATGCCAAAGAAATCGAAATGGATGCTGTTGCGAAAAACGGTGTTATGGTTGGCCATTTTATCTCTGAGCATGTTGAAAATGCCGGTGTTCACTCCGGTGATGCAACGTTGATCTTGCCGCCACAGGATTTGGATCCAGAAACGGTCCGCCGTATAGAGGAAGCAACACAGAAAATTGGAAACGCTCTTGATGTGACTGGTCCTTTCAATATACAATTTATTGCAAAGGATAACGAGATCAAGGTCATCGAATGTAACGTGCGAGCCTCGCGATCTTTCCCATTCGTCTCGAAAGTAATGAACGTGGATTTGATTGAGATGGCTACCATGGCGATGATTGGCAAACCATTTGTCGAATATCCACCCGTTAATATACCCAAGAATTACGTTGGCGTGAAAGTTCCTCAATTCTCGTTTTCTCGGTTGTCCGGAGCTGACCCAGTTCTTGGTGTTGAGATGGCCTCTACTGGTGAAGTGGCTTGTTTTGGTCGCGATCGTTACGAGGCATATATCAAGGCTCTTATTTCAACAGGGTTCAAACTTCCCAACAAAAATATTCTCGTTTCGATCGGTTCTTATAAGGAGAAGATGGAGATGCTCCCGTCGATTACCAAACTTCATCAAATGGGTTATAATCTTTTTGCAACTGCTGGTACTGCCGACTTTCTTCGTGAACACGGAATCCCTGTCAAGTATCTTGAACTCTTGGCTGGCGAAGAGGAAGATTTGAAATCGGAATACTCTCTTACTCAGCATCTTGCCAACAATCTGATTGACCTTTATATAAATCTTCCCTCAAGCAACAAATTCCGAAGGCCTGCAAGTTATATGAGCAAGGGTTACCGCACCCGTCGTATGGCTGTTGACTACCAGACTCCACTTGTCACAAATGTCAAAAATGCGAAGATCCTTATTGAGGCCATTGCTCGCCAGTATGAAATGGCCGTTCAGCCCATCGACTTCCAGACTAGCCATCGGACTGTGGTTCTCCCTGGTTTAATTAACATTGCTGCCTTTGTGCCCGGTGTCGCGAACGTCGGCTCGTCGGACCTCCAGGCTGTTTCTAAAGCATCTATCTCTGCTGGATTTTCAATGATCCGTGTTATGCCCGTTGGTGTCGACAGCTTTGTTACTGATGCCCGTGCCCTGAAGATTGCGCAGCAGAACTCCCAACAGGGCACCTACTGTGACTACAACTTTTCCGTTGCCGCTACAACAACCAACGCTGACCAAATAAGCCAAATAACCGCGTCTGTCGGCTCCTTGTTCATTCCATTCAATCATCTTGCCGGAAATATCAACAAGGTTGCTACTGTCACCTCACACTTTGCTTCTTGGCCTTCAAGCAAACCCATTATCACAGATGCCAAGGCAACTGATCTTGCGTCAATCCTGCTCCTTGCTAGCCTCCACAATCGGAACATTCATGTTATGAGTGTTACGTCAAAAGACGACATTGGCTTGATTGCTTTGAGCAAGGAGAAAGGATTGAGTGTCACTTGCGATGTCTCAGTCTATTCGCTATTCTTGTCAACTGAAGAGTTTCCACAGTGCGCCCATTTGCCATCGAAGAAAGATCAAAAGGCTCTTTGGGAGCATTTGAACACAATTGATATTTTCTGTGTTGGAAGCTTGCCTTATCATATCGCATGCAAGAAAGCTAGTCCGGAAGTTGGAATAGCTGATGCCCTTCCCCTCCTCCTTACCGCAGTTTCTGAGGGTCGTTTGACTCTCGATGATATTACTTCTCGTTTATATGACAACCCGAAAAGGATTTTCGAGCTTCATGACCAAGCCGATAGTTCTGTCGAAATCGAGCTAGATCGTCCATATGTGTTTGAGAGTCAGGGAACCTGGTCTCCATTCAACGGTAAGACCTTGCGAGGATCAGTTCAACGTGTTACCTTCCAAGGTAAAACATCTTGCCTTGATGGTGAGGTTTGCAACGACGCAGCTCGCGGAGTAGACATGTCTGAGCATCGGGCCGCGCCTCCAGCATCTCCAGAAATTCCCAAATCCCCTCGTCGTGATATTTCTATGGGACGGCGTCTTTCTTTCTCCACTACGCCGGTTGCTCGTCCATCTCGTCACCGACACATGGACGCTATCACATCGCCGGCGAATGAATTGGGCCCGCCTCTATACTCCCAAACTCTGAGTGCCTCGACTACATCGCCTTCTCTCATGGAGCTCCTGGCTCGTTCATCCTTTAAGCAGAAACACGTCTTGTCGGTGAACCAATTTAATCGAGCTGATCTTCACCTCCTGTTTACTGTTGCACAGGAAATGCGGTTGGGTGTTCAACGGCAAGGTGTTCTCGACATTCTCAAAGGACGGGTGCTCGCAACCCTCTTTTATGAGCCATCTACACGAACTTCCGCCTCTTTTGATGCTGCCATGCAGCGTCTCGGTGGCCGAACCGTCGCTGTATCTACGGATCAATCCTCCACCCAAAAGGGCGAATCTCTCCAAGATACGATTCGCACTCTGGGCTGTTACGCCGATGCGATTGTTCTTCGCCATCCTCTTGAGAGCAGTGCTGCTACAGCTGCAAAGTTCTCCCCTGTACCCATTCTTAATGGTGGCAACGGAAGCATGGAGCACCCAACCCAAGCATTCCTCGATCTGTTCACCATCCGTGAAGAGTTGGGCACTGTTAGCGGAATCACTGTTACATTCATTGGAGATTTGCGCTATGGCCGTACTGTGCACTCTCTGATCAAGCTTCTCCAGTTTTACGAGGTTCGTGTGCAGCTCGTGTCTCCTGCGGCGCTTGCTCTCCCGGAAGATGTCCGTCAACACCTTCTGGCGTCTGGCCAACTTATCATGGAAAGAAACCAATTGACGCCCGAGATTGTTGCTCAATCAGATGTACTTTACTGCACGCGTGTCCAGAAAGAGCGTTTTGAGGATTTGAAGGAATATGAACGGTTGAAGGACAGCTTCATTGTGGATAATTCGGTATTGAAGCATGCAAAGAGCCAGATGATCGTAATGCACCCGTTGCCCAGAAATGCGGAAGTTGGTGAAGAGGTGGACTTTGACCAGCGAGCTGCATATTTTAGACAGGTGAGTTGTTGGCCCAGCCTTCTTACTTCCTTGCTCGTAGTTCGGACATAAACTGACATTTCAATGCAGATGAGATACGGTCTGTACTGTCGCATGGCATTGCTAGCGCTGGTGATGGCTCCTTGAAGCCTTAATTCCCAGCGTAACACACTAATGGCATGCTACATGTGCGGTTGAATATATTCCGATTGGATTTTTCTTTGTTTTCGGACCCTGTGCTTTTAGGCTTTTTGATCATGAATCTATATAACAAAAGTTGTGTTTTCATTTCATACATAGAGATAGAGCAGGATTCGCATGTATATTGAGTCCTATATACCAGTAAGGAGTTCTCCATCGTTTCAGATGGATGTGTATATTCAGCATGGATGGCGTTCATGTGTTGCGTGTGTTGCGTGTGGTTTATGTTGTGGCGTGGTTTATTCTGTCTTTGGCTTTGCATTTTTGGACTGGCATTGATGACACTTATGATGGCCTGGATAGTTAGAACACCCTAGAAAACAGCATAGATGTTTTTTTTTTCCACTCTTATTCAATTGTTTGTCTTGATGCTGTAACGGTAATTATATTTTCTCTCAGCACACACCACCCAAGTAGCAATGACAAGATTGCACTTAAACACAATTCAGAACTATTCACTCTCTTTTCTCGGCATTTCATCCACTATCAAAATGAATAATGGCTAGCTAATGTGTAACTAGCCTGTCCATCAGTTAGTTAACTGAGTATTCAATCAAGTTTAACTACACGGCTTCATGGTCTTTTTCAACTAGCTCACTACATAGCTGACCATATCCGATTGTTGGTCTCTCCGGAGAACCACAAATCGATTCTACCAGGCGGTTAGCTCCAGCAGAGCTCTGTCCAGCGAGAGGCTAATAATGAAACGGCTGCTGAACACTCAACCCGAGCGGCTTGCTAGGGGTCGTTTGCCCACCCTGGTCTCCCGCTGCAGCGCCCGATGGTTCTCTCCCAGCTCTTCGACACCCATTCGCCCACCGCTGATCAGCATCACCAACGCCAGCTTTTATCGCGACTACCCGGCTCCTGGTCTGGTAAACGATTCAAATGCTCCCATCTTTTCAAACATTTCTTTCAATCTTCCCTCCGGCGCTCAATCTCCAGCGGAGTTGCAGCATTGGGCCGTAGTCGGCTCTTCGGGCAAGGCGAAGTTTCTAGGGGTTCTTAATGGACAATATATTTGTATACCACCCACCGCCCGATCATATCCTTACTTAGCTACGGAGGAGATTAAGGAGAAAGATCCCCGACTTAGAGTTCCTGCATTTGCCGTCAAGTATGTTGGGTTTGACGGCGATGCAAAGCGGGCGGCCGGCGGAGTTCGAGGAGCATACCTCAGTGCCCGATACGAAAGCCGCAGAGAGGATACTGATTTTACGCTTCTGCAATACTTAACTGGACATGCAGAGCTGAATGCCATCATTGAAGAAAATCCTGTGAACCTGCGCGTTTTGGAAAGGGTGGTTCTTGATCTGAAGCTGGAAACATTGTTGGACATGCCCGTGGCAAACCTCAGCAATGGCCAGACGAGGCGGGCGAGAATTGCAAAAGCTTTGCTTGACGAACCCGAGGTATTATTACTGGACGAGCCCTTTAGTATGTTATGTTGATGTCCTGATAAAATTGTATGGTTTGCTTATACTTCTATAGTGGGTTTGGACCCGCCTACTGTTGAAAGGCTCTCAAAAATGTTGCAAAATCTCGCAGTGAAAAGTGCACCAAGGCTTATTATTACACTACGGCCACAAGATTTTGTTCCCAGCTGGATAACGCATCTGGTCATTCTGGGAGCTGCAAATACTGTTGCCCTGCAGGGCGAAAAATCCACTGTTTTACGAAAATTGGACATATGGTCAGCAGTATCTCGCCGAGCAATAGTACCGGCATCTGATGCCAACAAAGGTGTTGCTGGTCACAATATTCCCAAATTACTACCCTGGAGTATGCAAGATAATCAATTCTACCAAGCTCTATCCCGTGAAGAGCGAGTAGAGTATGACGACATCGAAAAATTATGCGAAAACAACCTTTTTGGGTCGAGACAAGACATCTTGAATGGTTTTGGCATCGCATCTAAAGTATCCAATGAATCTAGTGTCTTTAGGAAGTATGTTCCTTGTGGAGAAGCTATCATTGAAATGGATGGTGTCACGGTTCAGTATGGTGATAACGTGGTGCTTGGGGGCTGGGAGCAAAGGATTGGCACCGAGAAGAAACCCGGATTGCATTGGAAAGTCTGTCGTGGGCAGAGATGGGGTGTGTTTGGACTCAATGGCTCTGGAAAAACCACACTGTTGTCTCTAATCACTTCAGATCACCCACAGGCGTATGCTCTACCGATTAAGCTGTTTGGACGCTCAAGACTCCCAGAGCCAGGAAAACGGGGAATATCAGTTTTTGATCTACAGCGACGAATTGGCCATTCATCACCGGAAGTTCATGCATTTTTCCCTCGACATTTGTCGATTCGTGCGTCGATAGAAACTGCATGGTCTGACACGTTTCTAGCAAAGCCTAAACTGGACTCAGAGAACAAATTGGATGTTGATTCGGCTCTACGATTTTTTGAAGCTGACCTGAATCCCAAATTTGTACACTGGTCCGAAAGACCTCCAATAGACCAGCTGAAGTGGGCAACATCTATTCCATTTTCTCAGCTTTCAATTGCCCAGCAACGTCTCGTTCTTTTTATTCGCGCTCTGGTTCATAGCCCTGACCTCATTGTGCTTGATGAACCTTTTGCTGGCATGTCTGCATCTTTGAGGGATAAATGTTTGCATTTCCTGGAAGTAGGAGAGATGAATATTACAAGCAGTGGCTCTAGAAGAATGGGGGGCTTGGAAGCATGGAATTTACCACCTGATACCCCGGAACACAAGCCCAGACACACGGGGATAGGTGATCAGCAAGGTTTGATTGTCATTAGCCATGTAAAAGAAGAAGTGCCAGATATTATATCACATTGGATGGTTCTACCTAGTCCAATACAGCAACAGAAAAGTGGTGATTTGGAGCTGAGGACTGGCATAGTAGGGGATAACTCAGCGATTTCTTCGGAGGAGGTGTGGCAAGAAATTTGGGAAACCTCCAAAGAATAGCATAGATTATATAGTAGAGGTGGAGCTTATGTCTTAGATTAACTATTCATGCGCTCTGCCACTAACGTTGCATTGGTGGATGAGACATGCTTGTATTGCCTTGGCCATCAAAACAATGTAGGGGTATAGGAAATAATAGAGAGCGATAACTTAGATAGATATCAAAGAGCTAAATAGAGATTGGAGATAAATGGCAGGTAGGGAAACGACAAGCTCGTATTCCAGCGAGTATTAACCATCAACGCTGTGGCTCGTTGACTGCCCATTATGATGGTTTGCGTCGAGCTGGATCAAGTTCCGGAAATCAACTCCAACCTCCGACAATGTCGCAGTATGTTCATCGACAATCTCCATGCATTTCATCCATATTTGTGTCTCAGGCTCTACGCTACTCAGCTGCCTCGACAGGGTAGCGTTGAAGTCATCCAGATGGCCCTTAGCCCATTTAATACAGGCGCTGGTCATGTTGGATGGAAAGCAGTGTTGATATATGCTGATGGTATTCTTAATCATCGTGAAATAGATGAAAGAAACTTGAAAAATATAGAGGGGGAGGTCCCCTTCAAAAACGCAGTGCCTAAATCGATGTTAGCGAAGTAAACGAAAGGAACATGGGTGGACACTGAATAAAATACCTTGCACGTTTATTTATCACATCCGTTCTTGCACGTAAATAAGCTTCTCTGGCCCGATCGTCAAATCCAAGTCGAGTCAGCCAACTGATGTTCATCCTCGTGGCGTTCAAGAAGGAATGAGTATCCACAAGAGCGCGAAGCAGAATCTCTGCGACTTTTCCCGCCCTCAAGTCCGTCTTCGTATTCACGAGGTCTTGAGCCGTGAGATTTCCTCGGAGCGTTTTTGTTAATTTTCGAAGCTTTTCTATGCGTGTGACGGATTCTTCAAACTGTTGAAGGGCAATATTAATATCCAATTCGTCTAGCTGGCCGTCCACCCATTTCATATTTTGTTGCTTGCCATCTACATCGATCAAAATATCTAATTTTTCGCGAGAATCGGCATCGAGCATCTCTGAGCGTCTGGAAAGCGACTGGCGACCATTTGCCAATTCATTTGACTTTGCTGTGGTTTCTGCTCCTGTTCGTAAGCCTTTTCGTAACTCTTCCAGAGCTTTCCTGAATGTCATTACAAGATCATTCTTGGCTCTGCTGTTTCGCTGGTCAGTCCGATAGGTGAATGACTTTTGTCCATATCGGATGTTGATTGCATTGGGAACGGCAAGCTCATCAAAGTCCACTGCATCACCATCCATGTTCGCGCCAAGGTCAATCAAGTCAATATCTTGGAGAGGCCAACACTCCTCTGCAACGAGTTTCGTAGGCGCAGGGGCCTTGTTATTAGGATTCTGATTATTAGGGTCCACACGTTTGCGCTTTTTTGCGGCGACTAGCAAATGGTCGTTGAGGAGAACAATATGTACGGGACGCCTGGGCTTCCAAGTTGCGGAATCTAGTTCAACCCACTGGCCTGACTCAAGAACAATGTGCCGGCCAGGAATGGCAGGGAGGAATTTCTGGGATCTCTCGACAGTTTTCCAAAGCGTTTGCAACTGGGTACTCCACATGCTCTCCAAGTTCGCGACAGAGCTGCGGTTTGCATGTCGCCTTGCAACTGCAAACTCATCTAGACCAGGAGATCCGTATCCATTTTGGCCGACGTTTGCTTGGCCAAGTGCCGTGGTGAGCTCCGACATCAGCCCACGAAGTGTCGTCATTTCGTCCTTCAGCTTCTCCGCTTCTTTACTGATTTTTATGAACTGGGTTCGATTTTGGTAGACATTTTGCTGGAGATCAGTGGAGGTGCGGTTCTTGAGTTTTCGAAGACTGCTTTGGTAGTCCTGTATGTCCTGCTCCGAGGCGTTTGCTAGTAGACTGGTGACATCTGCTAGCGTCAGTATCGAGACTGCTTCCGACCAACGGTCACCATTTGAGAAATGCACGTACAGCTATCAATTTGAAGGCCTGGATCCTTGAGTGCCTTGGGTTCCACCCGCAGAGGCTGCGAGGAAGAGGCAGTCGAGGGGCGTTCAGAGACCTGCTCCGTACGCAGATTGACCGGCAAGTTTGGGATGGGTGGGGCTTCGCCCACCGCGAAATTGGGCAGCTGGTTGAACTTGGCCGAGTATCTCCTCTTCACCAGATCCGACGTGGCTCCTCCATTCTTCTGCGGGCGCGGCGTTGGCACGACGGCTGGGGCGGCAGTCTTGCTGGAGCCTGAGTTCGGATCGGTAATGGGCTTGGGGGCGCTGATCTGGGGGCGACGGGACTTGCTGCGGAGGGTCAGACCGCGGACGTCCATTGTGAGGCGGCGTGCTGTGGTCGCGGAGGGCGTCGTGGGGGTTGCAGCCGTGAGGCGAAGCAGACGAGATGAAGTCGAAGTCGCGCGGCCAGCCAAGAAGCCTCGTCGCCGCCGCGTCGTTGAGTTTCGCCGGCAGAACAGCTGCAGCTCCACCGCCGAAAATCTCTCGCCAGCACCAAACCCATCCAACAGCACTCCCGCAGCCCCAATTCGTCTCTCTGACCGGGACTCGCTGCCTGGCTGCTTTGTACTCCTCTCATTCGATTCGCCACTTGCGTGCCTCTGGCCGCCTCGTTCGTCGCTGAAAATTTGCGCCTCCACGCTTGATTCTCACCCAACCAGGACATACACTGCCCATTCAGATACAAGACCACAGATCCCGAAAATGAGAACGAGTACCATCGTCGCCGCATCGGCTGGTACCTTTGTAACTGCTCTCGTCGGTACGCCTCTTTTCGGCTCTTGCGCGACCCACGGCTGGTTTTGCTGACCCTTTGTAGCCTATGCCATCTACTTTGACTACAAAAGACAATCAGACCCCGAGTTTCGACGTGCGCTGAAGCGAGATAATCGAAGAATAGCCAGAGCCGTGCGCCAGGAATCGCAGGCCGAGGGCGTGAAGCAAAAGGAAGCCATCAAAAAGGCACTCCAGGAGGCAAAGGAAGAGGGCTTCCCCACCGATATCGAGGAGAAAGAAGGCTACTTTATGAGCCAGGTAGCCAGTGGTGAAGCTCTATGCGCAGATGGTATGTGATGGACCTGCGAATTCTCACTGTTTTGCGGCAACGCTGACTCGGCAATCGCTGTCACAGGCACAAGGAACGTCGAAGCCGCCCTCGCTTTCTACAAGGCACTCAAGGTATACCCGCAGCCAAAGGACTTAATCGCCATCTACGACCGCACGGTGCCAAAGGATGTTATCGAGATTTTGGCCGAAATGATTGCCATGGACTCGTCGTTGAAACTGGGCTCCTTCACCAGCGACATCGGGATGGATAGCCACAGCGTCGAGTAAATGACCCAGCTGGAGTGAACGATAGAGAAGCTACTTGTGTATCTCCCCAGTCTCCACTACCCCTGTATATTCGTTACATATGCGTTTGCTAGTCGCAAACTTTCCCCAAACTTACACTGGCATTGGTTTCGGAGCAGGAATTTTTTTGCTTTGCTTGTCGGGACGCCGTTTTGGAGGATTGACTTTTTGTTTTATTTCCCGCCTGCAGACACATGTCCCCAGAAATTGCTATGTATTTTAATTACTAAAAGGTTGCCGGGCGTGGCGGTTCTTCCTTTCCCGCCTGGCTACAGAGAGCATTATGAAAGAGAACCAACAACAGAACAGATGCATTCAAACACTTGCTGGTGGCCTTATTAATGAGGCTGCCAGTCTGGCAAGCCGTGGGAGAAGTTTCTCTTCTTGTTCACAGAATGGCGATCTTTGACCGGGCCCTGCAACACATCCTGCCAGATGGTGTGCTTCGAATGCTCCCCCTGTAAGCTTGGATTGTGTCTTCGTAGGTATTGATGCTGGGCATATGTCAATGTACATACATACATGTACGCATACAAGCCTGGCTGTCTTCAACTACCAGCCTTCTCAGGTCAACGCTAAGAATAGACAGTCAATGAGACTTGTGGAGGAACACTGATGGGGCGGCGTTGTGTTCCTCAAAGCTCCGTCGGCAGATGCCTTTCGGATGTCAGAATAGTTTTAATCAACTCCAAAATTCTATGACATTTTCAGGGCCAAGGGCCAGAACTGCTAATTTTATGCTAACTTTGTGTCTATATTCTATCATTATCCTCGAGCCAGGCGACCCCTCACAAGCCACTCGATAAACCTGACTGATACATTGAGCCTGAACTTGACCTCCGCAGATGGCGAGCCGTACCAAGGGCAGGCGGCTGTCAGCTCAGGTTGGCTTGGGGCGTTCCGCAAAATGGGGACAATGTCGAGCAATTCTTCGGTTACGATCTCTTGATCTTCTATGTTCTCTGAAAATTTTGAACTCAAATCTATAAAATTGAAAACATCGTCTATCTCCAGCGTCAGTTCTGATTTGAGAGGTTGGCCTAACGGCAGCGGCAGGCCTCTTGACTCTGAACAATGTGAGCTTGTGGTTTCAATTGGGAATAGGAAAAAGATGGTAGAAATACAGGGGGTCCGACAAGGCCAGATTCTTGCCGTCGTTTGGAGGTTGATTTGCGAATGTGTTTCGAGAGTTGTCTCCGTTTGTGGGTAGGTACTATATCTTGCATTGTTTGATGCATCGGCCGTAGAAGATACATGGGAAGGAGCTTGGGGTGATTCTTGATCATCGCTGAACAAACTGGAGTTTTGGCAAATAGTGGCAACCAATTCAGATAACCTCCTTGGTTTAGAGAGAGATTTCCATTGAGGTTGAAGTTTGCAAATCCAACAGGGTTTTAGAGAAGCAATTTTAGTAGCACTTGTTGTTAAAGTAAGTACATAAAACAAACAGATCGCAAGTCGAGCTCAGTATACATCAAACAAACGTTACTATACGCAGATCTCAGTCGCCCTTGGGATGTACGAGATCTCGTGGTCAGGGCCGGCCTTGTATTTAGCATTTTGCAGTTTCTTTCAAATATCATTAGTTGGGCCTTCGTTGGTCCATACCCTTGTTCTGTCTGGTACTTTTTCAGCTCAGCAGTGAGATGGCTGAAAAGGCATCGTGTTCAATGTTCTTAGCAAAGCGGATGAGCAGAGAGATGGATAGCTGCTAGTCTGGGAGTGAAGTGGGCTCAGAAGAAATGGTATGACCGGTGGGAATCATTTCTCAGATGCCCGAGCCGCCCAGCGCAGCATAGGCATGAGGAGGGGAGGCCCATGCACTGGGCGGTCATGAGTAATGGGCTTATTTTTGAGAGCGGGGAGCTGTACCCATGTCCTCGCTTCCCATTTATCTGCTATAAGGTTTTGATTTGGTGTTATGGAAGATGCACATCGCCGACGCAGAAGTGTAGCCAATCCGAGGATGCATGAGCATGGGTGCCAGATATGCAGTAGTGGGATCCCCAGAAGGACAGGGTTTTTGCACTAAGCAATGCAGATGGGCAAATGGACACGAACCGGTGGTTCCATATGAAAGTGGACAGCAAAATGGACATGCAGGTGGACATGCAAATGAACAGTGGTGCGGCCATGTTTCGTATTGGAGATGAGTTGGCTGTCTATCTCAGCAGTGTCTGTGAATCCATACACGGCTTTAGGGTATGAAAGACGACATCGAACCTTGCTGTTGAGCAGCTATTCAGGCTCAAGACACTCACATAGTCCGATACAGTATTATCATAGCCCCTTTTCTCACAATCCATTTACTTCCAGGCCGATACCTCGGGCGGTACACCACTTCTCAGCATGTGCTGGTTCTTCCGTAAAACCCCAGCACGCTTCCCCAACTGCCGTGGGAAAAGCGAGGGCAATTGCATCAAGTTCTTCCCGGTTGAAGACTATGTTGACCGGTGGGATTCGGCGAAAGCGCGGGGCTCGGCGTGTCCCAACCCGACCCCAACATCTATGGGCAGCTCGACTAGACATAACAACTGCCCGCAGCACCAGTAGTAGAAAGGCCGGATGGAGGCCAGGTGGAATGGATGTAAGTATTGCAAGCGGAAATACCTACCGATAACACAGTCAAAATGCTGATCGTTTATAAGGCAGCTCGGTAGCGAGGGGGGTGTTAGGGAGGGCCGGGGCGCCGGCCAGCTCTCGTCAACTAGTTAATGGACCATTAAGTTAGCCAGTGCTGGTTGGGGGAGAGGAGGACGAGTTAAATAGCTTTCAAAGGGCGGTGTGTTGCCCAGGCATTTCGGGTAATTCTCATCATCATCATCTTGTATTGTTCTATTGTTAAATTTGAGTACATCCATTGCAGAATCAGATGGCCGTCAAAGTGCCGTTCCGGATCTCCATCACCTCGCCCGCCGAGTATGAGCAGCATCAGCAAGGGGTCGAAGAAGAGAAACGCGTGTATGAGCGGCTGGTGGGCTGCGCAGGCGTGGTGCAGTATCTCGGTGGCACGTTCGGCACGCTACAGCTGGAGCTGATGCTGAACGGTGACCTCCAGGCGTATCTTGCAAGGCACCGGGCGCCGCGAACGCAGCAATGGGCATGGATTCGACAGATGGCCATGGCACTGGCAGGCATCCATCGGCAGCGCGTGGTGGTGCAGGACGTGGCGAGCCGCAATTTTCTACTTGATGCACATCTGCGACTTCAGCAACGCGTTGCTGTTGCCGCCCGACGCGTGGGCTGCGCTAGCCGCCGAGCCGCCAGGCGCGCGGCCAACAGGCGCCCGCTGACGTAATCGGTGGCTGGCGAGGCAAGCGCGGGCCGCGCGGGTACCTGGCGCGTGGCGGCTCGCGCCACGGCCAACACGCGAAGAGCAGCGAGAGAGAAGACAACGGAAGACGTGAGATATACCAGCTCGCTCGACGCTGGCTTTTCTCGCGCTGCTTTGCTGCGGTCTCGGCGTGCTTCCCCGCCCGTGTGTTCTTTGTCTGCGCTCCCCTGCCTCGCCGCCGCTCATTTGCTGCGCCCGCAGATTAGCCAGCCCTCCTGAAACCGCTTGGCCGTTGGCCTCAACCACTCTAATAATTAGTTACAACTCCCGGCGCCTGTGCTCGCTCGCTCGAACGCCTCGCCGTTTCATTGCCATCCTTCTTTTCGTTCTCTTCCCACGCTCCTTTGCCTCTCCGGTCGCTGGCTGGCCTGTCGCTCATTCGCTCGTCTCGCGTCCCTCTGTCGCTCGCTGCTCACCCGCTCTCATTCTTTCCTTCATCTCCCCCCTCTTGTCGCGCGCCTCCATCGCTACCTGCTCGCCATGCTCTCTGTACGTCCAGCCACTGTTTCGTTTCGCGCTTCGTTTCGCCTGCTGACTGCTGCAGAACCGCCTCCCCCTCATCGCGGCCGCTGGCTTCGCCCTGCTGTCTACCGTCGCCGCCGTTGCCCCCATCGAGGTCCAGGGCGCCCAGTTCGTCGATAGCAAGTCCAAGGACCGCTTCCAGATCCTGGGCGTGGAGTATGTCTCCCTCATCTGTGCGTGCGCCCCGACGCTTGTCACTGACTGCCCACCAGCTACCAGCCTGGCGGCTCTTCTGGCTACAAACCCCAGTCGGGTCAAGATCCCCTAACCGACGCCGATGTCTGTCTGCGCGACGCCATTCTCCTGCAGCGCCTGGGAGTACGTGATCCTTTGTCGCTGAGCTTGCCCGTAACTGGACGCTAATCTTCGCCAGATCAATACCATCCGCATCTATAATGTCAGCCCCGACTTCAATCATGACAAGTGCATGTCCATCTTCAATGCCGCCGGCATCTATCTCCTCCTCGACGTGAACACCCCCGAGTACGGCCAGCACCTTAATCGCGAAGACCCCGCCTCCACTTACCACAAGGGCTACCTGAAGCACATCTTCTCCGTAGTTGAGGCTTTCAAAGACTATCCGAATGTCCTAGGTTTCTTTGGCGCCAACGAGATTATCAACGAAAAGTCCGCTAAAGAGGTCCCCGCCTACATTAGAGTGCGTCTAAACTTCGCCCCAAGCTTTTCTTGTGTTTTCTTTATTTTTTGTCACCTTTTGTTTTATTTATTTTTTTATCTGAGCGCCAACTAAATAATTGTTCTTATAGGCTGTCCAGCGTGACCTAAAGGAATATATCGCAAAACACTCTACTCGCAAAATCCCCGTCGGTTACTCCGCCGCTGATGTCCGTGATATTCTCGAGGATACCTGGCAATACACCTCCTGCGACGCTGGAGATTCTTCCAACTCCGACTTTTTCGGCCTCAACTCGTACTCCTGGTGCGGCAACTCCAGCTACACTACCAGCGGCTATGACAAGCTTGTCGCAATGTTCAAAAACACCCCCCTCCCCGTCTTCTTTTCAGAATACGGCTGCAATGAGGTCAAACCTCGCGTCTTCTCTGAAGTCCAGGCCATTTATGGCAAGGAGATGACCGAGGCCATGTGCGGCGGCATGGTCTACGAGTACACCATGGAAGAAAACGAATATGGCCTCGTCTTGCTCGGCAACGACAAGAGTGCCAAACTCCTCGTCGACTACGACAACCTGATGTCGCAGTACAAACAGCTCGACGTCAAGCAGCTCAAGAACTTGAACCCCAGCACCGCCTCCAACAAACCCGAAAAGTGCAAGTCCAGTCTCATTAAAGCCAGCGGCTTTTACAACAAATTCAATATTCCCAAGCTTCCCGAGGGCGGAAAGGAACTCTTGGATAACGGCGTGGCTGGCGCTAAAAAAGGCAAACTCGTCTCCGTTGATAAGACCAAGATGGAGTCCAAAGTCACTGACAAGAACGGCAATGCTATCAACGGCTTGGAGCTGAAAGTTCTCAAAGATGATCAGTCCAACGTCCCTGGTGAGAACACCTCAGGTCAAGCTGCATCCACTGGCCCTGCTGGTCCCAAGAAGACTGGCGCCGCCGCAAAATCTGTTGCTGCTGGTGTCGCCCCCGTTCTCGCTGCAGTTGCTGCTATATTTACTCTCGTAGCATAGTTACTCACAACTCTTGAGCCTTCCTGCACAAACCCAGCATGCTTTCATTTTGTTTTTCCGTTTACCGGGGTCAGCTTATGTTCACTGTACATACATAGATTCCCCTTTCTTTCATGTCACCTTTTTCCAGCCTATCGGTTCTTTTTGAGCTGCACACATTTTCCGTGTTGCAGTCACTTTAATCCCAGCTGCTCTGTGTATTCTAGTCATACCTTTAAATTGTGCTGTGTGCGATCCTTATTCAACTTGTTCTTAGCTTGAGATGGGAGCGTGAGTTTGATGAAGTGTTCTATTTCAGAAAAACTGTATTATACTAATTAAAGCAAGGCTTTACCAATAATTGAATAAGAAAGAGTCAAGCGTCAGCCGAAATCAGATTTCTAACTGCAAAACCATAATATAGCGGAGGATTTGTTTACGCCCTCCCCTTTCCCTTGCCTTTCCCTCTGCCTTTCCGCTCATTCCTGTTAGAGAGAGCTGTTGACGTCGTATTGTCTAGGCTTGGAAAGTCATGCAAGCTATCTTCTGAAAATGAGCCGCATCCTTGGGATTCAGACTCTGTACAGAAATTGTTTTCATCTTCCGCGAGACTCAATCGTAGCGCAAGCTTGAAGTCTTCGACTTCCTGGTGAGCAGTGTGTTCATTAGTTGGTATATTAGACTTGTATAAGGAACTTGACTCTTCAGCTGGCCTAGGCCTGGTGATAACACAATCGAATTCGCGTTCAAACGTCAAGGTTTCGTCGTTGAGGCTACGACGGATGGCTTCAGCAATGCTTGGGTCCAGCGGTTGGTCCGGTAGATGGGATTTGTACGATGGCTCCTCCCGTTCAAGCAGGAAGGCTTGTGGGGCAACAGTGCCACCCGACGAACTCGCCCCTGCACTGCTCTCGCTTTCGCGACGTTTTCTTTCATCACTGGTATAAGACTCCTCGCTCAGCATACAGGCATAGGCAAGGAGGTCATCCTCGCTCGCCCCGGGGCCAAGGATGTCAACACCAAACCTTCCATTCAGAAGTTTCTGTGCTTTTTCTTGCTCTTGTTTCAATCTTTGGATTTCTAACTGCTCATTGAAAATGTAATCTTTCAATGCGCCACGGCCTGTGTGAGAGTAACGATCTGTTTCTGTGGATCTATTACTTTTACGCTCAGAATAACGTAGACGGCGCTTGGTACTTTTGTAGTGATCAGCAGCAGAAGAACTATACCACCAGTAGCGTAGCTGAGTGCCAAGAGATACGATACCTCTCAGACGCGTGGGATCAGGATCAAGGCATATGGCTCCTGCAGCAAAGAAATTGTGACCAACCCCTGGCACGGATGCTTCTGCTTGCTGGAGACGACGACGTGCCCTGGAAGAAAATCGCGAGTTGAGTGTGCGAATGGGCTGTAAACATGATGCAAGGGGATCCCACGCCTGGACTAAGCCGTCGTTGCCGCCGTGAACCAAATAGAGCGAAGTCAATGCCAAACTAGTTACTTGTGGAGAATCTGTGCGAATGACTCTAACTGGATCGATATGATTAACGACCTCACTATTCTGTGAAACAGGAGCTCTGATATTCCAAACGATGACAGTCCCAGTAGAGGTCCCAATAGCAAAAAACCTGCCTCTGTTGCCTGGAACCTGGGCAGGAAGAGAAGCTTCGCTGGAATCTGACCTGGGTGTGGACATCAAAGAGGATTCAGAGCCGCCGCACATGCCTAGTAGCGGATCTTCCAACGTGGTAAGCACGGCAATTGTTGACATGTCCATGGCAGTAACTGTGATGGAAGCAGCTTTAGGCAAATCTATAACAAGGTTTGATTTTGTCCATGACGTTTGCAAGCACTTATAATCGCCTAAAGCGAATGGGCGGGTGGCGCTAGCAGTTGACACTGATCCTGAACTGCCGAAAATCGAGGCCATTGCTGTATTCGATTGCGCTTGGGAGAATGGCTCATTATCGGGGGGTACCGAGTTATTCAAACGAGTGAACCGAGTTAGGCATGTCCGTTGCCCTGGTGTAACACCACAGGTGACCAATGTGACAGATTCGCCAGCACCTTGGTAGTCGTCGCCGGCAAAATCAACTTCTAATTTTCGTCGCATGTCCCAACCCTTATAAACTTTCCTAAAATGATGTGGGTTTTTATCTAAGTATTTCTCAATCTCTGCAGCCTCCACTGTCAGTTGCGCCTGAGCAAGGCCGGACGAGTGGCTCGAGGATCTTGGACTGTAGTTTCCATCAAGAGACGACGTGTTGAACGGGTCGGGCTGCGTAACCCGTCTTGTTTCTTCAACAAGTTCCCAACGAACGGATCTGCCAGTCTCCCATGCTGATTGGTGAAGGTGTTCCATTGTTGATTTTGGAGGTGCCATTTCGTGCACTGGGATTTGCGTCAGATAAAAGACTTCGCCCAGGGCATTGAGAACAACAGCCCAAATACGACGGCTTGCATGTCGTTTCGTCGAAAAGTTTTCATCCACCGAAATTGAAGTGATTGGTACTCCAGGAGATAGAATCCATCTGGCTGTGATTTCGCCTCGTTCATACCGCTGGCTGTATGAATGGTGAGGGCCAATGGCATAAGCAGTGAGAACGCCATTCGAACCTCCCATTAGAATGCCGCATACCCCCTTGGTAATACTTAGAATTTGAGCAGACTTAGCAATCCAAACAGAACAGATGCTGGTATTTGTTGCAATAAGTTTAGGCATGCCTAGATGTGGCTGGGCGGGACTTTCGGCCAAATTCAAGAACCTGCCCCTTTTCTCGTTGGAAGATAAAAAGTAAATGCGTCCATGAGGTCTGCCTTCGCCGTATACCATCCCATATTGCTGGCTTACATCCATCACATTGGGAAGTCCTACAATCTCCCCAGAGCCGAGGCCCCATTGTTGCTCTCCAGGGAAGGAATCCTCAAAATGGTTGAAAGTCTGGGGATCTGATATGCCCCATGCGCCAAGACCAGATTTTCCAATAGCGGGTTCACTTGCAGAGGCGGTTCCCTGTTCACTTGCTCCATGGACGAAGAGAGCAGCCTTCTTTTCTAACCCCGATCCGAAGGCACCATCAATATTGGAAACAGGATAGAGCAACAGTGAGTTGTAGTTTGAGATAGCCTGGGATGCTGTGTGGTTTCCTCGGGGAGAGGCGTGCGGTCCTGGTTTCTCGTTATCTGCTGGTTTCCCTCGCCCCAACGAACGCAACAACCGAGTTCGGAGAATGTATTCATTTCTCCATGAGGCCAAAGCCGTCAGACGACAAAATGCACGTCTCCTTGAAGATAAGTGTTCCAGCTCATCCGGGTCCAGTGCGCCCCTCCCTGTATCTATTGCAGCGGGGCCGGGAAAGTAGCGTGAAAAGGCTGTCCTCCAAGCGTGAGGGGTGGTTACAAGGCCATGGAATCGCCGATTGACCAGGCACATAGAAGAAAGAGCCGCTGGAGGTAGATGAGATAAAATATGGGTCAATACCTCTAAAGCCCAAGTTAGCACTGTGTACACAAGGGCATTCCGATAGGAATCCCACCGTTTGGAAGACTCTCCAATATTGACGATTGGTGACCACCACAAGTCGCACGAAAGGCGATAGCTTTGAATGGTAACGCTCCTCTATTGCTCGGCAACACGATAGACGCGTGTTCATATTCGCTGACACGATCAGTAGCGACAGTTTTCGCATAGCTAGGAGACTCTATCCGGACTGCACAGTCGTGAGGCCCAGTTTCGGCCGGCACTTCGCCAGTGTCATCTTGGTCAGAGGCACGGCCGGGGCTATGTGCTGGGGGCAAGGGGTTTCCATGCTGGGCGAGAGACTGAGATTTAGGGGACGGGTCTTTGTTCACAGGATCCTGGATCGCCTGGTTGGACTCTGGTTGCATATAAGTAGAGAAAGGTGCAGCAGTAATATGATGGCAGACTGAGCCAGAAGTGTACTGGGTCAGTCAAGAGGATTATAGATCGCAGGCTTGATTACTGATGTTGTCGTGAGCAAATGAAAAGGTGTTGGAAGCCTCTCACTGAGATCATTCGGTCGAAAACGGAATATCACGTGGACTGGCGTCGAAGCTAGATAAAACTCTGTACGGAGTACGCGCCTCCCATAGCGCGCATTTAACTAGGCAGTTACGTGACAAGGCTGGAATAGCACCCCCCGTGGCTTCAAGGCTGAAATACTTCGCTCCTTTAGCTCTCCCTTAAGCTTCGAGTTTGCCAAAGTGCGATGGTTTTAACTAAATAACTAAACTAGTGTGTGAGAGCTGAAAGTACAAATCTTGAACTTCACTGCTGTTTTCACAATGCCTCTTGGGGGTACAAAAGTTCCACTCTGTAGTCTATAGAACAGTGCTGACACCGAACAGATGCTGATACCATCCGCATTCTTGTCTCCACAGACAACCATGTTGGGTACAATGAACGTGACCCTGTTCGTGGTGATGACTCCTGGAAATCCTTCCATGAAGTTATGTGCCTTGCCAAAGATCGCGATGTCGATATGGTACTGCTTGCTGGTGATTTATTCCATGACAACAAGCCATCCCGCAAGTCGATGTATCAAGTAATCCGCTCATTACGCATGAACTGCTACGGTGATAAACCATGTGAACTTGAGCTTCTCAGTGACGCTAGCGAGAATTTCCAAGGCCCATTCAACCATGTGAACTATGAAGATTTGGATATAAACATTGCCATTCCCGTATTCTCTATTCATGGCAATCATGATGACCCATCCGGGGAGGGACATTTAGCAGCGCTGGATATTTTGCAGGCCTCTGGTCTACTGAACTACTACGGACGAACACCTGAGTCCGATAACATTCAAATCAAACCAGTACTATTACAGAAGGGCCGAACGAAGCTGGCTCTATATGGGATGAGCAATGTTAGGGATGAACGACTCTTTCGGACATTTCGTGATGGGAAAGTCAAGTTCTTTCGACCGACTATGCAGCAGAGCGATTGGTTGAACCTGATGAGCGTCCACCAGAACCACCATGCGCGGACAGAAACAGGATACTTGCCTGAAACCTTCTTGCCTGATTTCATGGACTTGGTTGTATGGGGTCATGAGCACGAATGTTTGATTAATCCACGCGTGAATCCAGAGACTAAATTCCAAGTGATGCAGCCTGGGTCCTCCGTTGCAACATCTCTTGTACCGGGTGAGGCAGTACCGAAACACGTTGCCATTCTCAGCATAACCGGCCGGGAATTTAAATGCGAGCCGATCCGTTTGAAGACCGTACGGCCATTTGTCATGAGGGATATTATTCTTCATGACGTAGAAGAGGCACAGCGGTTAGCGAGGAAAGAAAACCATCGTACTGAAATCACACGTTTGTTGATGAAAATTGTGTATGATCTTATAGAAGAAGCTAGGGATGACTGGCTTGCATCACAAGACGATTTTGATTGCAATACATCCCAGGTTCCTCTCCCATTAATTCGGCTTCGCGTGGAGACGTCCATCCCTGAAGGTGGGAGCTTCGATTGCGAGAACCCGCAGCGCTTCTCAAATCGATTTGTAGGACATGTGGCTAATGTTCATGACGTTGTTCAATTTTACCGCAAGAAGAAATCTGGGGCACTTTCCCATAGCAAAACAGACGTCCTTGATGAGTCGGTGGTCTCTCACCTTGCTTCCCTGGATACCATAAAAGTCGAACGCCTTGTTCGCGAGTTCCTTGCTGCCCAGTCTCTTACAATCCTCCCGCAAAATTCTTTTGGAGATGCAGTTTCTCTATTTGTCGACAAAGACGACAAGCATGCCATGGAAATATTTTTGAACGAATCTTTAGAAAGCCAAATGAAGCATTTAATGGACTTGGATCGTGATAATGACGCGAGCGCCGGAGACTATGATGACGAGGAAATGAGAGATAACCTCCACACTGCGATGGATAAATATCGCGAGCAATTAGAAGAATTGTTCTCTAAGGGCAAGGGAAAGCAAAATGGTGGCAATAGGAGATACAAGCCGAAACCAGATGGGTGGGAAAGTGGGTTGGATGGCCCGTGGGAGGATCAACCAGGCGCGTTAATCCGCTCAGACCATGAAGATGACTTAAATGAAGACATGGACGAAGACGAAGCACGTCCTACTGCTCGCACACGGGCAGCCGGTGCTGTTTCAACCCGAGGTACAAGAGGCACCAGAGGTAGTAGGGGGCGAGGGGGTGGAGCGTCAAGGGCAAAGCCATCATCAAAACCAGCACGGGGTCGTGGCCGGCAAGCAGTGTCAGACAAAGATGATGGTTCCCAGGATATTGTTATGCTTGATGATGTCGATGAAGTCTCGGGCACAGATGCAGACTCTTTATTTGTTCAACAATCGACAAGAAAACCTCGTTCTACTACCACAGCTTCAAGAGGCCGCAAAACAGCAGCTGCGTCAACGCGCAAGACAGCGACGTCCACTTCTTCCAGTCGTGGTAAACAATCACAGTCCATGTTGACCTTCGGCCGTTCCTCTGAACCAAGTCAGAGCCAAACAATAGTTGGAACAGCTAGCACTGGCGGCAGAAGCCAGCGGCCGACACGACGTGCGGCTGCCACAAAGAATATTGTCACTAGTGACATTGAAGACGACGACGAAGATGATGCGTTTGAGCCAGTGTGATCTTCTCTTGTCGGCTTTCATTGAGGACTATCCAAGAATATGCAAAGTGATGGGATGTTTTGTTCTTTCCTTTGCCTCATCGTATGCTCTACTCAAACTTCGACTCGAGAGCATACATTAAAGACCTCTGTTTCTGTCTTCTCAGCCTGGCTCATTTCAGGCTCAATCTGCAGCAGTGAATGAAAAAGAAGTCTCACTGCTGCCCAAAACTTTCATACTCTCCCATGTATTGGTTTGACCATAAATGCTGATCAATAAATTTCAAATTTTCGGCCTTGACTCTCGATATTTTGGTTGGCTTAACGGGCGTGAGTGGATATTGGGGCAGCTGTAAGCTCTACATATTTTTTTGAATCCTCATTAAATGCCTCGTAAAGGGCCTCAGGCATAAATGGCCTTTCGTGAACCCCCAGAGTACTATTGGAATGACATGGGTCTGAGGGGCGATCAGCATTATGTTATATCCGTAGAGTCTGATATGATAATATATTGCGACGGTACGGAGTACAGAAGTTACCATTCAACAGAAGGGTTTATCTTAAGTGGTCTTAATTTGTACGCCTTGATATAATGCTAGACCTAGCGTGGCCTACCTATCTGGGGTTCAAAGCTTTCCCCGGTCTAAAAACTTCATAGGTATATCTACCCATCTTGCTCTTAGATATTCAGCGACATTCTTCCCTAAAAAATCGACGGTTCTTGTGACACCCACACCCCTATCTAGTAGGTTCCTAAATAGAAAATGGACACCATGCAGGTGTGGTAGCTCAAACCGCTCGATACTCATCATTCCATCTTCCCTCCACTCCTTACCAAGTAGTTCCTGAGCCTTTTCTGTCGACAATAAGCTACGAAGCCAGGCATATTCGTCCGCATGTCGAACCCAGAAACCGCAATTCGCATCGGAGCCTTTGTCACCCGAACGAGCATGCACAACGTAGCCAAGGGGCGCACGTACGGTGGGACCAAAGTCCGTAAGAACATCCGCTGGTTGTACAGTCACAGGCTGCGTAGGCTGTTGGGCTGGCCAGACCTTACTCTCTGTTGGAGGAGCAATGTCCACAGTCCTGTTAAGCCAGGGAAGATGGGCTTGGTGGTTTACCTCTGATTGCGGGAGGAGGGTGACATAGTATTCAAAGACAGGCTTTGGAAACCCGGGACGCAGTTCTAGGTGGAATGTTGCACCGGGATAAGACTGCATGATATTGTCAATCACTTGTCGCACAAATTTCGAAGGGGCAAGGTCTTCCGCCCGGGGGGCTTGGGCAAGTATCCGGAATGTAGCTGTCGCACTATTCTGGTCCTTCGGGTCATCGGGGCAAATACCTATGGTGGAAAAGTCGAAGACGGTGAAATTTTTGGAATAAGGGGCAAGGAGTCGCCTTATTTGGGCCTCGAGCATTCTCGCCTTGGCAGGTATATCCAGTCCTACCATAAAGTAGGTGACCTCTGCTTGATAACCGCCTCTGGCAGTGATGCCGACTTTGGTAGTTGGTGGAGGAAGAGCCGACTTAATACCTTTGACAGCTACACGGTTATGACCTATCTGCTCAAAATGGATATCTGAGAGGATAGCAGTCACATCTGAGTTGAAGTAGATGGGGCCTTGTATTTCATATAACAGCTGTGACGAGCAGGTATCGATAGTCACAGCTCCGCCAGTGGAATAAGACTGTTTCGTGATGATCACCTGCCCTTCGGACGATATCTCAGCGATAGGATAGCCGATATTGGTCCAGCCGTCTCCTACAGTATTTTCAAGCTCTTTAAAGCCAGTGAAGTTCCCGCCACAGACATAATTGCTGCACTCAATCAGATGCCCGGCAACAAAGGCATTGGCCAGCTGGTCGAGGTCAGACCTGGACCAATTGTGCCACCAACAGGCAGCGCCGATGACTGGCGACGCGTCAGCAACGCGCCCGCAAAGCACGATGTCAGCACCGTGGGTTAATGCAGCCGTTATTCCGAGTCCGCCCAGATAAGCTTGAGCATAGATGGGCTCAAAAGACCAACTGTCAAGCGTTTCGCCTGTGTAAATATTCTTAAATGTTGATTTACCGGCAGCCAGGGATTCTTTTATGGTAGGAAGCACTTCATCGCCAGATATCCAGGCAACCTAGCGGATCAGCGCTAGAACTGGTTCAGGGGAAACATACAAACCTTCAAGTCCACGCCCCTTTCTTTCACCATGTTGATCACAACATCGTAAAGTGCTTTGGGGTCTGTTACACCAGCATTGACAGCAACCTTGATCTTGTGTTTTGCTATGTCTTCCAATGCCGGCTCAAGCGCCTCCAAGAACGAGCGCTCGTACGCCGGGCCACCAGAGACATTGATCAGACCGGCTTCTGCGGCTGACGGGCTTGTCTGGTCTACCTTTCGAGCAGCGGCAACGGCCATGTTGTATTCGCTCATGTAATCCGAAATGATGACATCCACAGGGTCCTGGGGGTAATTACGCGCAAATTCGGCCATCGCATGGCGGCGGTCGGATGCTGAGCCGGATGCTCCTATGAATCGGTTAACAGGTGACGTTGCCCAACGGTGCAGTGCAGCTTGCCTGCGATCCGAATAGGCCTTTTCTTCTGGAGAGACATCGTGTGGATGCAAAACTAGGGAACGTGCAGCGAGTGAGACGGCTGGATTATGCCGCACCTCGACTTCTGATACGCTGAGGGTTAAAGAGTGAACTAAATAGCTTGTCCAGACCGAGGTTATCTCGGCACTGCAGGTGGAGTGCGCCTTAGCTCGAGCGATGACCGCATGGATCGGTATGAATCGCAGGCAGAATTTAAGGGCCTCCTCCAGACGACCCCATTGCGCTTGCCTCGGGTCTTCCCGACGTGCAGACGCCCAGGCGGGTTGTCGAAAGCGATTCTTTTGCCGGTGGAGCCGTGGGGTGACGGCACGATTGAGTTCAGCGGCGGAGACATGGGGTTCGCTTTCCGAGCGACAAGAAATGCAACGCCGGCTTGGGGACCAGGCTTGCATGCAGTACACAACGTAGGAACATGTAGTACCGGAAGATCGGTAGTTATCTCTATTTTGAATACACAACCCGCAGAGAAACCGCGTAAATCGGCTGAAAAGGTCAATTATGTCTATACATGGCACTGGGAAGCCTTTAGATGTGTATATATAGCAGGCATATAATATATAGATAGCTCGTGTAGTTCGTGCATACAGTTTTGTCATGGACTCGTAAATATCATTACTAGCGGGTAAGCCTTCGCAGCTGCCCGCCTTAGAAGGTCGTCCAGCCGTTCATCCACAATACCAAGACTGTCAGAACCACCGACAGCAGCGTGGTGCTGAGCAGCTCGGTCTCTCGGCGCCACCGGCGCAGCCAGATGCCGGCATTCACGGCCCAGGAGCTCTGGCCGCGGTCGATCATGGCGGACTTGAGGCCGGGCAGGCCGTCGAGGCTGTCGTAGTTGTTATCGCGCTGGTAGTCGTGCATCTCGTTCTTTGAGACGGCGACGGAGGCCCAGTGGCCGAGCGTGGATCGATCCTGGAGGTAGGGCGTGGGCTCGTTGGTCTTGGGGTTGGTGGTGAGGGCGAGGCGGGGGACGCCGTAGCCGCAGGAGGTTTGGACCTAGCAAGAAAGGATATAAGTCGCAAGAGGAGCAAGTATCAATCTGGAGTGCAGACCTTGAAGACGTGCAGGCGGACGACGGCGCGGATGCCGTCGAGGCACTTGTCCTGCAGACCCATGCGGGCGATGAGGCCGCGGAAGAGGGACTCGTTCCACTCGACGACGTCGGCGCGGCAGAAGAGACGCAGGATGCGCGGGCTGGCGTCGAAGGAGCACAACATGACGGTGCAGCGGGCATTCTCGCGGACATGGCTGATGGTCTCGTTGCCGGAGCCGGTGGAGTCGATGTAGGCGGCCTCGTTGGGGGAGAGCAGGGAGAGCGAGGAGGCGGGCAGGCCCTTGGGCGAGACGTTGATGTGCTTGCCGGTCAGTGGGGCGGAGGCGACGAAGAAGACGGGCTGGCGAAGGATCCAGGCGTGCAGGTCGGGGGGAATGGAGGGGAAGAACTTGACCATTGTGTGTATGTGATGCGGGTAGGTAGGTTAGTTATGTGAGGGAGTATGTTGGGGATAGTGGGAAGGCCAGAGGAGAGATGAGGAGTAGGTAGGTATATACTCCATATGATTGCCCGCTACTCCCGAACCGGCAGCCTATAAGTCCGGCATCTCGTATCCCGGTGTCATATCTGTCTGTAGTAGGTAACTGACTGAAAACTACCTGGCCTAGCCCTAGCCCTAATGGCCAAAAAAGGTCGGCCGCCGTAAGCGGCAGCCGCGGGCAGGCACGGGGTGTGATCTGGCGCCGCCATGCGCGGGTGGGCGCGTCTCTGCAGAATCGCTTCTCTCGAGCGTCACGCCCATCGCTTAGCGCGCCGCAGCGGTCGTGGATTGCTCGCACGAGTGCGGAAACGCCGAAAAGTTCGGCCGCGCCCCGCGCATTCGAACCAGGCACCCTCGCCGCCAGCCTGACGTAAGCAGGCGTTGCCCGCGGGCTGCCGCGTGCCCGGCGGTCTCCCGTTCGGCCATCACAGCTAGTTAGGGAGCCATCGCTGCTCGCGGGCTACATGTCCAGAACACAGACGGCACTGCAACTTACGACCTGCATCATTGCTTGAAGTACTAAACTACCTTTAGCTAACCCTGCTAAACTACACAGCATAACAGCATCACTCGTTACGAACGGCCTTCGCATCCAACCCCCTAACCGAACATCGCGTCGCCCAGCCGCACCCGTACGCTCTTGATCTGCGTGTAGTTGTCAAGCGCGTATTCTGTTTACACAATCAGTACCCGCTGCTTCCTTGGGATCGGAATACTTACGGCCCAACTCGCGGCCCAAGCCCGACTCCTTGAATCCGCCAAACGGCGTCTGGTACGAAATTAGGTTGTAGCAGTTGACCCAGACCGTGCTACCCACCTGTCAGTTTCTGCAAAACCAGCCAACCCGGAACGCCACTTACCCTGCGCGTAATTCATTGGACACCCGGATGGACGTGTTCAAGTCCTTCGTGTGAATGGCGGCCGCCAGACCTGCATGCGCCGTCAGCTATCAAAAAGACCACCGCCCGCTGCGCGAGGACGGCGCTTACCGTAGTTCGTGCTGTTGGCCAGCTTGATCGCCTCCTCCTCGGTCTTGAACTTCTGGATCGAGCACACGGGGCCAAAGATCTCCTCCTTGACGATGCTCATGTCCTCGTGCACGTTGCTGAAGATCGTGGGCTGGATGTAGTAGCCTTCGGAGCCGTGGCGCTCGCCACCGATCTCCACGGTGGCCCCGGCCTTCTTGCCCTGGTCAATGTAGCCCATGATGCGGTCGAACTGGAGCTGCGAGATCTGGGGGCCCTGGAAGGTCTCGGGGTGGAAGGGGTCGCCGACCTTGTTGTTGGAGGCGCGGGCCTTGAATCGCTGCAGGAACTCGTCGTAGATGCCCTCCTGGACGAGAATGCGGCTGCCGGCGCAGCAGCACTGGCCGTGGTTGAAGTAGATGCCAAAGTTGACCCATGAGATGGCATTGTCGATGTCGGCGTCGTTGAAGACGATGTTGGGCGACTTGCCGCCGAGCTCGAGAGTGACCTTCTTCAGGTTGCTCTTCGCGGCGGACTGGAGGATCTGGCGGCCGACGGCGGTGGAGCCGGTGAAGGCGACCTTGTCGACATCCATGTGGGCGGCGAGGGCGGCGCCGGCGACGCGGCCAAAGCCAGAGATGATGTTGACGACACCGGGGGGGAAACCGGCCTTCTTGATCAGGTTGCAGACGTACAGGGCGGTCAGGGGGGTCTGCTCGGCGGACTTGAGGACGATGGTGTTACCGGCGGCGAGGGCGGGGGCGATCTTCCAGGCCCACATGAGGAGTGGGAAGTTCCAGGGGATGATCTGGCCGCAGACGCCGACGGGCTCGTGGCGCGTGTAGTTGAAGGTCTCGTGGTCGGTGTCAACGACCTGGCCGTGGATCTTGTCGGCCCAGCCGCCGTAGTAGCGGATGCAGCCAGCGGAACCGGCGACGTCGATCTTGGCCATGGAGACGGCCTTGCCGTTGTCGAGGGCCTCAATGGCGGCAATGGTGTCACAGTCCTCTTCGAGCAGGTCGGCCAGCTTCATAAGCATGCGGCCGCGGTCGGTGGGGGTGACCTTCTTCCAAGCACCCTCGAAGGCGGCGCGAGCGGCGGCGACGGCGATGTCGACATCCTTCTCGGAGGCTTCGTGGACGGCGATGATGGGCCGCTCGTTGTGGGGGTTGATGGACTCGAAGGTCTTGCCGTCGACGCTCTTGACGAACTCGTTGTTGATGAAGCTAGCAGCGGGTCAATTGCGGGCGGGGGAGCAGGGGTGGGGAAGGGAAGCACGTACAGGCCCAAGGGCTGCTCGTAGGAGCAGGTGGGCGTGTCAATTTTCTGCGAGAGAGCCATGGTGGGATAGTGAGTGAGGCGAGCAGAGGGGAGAGAGAGAGAAATAGAGAGAGAGAGAGAGATAGCAGAGCAGAGCAGGGCAGGCGGGCGGGTGCTCGGCTTTATGTGGTGTCGTTGGCCGGGCGGCGGCTGCCCAGGCGGGGTCGGCGCTGCGAGTGGCGATGCGCATCGCCGTTATCGAGCGTGCGCGCCAGGGGCTGCGGGGGGGGGGGGGGGGGGGGGGGCCCCGGGGGGGGGGGGGGGGGGGGGGGGGGGGGGGGGGCGGGGGGGGGAACCGCCACGCACACGCCGCCTATCGCCACGCCGGCCTAGATCGCCCGTTTGACAGCAATCCTGCAGCGCACGGAGGACGGAGTACGGAGTAGTTAGCTGTGGAACTGTTTCGTGGGCAGCTAACTGGCTAGCAAAGCCCTCCGCCACGGCACCCACGGCCGCCGCTCTCCTGCAATTCGCCCGCTGAGACACTGCTCAGATCCAGGAGCGCGATCTGCCCGCACAGGGGCCTGCAGCGGGCGCCCGCCCCAATTGCCTTCGCGCCCGGCCCCGCGCGCTCGGCGATCGGCCACCCACGCCGCGTTATCTCCCGTGCGGCCACGCCCTCCCTATTATTAATCCATCCGCCAGCAAGGTCACCACCGCCCGCTCCGTCCATCGCATCGCGGCCTGGCAGCCGGCCCGGAGTAAAGGATCATCCAATGCTGGGCATAGGGTCCTCGCACGCCATTTGTACGTTGCTTTCTATCGAGCCTGGAGTGTAGTTATCTGCATTGGAATGTATTTTCATTACGTCTATGTGCTACTCAGACGAGCAGCTGATTAAACTGGCTAAGGTGTGTAGAGCAAGGATCGGAAACAGGGTTGGGGTATATAGAGGGGTGCACGGATTTCAGAAGGATAATCTATTCTAAATCTAAGCGGAATAAACAAATCGCGTTTCATCTTTTTGAAGTTGATACTCGCCGCCCAGACATCACCGATGTCCTGGTGTTTACGCGGTCGATATCAAACGGGTTTCCCTCGTACTCGCTGGCGACTTGCGACCCCACCGAGCCTGCTCGGTGTGTGCGGTGCGTTCGGTGCGTTGCTTGCCTGCTGAGAGACCGAGTGGGTTGCGCAAAGTAGCCGTCGTCGCCGCCGGTCTCCCTCGCATTGCCTAGAGGACGAGACTTCTCGGCTTCGTCGCCAGTGGTTTCAGCCGACCCCTCCGCCTCTTCTCCCTGTATGCTACTGGCTTTCTGCTGAGAATGGCCTTGTTGGAAACGATGCATGAGCTCCTCCGCTTCTGCAGCAAATCGACATTTCTTCCGAATGCTGCCGCCATATTTGTAGAAGAGGAACGGGAACGGAACACACGCGAGTGCCAAAAACGCCGGGATGCTGGATGCCCAGTGGATTCCCAGGTCTTCATACATGTATCGTGTGAAGAGTGGGAATGCTGCGCCAAATAGAGACCGGAGAACCGAGCTAGCTGCTAAAACCGAGGCTGCGTAGATGGTGTATGCGTCAATCAGATAGCTCATCACCCCCAGAAAAACGAGCACCATTCCAAATCCAAAGGGCACACCCGCCGCTATTGAAGCGAGCCAGTGGATAGAAGGATCGTTGGTCCATGCGAACCAGAACAGCCCTATGGGAATAGCGATGCCTCCGATTATAGACGGTGGCAGACGAGCTTCGGGTGGCGCAAATCCGTGGTGCTTCCTCGCGATAGGGAGATATCGACTGTTATTATCAATAAAATTGACGACGGCTGCGATGAGCATTCCGACTAGGATTCCTAAGAATGCGAGGCCCCCGACGCCTTCGTTCCAGCCGCGAATAAGTTGATAGACAAAGGGGAATGCGCCGAAAAGCATGTAAAGAGTCCCGTAGATAATGGCCAAATAGATGGAGAGCAAAAGCACGATTGGCTCCCGGAGTAAGAGAATCCATGGACGGCTTAAGGCTGTAATAAATGCTTCCCTGACAGTGACACGGCCCTGATCGATATCTATCCGGCTGCGATACACTTTCCCGGAAAGCTTTGAGAGAGTGACGGCTCTCTTTCGGAGAAGCACAGGCGCATAGGTTTCGGGAATCAGCAAGGAGCCGAAAATCCACAGCACGCCCGAAAAAATGGCCAAAAACCCCTCCACCCACCTCCAACCCTCATTCATGCCGATGAATCCGCCAATAATAGGGCCAAGGACTGGCCCCAAGAATGGAGCTAGAGAGAACATTCCCATAGCCAAACCACGCTCGGAGGCAGAAAACATGTCGGCAATGATTCCACCCGCATTTGTCAATGGTGATGAGCCGAAAGAACCGGCAAAAAACCGAAGGATGATCAAAGTCCAAATATTTTGACTTCCAGCCGCCCCGGCGTTGAACGCGGTCAAGGCCATATATGTTCCAAAAAATATAATCTGGCGACCAAATAGTTCACTCAATGGAGCCCAAAGTAGGGGACCGATCGCAAAGCCGAGAACAAAAAGTGACACGCCGAGGGTCATAACTTCCGTGCCAACGCGAAATTCTCGCATTATCTGATTCCCGCCTCCGGTATACGCGGAGGATATCAAGGCTACGGCCAGGGTGGTCATCGCGACAAGCATGGTGATGAACCATTTCTTCGTGTTCGAAAAGAGGAGGGGGTTTCGGGGGTCATTTGGAAGCCATTCGACGATATAAGGGTCATTCTCGGTGCCCAAACCGTCGTACGGGTAATCGATAATCTCCTGGGTTACGACTCCAGGCTGGGCGACCTGACGCCAGTAGGGGATTTTTGAAGGGTGTGGGTTATGCTCGCCCATGGTGCTCGGTAAGCGAGGCTGTGAGAGGTTTTAGCGAAGTATTGGGCTGTTGCCATAAGAGTCACAGTGTCCTCCAAGACGTTTGTTGTAGGAGAATTATCTTCTATTCAAATGAACTCGTGAAGAATAGAGCTGCGAGCGAATACTCGGGCGAAAAGTCCTATTTTTAATGAGATACGGACGCAGTAATCAAACCAAAACCGGAAGCAATGGACAATATGAGGCCAGACCCGTCGTTTTTATATAATATATATATAAAGATTGAGACGTAAAGTGGACACATTGCCTAGGCAAGAAGATTTGAGACAAGAATGTGATACCGGAAGGCCAGATTACCGACATTTCCGAGTACGAAAGACATTTTAATTTTTGTTCTTGGGAGATAAGGGCATCAAGGGGGCGAAAGGGACTGGCCCGACGGGAGCTTGGACGAAAAGCTTCCAGGAACGGATGCATAAAAGCTTGATCGGCACGCCAGCCGGGCACCGAACAATAATGTAGGAAGAGAGCACCAGCCATGGCAGGGAACAAGCACAGTATCGGGAGGCCGGCGTGGTGGCAATGTGGGCTCAGATCACGGTGTGGTGGGCATCTTGCCGACTGTCTGAATTGCCTGATTTGGCGGCGCCCTGAAGACTCTGCGGGCTGCGGCAGACCAGCGTCATCGTGGTGTCGTCATCGCTGCATAACGTGCATTGCTGCGGCACTATGTATCGCTGTGCAGAACATAGTTAGTCAGCGTACCTCGGCTCGGTGAATTGATGTCCCTTTTCCGAGTCAGGTGATTAACTACCTCCGGTTGATTATTATTCCGTGACCGCGCTGTACCATCACCTGAGCCTCCAGGCCATCACGCCCAAGCAAGGTAAAAGGGATCCGGAAGTGTATCAACAATACCCACCCTCCTATACAGCTTTCGTCGATTATCCACCTAAAATTACCTCAGAAATTATTTCTAGTGATCTCTCCTTCGTGCAAATACCGTGCGTTTGCTTTTCCTTCTGGGTCTGACAGCCCCACTCCCCCAACGGCAATAGAAGTATCAGTCTGGTCTGGGATTCCGCCGCTAGGTATAGGCCGGATAGCAGACGCAAGTTTTTCGGAATGGTAGATAGGCATGTCCCCCAGCCGGGACCTGCGCGGCTGAAGCGCAGCGCTGGCCCTGATGAATGGTTGGAAGCGGCGAAAAACTGCAAATACCTCTCTGAGCATCATATGAAGCAACTGTGCGAGATTGTTAAAGAATACATGATGGAAGGTTCGTCTTCGAAGGTATCAGATGTTGTATAGTCCACTGCTAACAGTCATGTCCTGGGTAGAGTCTAATATCCAGCCTGTCGCTAGTCCAGTGACGATATGTGGCGATATCCATGGCCAATTCTATGACCTCCTCGAGTTATTTCGTGTCGCTGGCGGCATTCCAGGCAGTCCCGATGCCATGGAAGCGTTTGCACGACCTCTGATCATATCATCAAATGATATCGAACCACCATCTGTGATAACCGACCCGAAATTACTGAAGAAAATCGGGCAAGCCCCCCAACAAGAGACTCAGGAAGGTCGTGATGATGACACTCGGGAAAGAGAAACAATCACTACACCGACTGGCAACTTTATATTTTTAGGGGATTATGTAGACCGTGGATATTTCAGCCTTGAAACTCTGACCCTTCTGCTATGCTTAAAGGCCAAGTTGGTAACATCCTTCTGCGTGCATTTCCAGAAGAACGGATGCTGACAAAGTGCCTTGCTAAACGAGTAGATACCCGGATAGAATCACGCTCGTTCGTGGTAATCACGAATCCCGTCAAATAACACAGGTCTATGGGTTTTATGAGGAGTGTATTCAGAAGTACGGCAACACATCAGTCTGGAAGGCCTGTTGTCAAGTTTTTGACTTTATGACTTTGGGTGCAATCGTCGACGGGAAGGTGCTTTGCGTTCACGGCGGACTTAGCCCTGAGATCCGCACTCTTGACCAAGTGCGCATAGTGGCCAGAGCTCAAGAGATTCCTCACGAGGGTGCGTTTTGCGACCTGGTATGGTCAGACCCGGACGAAGAGCCGTCAACAACATGGGCTGTGAGCCCCAGAGGGGCAGGTAAGCTTCCCATTTTTCCCTTTGACCTTCCTGAGACTAGCGCAATCTCGTGTTTCAGTCGTCCGTTGCTGACATCACACTTGGCGAAGGCTGGCTGTTTGGGAGTAACGTTGCGGATGAGTTCTGTGAGGTCAATGATCTTACGTTAATTGCACGAGCTCACCAGCTCGTCAACGAAGGCTATAAATATCATTTCAATAATCAAAACATGGTGACAGTCTGGAGTGCGCCGAACTACTGTTACCGTTGTGCAAACATGGCGTCAGTCTGCGAGATACGAGAGGACCTGAAACCGACATTCAAACTGTTTGCAGCCGTACCGGGCGACCAAAGACATGTTCCACAAACCAGACCGGCGAAGACGGAGTACTTTCTTTGATACCTCCATGACGTGCCGGATGGGGCCTCAGCGGGCCGCCATCGATGTCGCTTGCCGCTACGCATGGCTTGCCGAGCTAACTCGTAGTAATATTCAAGCAGCAGCTCTCGACTGGCCGCAGGCTTGCGATGGCTTGACGAGAGTGGAGGCTGCCGCGCGCCAAGTTGCACACAAGCCCGGCAGTTTTGACCACTCGCCGCCAAACCTTAGCCACTGCTCGATCGGCCGGGCTTCCGAACGCTGGGTCGCCATCCTCGCACTCGGCTCCTCCAGGATAAAACAAAATAAGCTAAGCGCGATTTGCTGCCAGCTTTCCCCTTGCCCGCCCGCGTGGCCAAGCGGACTGGATCCGCGGGTCCTCGCTGTGCAGAGTGCAGGCACCAGGGCCCACGCGTTGTCGGTACTACCGTTGCGGTCTGGCAAGCAGGCTAGCCGGATTATTATACTCTACATATATTATTGCGCGGGCGTGGGCGATAAAAGCTTCTCGAGCTTGGACTGCAAGCGTGTCGGGATTTGGCGGAAGGTCAGTCAGTCGCAGCATGTGAAACCTGTTTGCACGTCCGCTCTTAGCGTAGTAGTTAGGCTAGGTATCTGCATACAACTCCAGCGATGGATGACCTGCAAGAAAAAAATTCGCGAGGCCGTGCGATCTTGGCCGCAAAAGAAAAGCTCCTTGCCCAAGCTCGGCGGCGAATTCACGGTCCTTACTGATTGGCATTGCCCCGAGTCTCTCGTGCCACCGCGCCAGATCGCCTGCGCAGAGTTTCTTAGCCTCTCGCGGCGAATCGCTTTATTACTCTATTCACCTCTTATTTTCTCGCTGCCCGGTTAAGTAATAATGTGCTCACCACGCTGTCTGGCGAGAATTTTCTGATCCAGAGCCCCGTGGCCCGGAAAATATGGCCTCCATCGGCTATCTACCCTGTTTGGTTGGCCTGTTTGGGCGCCATCTATTCCGAGCACAAGAACAGCACGGCGTTGGCGTGTTTGTCGCCGTGAACCGCCGATCCTGAATATAAAACGGTTGCCATCTGCTAGCCAGCCGTCTCGTCCCTCTACCTCCTGCTCCTGCCCTTGGATTACACACCACCCCCGGGATACTCTTTGGACGCTCTCAGAAAGCCGAGAAATCACTCCGTATCAACCCAGTCACAATGGATCACTCAGGCCACGGAATGTCGACTTCGTCAGCCATGGCACCTGCTGCAACTGGCGCAATGGGCGGTGGACACGCTGGTCACGGAGGAATGGGAATGGGTGACCCGAATGCCTGCAAAATTGACGTGAGATGTGCCACGATATCGTCGCTGCAGAACTGCTACTAATTCAATATAGATGCTGTGGAACTGGAATACTATTAATGCCTGTATGTTTGAAGCCTAGCCGACCTGGCCTTGTTCTTCGGCACCAAACTTATTGATCCATCTGTGTAGGCTTTATTGCTAGGAGCTGGAAGATCACATCCAAAGGGATGTTTGCTGGGTCCTGTATTGGTGTCATTCTCCTGGTCATGTCGCTGGAGTTTTTGCGCCGTGTTGGGTACGAATATGATAACTATTTGGACGGCCGCCCCAGCTTGTTTTCCCGCAAATCCGTACCCGTGAGCGTTGTCGACACCAAGGATGATTCTCAGAACGGACAGGCTGCCCTTGCCGCAGGGCATGGTCAAGGTGCTCCAAAGCGTACAATCCTCCAGCACACTCTTCGGTCCCTGTTACATATGGTCCAATTTGGCGTCGCCTACTTCGTCATGTTGTTGGCTATGTACTACAACGGCTACATCATCATTTGTATCCTGATCGGCGCGTTCCTCGGTAGCTTTGTCTTCTCCTGGAAACCGCGCTCGGATAACAAGAAGTACGTTGCCATGGCCCCTCCCGGTCCACAACGATAGCTGATCAATAGGTGGTTCTAGTGATGCCTGTGCGGTGACAGTATGCTGTGGTTAAAATATATGGACGACAATACGTTTGGAGGAGTTGGAGGTGTCGCTTGGACTTATGGAAATCTCGCCTCACCGGTTCAGCTTCTTGTGATGGGTGTAATATTTAATGACTTGTGTTGCTTATTTGCAGTTTTCCGTGGGCTACAGCTATGAAGTATATACATACACACTAGATGATCTTAGCGACATTAATGCAACATCTGTGGTGAAGCACCGGGGCACCTACTTCATTGCCAGCAAGATTGCCAGCAAGACTGACTCTGATTCATACGAAGACGAACCCGATTCAATATTTGATCTGCTCATGCATCTGATCGTCATGGCTACAAAGGCGATGTACGGAATGGCATTCCAAAACCGAGAAACACAAGCGTGTTCTTTTGGCTTGACTTCAATCGAAAACTAATGACGATTACATCACAACATCCCAAGCGTGAGCATAAATATTTGAATAAGGAATCACAGATGATCGAAGGCCTTGAAGCATGTTTATGTTTAATATGCCTGTCTAATGAATTTCTTGCTATTTCTCCCAAAATTTGACTGTCTGTATCTGTGTACTCCGTAGGCTGCTGATTTTCCAATACTGGAAATCAAACAAGCACACATGTACTGATGTGCCTAACATACCGGATTCTCTCAAAACTGTGATGAAACTATCCGAACTTTTACTCCTTTGGTATGGCAGACTGGCAGTGATATGACCATAATGTATTTACTATTTTGTACTCCGTACTGTAGTATATTTGAATTGGGGTTTTGGGGCTCAATCTTGAGCAGTCATGAGCTGTCGCTGACATAGTTAACGTAACTAACTAGAAATCACGCATAACATGTCTACGGAGTAGTTAGTTACGGCATATCATTCACATCCAAACAGATGAACACAGCAAGGAAAACAAAACACTGCAACTAGCTACGGTTGCGGCTACAAGCCGCGCTCTTCGACTCTTAAAATAGTTGGAAGATACCTCTTGTCACATGACTCTCCGCTTTAACTACTGGAGGCTGCTTAGCAAGCTTCTAAATCGAAGGACTGATGACTGTCAATGCAACATAAAATTGACGTTGTCTGACGCCGATAAATCGCTACTGCTTGTGACACGCTGCCCATGGCCCAGAGAACCCCATCCTCGCGGCCAGCTACCGCGGGAATTCTTCCTATTTCTGTCGCTGCTACTCATCCAACAGGCGCTGGTGTACCGAGAACCAGTGTGGTCAAAGCTAGTACCCCAAGGCTTAAGCTCCTCATCCGACGGCTACCGCCAGGCCTGGTTCAGGCAGAATTCAGCGCAGCTTTGGGAGAGGAGTGGGCTGTCGGGAATGGAAGAATAGACTGGTTTATCTATAAGCCGGGGAAAGTCGCAACTGAGTACGCTCGCGCCCTGAACATCGACCAACCCTTGCTAACTGTGTCGTCTGTCTGCCAGCCCTTCGAAGCCATCCAAACCGTCGCGTGCGTATCTACGCGTGACGTCGTCTTCTTTTGTCGAAGCCCTGTCAATTAAAGTTCGCCAAACGACTTTCCATGATACTCGAAACACCTTCACCGACCCCGCCCTCCTCGGTCCCCCAACTCTTGAATTTGCCCCCTATCCTCGTATACCTGGAGGAAAGGCCCGTAAGGATGCTAGATTGGGTACAATCGATCAAGACCCAGAGTTCATTGCTTTTCTAGAGAGTTTAACCAATCCACTCCCTAAGGCAAACCCCGACGACATTTTTGATATTGAGAAGGAAGAGAAAACTGTGATCACGCCGCTTATCCAATTCCTCAAGGAGAAGAAAGCTAGCAAAGCAAAAGAAGCCAACATTCTTCCGAGATCTACCAAGTCGTCGAGAACAGCTCCCAAGGATGCCAAAACAGAGAAAATTCAGGCCAAGAAGGTCCTCAGCAGGGCTGAAAAGGCAACTGCTTCTACATCACCCGAAAAGCAGGGTAGAGCTGACCGGGCTGTTAAAGATTCTATTAAGCTAAGCAGCAAACACCCCCAGGCTGTAAAGTCGAAGGGTGGGAAGCTAGCTGCCACGGGCAATCAAAGTGATACACCGTCAGCCCCAACGCCCCAGAAACCTGCAGTAGAGCGGAAGAGAGAACGTGGAAATTTAAGCGTGGCCACTAAAATGCTCCGACGGGATTTGGGACTGACACCCCCTCGTAAAAGAGGCGATAAAGGAAATACCACCCAAGAGCAGACAAGAATTGCTGCGAACTTTAAACAAAATCCGTTGCCTGGACCTACAGAAGTGAACAAACACGAAATTTCTACATCGAAGACAAAGGATGAGGCAATTCCTAAGAACGCTCCCCCGAAGCTTCTTAAAAAACCTCCAACAGAACCTGCTGCAGCACGAAATTCGCCAAAAACGATTAACCCTCCCCCTTCTCACAAGGTCGCTATTGCACAGAATGGAGCAACCCAGGCATTTTTGAAGCATGCAAACCCCTCTCAGGGAGTTACTGAAGAATTACTTGAGATTGGGTTTTCTAAGTACGGTAAAGTCGCGAAGGTTGAAATAGATAAGAAAAAGGGGTTTGGGTACGTTGACTTTTTGGAACCTGAAGGATTACGAAAAGCCATCCAAGCAAGTCCTGTACAAATTGCAGAAAGCCAGGTGGTAGTTTTGGAACGGCGATCAACTGCAAATGTATCGCTAGCCCGAGGGCACCATAACCGAGCCAATACCCCTTCGCCAGCAATGGCTTCCCATCTTCTCTCCCGCGGAGGTGGAAATAGTGGTGGACAAATGGCATCTCGACCTGCACCTCAGGGCCCTCGAGGAGGAGGGCGGGGCGGGCGACATCGTGGCAACCATGCCAGAGGGGCAAGGAATAGTTCAACCGGAACGGAGAAGACGCATCCACCAGGCATCAGCGCAAAGCAGGGGCACTCCCAGCCTTTGGGGTAAAATCACGTATAATGCGAGACGTTGCTGAAGCACCCTGGACTCTTATAACGTTTGGAAATTCCGTAAGCAATAGTATGAGACTGTGCGGCGTACGGAGTACTCCGTGCAGAATACGCATTTCTTTATTCTTACGGAGTACTCCGTACGGTGCTCCGTGCTTTGGGGGATGGTACGAGGGGATTAGCTAGATAGATGGTAATGCGATGGCTGAGGCTTAGAGCCATGCAAGGTTGGATAATGCGAGCGATAGGGACATGAGGCGACTGAGCGAAGTAATATTTTCTCTCACTGATATACAAAATATAAGAGAACTGAGAAAAAAGTCTATCTATTCAATTCAGCGTGTATATTAATTATTATCTTATAATCTTTTGCTATTATACATGAAATCTGCTGTGATATTCCCATAAAAGTAAATGTGAAAAGGATCCTTCAGACCTCCTCGACACCCACCCGGAGAGACCGACCGAAGTCAAGACGTCTACACCAGGTCAAGATCATCACCACTCCCTAGACACAAAAAACTCGAATAACACCATACGCAGTTCAAGGCCAATGAATTGGCTCGAAAAACGCAGGCAATTCAGGGTATGGTCGAGACGGGAGTATCAAGGCTTCACTTTAGGGTGCCGAGGGCATAGCGTCATCAGCAGGATTGAGATTTACCTCTGTAGTAGGAAATACAGAGTGGGACGTTTACTATAGAAAATGCTGTGATAATACGTTAGTCAAGTAACAAGCACGGCGGTCAATTTTTTACACTCACATTCTAAGAAGTAAAGTCACGTAAAGAAAGAAAAAAAAAAGAAAGAGAAATGATGGGGGATTGGGCGAGGATTTATAGAGTGCGGCCCGATTAGAGTTTGCGCTAAAGCATAAGCGACACTCAACCGGTGAGCCGTGGTTGGCTCAGCGGGAATATGATGATGCGGCACCGGCTGACTAAACAATTAGGGAGTACTTCGTCGAAGTACGAGTACATTTCCTTCCAATTCAACGCTCCCTTTGACCGTGGTTGTTGTTTTAATATTGAAAGCCATCAGAGCTGGATAGAAATATGACTAGTATTATAGTATGTACACTCGATCCATACGGCTGCGGAAAATGCCCCGATGTGGTTCCATTTTATGCCCAATTCCATGAAAAACGGAGAGCGATTCGCCTATATCCACAACGCCGTGCAAATTATCGTAATGCATAGAGCCAATACGCCTGTAATCTCTTCACTAATCAACTATGGGCAGCAATGCGTTTGAATTTACCCTTTTTATACACACGCTCATCACTCGGGTCAAACCCTCCATTTCCCCACAGTGCCCAGTGATCGGTCTCGCTCATATAATCCTCCGGCGTGAATGAGATGCCGCTCTTGATTTCCTCTTCTAAAAGGGTGAAGAAGAGGTCGTAGTTGATTTTTGTGTGCCACTTGCCATTGGCATGGAACCTGTTTGACGCAAGCAAGATACAACAGCTGTGGCTGTGCTCAGCTGCTATTCCATATCCTAGATTGCGATTATTCAATTCATCATTCAACCCAACTGCAAAGGCAGCAACCTCTTCATAGAAAGGAACGTTCTTCATGGTCAAACCAGCTCCGGCGCTGGTGCTAGTTCCGCAATATGTCACACCTTTGATTTCGACGAAACAAGGCAATCCTTTTTCAACAAGATCTGCATATCCAACAATTTCATCATCGATATTGAAACCTTTGACAAGGGTGAGCCTATATACCGTCCTCTGCACATGTCTCTTTTCTCGCAGGATGTCCAAGCACCGCTGGAAGCGTTCCCAAAAGTCCCGATGCAAAGGTCGGTCGATCTTTCGTAGGCTGTCACGATTGCTTGCGTCTATAGACACATAGAGTTGAGTGACTCGCTGCAAAGCAGCAAGCTGATCAGGATGCTGGGCGTTACAAACGAGAAAGCTTGATATATGCTCATTGTGGAGGAGCGACACAAATTCGTTGATATGAGGATAGAATATCGGCTCACCAACAAGGCTTAAAGCACAATGTCGAATGCGCATTGCCTCAGCAAACCTTTCAGCGCGAACACCGGGTACTCCCCGTAACATCTTAATCTTTTTGTAATGGCCTTCTTTAACACCCTGGAATATGAGATCGGGTGGATCAACCTTCCATCGCCATGTCGTTCCTACGGGGTTTGTGCCATGTCTCCAACAAAACACGCATTTATTGCTGCACGATAGAGCTGGAGTTGTTTCCATGCATAGATGTGATTTGATTCCATAAAAAGAATTCTTGTAACACGAACCTCGTCCTCTGAGAGCGGACTTTGTCCAACGGCAAATCTTCACGCCAGAATGAGATCCGACTATGGTGTAGCCTTGTTTCGAAAGTGCGGTGTAGGTAGGAGAGTTAGTGGGTACCATCTCCTTATCCACGGATAAGGCAGACGATGGTTTTGTTGTCGCGTACGTTGTAAAATCGACTGGTAATATCATGTTAATTTTTCCTGGAGAATCGCCTTCGAGAATGTCTTCCAGATCGGTAATCGTCGTTGGAACTGTTCGTTGTCGCTTAGAGACATTTGAGCTTTCATCATCGTCTATATCCTCTTCGTCGCTTTCGAATGGATCTCCGCTACCCAGGATGCCTTCACCTAGGCTTCCATGGTTGGCCACCATGTCATGCAAAATTTCGCGTAGCCCATCGAACCATTCATCCAGGGCATTTCCTCCGTCGCTTTTCACATCACCAAACCCGAGGGGGTAAGCTCTCTTTTTACCAGTCAACTTTGCCATCCATCTATCCACCTCTTTGGCCTGGGAACAGAACCCTTCCTCTTCTGTTGGCCACCCCTCTTGGTCTCCAAAGCCGAAGACAGCGTAACCGACTAACCCGGCCAATGGAGCCGTATCAATACGGAAATCATGGTGTGTTTCGTCGAGATGGGTTAAGAACGTAGTCAATATCGTGTCAATATTATAGGTAGGTATAATGATGCAATAAAAGTACACTACGTTGGGGTTTGAGTCCGCAAGATTTGGTGGTGAGATGAAGTAGTCGTCAAAATCGATATAGGAGAGATCGAGGAGCTGCGGACTCAGCAGTTTCGAAGCGTCACTAGAAATATTTTGGCAATAATCTTTGAACCTTTCATGTGCCCGCTTAGCGTGGTGCGCGGTAGTCCCCGTAAGTGAAGAGAAAAAGATAATAGGCTGAATAGATATGGTTTTGGGAGTGCTCAAGCCTCCATCATCCGAACGTGTCTTATCCTTGGCTGGCCTTGCACCAACCACCCGTTTTGGTTCAGTTTTATGCGCCGGTCTTTGAACAAAGTCTGGTGAAGCTGTCCTTTCTTCGGTGTTTGGTGGACAAGGTGGCTTTGACTCAATCGATGGTTTTACCTTTGGCACAGTGTTCGATCGCAATGCATCATCGACATCATATCTGTGTGGTAATAATCGCGAAATGAAAAGAGCGGCGGGCAAAACCACAAGAATGTATCCCCGGTAGGAGTGCCAGAGTGACAGAGCTTCTAATCAAGAGAGGTCAGATGCACAGTTACACTCCATACGGCAAGCAAAATGAAGGTCCAGAACTCACTCTGCATTCCAAGTACGACGGAGTCGGTTGCCATTGCGGCCAAATGTGACAGTGGGCTGTCGATCCTGTCTCTCTCAGCAGTTGATAAGTTGGAATCTTTAATCTTTTTTCTTGTGGGGTAGTTAAATCGGGTCGATTTTCCTATCATGTTTGCATTGTTTGCGTTTCCTGATCAACTACGGATAAGAACTACTACAAGGCTCTTCCACCACAGCCCTCATGTTCTACTAAAACAAAGTGCGACGTCCCCATTAAGTACAGTGTGAGAATCAATCAAGACATTATTCAACATGACTGCTAAACCCAATCGCTAATATGCTGTCACAAATAATGGGACGGAAGCCGCACATACCCTCTTTCCTGCGCCGAAAGAGAAATAACGAACAAGTGAAAAATAAAGGCCATTCTATCATCAAAAAATTGTTCAAACGGTGGTCTCTTTGCTGCGTCGAGAAAATCCCGCAGGAATCAACCTTCCACGCAATTCCTCCCATAAGGCTTGCTTGCTCATTGAACTTCGTTCAACAGCGTCTCGGTTTTCCTCCGCCCGTCGTAGAAGATACATCATGCATTCCTCAGTCGTGCCCCACACAACATACTTGAATACCCGGTTATCTTCCTCTTCAAGATCCTGACGTGAGAAGTATCAATGCCTATTCCCAAAATATCCGTTGGTTAAGGGCATCTTACAGGTAGTTTTTGTGTTAGGCTCATGGAGAGCTCGTCTGCCATGCCCATCAGCTGCGCATACACAACATCGGCCAATGGTAAACCTCGCCTAAGCTGCTCCTGTCGCATTTCGCGCATGCGTTTCATGCTCTGTTTGTTGTGACTTGCTAGCACTAGACCAATTTTGGGTCCAGAAGGATCCGTAATATGCTGGGTGGCAAGCATATGCGCAGCATTATCATAGGCAGCATCGGTGTCTTCTTTGGTATCGTGAATTAAATGGCGAGGATCACTGTTGATATAGGCGCCGCGAACTAATTTGACGCCTAGATTGAATTTGCCTTGCCGAGCCGCATGGAGATGTGATTCGAGAGTTGCTGTGGATTCCTTAAGGTACCTGTAGGCAAACCTGTTAATGTATACTATAAAATGGATTGGGGGTAGCAGATGATTACATTTGATAGGTGTTGTATACCACCGTTTGTCCGTCACAGTTGTATCTCTGCATCAGATCAAGGGTCCAAGTGTCGATGCCCATTTTCTGGGTGTGATGCTCGGCATCAAACAATAACTTTATGTCTTGTTTCTTGGCCGAGGCACAAATCTGCTCCAACGCATCAGCCATGAACTCATCCGGTTCTTGTCCAGTTTCTAGGGCATGAACACAACCGATGCCAGCTCCAGTGTACTTGACCGCAACAAAATCACCGTTCTGCGCGTACTGTATCGTTTTCAGGGTTCCTTGAAGCCACTGGGCGACATGGGCTTGGTGCAGCGCGTCAGATTCGGCGGTCCCACTTTGATAGTGCGAGCTTGACAAATCTACTTCTCGTGCATATGCCAAAATCACTCCTTTATAGCCCATATCCCTCAGCCCTTCCACGGTTCGCCTGATTTCCGCTTCAGACCGGCCAGCGCAAAACTGGGCATAGAACATGTTGTCGAGTAAGCACCTGAAGGCGGCATTGCTAGTCAATAGCTGGACATTGCGGCGCAGCAAATCCGAGGTCACGTCCATGATGCGCGGGCGCGACATGACTGTCTGCAGCATAATGCTTCGCAGCAGGGAGAGGGTCGGCAAGCGACCAAGCACGCGCTGGTGGCTAGGGCGGCCCAGGGCGGCAGCAGCGGCAGACTTGGTTGTCTCCCATGGGGACGGCGGGAAGTTTTCGGGGGATTCGGAGGGAACGTGGAAAGCTCGTGTCTGGCGAAGAGCGTGGGTGGGAAACAGAGCGCGGGTAGGAGAAGCGAATCGAGAAGCCTGACAGAGCGTGGAGAGTCGGTAGGCCATATCTCGTCAAGCAGGGGGTGCGAGGTTCTGGAAAACCAGGCCGGGAGCCAGCCGCGGGCAAGACATATAAATAATAATACTTCAGACGCCGTCCGCAGTCGGACTTTAAGCAGTGGCCCAAGCTTCCGGAGCTGCACGCAGCCAGGATCTCAGCGCCTGCGGTGCTGCGGTGCGGCGACTGCGCGGGCACACAGCGCCAGCCCCGGATGCAGTCGCTTCCCCGCGGGCCTCCCCTGCACGCCGCCAACGCGCGCACGCGAGGCTATCCGGGCGTATCCGCCGATCTCCGGCCCGCGCTCAGGTGACCCGGGCACTAAACCAGCTAACGGGAGAGGCGGCGTGGTAGCTGGCGAGCGGAGAAGAGAGGATTTATTTGATCGATCTTTTCTTCTTTTCCTGCCGGGGTCGGTCTGGCCAGGTAGTAATATGTAACTATTCTAGGAGTCCTCTGCCTCGTTTTCCGTGCTGCAACCTCATGACAGCAAGTGCCGTCACGCTGCCACGGGGCACGCGGAGCAGCCCCAGACATCGGCGTCCTGATGAAAGAAGAAGGATGCTATGATTATTATTATTATCAGGAACGTAGCACCAGCCTGCATCTAGGCCAGGCATGAGAGGCTCGGTTCGTAGTTCGGCGTCCTGGCTGCCGGCCGAGTAACAGCGACTCCACGCTCTGCAATTTCGCTTTTTTGCCTGCCATTGTCGGCGATTCGCTCGGTCTGTGCTGCCAAGTCGCTGAACCTGCAACCCCCAAGTAAGATTAATGGCAACTATGTAACTTGTCTGTCGTGCCGCCTCACCCAAGTGCCTACGCTTGCTTGCATCCAGCTCTCCCGCGTTAGCGAGGTATGGTTATCAGTGCCCAATAATGACTTGACACTACAGCAGCTCGATCTTGACTATTTTTAGGGCAACGTCCACATACCTGCTCGTTCTCGCCCAATTGCGGTGTAGCCCCGATCCTCCGGTCCAGACAGGAGTGCATGACCGCTCGACCACAATAATGCTGATTCTCCGCGAATCGGATATCTCTCCCATCCTCACACACCTCACGCGTGACCAGTGCACCGATCTGCTCCAAGCGCTGTGGCAGGCACTTGCAAGGTATTCTTTCCAGGATGGTGACAAGGGCGGCAAACGCATTCACCAGCCCATCCGAGAAAATATCACGACTTCTAGAAACCATGTAACGCTGTTTATGCCGGCGTCCAACACCGATACCGCAACCGGTATCAAGATCGTGACTCTGCCTGGCAATGGTGGGCCGCCTAAAGGCGCCATCAACGTGTTTTCTCCAGAGGGGGATCTGGAGGGCGTCTTGAATGCAGAGTTGATCACTGCGTTTCGAACAGCCCTGGCGACGATGATTCCATTCCGGCAGTTCCCTCTTCCTGACGACGCGAGCATTCTGGTGTTCGGTGCTGGGAAGCAAGCAGAATGGCACATTCGCCTCGCATTGCTTCTCGCAGGCGAAAAAATAGCGAGGGTTACTATTGTAAACAGAAGCTCTGGTAGCCTGGCACAGCTCAAAAAAAACATGCACGCAGATATGCGTCAAATGTTCCCTGCCGTGGTATTTGAATACGTAGCGAAAGATTCGTCGACGTTCAGCCCAGATCACCTCGGCCGGATCGTATCCCAGGCTGACTGCCTGTTTTGTTGCACGCCATCGACGCAACCTTTATTTCCGGCCTCGTATCTCAATCTTGAACCACGTCCACGGTTTATTTCGCTGATAGGGTCGTACAAGCCGGGCATGCAGGAAGTGGATTCGGAGACTCTTCTCTCTGCTGAGAACACTATATTAGTTGATTCAAAGGAGGCATGTTTGCATGAAGCCGGCGAGATTATCAAGGCCCAGGTGCCCGAGGGTCAGCTGGTGGAAATCGGCGAGCTACTGGCTAATCATGATTTATTATCGAAGACATTTGCTCCGGGCAAGAATGCTGTTTTCAAATGTGTTGGAATGGGAATCATGGATTTGGTTGTTGGCCAGCAGCTTCTTGCTATAGCGACAAAAAGGCAAATGGGCATTGTGGTCGATGAATTTTAAGGCATTCAAATTCTCATGACACTTGAACTATTCTTTCAGAATGCAGTTATCTTGACTGGTCTGTGGTTTTGGCAATGAGCATACATCTACCATGAATATAAATACCCCCCCCATCCTTACTTTTCAGTGACCAGGAACAATTTTAGAAGTGTCCTTGATACATCTCACTTTGGTATGCAACGACCTACTCATTTAGCGTCCTGTAGTTATATGTGACTACAGGTTGATGATGGACCAGACTATTACATGTGGCACAAAGGTGGATAGCCCACACAAATGTTTTTTACGCACGTGGAGAGGATGTGATGGCCAACATCTGGGTAGTAAATAGAATGTTCGTGTTAAATCCTTGAATTGGTATGGTCGCGAGGGAGACCTCCAAGAGGGTTTTGCAAGAGAACAAAGGCAACAAGCCCACCAGCGATAAGAAAATACACACAGGGCAGTGAATGAAGTAGTGAAGGTTGAGGAATGTCAGTATTTGTAGGCGATCACGGATGGTGTGCAGCAGCTGGCCGAAAACGGAGTATGGAGAGATTGAATTTACTATGAAACATGATGAAATTGTAATTAAAGCGAAGGGCTAGGCTAGAGCTGTATTTCATTTTTGGATGCATTATTATTTTACTTCGTACGTACGGGAGACCGAGAGGCGACTGGGATGGGCGTTGGGGAATCGGCTGTCTGATTGGCGGAATGCAGGGGCGGGGTGTTCGGGGCGCGTGGAATGTTCGACGCGCGCGCAAGAGTGTGGGGGGCTGCGGCTGAGCGCGTCGCGGTTCGCGTGGCGGGCGAGATTCTCCGGCCCGATGCTGATGTAATCAACACGATAGAACCGCATCGGGCTAGTGCGAGCGTGATTCCCCGGATTCTGACTCAGCGGTGGCGGCCAACGTCCTGCTGTGATTCGCTCCTTAGTCAGCCCCGCGCGCCGCCGCCTTAAACGGCCATCGACATCAGGTGACCCGGTCCCTCACGCTTATTATCACACTTGCCCAATCCCCCCCGGACCGCCGCGGCTGCTCGCATCGCTCTCCTCCTCTGTCATTGTCTTCACCCCATCACTCTTCTCTCTCTCTCCCTCTCTCTCTACCTCTCCTACCTTTCCTGTCTTTATGCGATCCACCTTGCAATTGATTCCGCTGTTTCTGCTCTCCGCCGCACCCATACATGTCCGACGCCGGCCTGCTCGTCGCCGCCCCGATTATGCTCGGGATCGCCAAACATTTTCTTTTAACTGCCAAATCCGGGCCCCGTCGCGAGTAGACCTCGTCCATTCCTCGCAGTCCTAGCCGTCGCCCGTCGCCCGTTGCACCACGCCCACGACCCTCCCTTTGGACATGTCCACGCCTGCTCCGCCTGCAAAGGTTCACAAACGGGCTTATCAGGTACGTTGACCTGCCGCCAATGCCCGCTCCCCTGTATAGAATAAAACAACAGAAACAAGAAAAAATGTAAACAATCGTACAGCTGTGAACTTCTCTTTGCTTCGCTTCCCTAGGCCTGTATTCCGTGTCGAGAACGTCGAGTCCGATGTGACCTTGGATCCGTCGACCACCCGCACCAGGGCCCTTGCGGAAGATGTCGACGCGAGCGCAAATACTGCCACTTCTCTGCCACCCGCGGCAAGAAGAAATCCATCGCTACCAGTGCTACGTCGCCGTCCGATTCCACCATCCACCCCGTCGCGCGACTCGGCTCGTTTGACGGCCCTCCCGTAACTATGCCGCCGCTAAACTTTACTGAGCATGCTTCTGCGACGAATGCTGGCCGCCCGCCCGCTGTTAAAACAGATCTTCCGTTTAATCACTTAACATCTGCCGATGCGCCGCTGTCAAGTTCCTCGGGAGGTGACAAGACTGCTGCAACCCTGCTTCGAGATGCCGCCTACACCTCACATGATGCCTTAAGTCTGCTTTGGGAAGCTGGCCGCCATAGCGAGAAGGTCGTCTCGCACCAAGAATCCGCCCCGTTAAGGTTAAGAGCATCTGCCGACGTCCGAAGCCGCCCGTCCGCTCCACCAAGCAATCATGGAAGCACTGCTAGTATTGCCCTGCAGCCCTGGTCCAACTTGAGGTTTGTCCGCACAGGTCTCTTTACGGCTGAAGAGGCCTTGGATTTAGTCAACTATTTCCATCGATACTTGGCCCCCTTCACTCCCATTTCCTCCACAGCCTATCAAGACCCGTCAATGCATTCAAAACTTTTGGAAGAGGAGCCCATTCTTGCTGTCACCATCTTAATGTTGGCGTCTAGATATATGAAATTCTCAGGCGCCGGTGCAGTGTCACGCGCGTACATGATTCATGAGCGGCTTTGGCTTCACTTGCAGGGTATGATTTCTAGAATGATTTTTGGACAAGAACAGTTTAGCGGTGCAACTCATGACAATGGAACTGCCACGGAAACTATGAACACCCAGTCATCAGAATCTGCACTCGCTGGCTCTAGCTTCGGAAGCCTACGAACTCTCGGAACTTGTGAAGCATTGCTCCTATTATCGGAATGGCATCCACGCTCGCTCCATGTCCCCGCTGGTGATGACGGAGATAGCATTATCGTAAAGGATGATGTTCGCCGAACCAGAGCTAGCACGGCAGGAATTGGCGGCCGTATCCGCATCGATTGGCTGGAACCGGTGTGGAGGTCCGATCGGATGTGCTGGTCAATGCTGGGAAATGCCCTGGCGTTGGCCGTGGAGCTTGGTATATTTGACGAGTATGACAATACGACAATTGGTGCTCGAGAGTCACGACGGGATATATGGAGCCATCCGCAATCAAGCCAGCGAGCATATTTGGTTCAACATTTACTCTGGGTCTATTTGACACAAACCTCAGGCAGACTAGGTGGGTTCGACTATTATATGACTACTACGAACTCTGACCAACGACTTAGGCTGGAAAAATTTAACTAATGTGTCTGTTACCGACCATGATGCAACCATGAAACATGGCGACACTATTCGTTGCTGGGTGGGTGTTGCCTCCTTAATGAAAAGGGGCAATGAACTTCTCTTTCCTTCAAGAGAGGAGACGCGCGATATAATTAAAAACGGAGACTACCTATCAGTTCTGCAATCTCTTAACCCTCTTCTAGAAGATTGGCAGCGCGAATTTGATCGCGCCAAATGTGAAGCCTCCTTCTTCCTAAGACTCATGCATGTACATCATACTAACAGTGACCTAGTATCGAAGCCCATGAGGTTAATCCTTGCCATAGAATTTGGTTATGTGAAGGTATATATCAACAGCGTTGCTTTACAGGCTGTTGTGGAACATTACAATCGTTGTGCTAAGGAAGGCGGCTCTATGCCACTTTCTGCTCTCCTGAATCCATATGAAGGAAATAAGCAGTATTTTATGGAGGTTGTCAATTCAGCGAGGGCTATGCTTCAAATAGTTGTCGAAGAGCTCCTCCCAGAAAACCGATTGAAGCATGTTCCAGTCAGGACATACTCCAGAATCCTTGCAGGAGCTATGTTCTGCCTTAAGGTGAGCTTCTGTTATGCTTTTCTTGATCTTTAACTGACAAGCAATCATACGCAGGCGTATGCCCTCGCCGCAAAAGATAGTGAAACGGCCATTTCGCTTACACTTGTTGAACGCACGGCTGAAGCGCTCTGCACATGTGTTGTTGATGACGTCCACCTAAGTAATCGGTTTGGAGAGCTTCTACAGGCTCTTGTCTCAAGCCTCCGAAGCCGCGTAGTAACAATGCCAGGCAGTGAGCAGTCACTAAGTGGGCACATTACCCCAAACAATGGCCAGACCACGCGACCAGCCTTCGAAATACTCGAATCTACGCCTACAGATACAAAGCCCATCATAACGGAATCTTTTGAGCGAACCCTGCCTTCCGCGATGCCACTTCAACAGCCGCTGACGACAGCGGAATATGATGGCCATTTTGGCATGACGCTTTCTTGCACAGTACCCGACACATCAGGATATGCACCAATGCATGTTGTCTCAGATCACCAGTCCTTTCAGCACGACCCATTAATATCGTTTGCCGGTCTTGGTCCCAACCAACTTGGTTGGTCTGGGGGCCAAGATTTTTTCGATATGCTTGGTCCCTTGCTAGATGTCCAATATGAACAATACCGGTGAATGGCGTACCTGGAATTCGAAACTAATTATATGGACAGCTCATCTCACCCTAAGGCTTAGGTAGATTTGGTAAGCAGATGCCAGGAATTGTCATGCCCGTTGCGGTACACCTGCTCTTGAGTCTTAACATGCAATTCTGCTATCAGGTAGCTAGCAATTCGGGATCTAGTGGCGATTATCTTCAGCCGACTTAATACTAGATTTCACTCACTGCAATATTCTTATATTCTCCCTCCATAGATGACAGTGTCGTAAATTGCAGTTCAAACGGGCCAAGGACAAATGTCGGATGGTTGTCAGGAATAGATAAGTCTATTATGCAACGTGCTCTGGAAAAAATTTCACTTGAAAAGGAAATAATGATAATGATTGGAATAAGTGTTCTAGCAACGACTTAGACTTCTTCATAACTACTCTTTATTCAATCTAACCTCATTTACAAAGACTGGTAGACCATTGTGCCACATTACCTGCAGCCCCAAATCCTCACAATGCCCCCCCCCCCCCCCCCCCCCCCCCCCCCCCCCACACCCCCCCCCCCCCCCCCCCCCAAGCAGCATGCCCACAGCTGATGTTCGCACATCCAACTTCCACAGGCTTCTTGCCCTCTGAATTGTTGCAGGAAACAGGGGTGGTGTACTGGAATTTCTGGATTTGGCATTTGGTAGGAGGCAGGCAGGAAGGATCATTGGTCATATAAGGTACAATTGGTGGCTGCAACCCTGCGAATGACATGCTTCTGATTACACTTCAAGCAAGTGGTTGTACCATGGCATTGGCTCTGACGGCAATCACGAGCAGAGTTCTTGTCACGCCAGTTATTCCAGGTCATGAACCTGGGAGCCTGGAGATGAAGCGTGCTACGCGGTTTTACGTGAGTGATGGAGGTTATACCCAAAAGGCTAGCTGGAGATGATGATCCTATACCTCAAGGTAAAGCCTTCTCGCTCAAACTCTCATTCATTTTCGTCCTTGCTCTTTCCTTTTTCTAATTTGGCCTTTTGTGATCATGTTAACGAGGGCTCGAATCCTCGATCAATACTTAATGCTTACTGCCATTGGTTACAGGTCCGTACTCTGAGCCAGATCACGATTTGCTGACTGAGCTGGAAAGCCAGCGCGAGGTTTCTCAGCTCTGTAAGACACAGGTCAATAAACCGTTGCGGCGTTGCCTGGTGTTTCCAGTCAGTTAGATGTGGACAATTGTGCCTTGCTAGGCTTACCAGACTGGATTTGAAGCGGGACGATCGAGTTAACTGACGGTGAAGGCCTGCCGGGAGGCAGGGTGGGCAGCCCTGTACCATCCACAAGGGCTGTTGAGTGTCGAACCACGGCGCCTCATGTTGATACCAGACAGAATGATGAAGCTGAACCTCCTGCTGACCACCTTGAACTCGGCAACAGTGTCAGGAGCCTACATGCTTCGCTACATGCCTACTAGGTAGGAGCCTACATGCTTCACTACAAGCCTACTACATACAAGCCTACATGCTTCGCTAGAAGCCTACTAGGTAGGGGCCTACATGCTTCACTACTATCCTACTACATACGAGCCAACATCCCCCTCTACAAGCCTACTAGATAGGAGCCTACATGCTAACCAACATTCTACTACAGCTACTCCGCAAAAGTTTGTGCGAAATCTTAATTTTATGTGTCCCAAGGGCCAATGCAATGATTTTCTACTATCTACACTTATCGGACGACACAGGAGCACGTGATGATCATGTGACTGAGTGTCTATAATATTGCGTCTGGTCTGCTCCTAACAAACAAGACAAGAATACTTATAGATGAACATGATATAATCAAGACTATGAGAAAAACATATGAAAAATCTCTAGCAAATCTCCATCAGTTCAATAGACAAAAATAATGAAATCAATATCATGATTGAGAAGAAAAGATGATGAATCTATAATTCTCTGATTTCTTTTTTAAAAATCTGATCATCTGATAAGTCATCTGACTTCTGCTCAACACACTTTCATAGCTTTGACAGCAGCATAGACAGTGAACTCTCTACTAAATAATCAAAATTCACAAGTTTTAATTGCTTCATAAATTTTTCAAATTTCTGTCTAGACTAGGCTGACTGCAGGGACAGGGATTTTCTGACTGGGATCCCATCCCAACTGTTTTTTTTTTAAATGGGATGAGAACAGGGCTTGACCTTCAGGGACAGAGCCAGAAATGAAATGAAGATTGAAAAATTGAGTTGAGATTGGAACTAGAAAATTTGAAATGAAACTTACTAAGCAGCCCCAGGGGACTCTACAAAGTGGAACTAGCTACTACATGCTGGGACTGGAATGAGATAGAGACTAGTCATAATGGGCTCAGAATTCTCAGTTTCTAGAAACTAGATTACATAATTATAAGTAATGATCTGAGATAATGCTTTAAATATATTTTCACACACAAAGATCAGTTCTGCTGATCTCACTGCAATCTTCTCTGTATCTCTCTCTTCTTCTGTAATCTGTGATTAATGTCTGTTGCCCAAATATTTAACACACCCTGACCAGTCAGTTCAAAGTAATATGTAATTGCCAACTCATTCTCTGATGCTGAAAGTTGATAGTCATTGAATTCTTGTTTCTCAATGTCAACAAAACAATTCATATCTGACTGTGATGCTGACATCTGCTCATTGTTCAAAGATTCATTTTCTGCATGCTTGACAATTATTATTTGCTTTACTGTTGGTCCTGCAAGATGATTATGTCAATATGAATAGATGTCTCAATCTGAATTGAACTTCTGCTCAACACTCACTTCAGAAGAAGAGACAATCAATATGTCTTATGTCATTCTAGCAACTGTTGAATATTGTTGCTCAATTTCTCTCCACATGTCTAGAATTCCACCATCTTTAAGTGGTGCAGTCACTGCATTATCAAGATATTTTTCAAATTCACTGATAGCACTAGAATCAGCATCATCATGACTGAAGCTGTCAAAGAAGACACTGTTCAGATTTTAGATTACTTTGTTGTCAGCATCAATATTGTGCAGTGTTCTGCAGAATCAGTATTTCAATTTATTATGTTGCATCTAATGAACTTGACACTGACATCTCATGTTGCTTATAATGCTCATCATAGAATGTCAGAATAAGATCTCAATACTTCTGTCATTCTTCTCACTCTCAGTGTCTTGAATTCAGTGCATTCATTCACTTGGAAGAATTCAGAACTACTGCAACAGAGTAGATCTTTTCATGTTCATCTGCTGTCTTTGAATAATACATAGCAAGCTTCTCAGATGCTGTCTTATAAGCTTTAGTGAGAGAGTCTTTTCATTTTAATTCTCTTGATGCCTCTTTCTCTCTGTCATCTAAGTGATCAAATATTTCATTGTATATATGAAATGTCCTGTGAATAGTTGAATCTTTTATGGTTGACAATGTCTTGATGAGCATCATGAATGGCTGCAGTAAACATATAACATACTTGATCTGTTGCCACTTCAAGTCATTCAGAGTCAGACTTTGTATCTTGCAGTTGTTTGTTTTTTCAATTCATTGCAACAGATATGGATGAAGAAAAAAAGCACACACAGTCATCTGATATGTTGAATTTCATCTTGTCTTCACATCACTAATCATATTCAACACATGTTCTTTTTTTTGTAGTTCAAAAAATAACTCTTGACATTCAGAGAATGCTTGAACAGCATTTGCAAGTAGACAGATCTGAATGGAGTTCATATTAAGTATTAGTGATGAATGAACATTGAAGTGTTATCAAGAAGTGTTATCTTTTGAAGAGTATCTTTAAATGTTCTCATATCAACATTGCTGAGTATATGATCATCATCAAATCATGAAGCTGTGTCCTCATTGTCACTTTTAATATTCAAGCTATTTACCAATGCCTTCATCATCAGTTGTAGAATGTGGGCAAGGCAAGAAATAGAGCCCAACACACTATTTCAGTCATTGCCATTCAGTTGACTGAGCTTTGTTTTTAGTGATCACCATAAAGTATTGTTATTGCTGACATTATTGGCTGTTATACATAGAAACTGCTCTGTGATGATATGGGTACTTAGAACTGAGTAGAAATACTCACTCAGATTGGCTTCATCATGTGAATCTTTGATCAGCTCAAAGCCAACTAATCTTTCTTCAAAGATCCACTTGTCAGTTATATAAAATGCAACAATTTCAAGAAAGGACAGCATGTGTAAGCTAGATCATGCATCAACAGTAAAAGACATCTTTGCAGTAGGACTCAGAGTTTGAAATGTAGTATTAATAGTCTTGTTGTACTTATCAGTCAGAAGATCTTGAAGTTTTGTGTGGTGAGACATGTCATTAGCAGCTTCTTCATAAATAAGTTCAATCAGTTCATGGAAATGGGAGTTGTTAACAGTGTGAAAAGAGAGATTAAGTGATATAACAGTTTGGAGAACAGATTCATGAAGAGCTTTCTTACTGTATGATATGTGTGACAACTTCTGTTTCTTAATGGGGGCATTTTTCTAAATTATCAAGAAAGCATTACCTTTGACCATTACCAATTTTGATGAAGGGCATGACATATCATCATAACAACTATTGATTGCTCACAATCTCTTTTTCTATTTCTGGCTTGATCACAGATCTGACTTGAATAGTGTTGCTGCATACCACTTGTGTCTTGTGTGGTGAAGCTTGGGTGTGCAAGTATTGTCTTACAGAATTGGCAAATAACAGCAGATACTTCATCAGATTTTTCTGCTGTCTGATAATAGCTCTTTCAGTAGACTGCTCTTTGTCAACTGCTGTTTCAGTGTGAATGATTTCACTTCTCTCAGAAGCTGTTCTCATAGTTCAGTGTGGAATTCCATCATTGTATGAAAGTAGAATGCTTTAAAGCTTCATAGAAAATATAATTCTTTTCATGAAGATGCTTCTGTCTCAGTTCACTGAGTATGTCTTCTAGTGGCACTGAGGATTTCTCATCAACAAGAGATTGATTGTCAGTGAATGGGACAATAAGAAATTCAGAGAA